ACCCCCTCAGACATCCACCGCGCTTGCGCGCGCTGCCACGTCCTCGCTGACAACAGCAAAGCAACTATGGTGCGACGGGTCACAGTCCCAGTCCCCGGCTGACTCAAGCTACGCAGCCCGCCAACAGCCCACCCACTGGTGTATCATCCAGCGCCACACCCACGGCGCCCTCCAGCCAATCCGTCCCTTCCGGCATACTATCTTCTTCCTCCAGTCAACCCCTTCCTCCCCCACCACTCGATCTTGGCGGGCCAGCTATTGAAGGAGGCGACACTGTCCGTCCTCGCAAGCGCGCAGCCCGCGGGCGCGGTGTCGAATTTTCGCCCGTTGTCCATGCTATCTCGGACGATGGGAGCGCCAGCGCCAGCGGCGCGGATGCGGATGCGGACGGAGAGGGTGATAACGAGGTTGATCCCCAACCCATCGCCCCCGCTGGCACGGGCCTGATCTCAGACCATTGGAAACGCAAGAGGAAAACGTCCGGGTTAATCGCGGGGCTGTCGCCCAAGCTCTCATTAGTCCAGAGCCGAGCGCAGGCAAGTGTTGGTGTTTCGCCCGCCAATACCCACGATGCGCCCAGTGGAAACCGCTCAATTCGTGAGTTCATCGGTGTTCACTGAGCTGACCGTAGGCTCATTGAGACTACCTTCGCCTAAACTGCAAGCCCGCAGCTGTCGGACGTTTGAAGAGCTGTACGACACACTCGAGCCCGATGAGAAGGCATTTTTCGACCTCCTCGATCAGCAGCTTGAGAAGGTTGAGAACTTCTACTCTGCGCGCGAGGCCGAGGCGACGCGCCGCTTCCACCAGTTGAGCGACCAGCTCAAGCAACTTGCCGAGCACAGACGGCTCTTTCATGAGCAGTATCCCGAAGGCGTGCCGCAGTGGGAGGCCAAGATGGGCCGCGCGCTCCAGATCCCGGGGTACGACGAGTTTTGGCCATCCAGGGTCGCCCAGAAGCTCCACTTGCGCCATTCCTTCGTGCAGGAGGGGTCGAGGAGGAACTCGACCAACGGTAGAGCCGCTGCCTCCTCGTCCACGGGCTATATCACGCCCACCTCCAGAAGTGGAAACGGGTCGGACGCTGGCACTGCCGGTGTGAACGGCGTCGGTAAGCTGCCCAAGCAGTACGACCCTGAACGCTATATGAAGTACAAGAAAGAGTTGCGCACCGCAATGCTCGAGTTCTACCGCCAGCTTGAACTGCTCAAGAACTACCGCATTCTTAATTTGACGGGGTTCCGCAAGGCGCTCAAGAAGTTCGAGAAGGCCACGAGAATCCAGTGTTTGGAGCTGTACACGGAGGACCGGATCGGCCCATGCTCGTTCGCGCGTGGCGAGACGATTGATACCCTTATTCGCCAGTCCGAGGAGCTCTACAGCGAACACTTCGAGCACGGTGATGCGAAGCGAGCCCGTCTCAAGCTGCGCGAGGGCGACCAGCCGATGACTCACTACCTGACTGTGTTCAGGTCAGCGATGATGATGGGCCTGGGCCTCCCTGCGACGGTACTTGCGATCGTCAAGTCGTTTGAGGATGACACTCGCGAGTCTATTCCCGAATGGGGAGCACTTCTGCAACTGTACGGCGGCTTGTTCGTGCCCGTCTTCTTCGGCCTTCTGTTTGAGCTCAACCTCGCAGCATGGGTCGAGGCGCGCATCAACTACGAGTTCGTCATGGAACTGAATCGGCCGACACTGGACTATCGAAGCTTCATGGAGATTCCCAGCTTCCTCTTCATGACGCTCAGCTACTGCTTCTTCTTCAGCTTCTACCAGGTCGCCCCCGAGAGCGTCGCCGTTACGACATGGCCACTTGCTTGGACCGTCTTCACATGTGCCTTCTTCCTTAACCCGCTTCCCATTTTCCGACGGCGTGTGCGTTGGTGGTTCCTCAAGGTACTATTCCGCGTCTGCACTCCCGGTTATTCGCGTGTCGAGTTCATTGCCTTCTTCGTCGCGGACGAGCTCAACTCGCTTGTGTACACGCTTCAGAACTTCATGTTTATGGGCTGCGTGTACGCTAAGCATTGGCCAGGCGATAGAACCTTCCACGTGTGCAAGACGGGCCAATCTTGGCCGTATGCTCTTCTTGCGGCGCTGCCTCCGCTGTCGCGTCTAATTCAGTGCCTTAAACGTTACTACGACTCAGGTCTCTACATCCATCTTATCAACGGCGGCAAGTACTGTTCGTCTATTCTTTCGGCCTGCCTTTTCGTATACTGGAGAGGGCAGGAGAAGCCACTCGATGGCGCGCCCTTCGTTGTTTGGATCATCTTCGCGACCGTCTCGAGCGTCTACACGTCTCTTTGGGTGAATTGCGACTTTTCGCGCATCAGCTGACCGCAGGATTTGATCGTCGACTGGAGTTTGCTGCGGCCCGGGTGCCGCGGCCTCCGCAGGGATCTTGGATACGGTTCTCATCTCTGGTACTACTTTGCGATGGTGACCAACGTACTCATCCGCTTCATCTGGGTCTGGTACATCCCGCACCACGCCGAGTTGACCAAGCTTCGCTCGTTCGTATTCGCCATGTGCGAGATGCTGCGCCGCTGGCAATGGAATTTCTGTGAGTTCTCTCACCATCTCTCAGCTCCTCAGCTAACCCCAGTCCGTGTCGAGACCGAACATCTCGGTAACGCCGACGCCTACCGCGTCACGCGCGAGATTCCCCTGCCCTACCGCTTTACGAAACGCAGCGACTCGGAGGACGATTTCGGTTCATCGACCTCGGCTGTGCGGTCGACGCCTCTCATGGCCAAACTCCGACACCTGCGCGCGACCATTGTCGGCGAGAGCTCGGCTGGCCGCGGGCCCGATGCGCTCAACGTGGGTGCGCGTGGACACGCCGCTCAACGCGAGTACGAGGCCCGGCGTCCCGGGGACCTGGTACGCTCATCCAGCTTGGGGCGGGCGGCGGCCGTGCAGAGAACGCCTTCGCGAAGGACCAACGCAAGCGACGACAGCAACGTGTAGTGATGCCTGCGGTGTCTGCTCGTCGCATGTCCACATCGGCCACCTAAATCCTTACGTGCATCTTGCCCGCTTCTCGGACGGTCTGTAATATTGTACGCATCGCACTCTCTCCAATCTGCATGATCCATTCGCAACGTCCCAAAAAATGCACTGCATACTGTTACAGACCACCATCGCATAGTATCACCAGTAATCCTCAGCGTTGCCCCCGCCCTTCTTGTTTCCGGCTGTCGCTTGGCGTTGATAAAACTCGGCCACCTTGTGTCAGTTGAGCTCGATCCCGGCGAGGCTTACCTGCTCCGCAGTCGTCGCATCGTCAGCATCCTTGTCATCGCGTTGCCGGATAAAGCGAGGGAAACGGAGCGAGATGCCGCGGCTCTCAATCTGGTGTGAGCTGGGGCACTAGTCTCGGAGCTTACCAGTCCATGGGCAGCCGTGTATACTGGGGAGAGCGAGAGGTCGGCAGTGAGCACCTCCCACACGATCTTGGGCTCAAACCACACATCTGGCTTAGCGCCGCCGACCTCGATGTCGCCGCGAGGCTTGGACATTTCAAGCGGGTGCAGCTCTTCGTACTGCGCCTTGAGCTGCTCCTCCGAGAAGCCCGTACCAATCTTGCAGATTGTCTGGAAGTTCTCCGAGTCTGGGTCGTAGCATGCGAGCAGGTATGCGCCGTACCAGTTCGTGCGCTTGCCCTTGCCGTAGTATGCGCCGACGACGACCAAGTCAAGCGAATCGCCCACGCCCTCGAGGTAGTCCTTCTTCAGCTGCACGTCAGTTGATACAATGGCTTCCGCCTCACTTTGAGCCAGTTCATACTGCGACGACTCGGCTCATATGTCGACGAGTCCGTCGTGAGCATCTTGACCATGAGGCCTTCACAGCCGTCCTTGATGCTCTCGTCAAGGAAGGCGGATATCTCCTCCGTGCTCGAACTATCTGAAGCCTTCGCGAAGCCGAATTCGCTCTCAACGGGGTTGAAGTGCTCCTTCAGGATCTCGCGGCGCTCACGTAGCTCCTTCTGCAGCAGGCTCTGCACGTCAGCTTGCCATGGACAAGGGACAAGGCAGCTCACCTCGCCATTGAGATACAGAAGGTCAAATGCGAACAGGTGCACCCTGACTGTAATGTCCTCTGCCTTCACGTCCTTGCGTTTACGCCGACTGAGTTCCTGGAAGGGCAGAAGTTTCTTCTCCTGGACATCGTACGCGACGGCTTCCGCATCAAGGACAAACGACTTGACGCCCTCCTTGATGCAGCGGGGGATCTGCTCGACCATATCAGGATACTTGGCGCTCATGTTCTCCGAGTTGCGACTGAATACCGCGATGGTGCCATCCTCGAGAAGGTGCACCTGCGCACGCTCGCCATCGTACTTGTACTCGCAGGTGAACATCTTGCCTTCGAAGCGGTCCAACACCTCGGTAATGGCCTTCGTCGGCTTAGCCAGCATGGGTTTCAGTGGCACGCCGGGTGTGAGTTTGCAGTTTTCTCTCAAGTGGTGAACACCACCCTTCATGAGAGCCGGCACGATTATGTCATAAGTCGGCAGTTCACTAGGGTCAGTTGCGTGTCATTGAGATATCTGCACCTGTACACAGCCTTGACGATCTCTGCACCCTCGTCCAGCTTCTGTGACATTGCTTCCGGCGACAGCTTCTTGCCCTCTGAGACGTCAGAGTCGGCCTCGCATACGATCTTACCGTTGTCTTTCAAAACAATCGCGTGCGCGAGCGCAACGACGAGCGACCGCTCCGCGAGACCGATACGCAGTTTGCCCTCCAAACTGCGGATAATGAACTTGGCCTCGTTGCCCTGGCATGCGGATAGGAGCTGGTTGATGAAGCCGACCTTCTTCGCTTGTGACTGGAGTGAGCCGGACGAAACAGGCTCAACTGCTCACCTGGTTACCCGACGTCTTGGCAATGTTAGTCAATCGCTGGAACACCGTGGTGACGGTTAGTGGCTTGGGCTTGAACAACGTCTTCTGGTTATTGCGTGATGCCTGATATCAGCGGGCAGACTCTGTTGCCAAACTCACCATCGCAACCTTGCCCAAGTCACCCTCCTTCTTAAGGTCCTCCTTGATCTGCTTCACATTCCGGCCTGTGCTCTCCGCGATGGCCTTCATTAGGATCATCTCGCCGATACCAAGTTCCAATCCCTCGTAGTCTGGACACAGCTGATCGTCAGGTCTGCCACTCGATCAGGTTCTCTTACCCTGTTGATACAGAGGTACACGGTTTTGAGGAGATTGGTGCCCCCCGGGTCAGTATCCCGCTTGGCCACAACGAGAAGGAATTGCGTGAGAATGTTGAGAATCTCGAGACGCTTTGTTGTAGCCTCAATTTGCTCAAATGTTGCGACAAGCGCGGCATACGGCACACTGGTGTAAGCGACATTTATAGTACGGTACTCACGGCTCGCCCTCCTTCCAGCCCTTGTCGGCAACCTTTGATTTAAAGTCCTTAGTGAAGATGGCTGCGCTGCCGGTTAGCAAGTCTTTACTGGGATGCACCTACAGCTTGACAGCGGCCTTCTCCTCCTGCTCCTCGAGCTCCTCGTCACTGAGCTCATCCTCGCCTTCCTCGTCGTCGTTAATGAACGCTTCGTCGTTGTCCTCTGGTTCCTCCTTCTTTGCGGGCTTGGCGAAGATCGAAGCTAGGGGCTTCCCATTGGCCGCAGGTCTCTTCTCCACCTTCTTGTCCTCCTCCCGTTTTCCGACTTCGGCCTCCTTCTTAGATTCGCTCTTCGCTTCAGGCTTCGCCTCCTTCTTGGGAGATGGTGACTTCTCTGGCGACGCCGATCTCGCCTGCTTACTCTTTGGCTTGAAGAAGTCCGCATTTACTTTCGCCTTCTTTGCAGGTGGTGATATAACTGTCATTAGTGGCTGGCAAGAGGGGTTGACTTACCATTGGAACCGTTCGACTTCTTGGGTGACACAGGCTCGTCGTCATCCGACTCTATCACGCGCTTGATTTTGCGCGGAGGCGCCTTCACGGGGCTGTCCGCATCTGATGTGAGTTTCTTAAGATCTTAAGCTTGACTCACCAGACATGGCGGGTGGTGCGAGGATGGGAGCTGGAGAGGTGATGATGAAGATGAGTGGGTTTATGGGCTGGAGTAATGTTGTTGGACGCGTCCGGTCAGACGCGTCAAGTGGAGGTGCGGAATCAAATGGCGGGATGGGTGAGTCAACTGGGCGGTGCAGCGGGATCCATTGCACCCTTCTTCGGCGCCATTCGACCTGCGCCGAGCACCGTATGCTTGCATGCTGAGATACGATGCCTCGTGCATGTCGCACCGCTCAGACTATCTGTGGAGATGAAGCCCGGGCTTGAGAGCAGACTGAGGGAGAGATCGCCACGTGGTCATCGCATTCCCCGCACTCCTCCCAGCCTGATCAGGCGTTCTCCGACTAGAACGTCAACTTGCCAACCACTCACTCTCCACCATGGCACTCACTTCGGCCCAGCTCGCCCAGTGGGAGGAGGATGGCTACCTTATTCTCCCAGGATTCTTCTCGCCATCGGAGACGACCGAGATGCTCGAGCGCGCCTGCACACTTCTAGCCTCCTTCGACCCCACCACCCATCCGATGACACGCTTCACGACGAGCGCGGATGGAGACCACGTCGGAGACGAGTACTTTCTCTCTTCCGGCGACAAGATCCGCTTTTTCCTGGAGCCTGGCGCAGTTACTCCAGCTACGGCCGAGGCGCCTGCAAAGCTAAACGTGCCCGCCGAGCGCAGTGTCAACAAGATCGGGCACGCGCTGCTCATCGACCCCGTGTTTGGCAAGTACACACTCTCCGAGCGGGTGCGGGACGTCGCGAAGAGCCTTGGTACACACAAGAGCGCACGCGTGCTTCAGAGCATGGTTATCTGCAAGCAGCCGCGTATCGGCGGCCAGGGTGGGTGGCCAGCCAGTCGGCGCTTACCCAGTTCCATGCCATAACGACTCGACGTTCCTGTACACCGACCCGCCGAGCGCTGTCGGGTGCTGGATTGCGCTGGAGGACTGCACGCCGGCGAACGGCTGCCTCTCCTTCCTCCCCGGCTCGCATAAGACTGCGCGCGTCAGCTCGCGTTTCGTGCGCGCCCCCGGCGGTGGCACGACTTTTGAGGACGTGCCCAGTGTACAGAAGAACGAGGAGGACTGGGACAACTTGCCGGGGTGGAAGGAGGCACCATGCACCGCCGGAACAATGGTGCTCATCCACGGTAGCGTGATGCACCGCTCGCCGCCTAACCCGAGCGACAAGACACGTATGATCTACACGTTCCACATGATTGACGGCGGCGAGGGGTTCACGTACGATGAGAAAAACTGGCTCCAGCCCACACCCGAGATGCCCTTCCCCAAGCTCTTCTGAACATTACGATGTTGTATGCATATCATCTACTAGATCACCTCGACGTTGGCGCGCTTCAGCACGTCCTCGGGGCGCACGGCGTACAGCTCGTCCATTAGCGCGGCGCGGAACGTGCCTGGCCCGCGCACGTCTTCGCGCGCCGCAGCGCGCTCAGCAGCCACATTGATGGAGAGCACGCCGGCGATCGCGCCGACGAACATGTCTCCGCGCACGAAGGGGAACGGGCCCTTGCCCTCTCCATGCGCCTTGATGTGCGCGAGACGCGCCGCTGCGCAGAACGTCGCCACCAGCGTGCCAGTCATGCACCCGCTGCCCGTGATGACGCCGAGGAGCTCGTGCCCGTTGCTGACCTTGACGACTGTGGCACCGTCGGAGATGTAGTCCTGCACGCCGGTCATGACGACGACCGCGCGTCTACGGCGCGCGAGGCCGCGCACGACTTCTCCAGGGTTCTTGAATCCGGCTCCCACGGAATCGACACCACGAGTAATCACATCGCTGCGCTCAGCGAGCGTGGCGATTTCCGCCGCATTCCCCTTGATCACGGTCGGCTGCCACGCCGCGAGCAGCTCTCTACTCGTCTCGCGCCGGAAGCCCGTTGCGCCCACCGCCACAGGGTCGAACACGAGCGGCTTTCCGTTCATGTTCGCGTGCTGGCCGCCGACGACCATGCCGTCCTTGTCGGTGATCGTGCCGAAGTTGATGAGGAGCGCCCCGATGACCGGCGAGAGGTCGGCGCAGTCGCGCGGGTTTGTCGCCATGATCGGCGAGGCACCGATAGCCAGCGTGGCGTTCGCGCTGTCGTTGATCACGACGGCGTTCGTGATCTGGTGCACGAGGGGCGTCGTGTCACGCACAACAGCGAACAGCTCGGCAGCGTTCTGGATCAGCTCTTTAGCAGAGTGCCTGGGAGCCGGGAAGACGGCCGTGTCAGGCCCCGCGTTCTTCCGCGAGGCCTTGAAGGCGTCCACGATGCCGCGCAGCTCTGCGGCCTTCTCCTTGGGCGCGCGGCTGGCGACGATGGCCGAGATGATGGCCACGCCGTCGAGCGCCTTTCCGCTCGCACCGACCGAACCATGGAGGAGGAATGGCGTGTTGTGTGCGTGAATTCCCCCGATCGCAACTGTCTGCATGGCCGCCCCCTTGTCGCCCTGCGACGCAAGTACGTCGAGAAGCGCGCCCGTGCCGCTGGGCGCAAGCTTCGTTCTCTTCGTGACGTCCTTGCTGGCCGTTGGCCACACCGCTCCGATCCCGACGTAGTCCGCTCCGTCTTTGACCGCCTGAATAGCCTCCTCCTTGCTCGAGACTGAGACGCCTAGGAGCGCGTCATCACCGATGAGCGCGCGCACCTCTGACGCGGGCATGTCGCTCTGCCCAACGTGCACGCCCGCGCAACGGACAGCGAGGAACACGTCGACACGATCGTTGATGAAGAGGGGCACATTGTACTACTGTCAGACGGGACAGTGAGAGACAGACGTACCTTGTCGCACACCTCCTTGGACTTGCGCGCGATCTCGATGAACTCGCCGGTGTCGATATTCTTCTCGCGCACCTGCACGACCGTGACTCCGCCCTGAAGGCTCTCCTCCAGCGACTCGTAGTAGTCCTTGCCCTCGGGGAGGATCTCGCGTCCCGTGACAAGATAGACCGAGTAGTCAGCTGTGGGCTTCATGGTGGGATGGGTGGTGGGCGATGAGAATGACAACAACGATATTTGAGCAACATCAAGGAGGGCAAAGCGGGCCTCCGCTGATCCGGTCCGAGATCGGTTTCTTACTCATCGGACAGCATTCCGCCCTAGATTTCGCCCTCGGTGGAATTATGGTGAATGGCGTTGGCGGGGGGTGCAGGTTGTCGTTCCATGCATGTGTGGCAAGCAATGACAGTGACGAGGTGTAGATGCCTCACTTGTGTGGGGAGTGCGTCTGGGGAGATGACGGCGGCGGCGGCGGCGGTGGTGGTGATGTCGGTGATCGACACCAAAATAATAGTAATAATTGATGCTAGCACACTCATCACTCGCCACTCCGACAGTCGCATAATGAACATTACGTTGCCTTATTGTCATGCCACTCGTCCAATTGAGATACTCGGACATGCCAGGCTGACGTCACGGTGTGGGGTGACCAAGGCAAGGAACGCCGTTCTGCGCCTCTGACGGTGGCGTTTGAGCTAGCAGTTGGGCAGACTCGATCGGAATCGGCCAGCGCCCTCGAAAGAACGACCAGGCGTGGGATATAATACCTGGTCGTGCGACGGCGAGTTCATACTCATCGAGATTCTCCAATTTGGCACGACAACTTTCATGCCCACCGACGACGCCCCACCATAATAATCACGCCCGTCCCACACACGTAACGTACCCACGGCCACATCCACACCCATGTCCCTCGCACTGCCGCGTAGGATCGTTGGCAAGTGTCTCCGGCCCGACGGGTCGCCCGTCACCCGCGACATCCACGAGGCCGACAAGCACGAGCCGCTCCTCAAATCCTCAACTGTTCTCAAGTTCCAGTACCCTGCAACGCGGGACGCTCCCCCACCACCGCGCTCACCGCCGCGCTCACCACCACGCTCCACGCACGAACGGAGCGGTGCATTCACCATGCCAGATGCGGGGCGCTGAAATTTTGTGGGATGTCATAGTGGCAGTTGTATTGCATTGACCCTGGACATGAGGCACCGCTGCTGAGATTGCATGCCGACAATGACTCCGCGACGGACCCAATGCAGCCGTCTGGCGAAACTATCCATCTACTTCATCATCGGCCTCCCCATCATGACCCCGCCGCTCTCTCGACCAAGCGAGCCGCCGCGCACACTCACCCGCCTCCTCTCAACGTTTCAGCGCAAACGGAAAGAGCCCGTGGGCCCACAACCCCGGCCCCTCCCGCGCGCCGTTCTCGACCGTCCTTTGCCCCCGCTCCCAACGCCTACACCGAGGCCGACGCCGCCACCGGCGTACTCCGCGTCCGAGACAGAACGGGCGCAAAGACAGAGGCAGAGGCGGGATAGACCACCAGCTTACGATAAGCCTGCCGTCATCATGCCCAAGGGTCTGGGACTCGATCTCGATTTTGACATTGATGGCGACCGGCTTGCGCGACATCTAGAACGCGATCGCCGCTCCGTTGATCTGTAGATTTGCATGTATAGATGGCGCAATGTTCGCCGCTGGTCGGTGAGGAGATGATCCGCCGCGGGCTCGGCACTCGCTTCGACGGTCCACAACACTGCCCAAGGAGGCCATTACACTGGCCAGCGGGTTGGCCACCAGGCCACGACCATGATGCACCGTGACCACGACATCGACCACGACAATGGCCTCGACATTGACTACGACAGCGGTGCTGCGCTTGACGTCGCGGGCTGGGCTTGGCACACGTGTTAAGCTCTTGTCTAGGCTGGCTGCATGGCTGCCAGACTGACGAGGCTGCGTCCGTAGTTCCGTAGCCAGAACTCGCGGCGAGGATGACAATATGACGTCATGTCTTTTCACCCCTTCTCAATCGGTTGAGGCATCGACGCGCACCCGACTTCGACACACGAGGGAACTGCTGACGGAGAACGCTGTGACCACGGGCTAGCGGGACGATGAACTGCACGGCAACTAGGCCCAGGTTTGATGAGTCTACACGCGGGCGACAACCCTCTTGATTGGCTAGCTGGACTCTATCCGCCGCGCCCTCTCGCGCCGCGGCCCGCAGCTCAGTTCACGCCTCCCGCTCCGCCGCTCTGCCGCTCGATCACTTGGACGGCGAATTCACACCCGGCATCATCGAGTCCGAGTACTGGCCCAGTCCCACTCTCAAGAGCATTACCGTCGTCCACGCGGCGTAGCCGACTGCCCAGTCCGCGAGCAAACGCGGCGCACTAGCACCTTCGTCGTTGCGTGGAGACACGGGTGGCCGGTGCAGGCGGATTGCGGTCGACCTGGTATAATACTGGTCAGACGTTGGATGGACGAGCGTTATGGCGACACGAATCCACTTATCGCCTGTCATGTGTCATCGTGCATTCCGCATTCCACATTCCAGGCCAACATCGCATGACCGCACAGGCAAGAGTCCGCTAGCTCGAGACTCATCGATGCGAGGGCATATATCGATATCAGGCGCCGATGCGGAACAAAGTGCTCCTGCTAATACAATTGCTTGTGCGCAGTATGTGTCGTCAAATGATAAGAACATCTCTGTGGTATTGCCAATGAGGGCGCATATCGTTTAACCTTGACGGGTTTTCGGCTACTGGAGATCTAGCAGGTATAACAGAGATCGTCTTAATTCCTCGGCATGTGATGTCCGATCGTCAGGATGATCTACCACATTTGCGCGGGTGGACAACGTCCAGCGTGCAGCGTGCAATGGTGCACCATAATTACGCAGAAATGCAAGAGGCAGGGCGCCAGTTTCACACGACCTCAAGCTTGCATCGTGGCGAGTGACACGCCCAGAAACTTGCACGGTTGCAAGTTTGTGCCTGCTGCATTGCAAGTTGCAAGCTTCCGTCCGAGCTTGCCAGGTTTGTACAGATCTTGGGTAGTGGATGCCCACCCCTCCTACTCTCCGATGCAGCGAATTGCCGCTTCGCGCAATGAATGTGATGTGGAGGTTGCGATCTGGACAGCTGGAATACTGCCAGGGTGAGGTACAAACGTATGCGTATGATAAATACGTGAGATTGTGATTGTGATATTTAGGAAGGGCACGTGCTGGAGAGAGGGCGGTCGGTTGCATTTTGCGGTCGATTGCAGTCGATTGCAGGTCTGAAGGTGCATCGGAAGGTGCGGAAGGTGCAAAGCGGCGGTCGCATGGTAAGGTTGGGGAGGTGACAGTGGCCCAAAAACACGAAAGCCAAGTGCCACATGCCACATTTCAATGGCTCCGCTCTAGGTCTCCTATCACATCGGGTCCTAATGGTGTGTTAGTGGCAACAGCTTGACATATTAGCGGATTCAAATCTATATTGAAATTGGGGCCGGATGTGGGATATGGGCAAAGGGCGTCGGCGGGGAATGCAAGAGCCACCTCGGGATTTGAATATGAATCGCCGATGGAGGGTGCGTGCTGTGATTGGTTGATCTTGGGGAGACGAGTGGCAAATGTGAAGGGTGGACTGTGAAATTGAGAGAGGGGGGGCCAAATGGCTGGCACGGCTGGGAGGCGAGCGTGCGTGGGCGGGGGGTGACAAGGAAGGTGTAAATTGCACACCAAACCCGTCGTGACCCAGAGGCCAGAGGGCGTAAACGGCAAACGGCAAACGCCATCGCCCATCTCCCATCCACCCCCTCCTCTCAACTCTCTCGCCATCGTTATCACATCCATCTCCAACTCAAACATCATGACCGACGCCTCGGCCTCGGCATCAAGCGCCGCACAGGCGGCCTCATCCACTTCCACTGCTACCACCCCAGTGCAACAACAATCCAAGGTACGTCGCACCTCGTTGCATCTTTGCTTTGCATCTGTTTGTGCCAAATACCTCCCTCGCGTCGCTTCTATTCTCCTCCTTCCCCTCTTCCCAATGTGACTTGACTACGCCTCACGTTTGTCAATCAATCCATTGCCTCGCGTTGCCTCGTGTCGTTTCGCCTCGCAAGCTGGCCTGCGATATCACTAATCACTCCGCCTCTCGCATCGCGTCGCGATCCGTTCAGAGTTCTATTGCACCGCCCGCTTGTACCGCCGCTATCTTGCCAACACTCTGTGAACGCGCCCTCAACGCTCGATACCAGTTCATCCTTTCTTTCCATCATTGCCCACTTGCCCACTCTTTGCCCATCACTCTTCTCCCCACCATGTCACTTCTTGCCTCACCCACATCTTCACGTCTTTGCATCTGCATCCTTGACCATACTAACCTCTCCAGGACCGGCACGAACCACGCGGCCGTAAGCCAAATGACCAGCTTCCCCCGTCCCGCGCTCGCGAGGTGCAGCGCGCCTTTCGTCTCCGCCGCGCCGAGCACCTTGCGGCATTGGAGGAGCGCATCATGATCCTCGAAGGCGAGAACACGCAGCTCCGTGCCCTGCTCTCCCTCCCCGAGGCCGATCGTCCAAAGATAGGATCAGGTCCGACTGGTCGTGGCAAGTCGCTCAAGGAAGGTGGTGTGCCCATGAGCGAGCGGGTTCGTGCTCGCAAGGAAGCACGAGCAAGAGAACGCAGTGCTCGTGGGCTCCCCCCTGCCGAGGACGGCGAGACCGATTCCGATAGTGCCGGTATGACTTCGCCTGGTGTTGGTGTCAACATGACGGGCAATGCGAGCAACACCCCGAATGGTAGCGGCAATGTTCGTCCTGTCGCTACCAACACGGCGACGCCCACTGGTGCTCTTCCTCTGTTCTCGCCACCGACCGACCTCCCAGCTCCTTACAACTTCAATCTCCCCACCCCGTTCCAGCTTCCTATCTCGCCCGAGCCCCAGTTCAACTTCACGGGCGGGAATCAGGACACCAACAACTCTTTCCCCGCCGCAATGTTCAGCATGTTTGATATACAGACACAGCAGAACTCGCAGACCGATACGAGCAACAATAACAATAACAACAACAATAACAACCTCCACAATCATAATCACAATCACAACTCGAACAATAGTTCCAACACGCCTGTCGATGCCAAGTCACCCATGTCCCCCGCCACCGCCACCGCCGCCGCCGCTGCGGCCGCGGCTGCCTCAGCCAACCCAGCGCAGCCTGACCTCCTTACACGCCTCAAGGCGTGCTGCCATCTCTCGGATTCGCATGTAGTCAACGACCCGGGATTGTTGATCTTTGCCACTCGCCTGTGCCAGTCCTTCGCGTGCCCGTTTGGTGGCTCGCACCCAGACTCGGCACCTGTCGACGATCCGGAGCAGATGCTCCTCGAGGACGCGTGGCGCGCACTCAAGGCAACCCTCGACCCCGGAGGCGATGCCGATGGCGAGAACCGCATTAACACGGGTCGTATGGCCGCCGAGCTCGTCGTCCGCGCTGCGGCGTCGCGTGGCAACGGTAACTGGATTATTTGCCGCTACAAGGAGGGCATGACTGTGAAGCGCACGCTCATCGGTGCGCTCGTCCAGGGCTTTGGCGGCAAGCTCGACTAGACAGCGGAGAACGACGAAGAATGGTGTACCAGGCGTGGCCTGTTGTTGTTGGATTAGCTGTAACTTTGGGTCATTGGGCTATGGGGTACTTTGAGATGCTCTGTTCTATTGCATGTCATGCTCGTCACAACCGGGTGTCGCCGTGTGACGACGGACGAGGCCGTGGGAGGGCGTGGATTGATCTCAAAAGACAGTCGCCACCCAACTTGAATGGCTATGCACCGCCACTCATCCTACGTCATTCCGCTGTGCCGCGCCATCCCGCAGCTGCAAAGCGACGCGCGTCAGTATGTGGCCCGTAGATGGCCTGAGGATTAAGAGCCAAACTATACAATATCGCAGTAGTGGAGGTGACGGCGCGATCGAGGCACCAACCATTCAGAGAAATAGCGCACAGGCGCCGAGCGACATGAGGCTTGGCAGGTGTATCTCGCTTGGGGACGGTGGTTGTGGACGGCGCAATGTCTGGCGGCCGGCTCATGGCCTTATGGCCTGGAAGCAGTGCACCGCCTCGTTCAGAGTGACAAGCGGCCCAGGTGTCTTGGCATTACAGGACTCGTGGGACTTTTGTCTCCGCTAATGGCACTAATCAGCAGTGAGACGACTACTGTTATAATAGCTTGTATTAGGATATAGAGCTTCAGAGCGCCAGAGCGGTTGCGTCACTGGCCTTGTCGCGTGGTGCCCTTCCTGCCTTCCTCTCCCCCTCCCCTCGATCTCGCACCAACACCCCACTCATCTCTTTCTCTTCATCTCAATCCTCATCATCTTCATTTCCATCTTCATCTTCATCCCAGGCGCTCTGACCTCCCTTATTTCTGTGTAGGCCCGCCCATTTCTCGACCACCACCGACCCATCCGACCATCCACCCCCCATCACTAGTCCACAATGGGCAAGAGCCAGTCCAAGTTGAGCGCCGACGAGCTTGCCGACCTCCAGAAGAACACTTACTGTAAGCTGAGAGTCGGGCAGTAACTGACCTCAGTCGACAAGAAGGTGTGTGAATGGCGCCGTGCCGAGTTGAGGCCCAGCAGAGGCCGAGGAGGGGCTGCGTAACTCTGCTGAGGTGTACTAGCAGCTTCACGCCACCTGCTGGTGAAGCAGCACAGACTGCGGACTATGCTGCGACTTGATAGCTGACGGCAGGAACTGCAGCAATGGGTACGCGAGCACCCCGCGCTAGCTAACGGCAGTACAAGGGCTTCCTCAAGGACTGCCCCAGCGGCCAGCTGAACAAGGAGGGTGAGTTACTAGTCTTGACCCTCGGGGCTTTGGCAGCTTCGCGCATGCCAGACCGAACAATGCTCACCCGTAGAGTTCAAGAAGATCTACCGCCAGTTCTTCCCCTTCGGAGACCCGTCGCAGTTCGCAGACTACGTCTTCAACGTGTGTTGGTCCTAGAGTAGTGCTGACGCCAGGTATTTGACGAGGACAAGTCCGGGACCATTGAGTTCAAGGTGGGTCGTGGGGTGTGCTGGGTGATGGACGATGGCAGCGCTTACACTGCAGGAGTTCATTTGTGCGCTTTCCGTCACTTCGCGCGGCCGACTGGACGAGAAGCTCAAGTGTGAGTCGACGCGTGTGCTGAGTGAGCGCGTACGCCATGTGCAGGCGCAATAGCGGTGCCGGGGTCGTGCTGCGGAAGTCATGTCGGCGGTCCAGGAGTGTGGCGGCTGCTACAGCACGACAGCTGCGGCTTGTCTTGCTACAACTCGCAACTCGCAAAGGTCGATTGGCATGGCATTCCCATGGGGTAGTCCCCTTGTGGCACATGGCCCGGCCCGGTAGCACGGCCTGTGCGTCCCGCATATGCCGTGATTTCGTTCACTTGGTGGCAAAGTCACAGGGCAGCTCTGCGCTGAGAGCATGTTACCAAACAACCGCTAACCCCAGGGGCATTCCAATTGTACGACATCAACGGTGATGGGTACATCACATACGACGAGATGTTGCAGATTGTCCGTTCCATCTACAAGATGACGGGCCAGATGGTCCGCTTGCCCGAGGACGAGGACACGCCTGAGAAGGTGAGTACGCAGGATTTATGGCCGCTGACACCAGCGCGTGGACAAGATTTTCCGCAACATGGACTTGAACAAGGACCACCAGCTCACATACGAAGAGTTCAAGGAGGGTTCGAAGCAGGACCCGACGATTGTCCAGGCGCTCTCGCTGTACGATGGCCTGGTGTAGTGTTAGGGTGAGGGCGTGTTCGTGTGCCAGGTGCGCGCGGTTCAAAGTATAGAGTGCTGCGTGTACAGGGGGTGTGTTGAGATGCAGAGGTGACTCGAGTGGTTGAGTGGGCGTTGGTGGCGACGGGATTGAGAGGGACGACAGCGGTCGTTGGGGTCATAGCAGCAGTGGCGCTCGCTGGTGGCGGCAATCCAGGCTCGTCACGACTGGCTGTCAGCAATATCAGATCCTGGATACGCTCTGCAACTGTAGGAACGGAACCCACGCTTACATGTTCTCAGAATCAGGAATCATGTCCCCCACTCTCGTACTGCCCGTGCTCCGGCTTTCCGAACCTTGCTTCTAGCAACTCCCACTCGCCCTCAAGTCCCCTCTGACTTCGAGCTCCGGAACGTGCAGTTCTCCCCCATCGCTCGCTGTTCCATGTCGTCGACGGGCGGACAGGGCTCCCCATCTGCCACGCTTCACTAATTGCCTGTCATTTTTTTCGCCTACAGTCTATGCCGCCTCCTCGTCCTCCCCCTCCCCCTCCCCCTCCACCTTCACCTTCGGCACAACCGTTACCGTCACATCAAACAGGCCGGCTTGCACACCCTCCAGTGCCTCCACACGTCCACCCAGAGCCTCCACATGCCCCTCGAGCCGCCGGTGCGCATTAACAAGGTCGGTATACAACGCAATAAGGCCGGCGTGCTTGGCCGCGAGCGCGTCATGGGCGTCCTGCAGCGCCGCGTGGCGGGCCGCGAGCGCGGTGTGCGCCGCATGCGCCAGAATGACATGCACCATCGTCGCGTTCGTGTGTTGCCGGAGCTGCAGGAGACTCGGCTCGTGTAGGACCTGCGCGTAACCTGTTATGCCGTCCCAGGTGAAGTCTGTGGGCTTGGGGGCGTCACGGGGGACGAGCTGGGATTAGTGGTAGCCAAGAGGTAAAGGAGAAGAGGAAAAATGAATCATAATGGCGGAAAGGGGAAGAGAGAGGAAGGGTAGAGGGAGGGAGGTGATAGACGAGCTGACGCACAAGAGACGGACGCAGCGCATGCTCGTTCGCACATACTATGCCTGTCGCGGTGTGGCGCCATGCCTTGGAGTCGCAGCGAGGACAAGGGGGGATGGGGAGGTCAGGAAGGTCGGGGGCCATGGTGGAAGGTGCTTTAGGTGGGGGCTGGCCGGACCAGCGGATAGATATACCCACTAGACCTGGTCACTTCGTGAGGGCAGATTACCTCTCGTCGGGCACGGGACGTCATCGTGCACAGCGAGACCTGCAGTTCAGTGCTTTATCGGCAGGACGTCAGTGCAAAGCCCTCGATATGGATGTGTTGTCAGTGACGTTGCGTGAGGCGCATCGGGATAGAAAGCCCCTGCGGGTGTTCATGATCGACTCGATTGTGACGAACTCGCGCGGCTATGTGCCACGGCTGCCCGCTGCGCCCTGCATTGCTTCGTCCCTCTGCTCACTACCATCGAGGCCCATATGCACGTCGCCCACGGGTCCCCGCGCCCCTGTCATCTTCCCCGTCGCTCTCATCACTCTCGCTCTCGATCTCGCTCTCGTCCTCGGACTCGTCATCCTCGCTCTCCTCTTCATCCTCTAAGTCACTCAAGCCCGGGAGCGACGCAAGATTCCAGCCAGCGAGCACGCCGTCCTCGCTACCGGTATACAATGCCCGGTCGTGCGCGGCATAGTGCATAGCGCGCACGGCGGACTTGTGCCCTCTTGCTTCGTGGCCACTCATGAGGAACGCGATCGGCGCCGACTGTTGCCACCCTCCATATAGCACCACATTGCCGCTGGGGTCAGCTTGGCCAGAGAGACTCTCACTCATCCGTGCCCGCTCCCAGAACCGGCATCCCATCCTTGTTCAATCCCATGGACGGGAGGACAGTAGAGAGGTAGCTCGGCCTGACGGCTGCGGGATACGGCCGCTCCTCTTCGGCAGGATGGACGATTGATGGCCCTTCGTCTGGAAGCCGGAGGATCTCGTTTGGAGTCCAGGCCTCGCTCTTGTCTTCCTTGAACTGGCGTCAGGCGCAGGCGGCCTACCCCACTCACCTCTATAAAACCTTCCTCGTCATCAACGATAGTCCTCCGTGACACAGTGTTCCCGGTCCGCGCCCATACCTGCATCTGTTCTTTCCACAGATACACCCCCGCAGCGTCGACAGGCTGCCCCATCCAGGCGCAGACCACTGCCTCGCCCCACTCGTCGCTCGCATTGTGTAGGTCAGACAACGCGACCTCCCCACCTCGCCCGCCGCTGAGGAGCAGCGGCGAGGGGAAGGGTCCGGAATGCGTCGCCCACGTCGCGGTGGGTGGAAGAATCGACAGGTGCGTAACATCATCCGAGTGGCACCGCTGTGTATACGCCGGGGTGGACGTATTGCGTGTGTCCCTGGTGTCAGCGTCAGCCGCAGAGGCGATGTAACGGGCGCACCAGAAGATCGTGATTGCGTCTTGCCGCTGTTGCTCAGAACCGCCGATGACGAGATGCTCGGGTGAATATGTCGTGAGCGCCGTCAGCGGCAGCGCATGCTTGATGAACGCTGCCGTCAGCGCTGTGGCCGTTGCGAGTGGTGGACATGCCTTTAATCTCTGTAGCAGGACGCTGGCTCCGCTCATCCCACTGCACGACGAGTGCATCTCTACCTGCACTCCAAATGCTCCCCTCATCCTCGACCACCGCTGTGATTTCCTGCGTATGCCGTTCAAGCCGCTCGACGGCCTGGAGCGTCTGGTTGTCGGCGAGCGTGAGAAACTCGGTGCCGTGTTGCAAGACGAGGTGATTCGCGAGTGCCGGTGTGATCCCGCGGATAGGAGGCCTGTGGGGGAGCGGCACCGCGAGCGTCGCGAACGATATAAGTGGAGAGTGGGACGGGGAGGGGGGCGGTGAGAGCGACATGGTCGTGGACGCGGAGAGCGACGAGGGAAGCAGGCGTCAACTTGATGCCAGAGCGATCAACGCAGGTGGATGAGCTCGGTGGAGGCCACAGCTCACGCGGTGGAAACAACAGATTTAACAGCCCTCCATCTTGCATGACATCACGCCAAATTTCCGACATCGGGCACCTCCACTTGGTCCTTCTCCCACTCGTCCGGAACTCACTCTATCGCACATGAGCATCCGCCAGCCAAAACCGCGGCAGATTCGCCTCCCCTTCAACGTTCCCAAGCCCAGTAAGGGAGGGGTGGTGCCGGCGCGTGTCTGCGGCATGTGAGTGGCGGCTCGTGCTCGCTGACGCCAGCTGCCGCGCGGCCGACAGCCGCTACACCTGTCCCCGATGCAACGTACCGTACTGCTCCCTCGCGTGTTTCCGAGATCCCGTGTGTACACGACTGTTCATCTCTGACGGCAGGCCCACGCTCAGTGCTCGGAGCCGTTTTACCGGGACACAGTCAAGGCTGCGATAGCTGAAGACCCTGGCGCGCAAGCTGAGGAGAGGCGGGCGATGCTCGACATGCTGCGCCGGTTCGAGGAGAGCGCCGCGGAGGGCGAGGATGTCCTTGCGTCCCTGGAGGTGGAGGATGAAGACGAAGATGACCTCGTGGCCGCGCTCGAGGGTGTCGACCTCGGTGAGCTGAGCGTGAGATGCGCTGACGCAGACACTGTTGACTCGAACGAGCTGCTGCGGCGGCTGCCGCAGGCACATCGCAACGCCTTTCTGGAGGCTCTTCGACATCCAGAGGGCGCGGCCGCGCGAGCCCTCCTTGAGTCTGCCGTTGAGGCCGGTGAGGTGGAAGGCAAGGGCGGGGAGGAAGGAGATGAAGAGCGCCAAGCACCCTCCGTCCTGCCATGGTGGGAGGCCGGTCCGGGTGTGGACCAGTGCGCAGCCGAACCACCAGAGATTCCTTCTGATGTGGTGGGAATCATCAGCCCGCTGCCCGGTGTCGGAACCAAGCTCGTCTATAATATCGTTGCACTCTGGTAGGTCCCGCGTGTTCACTGAGCTCACTAATATCAGCATGGCATACGTGCACACTCTCCTGAGCTTCCGGTTGCCAAGTCTTGCACCCGAGTACCTCGAAGGGGAGGTGGAGTCAGTGCGGGCCGAGCTCGCTCGTCTCCTTCCCTTCCTCGCCGAACGGAGCACGGTGCGATACGATAACGCACGCGCCGCTTGGGGTGCAGTATGGGAGGCGATGGGCGAGGGAGAAGTATGCACGCTCGCGTTCCTTCTGGACACGACTGCCACCCTCCTCCATCCCCCGATCACGACGGACCCGCCGCGAGCAGCCCGCGTGCTTGCCGACTGCTGGCGGACGAGCCGGGGTGGCGTTGCACGAAAGCTTGCTTTCTACGCGGCGGCGAGCAGGCAGCTTGGCCGCGGCGAGTGGCTACACATCGAGGCCGAAGTGCGGGCGGAGGCTGCGCGCCTCCGCGCCGAAATGCCTGACGACGAAGAGACACCGACGGCGTCGACTCGATTAGAGTAGTTGACGAGCGTAGCGAGGAATGCAACGGAGTATAGGGGTATTGGGTCCGAGCTTGGCGGTCGAACTGTGTAATGGACGGTGTGCATGAGGGCGGCCATCGGACCCGACGCGGTTGGTTGGTACTAGCGGCTGACACTGGTGGCTGCCCCGGTCCGACGCCCAGGCGCATCCACATGCAATGCGAGCGACAAATTTATTTCAATGTATATGCCCCGTTCCGATCTGCAACCCACAATACTGCACATGAAAGGAGGAACGCAGGTTCACAGCCCTGCTTGCCTTGGGATCGCCTGTCACTGCTCTTGTCAGATAAGATGGTGGCTGATGGCGTCGGCTTACCGGCGTAACTCGGTGGTGCGAAAGCCTTGCGGGTTATCAGATATTCGGAACGCAGGCTCGGGTAGCGGTGAATAGGCGGAATGCTCCCGCTAATACCGGCCGGTAATGCAGTGTAATACCCGCTAATCTCATACAACTTCGGCCGCAGAAAAAAAGACTGTGTTTGCTCCCGCCTCTGGCGGTGACGACCAGCCCATCTCTCCCCGCTGCTCGCTCCGCTCACTAATCAGCCGCGACACCGCGGCACAAAACGGCAGTCCGACAGCCTCTGTAAGTCGTCCAGCACGGCGCGGGCGTAGGCGTGGGCGACGGTGGGGGCGCCCTTTGCAGCGCGAGCGAGCAAGAGCGCCCTCGGCCGACGAGGCGGTCGGACTTGTCGGGCGCTGCGGTTGGAGAGTGAGAGAGGGCGCAGAGAACAATCTTTGCGGTGCTCGTTACTTGCGCTGTTCATCACAGCGCATAGACGATGGCTTTTCGCTCTTCAACACATCCACTTTCTCTTCGCGGACCCGCTCGCCGATCCCGCGACCATTGAATTCCCTCCGTGGTCTGCTGTCCGCGCCTTTTCCTACACCTCTTCCCCTCTCCCTTCCTCTCTTCCCTCTCCCTCTTTCCACTAATGCCTCAGTCCCACCAGCTTCTCGCGCCGATGAGTGACAAGTCTGGGCCATCCGGCCGCCTCCACGTTCAGCCGCACGGCGCGCACTTCGACAAGGTCGGGCATGTGGTTGACGACCTCGAAGACGAACACGACTATGAGGCCCTGCCCCTCGGCTATGGGTGGGGCACCAACATGCTGGCGGGTGCCATGGTGAGTGGCGTGAGGTTCGGTGTGGCGGACTGGCGTGCGTAATTGTCGCCGCCAAGGATGCTGAGCTGAGGCTAACCCGCCGGACAAGCTGACGTCAGGCCGGCATCAGCGAGCATGCGGCCATCTTCCCCGTCGACAGCATCAAGGTGAGTAGCTGGCTGCTCGGCCGCTGCACAGAGCCCGGCAGTTACCCGGATCTCGGCTGACTCCAGACCCGCATGCAGGTGCTGCAGCCGCTCCAGGAGAGCGTGCTGACGGCGCCGGCCGGCAGTAGCGGTGCTGCGGCGGCGCGGGCGCCTGTGACGACGTTTTCGCAGCACTTGCGCAGCGCACGCCTCGGCGAGGGTATCAAGTCGCTTTGGCGCGGCGTCGGGTCCGTTGTGCTTGGCGCAGGTCCTGCTCACGCCGCCCATTTTGGCATGTACGAGTTTGTGCGTGAAATCGCGGGCGGACACGGCGACGGATGGCGGGGCGTCGCGGGGACGGCCGTCGCCGGCGCCAGTGCGACGATCACGAGCGACGCGTTGATGAACCCATTTGACGGTGAGTATGGGACGGGGTCGGGCGGCCTGCGGCGCCGTTGTTCTCACTCCGCTAACCCTAGTGATCAAGCAGCGCATGCAGATCCAGAACTCACCACACCGCCGCGTCCTCGACTGCGCACGCACAGTGTACCGCAACGAAGGCTTGGCCGCCTTCTACGTTTCGTACCCCACAACGCTGACGATGACGGTGCCCTTCACAGCGGTGCAGTTCAGCGCGTACGAGTGGCTCAAGAGCGTGCTAAACCCGTCCGGCGCCTATTCGCCGATCACACACGTCACGGCGGGCGGCATCGCAGGCGGCCTGGCTGCCGCTGTCACCACTCCCCTCGATGTTGCCAAGACGCTCTTACAGACGCGCGGCTCCAGCGACGACCCCCGGATACGCAATGCGCGCGGCATGGGTGAGGCGCTGCGTATCATCGTGGAGCGTGACGGTTGGAATGGTCTGCGCCGCGGCATGCTGCCGCGCGTCTTGACGGTTGCACCGAGCACGGCAATCTCGTGGCTCAGCTACGAGTTCTTCAGTAAGTCTAACACAATCGTAGGAGGAGGCAGAAGCTGACACGAACAGAGGTCCTCATCCGCCGCGGCGGGCACCTGCCAGAGACGGGCGTTGTCGCATAATGTCTTACAGTGCAGAGCACAGGGAGCGAGAGACGGAAGCCCACTCATACGATGCGTAGACAGCAAAACATACACTAGATTATGGATACCCTCCATGTTTACGCTCTGTGGCCTGTTCAGCTCGTACATGTAGGGGGTGGGGGAGGCTGGGCTGCGCTGGGGAGATCGGTCCAGTCGGCGATGAGGGGGGCAGTGGGATGACAGACGGGTGCGATTTTCGAATGGCTGCGTGCCTGACTCATGGTAGCGACTAGGGACGCAGGGACTGCTCGTTCTTATCGAATCCGCAGGGAGCCAAAGGGGCCTGTGCACGATTGGATCGAGTTGCGAGTGGAGGGCGGCTTCCTGACACTGGCTCCGACGACGCCGATAAACTCTCGGCGTCACTCGAGCGCCCAGCCATGCCCGCTGGACCAGCAAGCAATCTATTATCTTCTCAGTCGTCTGCAACCCCTACAATGTCCCCCGTCCCCCGTCCCCCGTCCCCACGGCCCCGCCCCTCCCCGTCAGTGCACCAGCGCATGTCAGTGCCCACCACGGGGCAACTGGAATGCCATCAGCCCGATAGTGGCTCACGGAATTCACAGGCCCAAGCGCCGCCACGCGTAGCGCCGGCGGTCGTATTATCCGATGCATTGTTGGAGCCCCTTTGCCCCCGCCATAGGTCTACTGCTGATATTTTACTGGAGGCGCTTGATGATGGCGTCCGTGTACTCCTTGGTGCCAGCGTTGCCGCCGAGGTCGCGCGTGATGTGCTTGCCCTCGGCGATCGTCGAGAGGGCAGCGTGCTCAATCTTGTCGGCGTAGTCGTTCAGGCGCATGTGACGGAGCATCATCAGAGACGAGAGAAGCAGAGCAGTGGGGTTGGCCATGCCCTTGCCGGCAATGTCTGGCGCGGAACCGTGGACAGCCTCGAAGATGGAAGCGTCGCGGCCAATGTTGCCCGAGGGCGTCAGACCGAGACCGCCAATGAGGCCGGCAGAGAGGTCAGAGAGAATGTCACCGTACAGGTTAGGCATCACCATGACGCGGTCGGCGAAGGGCGCGGGGTTCTGGGTGATTCTAAGGCAGATGCGGTCGAGGATGTCCTCGTCGTACTCGACGCTTGGGAACTCCTTGGCAACGGCACGGCAGGCAGTGAGGAACATGCCGTCCGACATCTTCATAATGTTAGCCTTGTGGACGGCGGTGACCTTGTTGCGGCCGGACGACTGGGCGTAGTGGAAGGCGTAGCGCGCAACACGCTCAGATGCCTCGTAGGTAATAAGCTTGATCGACTGAACGACACCGGGGACGATCACGTGCTCGATGCCGGAGTACTCGCCCTCGGTGTTCTCACGGATGAGAACGGTGTTGACATCGTCGTACGCCGTCTTGTAACCCTTAATGGACACACAAGGACGGACGTTGGCGAAGAGGGAGAAGGTGCGGCGGAGGGTGAGGTTGAGCGAGACGTGGCCCTTGCCGACTGGAGGTTAGTGCTAGAACGAGTGGGACGCAGGAGGCGGAGGGAGGCTTAGCGCGCTCATGGCTGGTGTTCCACAGGTCCGCGGGTCCCTCCCCTGTCCTCCCTTATGCACTCACCGGGAGTCGCAAGGGGGCCCTTGAGCGCGACAGTGTTCTTCTTGATGCTGCGGATAGCCTCCTCGGGAATTGAAGTCTTGCCGTCCTTGAGGATAGGAGTCACATCGGCCTCCTCCCAGACGATGGGGACCTAAATGTCAGCTGCGGTGCACAGAAGCCGTAGCTTACCTTGGCAGCCGAGTAGATCGCGCGCACGCTGTCGGCGATCTCGGGACCGATACCTGGTGTTAGAAACGTCGCTTGCGCCTTGCGCGTGTGCGTGTAATCGCGTCGCAGAGATCAGATAGACGCACCATCGCCGGGGATGAGGGTGACGGTGTAGTTGCCCTGGGTGTTAGCAATGTCAGCCGCTAGGTGCCAATGCAAACTTGGCGCAGCTCGCGCGGAACTCACGTTGGCGTCCTTCTGCTGGGCGTAGGCGGCGGTGACCTGGCCGGCGTCCTTGGCGTAGCCACGAACGGCCTGGGGGTTAGTGTGGGATCAATAATACGATGCGATGTGCTGTGCCGAGAATGGAGAGTCGAGGAGATGGGTGCAAAGCGCGGAAGGGGCAGAGCGTACCTGGGCGTTGCGGAAGGTGGCAGCGATGGCGCGCTGAGAGCGGAACATGGTGAGGAGGGGGGCAGGGGCGGTTGAGGGCGGAGGAGGGAGTGGGGGAGGAGAGGAGGGAGACGAGTAAGAAAGATGAGATGAGATGGAGAGAGAGATGGAGTTGATGGAATGAAGAACTGCGATGGACGCGAGCGCGAAACGGAGGGAGGAAGGAAGGTCAAGCAGCGTGTGACGTCTCCTCACTCGCGGCCCTGCACACGCTGGGGCTGAGGGTTCATGCTGGACCCTGATTCGTCTCCCATCGGCCGTTTACGACCGTTGTTTATTCCATCCCCCTCCTAAAACAAATGGCCGTCATCGGCCAATCGGCCTCGAATCTCTCTTAAACCCTTGGCATTGCCGCAATCTCAAGTTGCAGGCCTCCAGCTTGCCTCAGCCTGAGCAGTGTCCTTCTGAGGCCAGTTTTATCTTCAGTTTGGTGTACACAAGAACCACGCTCGGTCTTCCCAAGGAGCCCATGCAATAGCCCGCCACAATCGTCAACTGTCGGCCTGCCGCTTTATAACTGTCCTCGCCACATCTGCACCCGACCTGTGCCACTGCCGCGTGCCTGATTTGCGTCTGTCAGGGTGATCCAGGGCGACGAGCGCCTGCGTGCGGCAATGGCATTTCTCCCCCCGACTTGGCCGACCAAAATACCAAATACATCCTGCTTGTGACTCACAAAATTCGAACTCGTCTCCTCTCCTGCCCCTGAGAACCACGCGCGTCCAGCTCCCAGCTTGCGGGTTCCAGGACATGCACTGCGAATATATTTCAAGAGGAAATGAGAGGAGATGCATGCTGGTCGTCTAGTGGCTAGTGGCTAGTGGCTGGTGGCTGGTGGCAGGCTGGTGTAGTGGTACAGATCTACATATACGGTATACGAGTGGGGGGACTGGGTTGGCTTTTAGTTGCCGAGCTGCTTCTTGCGGAACGCCTCGGTCATGTCGCGCTGAACATTCGGCATGACAGGCGCGTACTTGACCCACTCCATCGTAAATTCGCCCTTGCCCTGGGTAATGCCGCGCAGGCTTGACGAGTACCCGAACATGTCGTTGAGCGCAACCTCAGCCTGCAGCGTAAACTCGTCGTCACGGATCTCGCTGTCCAAGATATTGCCCTTGCGCTGGTTGATGCCGCCGATGACAGCGCCCTGGAACTCGACGGGCGCAATAATCTCCACATTCATAATCGGCTCCAGCACGACTGGCCCCGCCTTGTGGAACGCCTCCTTGAACGCGCCAATTGCCGCCAGGCGGAACGCCAGTTCGCTCGAGTCGACGGCGTGGTGCTGACCGTCCTCGAGGACGAAGCGGACGCCGTTGATCACGTGGCCCGTAAGCAGGCCGCGGTCCAGCGCCTCCTGGAAACCCTTCTCGATGGCCGGGATGAAGCCCGTCGGGATGTTGCCGCCGATGATGCGGTTCACAAACTCCGTGTCCTTGCCCGTATCCGCGTCGTGCTCCATCGGCTCAATGTAGCCCTTGACACGACCGAACTGGCCCGAACCACCTGTCTGCTTCTTGTGCGTGTACTCGAACTTGGCTGGCTGCGTAATCGTCTCGCGGAACGCAACGCGCGGCTTGCCCGTAACGCACGACACGTTGTACTCGCGCTTCATGCGCTCCACATAGATGTCGAGGTGCAGCTCGCCCATGCCGCTAATAATCGTCTCCTGCGACTCCGGGTCGAGGTGCACGCGGAATGTCGGGTCCTCCTTCTGGAAGCGGTTGAGCGCGCGCGAAAAGTTGGGCGTCTCTTGGCCTTCGGGGCGGAGCGAGAGCGAAATGACAGGCTCGGGCACGAACATGGACGTCATCGACAACGACGAGTTGCCGTCCGTGAAAGTGTCGCCCGACGAGCATTCAACACCGAACATGGCGCAGATTTCCCCCGCCTTGATCGAGTCGACATCCTCCATCTCGTCGGCGTGCATGCGCACCAGGCGCGGGACCTTAACCTTCTTGCCAGTGCGAGCGTTGAAAATGAGCCCGCCCTTGCGAAGCTCGCCTTGGTAAACGCGGACGTAGGTAAGCTGACCGTAGCGGCCCTCCTCGAGCTTGAATGCGAGGCCGACAAACGGCGCGTCCTCCGCACCGGAAAGGGGCACGGTCGGGGCCTCAGCGGGGAGCTCGGTGTCGATGGCGTTGGCAGCCACCTCCGAAGGGTCGGGGAGGTAGGCAGTGACGCCGTCAAGCATGGCCTGGACACCTGTGTTCTTGATGGCCGAGCCCATGAACACCGGAGTGAACTTGAGGTTGACGGTGGCGCGGCGGATCGCCTGCGTGATGTCGAGGTTGGTGATGGGCTCCTCCATCAGGAATTTGTCCGAGATCTCCTCGTCCGCCTCCGCAATGTGCTCGATGAGCTCCTGGCGCTTGGCTTCAGCGAGCTCTTTAAGCTCTTCAGGAACAGGCTCCTCGACCACCTCGTTACCCTTGACGCCGCGGAAACGGAGCGCCTTCATGCGGATAATGTCAACGACGCCATCAAGAGCGTCCTCCGACCCAATGGGAATCTGGACGGCCGCAGCGTTCATTCTAAGCTTGTTGCGGAGCTGGTCGATAACACGCCAAGGGTTAGCGCCAGCGCGGTCCATCTTGTTGATGAAGCACACGCGGGGAACGTTGTAGCGCTTCATCTGGCGGTCGACGGTGATGGTCTGGGACTGCACGCCCGAAACCGAGCAGAGGACGAGAACTGCACCGTCGAGCACACGGAGCGCACGCTCGACCTCGATGGTGAAGTCGACGTGACCGGGCGTGTCGATGATGTTCAGTGCAAACTTCTCCTTCTCAGGCTCGTTGGCACCAGGCTGCTTGTCCTCGGGCCACTCGTTGGGCGGCGGGAGCGACACCCAGTCGGCGAAGGTCGCGGCGGACTGGATCGTGATACCCTTCTCACGCTCGAGGTCCATAGAGTCCATTTTGGCGCCGACGCCGTCACGGCCACGAACCTCGTGGACGTCGCGCACACGGCCGGTATAGTAGAGGACACGCTCAGTGAGAGTGGTCTTGCCGGAGTCAATGTGCGCAGAGCTTGTATCAGCATACGATTCAAGGCGACTTCAGAGTGGCTCCTCTCCTCCTTGACCCCCCAGCTCCCCCCCTCCCCTCTGCGGCTGATCACAATCACACTCACATTCCGATGTTGCGCTGGCGCGTGAGGCGCTTCACGTCCTTCTCGGTAAGGGGCGGCGCCTCGCGCACAGGCCATTCCGGAGCAGCCTCCTCGGCCTCCGCGACTGCCGCAGCGGAGCTTGCGAAGCGCAGTTGCGCAGGCTGAAGGCGGACAACCGAGACAGCAGCGGGGCGAGCGAGAGCAGGGCGGGAGAGTGCAGACAGGGACCGAAGCTGGAGCGGCGCGCGGCGGACCGCGGCGAGGCGCGAGCGCACTAGGACGCGCGAAACGGCGGACATGGTGCCGGTTTTAGAGTAGAGAAATGAGACGACGTCGGTTGGCTGCTAACAGATGGCATCTCATCGCGTCGAGCCGCGGATAGACTTTTTACTTCCGCCCCCTCTCAATCTCGGACAAAAGGATTCGGCGGGTCGGATGTGTTCGGACATCACACGTGGTGAGAGATATAACAGCGTTCGAATCTTTGCCAGCGCCGCAAAAGCGTCGATCAGCGGGTGATGACGTCGACGTTGAAATATATGCTTCAAGCGAGCATCTCCTCCTCACATCGCTCCATTCAACATGGAACTCAAGATCCTCACATTCAACTTCTGGTGAGCCCGGGGCCGCTTGCGCTTACATCAGGGGTTTGGCCTTCATCTCCAAAGACCGGGCGCCGCGCCTGGCCGCCCTCGGAGCCACCCTGGCACGCGGGGAATACGACATCGTCTGCCTCCAAGAGCTGTGGATCCACGCCGAGTATGAGAGCCTCCGCCACGATATCCAGGCCGCGTACCCGTACTCGCGCTTCTTTCACACGTGAGTGGGCGTGAGAGCCGGCTGACAGCAGGGGCGCTTTGGGCTCTGGACTTGCGATCTTCTCGCAGCATCCGATCACAGAGTCGCATGCGCTGCCGTATTCGCTTTCCGGTGTGCCGCACCAGGTGATACAGGGTGATTTCTACGTTAACAAGGCCGCGGCGCGCGTGACGGTGCGACATGCGCGGCTTGGCGAGATCGAAGTGTGGAACACCCACATGCACGCCGCCGGCGAGGATGGGCCGGATACGGCGCAGGCCCACCGCATGGCACAGGCATGGCAGCTAGCGACAGAAGTACGGCGGGGCGCTAGAGGAGGGCGATACGTTTTCGCGGTGAGTACGCCGCACTCGGCGGCTCGAATAGCTAACCCCAGATGGGCGACTTCAACTCGCAGCCCTGGTCGATCCCCATCGCCCTGCTGCGCGGATATGGCGGACTGCGCGACAGCTTCGTTGAGGCGCACCCGCAGGCGAACGATCCGCTACCGAATATCTCGGCGACACAGGCACTCGAGAACGTCGGCATGACCTGCGACTCGCCGCTCAACACTTGGAGCCAGGGCAAGCCAATTCCGCCAAACGTGACCTCTGCAGGCGGCAAGCGGCTTGACTACATCTTCTATACGCCGCCGCTTATCCAAGGCCACGCGCAGCGAGGCCTGCGATGCTCTGCATCCAAAGTGGTTTTGACGGAACACATCCCCGGGCGGGAAATGAGCTACTCGGACCACTTTGGGCTGGCGTCGACATTCATGCTCTCCGACGAGCCAAATCCCAGACCAGCCTCGCAAGCGCCCCTTCTCCTCGACTCGGCGAGCGAAAGCTCATTCGTGGCCCCTACAGCGGGCGGGAGTGTGTACGAGCTGCAGCGCGCGGACAGCGGGAGCGATGGCGCGATCCGTGCCGCGATCACGGCACTCCATGCGTACGGCCAGCTCGCAAGGGCACGCACGCTACGCTTTAGTGCCCTCGTGCTCACATGCATCGTGGCGGCCGTAGGGCTAACGGTTGGCAGCGCTTGGCAGCCCAAGGCGTGGATACAGCCGATTTTTACGCTTCTCGCATTCGCACTTGGCGCATTTGGAGCTACGATGCTGTATGCTGGCTGGTTGTGGGGGCGCTGGGAGAAGGGGCTGCTCGACGAGGTCACGAGTGAGATGGAGGAGGCACTACGTGCTAACGAGGAGGCGCGGTAGACACATAATGCGGTATGTATAGTAACAGTCCGACTTAGTGAGTGACTGAGAATGGCGCAAATCAAGGCGAGCCGCATCATACTAAGAATTCACAGCCGGAACTCCGTCCCTTCAACTGAAAGGCACTTCAAGTTCATTCTATATCAAGGCTTCTCTTGACTTCTACAAAGCTCACGCCGCCGTGAGGACGTGGTCCTGCTCCTGGGCAGTCCGGCCGCCGCCGACCGGCGAACCGGTCGTATCGTTCCACATGCGCACGGGAGTGGTCTCAAACTGGCCGGCGCGCACGGCGAGCGCGAGGCCTGAGTACCGGTTGATGAGGCGGAACCTGTTCACACCAGGTAGCTTGATAATCCACCATTGGCGGCCGACGCTCTTGTCCGTCCCCCAGCCCGGCTTGGTGCCCCATGCACGGGTGGCCTTTGTGCTCGCGTCGACCCCCAGCACTCCTCCGCTCCCAGTCAGAGTGTACGCCCCGTCGCCCGTGGGTTCGATGCGGAAGGGGCCCAAGCCCGCGATGCTGTAGCTGCCGGTTGCGATGACGGAGAAGGCCGGGCCGTTGATTGAGAGGTTAACGTATTCGGCACTCGCCCCGTTCGAGCACCCGAACGAGCAGTAAGCACGCAGGTCGCGGCCCACAATCGATCCTTGCGTCCGGCTCACAGGGTCCAGGAACCAGCGGTACCACGACGCAGTCTTGTACGACCCCGTGTTGCCGAGGAGGCGCCACTTCTGCGTGGCCAGGTCGGTCGTGTAGTAGATCTCTTGGGGCGCGTTGCCGCTCTGGTCAACGGCCTGCGGCTCGCCGATGTACACGCCGAGGTGGGCCGAGTAGGACACGTCCATGACGAAGAGTGGCGATGTGGGCGGACACGTGCCGGCTGCGACCTGGTCAGCGGCACGGCCAGGAGTGATGGGCTTGTACTCCTTCTCGGGAGGCGTGTAGCCCGTCTCGGTCAGGCTGGTGACCGGGACGAGGTTGCTTTCCCGGCCGCCGAGGCCCGGCTCGGTCCACGTCCCAGCGTAGTATTTGCGCCATGTACCAGGCGCCATCTTGCCCCACATGGGCGCGCGCGCCACGTGCTCGTGGAACGCGACCCAGCTCCCGCCCTTGTTGACAATGCGGCTGCCATACCACACATAGAAGTATCCGCTTGCGGGGTCGGCAAGGATACGTGGGTCACCCACGCCGTAGTGGTATGTTTGTTGCGGGAAGGCGGCCGTGTCATTGCGCAGCGTCGAGTAAGGCGACGTTATAACCTGTGCCTTGATGTTCCATGTCTTGCCCTGGTCCGTGCTGACCGCGTAGTCGATAGCATCGTAGTGCAGCCCGTCTGCGAACGGCTGCGGCGTAAACTCGTTATGCACCAAACCGTACCAGTCGCCAGTATCGGGATCGACCCACATCGCTTGAGTCAGCCACCCTTTCGGGATACCAGCTCACCAGTAAGGTCGCAGTAGTTGGCCTGCGCGTAGGACGCGCTGCCCACGGCGGGCGTCGACTTCTTGCCTGTTGGTGAGTTGTTGCACCGCCACGTCGTGTCGGCGTTCGAATCGCGTGCATCGGCGGGATTGACAGAGTTGCTCAGCGGCGACTTCGTGGCATCGTCAATGTGTGTGCCTGCGTAAAAGTTCCACTTGCGCTCCTGCGTCGCCCCGTATAAGGCGTGCGCTTGTTGGAAGTAATACGACCCATCCTTGTCGATGTACGAGGCGGCGGGGGTGTCATCGGGCGTCTTCCAGTTCGAGCTGACAGCGCCAACCGTGATGGTATATGGCGACGTTGGGGCGGCGCGGGCGAGTCCCGCAGCAAGGGCGAGGAGCGCGGCGGTCTTCATCTTGCTTGGGGAGGAGCGGGGACGTAGAGGAAAGGCGCGTCAATTTATGGAGCGCCCCGCGTCGCGCGGCTGGTGCCCCATGGGTCCTCTCCGGCTCATCCGAGGACTGCGCCGTGGTTGCCGATGCGTCAGTACGTTGATAACTGTCAGATTCCCGTTCGATGCACGTGCTGCAAGCTAACCGTGGACAACATTCCCGTTCACGCAACGGCAGATTCCCGTTCGTGAAAGAGTTCGTTGCAACATGTCGCGTTTGGCGCTAATCTAAGTGGATTTAGCGTCCTCGATCGCGGCGACTTCGCCGACAATCGACACGAAATCGCGTTAGCGTGTCAGGAAAGGTAGGACTCCACTGATGACCGAGGTGTAGCACGTTGAACGAGACGGCACACACGCGGTGACAGAACACGGAGAGGGCCGCCTGACACCTCGGCCAACCCAAGAAAGGCGATACCCCACAGAACAAACAGAACGAACGCAAATCAGATCCATGCTAGAGACAAACAGGGATGCATGGGGACTTCTGCGGTTATCGGACCTTTACAGCCTCATAAACGACCCGCCCATAATCGACATATCGACATCAAAATGACAGCATGTGGAGAGACATCCTTGCACTTGATGGGCCAATTGACAAAATATTTGGCTGAGGAACCGAATCCTCGTCTGACGAGAGTGGGATTCGAACCCACGTCCGAAGACTGCGGATGCTCGTGTGAACACCTTAACACAGCGCCTTAGACCGCTCGGCCATCTCGCCTGTGAAATTGTAGTGGCCTCGTTTGCTTATGAAGAATCCAAGTGGAAGGTACTCCGCACCGCCTGATCAGCATACCATTGAAGTGTTTCAACGGACCACACACCATCCGACAGGCTGAAAAGGAGTGATCGATTGTGTCACCTCTGATGTTGAGATATGCCATCCAACTCCGAGGCGGGATGTGTCTTACCAATCCCGTCGCCCTGGGCGGGTATTCCCCACCTTTCGGGCGCCCCCGCATAGTGTCATTGGCCGAGAATCTTTCTGCAGCAATCGTGTTTTATTAAGGATGATGGTTGCGGATAACACTGCGGGAGACTGTGCCCGTGTGCCAGATGTGCCGAAGGTTGGCGTCGCAAAGGGAAGCACTTTTGAGGTACAAACCATAACAAGCTTTTACCTGCGTACACTGTGCGCCATATCCTCAACAGCGTCTACGCACGAATGATCAATGCAGGTGCACCTTCAAGGCGCATTGACACAGGTCAAGTGCACACCTCAAGGCGAGCTCTGCAGTCCATGCTCAGATCAGAGGTGGAGGACTGGGTGACGGGCTATTCGCAATAAGGTTACCGCGGCTGTATGGTACGGCATTGGTGTTCCAAGCCCAGATACAGACAACGCTTGACCCTCCCCACAACCTTGGCTCAACTCTATCACCCGAGATCTGCCTCGTACCTCACCCCACTCACCGAAAAAAACGCGTTCGCGTCCATCTCGTCTTCAGTCCGTTCTCCTCGCCATCAAGCAGCGATGCTGGCCCTCCTTCTCCTCCCCGTCGTGGCAGGGGACATCTCCCCGCTGTTTGGAGGCCTCTTCGGGCCGTCTCCCCCCCTCATTCCTTTCAACACGACCCTCGCCGCCGCTGATGGAAACCTCTACCGCAATAACGACGAGTGGTCGTGCCGCGTTCTCGACACAAAGCCATTGTCGGCAGGCGGAGGCTGGAAAGGCCCCACCTGCTCGGCCGTTGGCCCTTCCGGGTTCTCGACGCTCATATGGTCAGGGGGCAACGCCTCGCTCTTTGGATACTCGGCAGGTGTTCTGTCTTTCATTAACAGCACAGACGAATTGCAGGAGACCTACGCCTCCGTGCCTGCGTCGCCGGATACGAACACTGTGTTCGAGCTCGGCATACTGCCCGTGCCCGGCAACGGGTTCTGGCAGGTGCAGGTCCGCGGCCCAATCGAATTCGGTCTTACGGGTGTGCACATTCGCACGGCACTCAATTCTGACGCGTGCGCATCAAATCCGCTTTAAGCTGACAACAGGCCGGACTTTAAGTCTGTCGGGCGTCGGACGGAGCCTGCAATAGTCAATGGCACTTTGTCGCCCTTCTATTCCACCACTCGCGAGTGGGCCGTCTATACCAGTGCGTTGCGTGCCGACTCAATGGTGACTGATGCAGACTATACCAACTTCCCCACGCTGAAGAGCCCTGGCGCCATTGTTCGCCAGCCTATGGTTGGCCGGGATGGCACCGTAGAGCGTGAGGTCACCACTCCCGACACGTTCAGCAACCTCACCTTTGGCATTCCCACCAACACCTCCTACCTCGCCCTCGCCGGGCTGAGCGACGGGCAGATGAGCGCCGCGACCCTCTTCCTCTCATTCGGTAACACTGTGCGAGAGCTGCCCCTCCGCTACGGAAGCGTGTACCGGGCACCACTATCGATGATCCAGTTGGCCCTCAATCCAAACTTGCAATACGCGGCAGTGCTAGCGCCCGAAAACAACACCCGTCCTGTGGCGTTTCACTCAGCTACGTTCTACTCCTCCCTCTGGTCAGCAGCATTAGCACCCCAATGACTGACACTAGGCCTGTTCCTGACGGTTATTCAAGTGGCGGTAACACGGCAATCTCCTACCTCGACTACATCGCCGGCGACCCAGTGCCAAGCCCTATCGACCCAAGTTTCGTTGCGAGTCCCCAACCAGGTCCTGCGGGCAACGGAGTAAGCGGGGGGGTCAATGAAACGACGTCTGACACGGCCGGGGTGCCAGAGGTCAGCGAAAGGAAGAAAAGTCACACGAGCGCCATTATCGGCGGAGCAGTAAGCAACTGACCTCTGGCGCGTTGACAAAAGGTTGGCGGCGGTGTCGGGGCCCTCATAGTTGCACTCATCGCGTTCCTTCTCTTCCGCCGCAAGCGCAAGCAGCGGTCGCGGGAAAACCGTCGAAGCTTCATCATAGAGGAGACGGATCCTGGCCTTACGCCTTTCAAGGAGTCCTCGGGCCCCATTGCCAAGTCGCCTGTCTTGCCAACGCAGCCCAAGTCAAACATTGTGAAAGCGCCCTTATCGGCAGAGCCCATGAGCGCCGGGCCGTCCGCCCCTCAATCCTTGTCGCACGGGCGTGCGATGGACGGCGACGACGATGTCCAGCGCCTGCCACCTATGTACAACCCCGCCTGGAACGTGGCGCACACCTCCGGTGAAACCTCCACAGACAGCCCGCCGGCCACCGCAACCCCAACTACCCCTCTCGAGCACAAGGATGTGATCACGAGCGGGCGGTTCAAGGAGTTGTGATGCAGGACCCTGTAGGACATCTTCCCCAGCCTTGACAGCCGCGCTTCAGGCTCAGTATCAGCTTTAAACATAGTCCTCTATCCGTGACCGCCTTTCACGTGGAACCGCCGCACTGGCATGAGTTAGTTAGATGCATCTATGCCTTTGCGAAGACTTTCCATCTTGGGCAAATGTTGCGCCTCTGTTGACTTTGGAAGAGGGGAGAGGATAGAGAGGCTCCGAAAACATCTAAGAAGCAGTTACGTTTATGAGGTGATGGCAGTGCTCCCAACTTGATCTGCAAGAGCGAAGAAGGCCAGACGACAGCGATTGTCATTCATTGGCTGCCACGCTGCCCCAACGTTCCATTGTACCGTAGATGAAGTATAATCAGCATGTAGGACTGCATATGCTCCCGGGTAATCGACAGCTTCATGAGAGGACTCGACCTTGAGGCGAGGGCGAGACTGCAGCACGGACAACCGTTGGACTCAACAATCATAAGCTGGACCTGACCTTTCATGTAGTGGGGAGGAAGGGGCAACCCCAACAACCGCTTCATGCTCGTATGCAGCGCACGCAATCCGGTGACGTGACGAGGTCTCTGCTTCCACCTCTCGCTTATTAGTGTGCTGTATTACTACGGCACTGCGTTGGACAGCTACGCACATTTCGACCGTTTTGTTGTGGCGTACAGAAACGGCAGGTCGACCAAGAGTGGGGCAGGACTCGTGGAAAAGTATATTACGGTATTTAACCCTCTAAGCTGATTATGAAACGGCATGTACTGCCCCGGAGACTGACATAGGCACTCCATACAGGCACATATCGGTCGGTATCGTGTGAACGCATCGCGCCATCGTCCATCACCAAGATTCCATATGTCTTGTGTAGCACCTATTTAAAGCTGCACATCTCGTCCCCTAACCTCACACTAACCATGCCTCTTCCCCGTGTACTTCTGGACATCGCGCGGAACCCGTGGCTCTCCGGTATCCCCTCCTCCCTCCCTCGCTGACAGCAGTGGGCGGCGCAGTTGTGCTCGGCGCGGCCGTGGCCAAGGTCAGCAACAACCAGCGCGCGCACGAGTACTACGCGTCGCTGGCCAAACCCACCGGCAATCCGCCGACATGGGCGCTGGGGCCGATCTGGGGTACGTTGTACGGCATGCTAGGTTACGCGGCGCACATTCTGGCGCGACTTGCGGACACCTCGTCCTTCCAGGAGATCGCGGGGCGGGCGTTGCGGCTGCACTACGTCCAGCTCGCTCTTAATTTAGTCTACATGCCTATCTTCTTCCAAATCCAGAGCCGCGGCTTTGCCCTCGTGGACATACTCGCCGTCACAGGTTTGACCTGGAAGCTTGTTAATGAGGCGCGCACCCTCCCCGGGCCCACATTCGTGCTCCTCATCCCGTATGCTTTCTGGATGTTGTACTGTGAGTCTCGTTTGGAGAAGATTCTGACAGTAGCGACATATCTCAACGTGGGACTCATCTACCTAAATTCCAAGGTGAGAAGGCACTCATGGTCGAGCTGATGGCGGACGCTGGAAGGCCAGTAGATGCGCATGATGCACATGTTTGCCGGGCTGCTTGCTGGAAAGTGAGGCGTCAGCCAACCACTTGGGTTGGGCGATGTCTAGCGTCAGTTGGCCCTCAACGACTATACTTACAGTCGCTTGTTGCGTAGCAGTGGTCCTAAACGGCAAACGGCGAGGTGCCGTATCAGCCACGCAGCCATGCCGCTACCGGGGACTGCAGTGATCTCGACCCTCAGTAGTGAGAACGAACCTATCAAACAAACTTGTTCCCGCTTTACGCTCCCACTTGTCCCGCCTTCCACACTCATCGCGGCCTCCTCAGACTGTTTGTGTGCATGCATTGTCGACAAGGCCGCCACCTTGGTGAACTTCTATGGCCGAAACGGGTTATGCCCACTGCGTATTTACCCGCGACCTCCGATGATCTCATCTTTGCACCCTGGGCAGCGCGTCCATGACGTCACCGTTGCGCGCCTCCCGACTCCATTTAAAGCGCCGCCCATTGTCGACTGTCCACGTTTCCCACATCACCATCATGTCTGCACTCCCAAGCTTCCTTGTCGACATCGCCCGCATTCCAGCCGTAGCCGGTGAGTATAGCTTCCTTGCGACTCCGTCCACGGAGCAGCCGCAGAATTGAGGGCCGATCGATGTGTGGAACAAGCTATTTCACGTCGGAGCGAACGTGCACCGTTGGAAGGGCTTCGACGGGCGACTGAAGCTGACTTGCAGTCGGCCTCCCCATTGCCATCGGCGGGCTGGTTGGATACAACGTTAACACCAAGAATGCTTGGTACGCTGTAAGTCCAGACGGGGTTCGGATATGGTCGACCAGTCGGCGTAGAACGGCGCCGGGGTCCAGGGGATGCTCCATGTTGGACCCTCCGCAGCAGCCTTCACGTCGGGCAATCCTCGCCGACTCCGGCGACTCGCACATCTCTCTTGTCCGACAATTGGCGCTCGCGCCGCATAGAGCGCCGGGTTCGCAACCGAACCCCACCGCGTCGGCCATTCCTTTCCGACGTTCGCCGTCAGCATGACTAATGCTAGTCCCTCAAGCAGCCCCCCGCCAACCCTCCTGACTGGGCGTTCGGACCTGTGTGGACGATCCTGTACGGCATGATGGGTTACGCGTCGCACCTTGTCGCTGAGGTCGCGGTCAAGAACATTGACCCTGCGACGCGTGACACAGCATTGGGCGCTCTGGGGCTGTATTACGCCCAGCTGGCGCTGAACTTCGCCTGGATGCCCCTCTTCTTCAGCGGTGAGCTAGAAACAACGTTCCCAACTCTCGACCTCAACTAATTTCAGCTAAGCGCCCGATCGTTGCGCTCGCCGACATCGGTGTCCTCACCGCGACCGTGTTCGCAATGACCGACATCATGAATGTGCTCCCCACGCGTGTCCCCACCTTCTACCTTCTCGCCCCCTACTGCGGGTGGCTCTGCTACGGTAAGTGTTCAACGCTGCTGGGCGGTGTTTGCATCAAGTGGCGTCAGATGCTGATTCCAGCCACTTACCTGAACGGTGGCATTGCTTACCTCAACTGGAACGCGAAGGGCGAGCGCAAGCTCTAAGCATGCATGAAGTGCCTTTGAGGCTGAGTCCGCTGCACCTTGTGACTGCCGCATCTGTTCTTTATGCATGCTTGTGGACTGCGCGACTTCTCAAGCCGGCGCTGGAGAACGTGACTTTCGTGGGGGAGGGCACACCACGTCTCTGTACATGTCGTATACCAGCTTCCCCGGTTATCATCTGGTGCCTGAGCATGTTCATGAAGGCAACGACCCTGTTCTTGGGGAGTCGGGATAGTCGATACGTAGCTGGTCGCACCCTCGGGCTGATTCACTCGGGGCGTGGAGGGACGGGATGAGCTGGGGAGAGCTCTGATGACGGCTGGCACGAAGCTGCCCGACACATCGGGACTAGTTGTCAACGGCAGTCTAGAAAATGAGCCCACTCGGCCAGCTGCAGAATTACCGGAGCAAGGTTGCTTGAGATATGCGTTACACGACTTCTATAACTAGGCTCGATAGCACCTCAACTTCGCTGACACGTGGAAGCAGATGGAGTTCCTATATGTTCATGTCAAGTCTTGTGCCCCCTCATTCGGCGGGCAACGATTGCAAACTGCAGCGCGCGCCGAGTTTACGAGGTGTACCTCAGCAACGCGCCGGCTTTCAACGACGCCGTCGTGTGGCTCGGCGACGAGCAGCGTCAGGCCCGCGCTCGTGGCAAGGCTGTCGCGCCCGCCCCCAAACCGGACGTCAAGAGCCGCCTGCGCGCTAACCTGCGCGCTCACGAGGGCGCCTCGCGTGGGGAGGACGAGGACGAGGAGGAGGAGAGAGAGGAAGAGGAGGGCTCAAGTCGAGTGACCTTGACTCGAAGCCATGCCCGGGTTGCGTGCACTGTCCACACATCCCGCATCGCCCAAGAAGATCAGCGTGGGCACCAGTGGGTGCGAGTGGGTGGCGGAGTGGCCGGGGGGAGGAGCAGTACGGCGTACGGCGTGAAGATGTGGAGGTCGCGGGGCGTGGGGAAAGGCTGCGTCGATCCGTCCTATCCCGAGCTTATAGAGCGCACTCAAAATATGCGCAGTGGTTGTCAGCGGGTGTAAGGGCCCGTCGTGCAGGGCTGACAGAACCTTGTGTCAGGCCCTGCGCAATGCGGAAAGGCGGAGGCTAGGGAGTGGTGATGTAAGGGCCCGTCGTACGGGTTGACAGGACCGACGAGGTACGAAGTCTGAACAGGAAGCGGAGGCGGAGTCAGGGGGAGAACGCACAGGGGCTGACCGATACTGGTGTTCGGACAACCCACGGAAGAACAGTGGAATCACAAGGATAACAGAATCAATCACAAGGATAACAGAATCGACACGGGTGACCGGCCGGGCTACAAGTCTTATATAGGCAACTATAGACGGGGACCCAATCTGTTGGCCAAGTGTCGGGCGAGTAGGTCGCCCGACGGCTGCCACAAGGTCGAGGAGTCGACCGAGGCGGCCAGCCAGTTGGTCGACCGAACGAGGTGGACCGCATGTCCGACAAGGGTCGACGTAGGTCAGCCCGACTTCCGAGCGGGGTGGTCAGACGAGTATCGGTCAAGCGAGAGAGTGGAGGTAGCGGAGGTACGGGTGATCTCCATCTGTGCGGTAATGGACATACAGGGATCTCCCCGAAGGGTCATGGGTCGGTAGACCGGGCCATGACAGGCCTCTCCTTAGAACATGACGGGGGGGTTATATACAATTCGGGCTCTGGCTCGGGCTCATCACCACCCTCGCCCAATCCAACCCGCATTTCTCGCGTGAGAGCTCGAAGGCGCTCAAGTGTCGCCGAGTCATGCGGGAAGAAGTGCCCAGGCCCATGTCGCTTCCTCCTCGGCGGTGCGAGAGGATTGGCACCTCTCACAATGTTGTCGGCCAACTCACGCCATGACGTAGCGGCGCGAACGCCATCCCCCACCATCACGGAACGTACATTCTTCCGCCACCCAACATTGTAGACATTGATGGAGCGAGCCTCGTCGCGCAGCTTGTTCCGTTCATTCCGCGTCAGGATGTGGTCAGGCCGCCAGGCGCCGGGTGTGCGATGTCTGGAGCCACGTTCGCCGAGGGCTTCAAGGCGCGCGCGCGTGTCGGGGTCGAGTAGGGCAGCGGGAGGGAGTCGGTTCATGTCCTCCAATGTGGTCCGATTATTCCTGCTGTCAGCAACCAGGCTTAAAGTAAAGAGGTCACACTCACAGCACCAAGTACCAGTGATACCCGGCCAGCCCGCCCACCGCCAGTCCAAATGCCACGCCCATGATCGCAATCAATAGCAGTGCGACCGGCTTGAATGCCACGTGTATTTCCTCCCACTCGTCCCATTGCTGAGCGGCGTCTGGCCCAGGCGTGAAGTCAGGCGGTGGGTCATTGAAGAACCGGAAAGTCTCATGGGCCGCCTCCAGCCCACCATACAGTGCCAAGAGGCAGGTGTAGGTTGTGAAGAGGACGAAGGACTTCTCTGGGCGTAAGCGGGGTCGGATGAGCTGAGAAGCGCTGCCCAAGCCAACAGAACTTGTCCTTGCGTCTTAACAGCAGCACACTCACGGTTGTGGTAGCCAACACAATTGTCAAGCCAGGGGCAGTGGTGGTCCACTAAATGTTAGCGGGTAGATCTCGAAATGACAAGCAAGCATCAATGACGTTTAGGAGCCGACAGCGCATGCGGCAAAGCAATCGCCTAACTGCTACACTGAGGCCCTCGTCGCCCCAACCCACTCGCCCAGCTCCCACCCCCCCCCCCATGCACTCCATTTCCATCGCACATATGCGTGCCCAGGGGCGCAGGGGCGGGCGCCATGGCCTATGCAACGTCCCTCGGTGTGGCGTAGCGCACGTCTCCTCTCCATTTCCCCAGCTTTCCCTCCCTTCTCGCCGGCTTCGGCCTGCCCAGCAGGCGGCAGGCTCGGCCCCCAACCCGGATCCACCTTCCTCGCCCGCTTCCCACATCATGTCTCACTGCGCCCCTCAGCCCAACTCACTTTTGAGCACACACTGCCGACAACTCCGACAGTGGTGACACCGGTCCGGCTTCCACGCATCGCACTTTCTGCACCATCGCGGGCCGCCCGTGCCGCTCTTCGCCATGAGAGGGGCGTGGGTCTCCTCGTCGTCCTTGGGCAACAGACTCTGATCCTCCTCGCCGTCTCCCTCACCCGCGGCTTCTTGAGCACGAGCAATGCGGTGACTCGACTCAGCCTGCTCCTGTAAACGCGGCGAGTCGCGCAGGATGCGAAGAGGGATGTCATCGTCGTCGATATGCGTGCCGAGGGTGCGCGGCGGGTCATCGGGCCTGAGCGGCCGCGCATCGGGAGGCGCGAGAGTCGCATCTGGGCGAAGAGGGCGGCGGGCCGTGGCACCAACGTAGGCAATACCGGAGAGGAGGAGGAGGGTGTGAAATATCACGATTCTGAGGTCAGACGAGGGCGGGGGGAAGGAGGACAGCGCGTGAGGTCTAGCCGGAGCTCCACCGAAGGGCGCGAGTCCGCGGATGGGATGAAGTAGAAGACGCACTGAATAATGAAATGTAGCACGTCACCACGCGCTAGGATGCGGTCGATGCTGATAAAGTAGAGAAACATGAGCCATGGCCCGGCGAGGAGGAACCACACGACTGCGGTCAGGTCGCCTGTCTCGCCAGGCTGAGTAGGGACATACAGTACACGGGAAAGCGCTTGGCCACACGCTGGCTGCACTCGCGTACCGCGTCGGGCGAGAACATGGCCGGCCCCGAATGAGAGTATGTAGTGATAAATGAAGTGAACAGAGAAGCGAAGAGTGGATGAGGCTGCGCGACGTCGCGGGTGGCTGTACGGTGGCAGTGCCCATCAGGGGCACCGGGTTGCGCACGCTACGTAATGCCACGTGCATATCACGCGACGCGGAAGGAAAAGCAGGCGCCCTGTCCTGTCAACAACAACAACAATCGTTCCGCCATGCATGCATCGCATCACCACATCACCCATGCCTACACCAACATCACCCGCGACCCCGCGGCGCAAGAAGGCCTCGTTTGACACGCAAGACTCACCTCTGCGCCCGAGTCTGAAGATGAACCGCAATGACGATGCGGCGGAGCGCGCCGCGCGGCGCAAGTCGGCGCATTTCGCGGCCGACGTCTCCGCCGCAAACAAGGAGAACGCGGCATCGCCGCGCGCGCGCCAGGTGTCGGGCCCTCTGGCTGGCGCCCGTCGCAAGCGTCTTTCAGCTGTCGCCCCCCTTGCCCCTGTGTCTATGGAGGTCATGAACACGAACTTCGAGGAGTGGATGAAGCTCGCGACGGACAACAAGATCACGGCGACGAATACATGGAACTTTGCGCTCATCGACTACTTCCACGACCTGACGTTGCTGAGGAACACGGACGACCAGAGCATCAACTTCCAGAAGGCGAGCTGCACTCTCGACGGGTGCGTCAAGATCTGGACGAGCCGTGTCGACTCCGTTGCGACGGAGACGGGCAAGCTGCTCTCGGGTCTTGCGGGCGGCGGAGGCGAGGAGGAGGGGGAGGGGGAGGAAGACGAGGAAGGCGGTGCACCGAAGGTGACTCGCAAGGTGAGTCACTGCAAACGCCTAGTCTCTAATTACAGACTGCGCGGTCTGAAGCAACGCTGGCCAAGTCCTTTGCCGCACTACAGGTCAAGAAGTTTGACCTCGAGTTTACCGTCGACCCGCTGTTCAAGAAGACGAAGGAGGACTTCGACGAGGGCGGTGCTGGCGGCCTGCTGATGAACCATCTGGGCATCGACGGCACTGGCCGAGTAGTATTCGACGCGGGCGACGCCGTCGTGGATGATGACGAAGACGAGGAGGAAGACGACACAATGGTGGACGTGTCTGCGCTGCGCGAGTTCATTCCAACGCCCGAGCGCGCCGCCGATCTCACAATTTCGGAAACGCTCGGCGCATTCCGCTTCGCTTCCAACGCGGAGGACATCGATTTGGCGGCGATCACCGGCCTAAATTCGTTCGCGGATGAGCCCGAGCGCGAGGAGACGCCCGTGGCAACTGGGGAGGCGCACGATTTCTTCGGCGATGAAGACTACGACGCGCCGGCCGCATTTGATGGCGATGACGACGAGGGCGAGGGGATCGGCCTCGTGGATGATGTGTTTGGCTCGGCGCCGGCGCCCGCCGCCCCTGGCGCTGGGGGTGCCCCACGGCAAGACCTCTTCATGGCGTTCGTGGACGGCGACGACGGCGGCGGCATGTTTGACTACTTTGACCGGGGGATGGCCAAGGGTTGGGCGGGCGCCGAGCACTGGAAGCTGCGCAAGGTGGCGCGGAAAGGTGCGTGGCTGTCAAGTCGATATCACGCTAATGCCAGACCCTATTCCCGTTGCCGCAGCCAGGGAGAAGAAGGCGGCCAAGGAACCGTTTGCGATCGACTTCGGGGCGGATGGCGAAAAGAGTACGAAGGAGCTCTTTGCGCGCGGGACGCGTGCGGCCATCTCCCTTCCACGTACGAAGCGAAAGCGCGTGCGCGACGAGTTCCTCCTTCCCGAGGACATGCACTTCAGTTCGCGGCAACTGCTGCGACTCTTCCTCAAGCCGAAGTTTGCTGTGCGGCGGCGACCGGGCGTCGCTCAAAGCGGCGATGGGGAGATCGACGAGACGTTTTGGGCGGCCGCGGCGGAGGCGCCGGCCGACGAGGGCGAGGGCTTTGACGCGCCGGCGCCGTTCGAGAGCCAGTTCTTCCATGACGACGGGGACGACGAGTTCGTGGATGCGGCTCTGGAGCCGGCGTTCGGCGACGATGAGGACCAGGACCAGGACCTGCAGCTTGGCGGGGAAACGTTACGGCGCGCACGGCCGGAGAACGTCCATTATGCCAAGAAGGCTAAGCGCGTCGACGTCAAGCGCCTCAAGGACGACATCTGGGACGGCCTCAAGTCTCTTGTGGATCCCAATATGCCACCGCTCATCCCCGATGATGGGCCAAGCGAGAGCGAGGCCGAGGCGACTCCGGCGACGCCCGTCAAGACTTTCGACACCGTCATCCAGAGCCTCCGTGGCGCATATCCCAAGGACAAGATGAGCGAGATTTCGACCAGCTTCTGCTTCATCTGTCTCCTTCACTTGGCAAACGAGGAAGGGTTGCGAATCGAGAGCGCGCGCACGGATGGGAACGAGGGTCTCGACGTGGGGCTGCGCGGCTACGCCGATGAGGAAGGTTTGCCGGCGGGCATCCCCGAGATGGAGAAGAGCGAGCGGGTGGTTGGCGAGCTGCAGGCTCTCAAGGTGTTTAAGGTGAGCCGCCTCATGATCTCAGCTGACAGCAGGACCCGACAGCAGGTCGGGCGGCGTAATGTTATTCTGGACAGTCCAGCTGCTACTATACATAACTTGCTATTGCTATCGGAAGACATTCTGCACACGGCGGTGCAGCTCGTCTGGCGTTTGGCGGAGGTACTTGTCGTACCCCTTCGAGTGCGCCTTTGTCCAGAACGATGCGTATCCTTGACGCACAAAGTCGCTGACTTCGGCGCCGATGCGCTCGCGCAACTCGGGGTCCTGCCGCGAGAAGGGATGCTGCCGGCACACCATTTCCAGCTCGGTAAGGCGGTCGAAGAAGGATGCCGCGGCCTCCTTCGTGCTCTGCTTGTCGGCGCTACCCACGTTGAAGCGCTTTTCTGCGGTGTGGGACAGCAGTTGGACGAGGAGGGCCCATTCGGAGAGATATGAGCTGGGGTCAGATAGAGCGCAAACTGTGGCAAGCAGCGGAGCAAGGGAGCAGTAGGTCACTCACTTCTTCGCCTCGCGGAAGTGCTTGTTGAGCAAATCTTCTGCGCCCGGCCCAATGATGTCGGCGCTGAACGATGCGGTGGTGTTTCTGATATGTGACACTGGAATCAGGAGCTGTCTTTCGGTGGCGCCGAGCCCACGACAGCAGGCGGTCGGACTTACAGTTGTTGAGGAGGTATGCCGCGCCCACTGGCTTGCGCATGCCCTTTGCACGAGCCTCAAGCGCTCCGATGAGGGTACCCAGCACGTCGGCAGCATAGAGGTTGACGATGCCTCCCTCCTCCTGCGCATTGGTGGCTCCGCTGGGCGCAGCGCCGCCCATTAGCCACGCGCGCTCGCCGTGCCCGGTGGAGCGGAGGAGCGTTTCAGCAAGACTGCCGAACACGGGCAGCTGTTCGAGATACGTGAGCGTCGCGTGGGTCGTGTCGTCGATCTGCGTGCTGGAGGGTGGGGAGCGGGGTGGTGCGCGGATGTCGGCGAGTCGTTCGGGGAAAGAGCGGAGTGCAAGGGCGCGCATTGCGGATAGCTGAGAGGACAGCGCGGTGCGCACCTCCGGCACGTCCTCGGAGAGGACTCTGGATATGGCTGCGTCATACCGCAGCGCAATGGAGGTGAGGGCGCTGTAAAGGTTGAGAAGGACCATGGTGCTGTCGCCAAGGTTGCGCTTGAACCCAGCAATGACGTTGCCCATTGTCGAGGATAGAAGGGTGGCGCCGTGCGGGATCGTGACGTCTACTAGGCGTTCGCCTGCCGCGCCAGGAAGCATGATGCCTGCGACCTCGACCTCGGCCTGCTATCAGCGCAAAACAAGGGGTTGAGTGGGGTGTTTGACGCGAGCCAGACGCGGTGGCAGTACTCACATCACACGCGACGAGGTAAGCATCCCAAAGACGCACAGCCAATCGGACCTTGTCGCCGTCAAGACCATTCCATGCACTGGGTGCCTCCTCGACTTGCCGCGCAACGCCGGCTAGGGAACGCCGCAGCCAGTCTCCGCGAATCGCACCCAGCGCGTTTATCGCCCTTCCTAGTATTGGAGTGAGAAGCTCGCTCGTGCGCGGTGTCGGCTGCGCGGGCTCTACCAGCGCCACAAGGCCGGTAGAAAGCGCTTTGACGCTCGACAGGCCGCTGTAGTACGTCGTGACGGGCTGCGGCGCAGATGCAATCAGATGCTCCGGGTCAAAGGGGCGCGGCATTGTTTCCTTCGTTCGCGAGATCAGCAGCTCGACGAGGCGGTTGAAGCCATCTTCGAGTAGAGAGGACTGGGGTCAGCACCTTCAGAGCGCAGAGTGCCGTGCCCGTTCTCAACCGGAACGAGGGTCATTCGCCTACAAGGCGTCGCCCTACGCTGGCTCACACGCATGCCTCATACTGCAGTCTTTCACCGCCTGTCACCCCTGCCCTCGCCAACTCACCAGCTCAGCAACCTTCTGTTCTCTTGTCCCTCCTCGTCCTTCCTGCAGCCCCTGGTACAGTGGCTCAAGATCACCCACGACGACCTTGAGGGCGCCGAAGTACTCCTTCAGGCTCATAATATCTGGCCCGCGCTCGATGACAGCGCGCTCGTTCCCACTAGCAAGCGGATCTTCGCGCGCGGCAGGTGGCGGCGTCGTATCCTGCCATCTGGGGAGGACATCGGTGCGGGGCACGGCGCGGGCACGGTCCATGACAGATCCGGCGGAGAGGGAGGGGGAGAGGGTGGGGCGAGATGCGGTTGCCAGTGAGGGGGAGGCGGGGGAGGTGGATGCGGGCTTGGATGGTGGGAGCATGATACGCTCACTGTTGACGGTGTTGGAAGACTCGCCGCGCTCGGCGGAGGGACGTGGCGCAGACACGGATATAGAAGGGCTAAGAGTGGGGGCGGAGGAGGGAGCAGCGGCTGAGGAGCCGGGAGAGATGGCTTCGAGAACCGCATTGAGATGTTCCTGTTGGCGGGTGAGATTACGGATGCCGAGGGGCGCGATACTCTTGTCGAGGCGAGAGAGGCGACCGTCGAGCTGGAACAGGATACCGGTCATGCGCTGGCTCAAGCTGTTTGTCTTGACAAGGTGCTGCGTCTGGCATTAGCTGCGAACACAACGTAACGCACGAGCAGCGCCAGGTCTGTCTCCTCATCGACGGCGAGGGAGCCGTCTGCGGGCATGGTGATTGTTGTTGATTTAGAATCGCATTGCAGCGATGCGGCCAGCTGCGTCACATGTCACGTGGGCGGAACATGTCATAAAGCGAAACCCAAGTCGTTCTCCAATGAAACCCCAATCTTTGCAAAATCAGTATTCATCCGTGCATCCCCAGAGCAGTTGAACCTCCTGTCCCGTCATTGTGCAGTTACATTCGCTCACACGGCACAAGTTGGGTCTGCGAATGGTAGGACGTCTATCACAGTTATCGACTTCGAGTCATCGGGGTGGTGGAGCGGCATCCGGTGTACACCTTTGTGCTCAACCACTCCCCAGCCTCCGCCTTTCCGTACGGCGCAGGGCCTAACATCGAAGAAGGTGGAGCAGCAGCTGGACATGAGGGTGAGAGGTGTTCAGAGAGATCCGCTGCTTTCAGTGGTGCTGTAGGTGGCGCCAGCAGGTTCGACCGCTGGACTGTCAGACCTATTATCAGGAATGCTCCAGACCAAACAAAATGTAGAAGACTATCTCAGATCCCTTTTACTCAATGTAATGTCTAAGATAAAGAGAACACCGCCTCGCCAACGAGTAGTCCACCGGTCGTCGGGGCTTTGGAGCTAGTTCCGATGTGTGGGTGTCGCGTGGTTTGGTCGTGTGAATGGTTGGGTGGTGATAAGTGCTGCTCCATTGACTGATCCAGCACGAAGGCGAGGGTTCTTTGAGTGTTCTCGTGTGAGTGCGACGCTTTCTGGCCTCCCTTGTCTGAACCCCAGAGGTGCAAGGCGCTCAGCCTGTACTCTTCCATGGCCCAGCTCTTGGCGCTCAAGCCTTGAATCCATGCCACACTCACTGGTTGCCAGTCACCTCCCCTTGCATGGATTCCGACGTCACAAATTGACAAATTGACGTGCAAAAAACCTTGCTGCTTACTATGACCGCCTGCCTGACCGTTTGGATCCTTCTACGCTCACTAGACGAACTGATCTTCATCGTCGAACAAGCAAGAGCGCTCCTCCTTCTCAAAGTATTGAGGGGTCAACGGGGCTGGAGGATCGGGTCTAGGGAATGGACACCGGAGAATGAATAGTGAGAAGTCCAGGGAAAAGAAGAAAGGTGAGAGGATGAGGGATTAGGCAGGCTTGTACGTAGCGCGAGTCAGCCGATGGGAGGCCGTGGAGGATGGTACGTGCTTCGGCGCCCCGACGACCGACACAGCGACTTCTCTCTGGGTTTGTGGCCTTTCCGCCACTCCCCTCAAGACACCCGCCACACAGCGTGGACAGCACAGATATACTCTGTGAACCGCAGATTAGCTTCCGCGCTTCGGGTCCAGTAATTGCCTCTACGATTCTACCGTCATGAGTCCGAGGAGCCAAGAAGCTGATGTGGTACGGGGGCAATGTTGCTCATTCTTTCAGAAACTCGCCCTAAGCCCAACGGCAGATTTGTACGATCCAAGAGATGTTCCAGCAGCCTCGGGATGGCAGACTTGCCCAAGATGGACATCTGGCACGACGCTAGTCTCACGGATCGGCCAAATATCCGTAAACCTCCCAAAAACTTCTGATGCATACACTGCCCATCTCACTCCGAACACAGGGTCTACAGCTTGCCCTCGGGCCCAGGATGCTTGGGAATACTCTGTCGTGTGACCTCGGATCCCGCGCCAAGCTGCCACTTATCCTTATCGTATCCGCGGGGCCAGACGCCATTCTTGCCCGGCGCGAGAATCCCATTCGGGTCGAGGGTATCCTTGATGCGCTCCGAAAGCCGCATGAGCGCACCGTCGTTGAACGAGTACGTGCCAGCAATTTGGTCCATGAGGGCGAGGTGTGTACGGTACTCGCCCCACCCGTTGGCGGCGCATTCGTCGATCAGCTGGCGCACGACGGTGAGCGCGCGCGCCCGCTCCTCCGGCCGCGTGCGGTCGTACACCACACACACGATGTGGTGCATCTCGCGCATCCCGATGATAAAGTCGACGATGACGTCGAAGCCGTGCTCGAGTAGGCGCTTTTTCGTGATCTGGAACTGCCGTGTGGCGGCTTCGCCGCGCACCTCGGCGATGGGCGAGAAGAAGAAGTGCGCACCGTTCGGCACCCAGTCGACCCACTTGAGCTCGTCGAACGTCGGCACGCCGCGCATCGTCTTCGCCCGGATATCAAGCACGCCGGGGGAGCGCTTGTCGTCTTCGTGAAGGAAGAACTTGGCGCCGGGGATCTGGGAGAAGGCGCCGTGGATCGCACCCCACAGAGCGTCGCGCACAGGCTGCGGGCCGTAGAGCGCGCCGTAGAAAATCCAGCGGCCGAGCCCAAGCTTGGATTGAATCTCGTCGAGCTCGGTGTCGTTCAGTGGGCGCGTTACGCCCGGAAAGAAGGACTGCTTGTCTCCCAGCACCGCGGCGTCGAGAAGCAGAGAACGGATCGTCGCGACGTTCTGGATGACCATAGTTATGCGGAGCTGGCGGATCGTCTCGACGATCGCTGGCAGGTCCTGCTCGCGCTCAAACGTGATCGAGTACGCCTGGTATCCGCCAGGGTTGGGCATGAGCCAGAGCCCCACTGCCGTCAGCGAGGCCAACTGGCGGCGCACTCTTTGTCACAATTCCGTAGTTGCTCTGCGAGAAGATGCCGTCGTGGTATGGCCCAAAACCGTAATTGAACAGCTGCCAGCATCTATTGGGCTGCTGCTGGTCGGGCGCGCCTGTTGCCCCCGGCTCTGGGAGCGCACCCATGCCGGTACGCACGAGCTCGCCGTTGGGGAGCACGATCTCCATGCCGCAGTGCATCATGAAGTGGTCGCCGTACGGGGAGTACCCGACTCCGCGCTCGATAGTGTTCCCGATGACACTGCCGCCTGCCATCAGCCCCGCTCGCGCATGCACGCACCGCCGAGGTCCGGCACGTCGATCCAAAGCTTGTCCTCGAGGCCGTTGGCGACGAGGTGGTCGTACAGCCCCTGGAAAGTTACGCCGGGCTCGAGGAGGCAGTATGCGTCGGCCTCGTTGACTTCGAGGACGCGGTTCATGTGGCGCCCCATGTCGATGCCGACCGAGCCGGGGACACGCGGCGCCGCCCCGCCATAACCAATGTTGCGGCCGATCGAGAACGGCCACACCGGGACCTTGTGCTCGTTGCTGATGCGCATGAGCGCCTGCACCTCCTGCACATTGCGCGGGCACACGACGGCCGAGGAGACGAAGTAGTCCTTGTCGAAGACGGGATACATGTCGTGCTCCTTCGCAGGGTCCATATAGTCATCTTTGGTGAACTGGTGAGGGCCCGTGATGACCTCGACGTTGTCGGCGCCAACCGCGGCGCGCGCCGCGTCGAGGTAGGCTGCGAACTTGTCCTTGCTGATGCCAGGTGGGAGGATGAGGGGGGTGGACATGGCGGCTGGGTGAGGTCGCACGGCCCCTCGGCCACCTTGATATACTGGAGAACATCGACTTGAAGCTGAGCTTCACGTGAACACAGATGCCCACCAAGTTCGGCCGCCGTTATTACACCTGGGGACCACTCCCATTCCTTCTGACCATGGCTGAGGCAGCTCTGTGTGCATACGATGACGGCGACGCCCCGCCATGAGAACATACCTTGGGGGGGGGGGTTTTGGACGAACGGCGGAGCAACACCGCCGCGTCTTATAGTGCTCCTGAACGGGCGCGGAGAAGCTCTAGGGGAAGAGGGGAAGCGGAGTGGCCCCGCAGTTGATAACGGCGGCCGCCGATCAAAAAGAGGCATGATTGGCTTCTTTGGTTACTCCGAGAATCTTGTCTCTAGTCGGTTTGGAGAACATTGTGGTCGTCGTGCGGGCATCTCTGGTGCCCGCGGGGACTCCATGGGACAGCTTTGTCAGACGTCGGGCCCCCCCGAGACCCCGCAACGCCGCTGCAAAGGTCACGAGGTGGGACGCAATCTCATTGAGCCTCACAGGTCATTTGTTCTGAGGCCGAGCATCGGCAACTACTGAATAGCTGCGCCCAAGGAGCGCCCGATAATGGACGCCGCACTCGGCTTCATAAGCCTTGCCCACCGTCATGCCCGCCCATGAATCATGTCTACTTCTCTCGCTGGCAAAATTGCCATTGTGACGGTATGTCTTGTACGGCGGCGCCGCTGACGACAGGGGGGCGCATCGGGCATCGGGCTGGGAATCGTGCGCGCGTTCCTTGAGGCGGGCGTCGAAGGCCTCACAGTTGTGGACCGGACACAGACGGCGCTGGACGCTCTCAAAAACGACCTTGGCGTTGGGGAGCGCCTGCTTACTGTTTGCGGGGACGTGGTAGAGGAGGCGACTGCACAGGCGTACACGGCGGCGACAGTGCAGAAGTGGGGTCGCGTCGATGTCGTCGTACTCAACGCGGGAGTTGAGGGTACGTGGCACATGCTGCACGAGACGCCGCTGGAAGAGTATGACCGGGTGATGGACGTGAATGCGCGTGGAGGTGGGTTTTTGAGAGATGCGCGCTCACGCAGTCTTCATCGGGCTCAAGCACGGCCTCAAAGCATTCCTGGACTCACCGTCCAAGGGCAAGGGGTGCTCAGTCATCATCATCTCTTCTGTCGCGGGTTTGCAGGGTGTGCCGCTTATCAGCCCATACACCGCGTCCAAGTTTGCCGTGCGTGGCCTCGCGGCCATCGCGTCGCAGGAGTATGGCAAGTTTGGGATCCGCGTCAATGCCATATGTCCGGGATTTATCGAAACGCCATTTTCCATGCAGCACCCGGAGCTCCTCGATGCCATGAAGGAGAAGGCGAGCTTGCAGCGACTCGGGAGCCCGAAGCACATTGCCAACGCGGCGCTGTTCTTGGCGAGCGATGCTGGTGACTTTTGCACCGGCACGACGCTCAAGGTGGACGGCGGGATCTCGAATTGGTACTGAGTTAGAGACAGATGATGCACTCAGCGTGCCATGGCATGGTAGCTGTGGGGGGAAGGATGCTGGTGCTGGTCGGAGGCGGTGTAAGGGCCCGTCGAGGGGAAGTGATGCGGATTAGCAAGTTCGAACGGGAAGTGGTGAGGCTACAACTCCACATAGGTGGACTACGTAACTGAATGTCGGGCAACACGGTTGACCAACAGGCAGTTGCGAGATTGCTGGTCGCCAGAAGCAGGTGCCCCAGTTGAGCATTCTCATGTTGGCCAGGATCAATTGAAGTTTGAGCCGGAGGCTGATTGTGATGAAGTGGACTGAGAGGACCGCCTGTGATGCGAGAGCGAGGACCGCTGTGTGGCTTGAGAGCCACAATTGGCTCGCAGGGTCAAGTTGTGGAATCTCGCCTGAAATATTAACTGCCCCACTGCGTCCTTGCTCGGGGTTCATCTTGACCCGCTCGAGTTCTGCTAGCTCAAAAAGAGATATGGCCATAACAGCTTTTCGAAAGCCATTGAAGACCAGGCATCCCCGACCAGAAGCCAAATGGAGTGTCGCCTCTTGTACCCCGGCATTGGGCGCTTGTTCCAGAGTTTTAGAGTGGGGCGGGCTACAACCCATAAGATGCCAAGTAGTAAATTGCCCTCTTTCACCTCTGACCCTAAAAGTGAGGCGGACTGCCCAGGAGAGACTAGCGTATGTCGCACTTATGTTGCTACTGCAATTTTGAGCGCATTAGATCCAAGTGAGCAGGGGCGGGTTAGAGACGAGATCAGACGTGGTATATCGAGAAAGTCGCGTCGGGCACTCACCAGCGGTGAGGGGGATAGAGCGCGTCGCCGGCGTCCCATCTGGTTTTGCCGATCTGTATCTCGGAAGTTGACCGATCAAGGCACACCGAACGGGCGGCACTGACCGATCAAGACGCCGCATCGGCGCGGAGTTCGGAGGAGATGCGATTGGCCGTTGGCGCGTAGTGAGATTCTCGATATACCCAGACATGATGGGGTTCTTCCCAACCAACTCTCCACAACAGTCTTGATGTGTGTCAAAGTCATGCCTATTTGTTGCCCGAAATAATGCAGCTTCTCGATGCGTAGGGACAAGCCGCAATTGAAGCACTGCATCGTTGACTGGTGCCCACCGCCTGCAACGGTACAGAATGATCTTGAGGAGCACTTCCTCACAGAGCACTCTCCACCATATACGCACAACGCCATACGCACAATGCCATGCCCATGTCTGCATACAATGACCTTCTGATGATGACTACTGGTATCCACTCCCCTGCCTCCCTGTCCGCTCCCCCCGTCTCATGCATGCCCCTCTCCGCCCACTCTATGCCTCCCCTCCGTATTTGCTCCTACACTGCCGCAGCCACAGCAATGTTCTCGACATGCGCAAAGCCGCTCTTGGCGTCGACCTTTGCGACCGGCACGTGGCCGAGTGCGCGCTTCCTGCGCTCGGCCTTGGCCTTGGCGGTGAACGTCCAGTCCTTCTCGGCCTGTGCGCCGAGCGGCTTGGCCGGCACGGCCATGAACGCGGAGAAGTAAGCCTCGAGATCGGCCGTGTCCTCGATGTCGCACACGAGCGCGACATACCCGTCAGGGCGGACGACGACGACAGCGCCGCGCTCCGCGTCGATGCCGTAGGCCTCGTACGCGTGCCCGTGCCCGCGGTGGTACGTCTCGCAGTCGGCGAAGATCTTGTCGTAGTCGAACGGCGGGTAGAGTGCGGGTGCGGGGAAGTCCTGCATGTCGATCTCGTCGCGCGAGTTCGAGTGGATCGTGAGCACCTCGAACAGCGCGTCGCGCTTGCAGTCCGCCGGCGTGAAGCGGGAGACGAACGACTCGGGCGAGTCGAGGTACGCTGCGAAGCGCTCGATGCGGTCCATCTGCGCTGGCGCCGCAGCGTTGCCCGCGAACAGCAGGACGCGGTACGCGCCGTTCATGTACAGCAGGTCGCCGAGGTGCATCGCCAGACCCTCCGAGTGCCGGCACACCTGCTCGGATTTGAGGCGCGTGCCGACGGTGATGTTGCGGGCGAGCGCGGGCTTGGACGCAACGGCGCTCCCGTTCTTGCCGGTCTTGGCGACGATCGCGCTCTCGTCGTAGTCGACGGCGGTGCCCGACGTGAAGAGGGCATTCTTCATGAACGCCTCCTTGAATGCATCCATCGACACGCCCGAGCCGTCGAGCACATCCTTGGCCGGCTTGCCGGAGAAGAGGCGCGAGAACTTGTGGTCAAAGTCGATGAGGGCCTGTGCGAACGGCTGCCGCTCCGACTCGTACGTCTTGAGCAGCGAGCGCTGCGCGCGCCGCGTGAGCACCATCCCCAGCTTCCAGCCCAGGTTCCACGTGTCCATCATGGACGCGTTCATGCCCTGGCCGGCCTTGGGCGAGTGGGTGTGGCACGCGTCGCCGGCGATAAACGCGCGCTCCGCGACGCTGTACTTGTCCGCGACGCGCTGGCCGATGTGGTACGCGGTGAACCAGTCCATGCGCGAGTAGTTGAGGTAGTAGGGCGCCATGATCTTGCGCGCCGAGTCGACAATCTTCTCGGGCGTGAACTGCGACCGGTCGACGCGCCCGCCCTGCTCCGCCCGCTCCTGCATCTGGATGTAGAAGCGCACGAGCTTGTCCTCGCGCGGGATGATCATCACGGACCCGCTCTCGGCCGAGTGGATGGCGCAGCGCGCACGCACGTCCGGGAAATCGGTCTCGGGCACAATGTCCACCACGCCCCAGATGTAGTCGGTCTGCTCGCCGACCATGTTGAGGCCGAGGCTGCGGCGCACCCACGACCGGCCACCGTCGCACCCGATCACGTACTTGGCGTGCACCTTTTCGCGGAGGCCCGCCTCCTTGCCCTCGGGCAGGCGGTACTCTGCGTCGTCCTCCTCGGCGGTGGTGAGCGTGGTGCGGAACAGCCCGTTCGACACCTTGTGCCCGAACTGCACGGGGTCGGCCTCGTCCTCGGCGAGGTAGCGCAGCGTGACCGTGATGGGGTAGGCGTCGGGGTCGTCGGCCTTGCTCTCGTCGACCTCGATCGACTCGGGGAGCAGCGGGCGCTCGACAGCTACGCGCCCCTCAGACACCTCGTGGATCGAGTCGAGGAAGTGCCGCTCGATCAGGCCCTGGTGCAGCACACACTGGTTGTAGCGCGACACGCCCGGAACCGTGTCCGGGAACCGGTCGGTGCGGCGGATCATGCCGCTGTCGTCCGGGTTGTACAGGTTGATGGTCGTCATGTCATTGGCGGCCTCGTAGATCTGCGGCATGCCCAGGTTCTTGAGACACTCGAGCGTACGCGGCTGCAGGCCGTCGGCCTGGCCCGTGAAGATCTTGGTCGAGCGCTTGTCGACGATACGGACTTTGAGAGAGGGGTCCTGGCGGACGAACTCGGAGAGCGTGCGCGCGGCCATAAGGCCCGCTGGGCCGGCGCCGATGATGAGGACCTGAGGTATGAGCGAGGGTGGCGGAGGTGGGGGGGTTGCTCAAGGAAGCATCGGCGAGCGAGGCGCAAAGTCCTCAACGAAGCGTCCTCGGTGTGGCTCACTCACGTCGCAGTAGGTCTCAATCTCCTTGGTCATGGTGGTCTTGGAGAGTTGCTGAGAAGAACAAGTTGCCTTCGACCCGTTTTAAGCTTACACTGATGCCACAACTCGCTGAGGCACCATTCCGCCGCAAGCAACAAACTTCGCTGCGATCACATGGACTTCGGTGCTCCAGAAACCGAGGCGGTGTGAAGGTAATTCGAGGGCGAGGGGGAAGTGTGATGTGGGCCAAGGAGCGCAAGGCGCCGGAGTGGACGAGCTCGGCTGTTCCGAGTGGACGGCGTTGGGCTCCGGACCAGACGCCGTGGGGCCTCGTGACGGTTTTCGGTATGTGTTTCGATCGGGCTGTGCTGCGGAGGCGGGGCAGGGCATAGACATGGAAACGCGTTGCGGACACGAGCACTGGCGGTGGTCGTGTCGAATGGCGCCGGAAATCGCGGCGTGCAGTCCATTAGTGCCACAAATCCATCGGATCGGAGGCGATGCGGGGGAGCAGGCACGGGGCCCGGTTGATCGGCCCTGGGATGGAGTTGGACACCACTTTGCCGGCGGCATTGCAGGAGCCAGGACACGCAAGATGAACAGATCACATTGGTGGAGCGAGATCAAGGTCGCAAGGAGACCAAGGTCGCCGTTCGCTGTGGTGGAAGAGCCGGGTATACCGTGCAGGGCAATAGGCCGGGAATAGACACTAACTCCACATACCGAACGCCGTCGTCGCCGCCTCCGATCAGTGGCGGATGTACGGAAGTGTTGTGGGGCTTGGCTGATGAAGCGGGGAGGGGCATTGGGGGAGTTGAGGAGATGAGGAGATGAGGAGAGCGCTCGGGGGCCCCGAATGGGATGGAAATATCTTGTGGACGGTGTGTGGGACGTGTGCCGAGTGGCAACGCAGTAGCGGACTGGATTCCGAGGCACTCCACACCCCCGTCCCCCGTCCCCCGCCCCCGCATCTCGGCGACCACGGCAAGTGTCGGTGTTTGGCGCTCTGGAGAGTTGGATACATATTAGAGCGCGTACCTTGGATTAAGCTCACCATCCGCCATGACTGACTACACCGCCTACACACAGACAGTGTGAGTAGAGTGGCGGTGTCTGCGCGACCGCGTCGCGGTCTCGCTCCACCTAGCTCCACCTCGCTTGCGCTTGCCATCTCGCGACCGCTCGCAGCGCCTCGGCGGCAGTGCTGATGCCAGAATCGACTCGATCGGGCCCAAGGCGAGCCCGCGCGTGCGCGCCGTCTTCCCGATCCTCATCAAGCACCTGCACGCGTTCATGGTCGAGGCGGACATTTCGACCGAGGAGCTGCTCGCCGCGTGCGACATGCTCGTGGGCGCGGGCAAGGTGTCCGACGAGCGCCGCAACGAGGTGCTCCTCATGTCCGACACGTTCGGGTGCGAGTCGCTGTGCGACATGTTGGACGCGGAGCGCGCGGACCGCGCGAACAAGGCGGCCAAGAGCACGGGTGCTGCGGCGGGCGCCATCGCCGCGTCCGCCATCATCGGCCCGTTCTACCGCACCGGCGTGCCGGAGCAGCCGAACGGGACGTCGATCGTGCGCCACCCCGAGCCCAATGCGCCGTACACGTACATGCACGGCACGATCTATGGCGCGGACGGCGCGCCGCTCCCCGATGCGCTGGTGGATATTTGGCACGACGCGCCGGACGGGCTGTACGACGCGCAGACGCCACACAAGCCCGAGTACCACTGCCGCGGGCGGTTCCGGACGGACGCGCAGGGCCGCTGGGCCGCGGTGATCCTCAAGCCGACGCCGTACCCCATCCCATACGACCACCAGGCGGGCGCGATCCTGCAGATGATGGACCGGCACCCGAACCGGCCGGCGCACGTGCACTTGTGGATCCACCATCCCGAGCACAGGAGCTTTGTCACGCAGATCTTCAATGCCGACTCGGAGTATCTCAAGGACGACGCAGTGTTCGCCGTCAAGGACGAGCTGGTGGTCGAGTACAAGCCGATCTCGAAGGACTACAAGCAGCCAGAGGGGCTCGATGGCGAGGTCGTGTGGGAGCTCCAGCAGGACTTCCGGCTGCCGGCGGCGGCTTAGGGAGCAGGCGGCGGAGGCGGCGCGCGGCTCTGGAGCGGCGGGGCGTGGGTGGCGGAGGCGAGAATGCGGAGTGAGGGAGAGGTGGCGGAGAGCATTGTGGAAGGAATCACGGGGAGAGAGCGGAGGTGTGAGGGTGCGGGAGAGGGGGGGAGGGGAGTGCGCTAGGGGTGGCAAGGAAAAGCATAGATTGTCGCAAGAAGTATAGGATGCAGTAGTAGTTCGGACGATGAAAAGCCAGAAGGACGTACAGTTGCAAAACAACGCTGTACTCACCTCCGATGATAAGGGGATCGTATCTTGGATGCCGGACTTCAAATGCCTCTCCGTCGCGACTGCGTAAAGTGAGGCTGTGCTGCTTTGGTCGCACGCGCAGCCTATCAGCCTATGTCAAGTGGTGCAACGCGGTTGCGGCTGCATGCACTCTCAGAATCTGTCAGAGTCAGTTTGGTAGATCAATAATCCTAATAAAAGCCATAAATACTGTCACTACTCAGTATGGGTTGAAGAATGTCGAGGAAACATCGTAATATTGGGTGGACATGTACTTATAACATGGGTACTGATACAATGCAAGTAACTCTACACGCGACACGGCCGCGCCCCTCACCCTTTCCGCTCACTGTGTGATCAGCCGCCACGCCTTGCCGTACCACGTCTTTGGTTCGGGTTCCTCGGTAATATCCCACGGGTTGATAATATTCGACGTGAGGTCGGCCTCCGCGGGCTTAACCATCTTGCTGCGCTTCAAAATCTTGTAGCCGAGATACGGCACGAGGTAGAGCACAAACGAGATGTACGAGGCCACAAAGTCGGCGCCGTCAAACTTGCGGCCGCCGTAGGTGATGAACACGGGGAAGCCTTTGAAGAGGCACACGACCGACGAGAAGATGACGGCAAACCATGCTGCGTACGGCTGGAAGCGGCCGTACCAGACCAGCGTGCGGCGGCTGATGTCCTGCGCTTTCATGGCTTTGTGGAAGCGCACGTAGGTGAATGCCAGGAGGCCCCAGTTGATGATGTTGTTGAGCGAGATCAGGGACACGAGCCAGTCAAACGCCTGCGGCGCGCCGCCCGACCCGACGGAGAGGAATCCGAAGAGGCCCAAAGGCGCCGAGGCCAGGACGGCGTAGATGGGTACGCCCCGCTTCGAGGTCCTCGCGAGGATGCGCGGTGCCTGCCCGTTGAGCGCGATGCCGCGGAGAGTGCGCGCTGCAATGTACAGGTACGTGTTGCCGGCCGACCAGGCCGAGGTAATGATGGCCGCGTTGACAATGGACGGGAGGGCTTTGATGCCGGCGGTCTTGATGGCGATGACCCATGGAGACGATGTAGCGTTGGCCGCCTTGTTGACGAGGTTGGGGTGGTTGGAAGGAACACTGGGGTCAGTGCCAAGTTTGTCGCTGCAAATCGAGGCCACCCACATCATGCCAATCATGAGCGAACCGCCGACGTAGAAGAAAAGCTGGCGATAAACAAAAAGGCGCACGTTTCTTGGGATCTGCTTGGACGGGTTCTTGGCTTCGGCGCCGGCCAGAACAATGACCTCCGTACCACCATAGGCAAATGCGGCATTTGTGAGAGTGCTGCGGTTAGTCATGGAGGGGGAACACGACCTACTAGAAGAAGCCGAGGAAGCGCCCAAGGCTGCCTGGGATGCCGAGATACTGGACGAACGGACCGGGGTTTCTCCAGTATTCGAACCCACGGCGGTGCCGGTCGGGGGCGCCGCCGAGGGTAATGACCAATGAGCAAAGCATGAGTCCGATAAGCGTTATCACCTTGATGCAGGCGGTGGCGACCTCTGCTTCACCATACCATCGCACGGGGAGCATGTTGAAGCAGTAAATGGCAACGAGGGAAATGGCAATCCACACCGCTGCATTGATACTCGTGATCCAGTACTCGACGAGGATGCCAATCGCTGTGACCTCGACTGCGACCGAAATGGCCATGTTCAGCCAGTCTGAAGCGTCAGCACACGCACATTAGTGTGCAACCGTACATGTGTACCCAATCGTGAATCCGACGGCTGGATCGACGAAACGACTGCCGATGCCTGGGAATGTCGCATCGACAGGATACTGGGGCGTCAGTCGCGCAGAGCAGTAGAGCGCACCTTTGTGATAATCTCGCCGATTGATTGGATCTGCTGTAAGCGCCGAAGATGGCCGTGCAACTCACGACACACCAAACGAGGGTACCGGTGATGGAGAATGAGAGGAGAATGCCGAGAGGTCCAGCGGCGGCGAGCGACTGTCCTATACCGACGAAAAGGCCTACTCCGATTCCCCCACCAAACCCAATGAACGAGATGTGCCTGCTGGTCAATGCGCGCTGGAGACCGCCCTCCTCTTCTGAGTGTTAGTGATTGACAGCGGTGTGAGAAATGTCGGACGGCGAGAGACGCACGTGGATCGTTGAACGCGGTGTGGCCGTTGGCGTCTCCGTGGAACTCGGAGTGACCCGCGATGCTGTCTCGCTTTGCTGGGTTCATGAACTCTTCCGTGTTCATGTCGCCGAGGTTGATGTCGCCAAAGTCGTCTTTGGCATCGCTGCCTGCCGAGTCATGACCGTTGGGGTAGTTCATTTTCGCTGGAGGGAGTATGCGGGGAAGGGGGGAGGGGGGATGAAGAGGGAGGGGTGAGTGCGGGATGGGGGTCGTAGAGTAGAGCGCAAGTGAAACGTCGACAAGGAGGAGTGAACAGATGGCGAGGAGGAGAACAGGAGAGCAGTGGATGAGAGAGAGAGAGAGAGAGCGAGGAGAATGTGGGATTGGCGGTTGGCAGGAGGAGCGGCGGCGAGGTGTGGGCTGGCTGGGCAGGGGGTCAGCTGACTGACTGACTGATACAAACACCACCCACCCACTCTCACTCACCCCCCCTCCAGGCGCCCCCGCCCCCCCCTCACCCCACAGGGCACAGCGGAATGCATCATCCCCCTCTCTCTCTCTCGTTGCTATTCGCTCTCTGCGTCAATTCCATCCTCCCCGCCTGGCGCAGTGTAGAGTACTGTAGATCATCACCATTACAGCCACCGCCTGATCAACGGAATCAACACCGCTGCTGTAGATCACACTTGATTCCATTTCATTCATTCATCATCCATCATCCATCAAATCATCCCACCTCCTCGTCCATGCATCATCCCATCCACCCTCCCCACCTCACCATCATGTCATTGCCCACTTACTCCTCCTCCTCCCACTTCCCCCTCCCCCTCGCTTCGCGTGCCTTGGCGTCACTCTCGTGCCCTGTCCACCAGGCAGAGAGCAGTCAAGCGGGCGGGCACGGCACCCCAACCGCGCGGGTCGGGACCCGCCGTCACGACCCGTGCGAGAAAAAACGACGCTTGTTCCTGACTCGGACATTTGGTGAGCGGCTCACCCGCCGTCATCCATGATGCATGCGTGCATGCATGCATGGTGCAGACGGCGACCGAGGTGACGAGCGCACTCTGTTTTGGGACGAGGTCGGCGCTCGACACCCGCCTGCCGCCTGCCGCCTGCCGCCTCATTGTCCGACCTTCCTCCATGCATGACTCAACCACCGTCAACTTTCCTCCGGTTCCCCACCTTCCCCACCTCTCTGCGTACATGTCCATTACGACTACATACTCACTCAACTACTCAACTACAACATCTCCCAGCGCTGGTTGCCCATCGCGACGAGGCGGTTGAACAGCGCCTCGCGCTCCTTGACGCCCTTGAACACGAGCGTCTCGCGCGCGCGCTGCGCAGCCGCCAGCTGCTCCTCCTCGCTCATCTCAGAAAGACTGACATCGTCGGCCGTCTTCGCAAAGCGAAGCGAGAGGCCAAGCGACGCAATCTCGGCGCCGCTAACAGCGGCCAGCGCGAGCCGGCCGGCGCCGACGCCGTCCTTCTTCATCTCAACAAGGTCGTCGACATACCACACACGCTCGGGCGTCTTGCTGAGCAGCGGGACCCACGAGAGACAACCTTCCTCGTCGTCGAGGAACAGGTGGCCGCTCGTGCCGTCCAGCTTGGCGCTGTACCCGCCAGGCGCGTCGTCTCCCCACTTGGCCTTGAGGACAAGACTGTCGATCTTGCCGCGCAGCTTCTTCTCCTTACCAACGACGGTGACGTCCGAGCCCATGCCGGCGATCTTGCGCGCGATGCGCTTGAACGCCCCCTTTGTCTTGCGCTTCGTTGTCGCCGTGACCTTCTTGACGCCCTGCGGGGGCGGCTCAGCGCCCTCGGCGCTCGTTGGCGCGCCGACGGCGGCTTCGCCACCCACAATGTCGCCTGCGTTGTCTCCGGTCTTTTCTCTGATCACATCCTTTGTATCCTCCAGCGTCGGGTAGATGGGCGGGGCGGGCAGCGGATCCTTCTCAGCCTCTGACACGCGCAGGAGGTGCAGCACAAGCTGCGCATCCGTCGGCACGCCCGAGAGGATCGAGTTGCGTGGGTCCACGTACATCTTCCAGTTGGGGTAACGGCGGATGAGCTCACGCGCGCCGCGCTCGAGCCACTTGTGGCCCCAGAAGACTGCCCCAAAGATAAACGTCGCGCCGCGCCCAAACATGCGTGCCGGCACAAAGTGCAGGGCAAGCGCGGGCACGACGAGCAGGCCAGCGATCTTGAAGCGCGCATAGTAGTCGGGGTAAATGGGCGGCGGAGAGAGCGCCCTGGGGTCAGTGCCGGCGGCGGCCGTCGTTGCTCACTTCTGCATGATCTCGATGAAGTCGGCGCCCTTACCAAGCCCCGTCTCGGTCGACTTTGCCATCCATGTGACGAGCTCGTCGCGCTTCTCCTCGGCCTCGGTTTGTGCGTCTACCCGGTCCCGGCGCACACGCACGCGCTTGCCATTCACCTCAACAATCTCGGCCTTGCGGTCGTAACGCGTCGTGCGGAAGCCGATCAGGCGACCCTTCTCGTCGTGGATCTCCATTGCGGGATCCTCCCAGTCGTCGATAAACTCCTTGGGCCCGACGGTCGCATTACCCTCGTCCGACGTGCCAAAGAGCAGCGCGCTCGCAAAGCCCGTCATGACGGCGGAGACTTCGACGGGGACTTCGTCGCGTTCCTGGTCCGCGGTGCGGTTGCGTGAAGGGTGGTCGGGGTCGGGGGTGGGCGGTCGCTGTCTGTCAGCGGAGCGAGCGAGCACGAGAGCGAGCTCCGGACTTACGTAGGGAAACAGGATCCTGCGGGTGGGCGGGAAGCAGATTAGCACGCAGAAAAACATCGTCGCAGCAAGCACCACCACCCCGAACCCCCACGCGATGAAGTATGCGGCACAGTACGCTGCCGTGCGCTTGAACTCGTGATCCCAGTCCGTGAGGCGCGCGACCTCGCGCATGCCGCGGGACGCGGGCGGCCCGAGGCCGCGCACGAGGCGCTCGAGATTCGCCTTGAGCGTGTCGCTGCGGTACGGGACGTTCTGGAGATCCGTGTGCCGCAAATCCGGCTCGCGCGGGGGCAGCGAGACGGCGGGGTGCAGCACGTGGTTGACCTGCTTGTTGAACGCGCGGAGCATGAGGTACAGCGTGCCGTCGTCGATGCCTTCGACGAGCGTGTCTTCCGTCAGAGAGGGGTCGGCGGAGACGGTCGCGGCGATCGCTTTCTCGGAGGGCACGGCGGCGGTGGGGGGGCCGCCGGAGGCGGGAAGCGCCGCGCCGGCCGTGGCCGGCCGGCCTGCTGCGGTCGGCGAGGAGGGCGTTGGCACGCCCGCGCCGAGGCCGCCGGGGGCGCCGGGGGCGCCCAGGCCAGGCGCTCCTGGCGCGGGAGGGGTGATCATCGTCGGCTGGGCGGAAATCACGGTCGCAGGCTCGTCGGCGCGCTGCGGCACATCGCGCGCCTCTCCTACATGGGCTGGGTCGGACATTGCGCAGCTGGCGTTGTGTGCGGTGCGTGGGGTACATCCCTTTTATGTAGCTAGCTGGACGGTCGCTGCCAAACTTGGATGAGGATGGTGGGTGAAGTCGTGTGAGGTATGACGTAGTAGGCCCGGCCCGCATGACGTCGGTGTCAGTCCAGACCAGCCAGCGGGCAGCTGTCAACGGACACCAGCCACAAGCATCCAGACGATGCATGACGAGTGTGGAGCGGGCGGGAGCGTCTCGGTGCGATCGGGAGCACATGGTGCATGGGACATGGAACATGGTGCATGGAACACGGATGAAACGTTCTACTATAGTACGCCTACGCATCATCCGGCATGCCCTGGGCACCGGCGAGCACCCACATGCCCTTGGCGCCGATATCCGGGACGCCGTTATCCCCTGGCGTGGCGATGCTGGGCGTCGCGACGCAGTTGTGTCGCAGACCCAGCGTGACCTTGATCTTGGCCTCTTCCGGCACATACTTCTCCAGCTCGGCCGTGGCCTCCTTCCCCTTCGCAGCGATGAGGCGCACGATATTGCGCGCAGCGACGCTGCCCATCGCGAACGACATGTGTCCGGCGCGGATCGCTGTCGTGTCCGCACAATCGCCGATAGCGAAGAACGTGTCCCACCGCCCGTCGTCCGACGCGACCTGCAGCGTGTCTTTGACGCGGATACACCCGTTCGGCGCGACGGCGTCGGCGTCCAGCGCGCGCATGAAGCCCGAGTGCGGCTTGGTGCCCGTGCACACGAGCACGAGGTCGGCGGACAGCGACGTGCCCTTGTCCGTCGTGACCGTCTTGGGCGTGCCGTCGAGCACGCCGGGGTTTGTGGGCCACGACATCACGCGCTCCCCCAGCACGAGGTTGACGCCGAGCTCGCCGCACCGCCGCACGACTTCGTCGTGCAGCCCCTCGCTGTAGATCGGCATGAGGCGCGGGCGTGAGTGCAGCAGCGTCACCTCTTTGGAGGGGTGCACGTCCTTGATGTCGGTAGCGAATTCTGGTGTCAGCGCACCCACCTCGCTGACGTACGAATACCCAGCGCGCCGCCGCCCACGACGATGATGCTCTGCGCCTGCTCGACCACCTTGCCCTGGCGTGCGAGGAACGCGACGCCGCCGGCCTTGGTTCCCCGCCCGCCGCCGGGATACTCGGCCCACGCGTCGCTGGGCGCGCTGAGCGCCCCGCCGAGCGCGTAGACGCAGTAGTCGAAGGCGAGGGTCTCGACGCGCTCGGCCGGCGGGTTCTGCAAGTCGATGTCGTCGTACGCCCCGTCCTTGGCGAGGACGTAGGTCACGCTGTTGGGCGACAGCGCCGTGATCACACCCTGGATTTGCTGGTGCGCATGCGACGCCGGCAGCTCGGGCGCCGGCGGGAGCGGCGAGCCCGTGCGCTCGGACTCGGGCACGTTGCCCTGCACCTCGGTCAGGCGCGCGTTCGCGAAGACGCGCGAGAGCGGCAGGAAGGCCTTGGGCGCGTGTTCGGGGAGCACGGTGAAGCGGGGGAAGGGGTAGACGTCTGGTGTGAGCGAGCAGTGCGTGGCAGCACTGGAGCCGCGGACGACATAGTCCGAGGAGATGGATATGGCACTCACGGTTCGCGTGCGTGTTGCGGTCAATCAAGACGACGCGCCAGTCCGAAGGCAGGCGGCGCGCGAGCGACGCCGCAGCGCCGATCCCGCCGTATGCGGAACCAAGGACGGCGACGGTCTTTGTAGGAGCTGTGATGGTCATGGTGGATGGTCGAGAGATGAGTTGTCTCGCGGCGCCCAAGTTCGAAAAGTGGGGGGACAGGTGACACAGCCAAGACGACACCGGAGCTCGCCGCTTTCGCAATCCGCGAGTCACGTTATAATCTGATAAGATTCGGCCGAAAGTCGCGTCCCGCGCGGCTATGGCGCATGCCCGCCACCATGCACGTGAAGCGCCACCCTCACGCCCCGTGTACCCCGCACCGGTCCCGAGTCACATTGTGCATTGCCATAGTTGAATATGTCTAGCTTCTACTTCTACTGTCTCGATCTGGTTGGACTTCCTGGCCAGCATGCATGCGCCTTCTCGCCAGCCACGCGCGCTCGGGCGCTTACTCCTCGCTCACACCGCCCTCGACGTCGCCCGCCGCCATGCGGCGCCGGAACAACACCCGCTTGCCCCACTTGTACGCCTCGGACGCGGCGACGTACACGAAGATCTGCGCAAACACGATCCCCCACTCCCACTTCATGGGGCCGATGAGGAAGACGCGGTTGTTGATGACCGGGATGTACATGATGGGGAACGTGGACGCGACGAGGGCGAGCACGCACCAGAGGAGCATCTTGTTCGCGCGCAAGTCGAGCTTGAACACTGAGATCGTCGCGTGCTTGCACTGGAAGGCGTGGAGGAGCATGCAGATCTGCAGGGTCGCCATGCACGTCGCGCGGGCGCGGAAGACGGGCGCGCACACCGCCAAATCACGCTCGTTGCAGTCGTGTCCCAGGTCGCCGGGGAAATAGCCGTACATGACGATGACGAAGTTGACGAGCGACTGGGCGCCGAGAAGGAGGCCGTAGAAGAAGAGGTCGATGATGAACTCGGGCGTAAAGATCGTCGCGTAAGCCTCGGGCGGGCGCGTCATGGCGTCCGGCGACGGCGGCTCCACGCCGAGCGCCATCGCCGGCGGGCCCGCGGTGAGCGTGTTCACCCAGAGCGCCGAGACCGGCGAGAGCGGGAACACCGAGAACCCGTCCTGGTCTTGGAACGCGAGCCCGATGAGCATGACCGTCAGCTGCCCGACGTTGCCGGAGAGCAGGTAGAGGAGGAACTTGGAGAGGTTCATGAACACGTTGCGGCCCTTGGAGATCGCGCCGATGATGCTCGCAAAGTTGTCGTCCGTGAGCACGATGCGCGCGCTTTGCTTCGCGACGTCGGAGCCCGTGCCCATCGCGACGCCCACGTCGGCGCGCTTGAGCGCCGGCGAGTCGTTGACGCCGTCGCCTGTCATGGCCGTGCTCTGCCCGCGCCGGTGCAGCGCGTCCACCATACGCACTTTCGTCTCGGGCGCGCAGCGCGCGACTACGAGAGGTAGATCGGGTAGGGCGTCCACCTCGGCGTTGCTCAGGGCATCGAACTGCTGTCCCGTCATGACCGCCGCGGCGGGGTACGTGCGCGGAAGAATACCGATGGTGAGCGCTATCGCTCTGGCCGTCGCGGGGTGGTCGCCCGTGAGCATGCGCGGCGTAATGCTGGCGGCATGGCACGCCTCCACGGCGCCGGCAGACTCCTCGCGCGGCGGGTCGTAGATCCCCGCCAATCCGAGGAATGTCCATCCTGTAGCCTCGAACGCCTCGCGCGGGAGCGAAGCGACGTCCACCGTCTCCGGCTCGTTCTTGCTCGCGAAGCCCAGCACACGCAGGCCCTGCGACGCGAGGTGCTCGACCGTGCGCATGAGGTCGTCGCGCGCCCCGGGCGTCATCTTCTCTGTACCCATAGTCGTGCAGCAGTCGAGGATGCGCTCGACTGCGCCCTTGAGGAAACAAGTGTAGCCGCCGGCACCGACATACGCGATCGACATGCGCTTAACGCCCGAATCGAACGCGTGCTCGACTACCTGTTGGTACGGCCGGGGAACGGAAATGGCGGGGATGTCCTCCGGCAGCGCAGCGCCCGTGAGCGACGGCTTGGCGTAGCCGAGCTTGTACGATGCAACCTGGAGAGCGGTCTCGGTCGGGTCGCCATTCGCCTGCCACCCCTCGTCGCTGTCGCGCGGTGGCGAAAGTACGACTTGGTTGCACAGCGCAGTACACATCGCGAGGGCGTGCAGCTCGGGCGCAGCCTCCTGGATCTTGGCCGGCGACAGCGGCTCGCCGCCGCCCTCACCTTCAACCGTCACCTCGCCGTACGGGCTGAACGGATCCGAACCGGATCTAAACGCATACGTCGTGCCACTCCCGCCCTTCTCGCCAGCCTTGGGAACCCACATCTTGCGCACGACCATGCGCCCTACGGTAAGCGTGCCGGTCTTATCGGAACAGACGTTGTCGACGCCCGCAAGGGCCTCGATCGCGTCCATGCGGCGCACGAGGACGTGTTCCTTCGCGAGCGCGGCCGACGCCTGCGCGAGCGTGAGCGACACAACTGCGACCATGGAAACAGGAAGCATCGACACGGCCGCCGCGACGGTATACGTCGCCATGCTGCGCGGAATGTCTCTAAATCCCGTGGATGCGAGCACGACGACGGCTGTGACAATCGCCGCGAGAAGGAGCGAAAAGGCGAGCTTGTTCAACTTGTACTGCAGCGGCGAGGTCTCGCGGAGACCCAGCTTGACGAGACACCAATACCATGCGGCGGCGAGGCCGGTTTCCGTGCGCTCGCCCTTGCTCTGCAGCGCGCGGGCGATCGCGCCGATCTCCGTCGCCATGCCTGTACCGGTGACGACGATAGACGCGCGTCCCTTCGTGATCATAGCGCCAGAGAATACCATGCTCAACCGATCGCCAACGGGGCAGTCGGTCTCGTCGACCGGCTCAGCCTGCTTCGAAACTGGCAACGACTCGCCAGTCAGGAAGGCTTCGTCGGCCTCGAGATTGCTCAGGCCCTCGAGAACGCGGCCGTCGGCGGGTACAATGTCGCCGTGCTTCAGCAGTACGATGTCGCCAGGGACGACGTCTTCGATGGCGATTTCGAGCGGCTGAGCCGTCGCCGGAGAGTCCGCGTGCCGCAGCACGACGGCCGTCGGCGCACCGACTACCGCGAGATTCGCGACAATCTTCTCCGCCTCCCATTCCGTCCATGCGCCTACGCTGATGTTCAGAAGGATGAGGCCGGCAATGACGCCGCCCGCAATCCAGTCCATAACGCCAAAGGACACTGCCATGGCGCCGACTGCGCGTCAACCTGAGTTGTATTGTGGTGACTCACTCAAAATTACCGTCATCGCATTTGCGACCTGTCTAAATAAAATCTTGCCGAGGTTGGCCTTGGGCGGCGGCTTGATGCGGTTCGGGCCGTACGTTCCAAGCCGGGCGGCGGCCTCGGACGCCGACAGGCCCTGCGAGGGGTCGACGCCGAGCGCCTCGAGGACCTTGGCGGCCTCGGCTGTATGAGCCGGGAACGGCAGGGCCGGTGGGGGCGAGACCTCAGATTTAGTCATTGGGGTCGCAAGTGTAGCCGACGCGGAGGGACCAGTACGGCATGAAGCGGCGGTGCGGTGGGGGCGAGGGGGGAAGAGGTAGGGTGGAGAGGGGGCGGTGAGCTGGGTGTCGGCGAGAGTCGCCGTGGATACGCTGAATTCGGGATGCGCTGTCGGAAATGCGTGCGCTTGTGAGAGACGAAGAGTCGGCGAAAGTTATATAAGCAAGGAGGGGGCGGCGTCGGCTCGGAGCACGGTGTGGGCAGGCCGAGCCGAAGGGCGGCGCCGCATGCTGGATGAGCGCTGGCGCGGGTGGGGCTGAGATAATCCGGACCCTCTATGATAGGTGGGAGTTTATCCAGGTAGAGTGGGGCGGAATGCCAAGACAAGAAGGGCGGAGATGGAATGGCGGAGATGGAATGACACGTCCGAAATACCCATGTCCGCCAGATACCGCTTGCGCCGCTGACATCCCATGTCGCTTCGGCAATGTCGTTTCAACTCTGCGCTGTGCGCCATGCGTCGTCACAGTCGTCACTGCCGTCATGCATTCCGGCGATCTCGCGCCACCTCAAATCGCGCCTGCAGAGGTGTGCTATGAGGCGCAACGTTGGATCGAATCTCGCTTGCGGCTGCGGAGGAGCACTGTCGCTCGCCGTTTGCCAATCCCGAAGCAATGCACTTGCTATGGATAATGTTTGGCAAGTCAACACCTCACGGCATGACAGAGGAAAGCTCACAAGTTTGGCCAAAGTGCGCTGCCTGGGTCAGCTCACGTAGCTGTCGCTCTCTCACTGCATTTTACTGCTCATACAACTTTCGTACATCTCCAAACATTGACTCTGTCATCCATTTTGGATCATCGCCGTACTCTCGCATACGATACGTCAAGACTCGTGCGTGTACGCTCGAGCGGTTCGACCTCGTGTACCGTCCTTTGTAGGTACACTTGCTCACACTCCTCTCTATCCCGCCTCTCTCAGACCTGGCCCTCGAGAGACGGTTCGTTGGTCAGACACTGTAGCCACATACCTGTTCCGCCCATACAACGCCCATACAACGCCTTGACACTTCCCTGCTCCGTGCATGTCAAATCCACTCCCCCCCCGCGTGGCAACAACATGGTAAGCCGCAGAGCACTGTCAATCCTGATAGTCATTTCTCCGCCTCTGTTTCGATCCTGCTACCCAGGTGTCAGAAACTCCCCCAAGTATACCCACAGCAAGGCAGTTGGGGAGCACCGTCGGTACTAGCAGCCACTCCTCCGCCAATCGCCGCTATCTCAACCCTCCTCTCCCGGTGCCATTACTCACCCCGAGTGGACTGAGTATGTGGCTGCGTGAGCAGCGTCAGCTGTGAGGCCATCAGTTAGAACTGGAACGCTTTAGGCACTTTGAGCAATCCACATCGAATCTCAAATGTATACATTGACAACCTAGCTGGGCAAAGCCGCAGCCCGCCCGGAAACCCTCAGATGCATGTCGCCTACGCCTGGGAAGGCTTGCGGACGAGCTTCGCCTCGGACGCGAGGCGGATGGCCCACGTCAGCTCGTACGACTTGGCGGCGTCCTCGAACGTCGAGAGGATGTTGGGCTCGGGCCCGTCCTCGATCGTGTCGATGAAGCCCGAGATCTCCGAGAAGAACGGGTCGTCCTCATTGTACTGGATGCGCTCCTCGTCGTTGGAGCCGGGGCGGCGCACGAACAGCGTCGGGTTCTGGTACGGGTCTGTGAGGCGGAGGAGGTAGCCGTCGGCCCAGACCTCAAGCTCACAGAAGTACTGGTCGCCCTGGAGGGCAACCGAGTGCTGGAAGGTGCCGACGGCGCCGTTCGTGTACTTCCACACAGCCGAGGTGATGCGCGGGATGCGGTCGTCGGCCGGAATCTTCTCCTCGTCCACGGGGATCTTGGAGAGCTTGCCCGGCGCCTCGTACCATTCAACAGCGTGGGCGTTCACCGAGTCCATGTCGACGTCGCCGCCGAAGTAGCGCGACAGGTCGCAGAAGTGGGTTCCCTGCTCGATGACGGGGCCCATGTCGATCGACTTCGTCCACCACGCGGGCTTCGCGATCGCCTCGTAGGCGCAGGACTGGGGTTAGCCGCGAGTCGCGCAGGGGCGCGTGTGGAGAGGATTGTGGGTGGTGGGAAGAGCGAGGGGCGTTGAAGGTGGTGGGGAGGGGCCACTGTGAACTCACGTAACGCGCGTTGGTCGCCATCACAGTAAGGTTGTTCTCGTGCAGAATCTGCTTCATCTTCTGCACGCAGCGGAGGTAGCGGAGCATGTAGCCGACCGACACGATGTTGCCGTTGGTGAGCAGGCTCTTAGCAACCATCTTGGCGCTCTCGACCGGACACGTGCCGACAGGCTTCTCAATGAAGTAGGGCACGCGTGGGAAGTACTTGATGAGGGTGAGCTCGAGATCGGAGCCCTTGGTCGTGCCGCCGCGGTAGGCGGGAGGGCAGCCGACGATGATGGCGTGTGGCTTAGGGAGCTTGTCGGCCGCAAGGGCAGTGTTGTAGTCCTCGACCGTCTTGAAGAACTTGCAGTTCTCGTACGCCATGCGCACGAAGCTCTTGCACTTCTCCTCGACGACCTGGCGCGCGCGATCCAGGTTCGGGTCGATCAGCGCCGTCACCTTGAGACGCGGGCCGAGCTTGTGCTCGAGGCGGAACGAGTGGTTCCACGGGCCCTCAGCCGAGCCGAACATAATGTTCTGGTGTGAGTGGGATGCTGGCGGTGGCGGCAATGAATGCGGGGCCAAGGGGGCGATGCCGGAGTCACATATGAACTCTTCGCCCTCGCCAGCAGCTCCTCTTGCTGCCCCCCCTCGCCCCACACACAGCGTGACTCACCCCTGCGCCGATCATAACAATGTTGAAGTCAGCTCCAGGCTCAGGTGGAGGGTATCTATCGTCAGCACTGCGACCACCCTAGAGACTCACGAGCTCATGTCACGAGGCGTCTCCGGGTCGAAGGCCGGCTCATCGTCGACCGCATTCTCGACAGACACAGCAGAGGAGTCGCCAAGCTGCATGGAGGTCATGGCCAGCACCTCGGTCCAAGGGGTGGACGAGCGGCGGCGGCGGCTGGTAGACTTGGGGGCGTCCTCGGCCATTGTTGCGGTGGTTTTGTATGGATGTGGTGGGGGAAGAGGAGGCGAGAGGAGACGAGAGGATGCGAGAGGATGAGAGCAGATGAGAGAGGGGGCCGAGACTGGAGAGGTTTATATGCAGCGCAAAGTTGTCAGGCTGCGCGCTGTCCAGTGGAGAAGCAATTGAGTCAAGATTGCGTAGATTGCCAGATCTGCGAACCCCCATTTTGTTGTTGCTGGAATGGCTCGCTGTGGCTAGAATTGGATCCTGTACACGTGTTTCTCCCCCGACTCGCTTGCAATGCGCGCTCGCAATCCACAGCCGCAGTCGGAGTCGCTAGCGCGTCCTGATGCTATGCACGGCACACGGCCCAAGGCTCAAGGCTAACGACGGGGTAGAGGGCAGAGGCACCCCGCCAGGCCCGAAGCCAGCGCGGAGATGGCGGGGCAGGATTGGGGGGCTGATGTCATACATCCATTCGTCCCGACTCGCCAATCTCGCGTCTGAATTGGGCTAGCGTGCGCGAATGCGACAGTGACCTCGCGATCCTCAGTTCTTCGGACACTTGAAATTGTTTGCTTACGAGCCAACTTGTTCGCGTCCCTCTCGAGGTAGGGCATGCGTACACTGCGTGACGTGCACCAACCTTGGTCGATGGCGGAGGCGAAGAAAGCAGAGTACCCGCCCCACGGTTCAATCTGCCAGCCATCGTCCATTGGGCGGCGGGCTCGCGCGCTGAATGACTGAATACTGAATACTCAATGACCACTGCCGCCGGCACACGAGCATGTGTGCCAAGCCAGGCATGCTGGCTGTCTCTGAGACATGCGTGCCAGGATCCAGGTGCACGCGATTCAGAGTCGAGCTCAGGTAAGCAGGCCACAGGCTACTGGCCCGACCAAAACATTACCCCACCGCTGCAAGCGAGCGGCAGACCGAGGGCCTCTGGCATTTGGCATGCTAATTTGGCATGCTTCCCCACAATCCAGGTGATGCGGAATCCAGGTGAATGGCTTGTCTCCTCTCTTCGATACCAATCGTCTCGTCCGGGAGTACCCCGCAGATCGCCGGATCATCAACCCCCACACAAACATAAGCGTGCAAGGCACAGTGCATTTACATTCCTTCCAGCATTCTGAATAGAAAATGGAATGCATTCATGTCCTCTCACTCGCACACCATTCCATCTCTTTCAATCTCATCACTCATCAAGTCGTTCAGTGTCCAGTGTCCAGTGTCCATGGAAGCGCACGGGCCTCCGTCCAATACGTCTACGCGGGGTACACGCTGGCGTCAGCTCCCGCGCGGCCCCTCGCCGCTCCTGCGTCCTGACACCGGACGCTGCTGCTCTCCTGATGTTCGCCCAGCAACCCAGCCGTTGTAGCCACTCACAGATCCCACTGCTGGTTCGTGTTGCCGGGGAAACACTCCCACATCTGCACAGGCTTGGTTGGGTCGCCGTCCGTCACGTCCAGGCAGAGGTTGTGGCCGTCGAGCCGGATCGTCCCGTCCGCATGGTACCGCCACTGCTGCTGCCACACACCGTTGTAGCACTGCCACATGTGTGGCTTGACTCCGTTACCGGGATCTGTGTGTGAGCGGATAAGCACGAGAAGCGAGTGGGCGAGCAGAGTCGCGTTGGTGGGCGCCGAGAGGCGCGCAGTCGAGTGAGCGAGGAGTGGGGTAGGTCGGTGGGGTGAGTGGTAGGCCAAACACACTCACAGAGTGTCGCGTCCATGCACCGCGTCGGGCCCTGGTTGATATTGCCCGTGACGCTCCACGAGGGGTTGCAGTAGCGGAAGTAGCTCATGCCGCTGGCGATCAGCGTGAATCGTGTCGCACTCACATCTGGATCAGGTCGCCATTGCGTGTACCCGTCGGCCCGCCGCCGGCACACGCCATGAGCGTGCGCCGGTCCGTACCGTGCCGCCAGTAGATGAAGGGCGAGACCTGGCGCGAGAGAAGGATGCCCTCCTCCGGGATCGGGTCTGGGAGGGGCGCCGGGGCGGCGGCGACAAGGGCGGCGAGGGCGATGAGGGGAGCGAGGAGCATGTCAGTAGGAAGCGGAGTGGGGTGAGAGTAAGGGAGAGTGAGACGACCGAAGGCTTATATGCTACTGGGGCGTCAGCTGACGCTCGCCAAGACCGCCCACTCTTCTCCCCGCGGAATATCGCTCGGACCGTATGTAAGAAGGAGCGGAATGCGGAGGGACCCTGCGCCGACGCCACTGCACAGCTTCCGCTCGTCAGCGGACACATACCTTCGATGTCCTCGAAAGTCGCCCATCTCCGCGGGCTCGTGCAGGATCTGTCCTCCTACGCTTCGGGTCGATTCCACTGGCTGAATCATGTTGAGCCACTGTGTCTGCTGATGATCCAGCGAGATGACGAGTGGGTTCTTGGACGCGCAAGGAGTCGCGGGATCAGCTGAATGGGCAACCTCCTGCAACTCCTGAGAGGTGATGGGGTATGATTGGGTATGGCACGGACCACGGAGGACCATGCTGTGGGTCTTGTCACAGCTTATGCGGGAGGTCGGCGACAATGGAAACATGTGCGCTCGTGCGGAGAATCGGTGGGTGTTACGGGAAAGCCAAGATTTCGCAATGGTCCTCTTCTCGCAATGTAGCCCTCTCGACCGCAACATATCGATGAGCGCGGTGCTGGTGACAATTAAACACGTTTAGAGAGCGAGGTGCGCAACTCTGTCCTGTGCATGGGCTTGCCTTGATAACTAAGTCAGTACGTGCAATTACGGCTTGATTGCGGCGTGTTACCTTAGCGAGAGAGAAGCGAATCTGTTGTTCCCAACAACTATCGATTCTCCTCATATGAGCCTATTAGAGAGATGCGCAACCACTTGCGTGACCGACACATGAAGCCTTGCCTGATCGCTCAACATGTTGAGCGATCAGGCATCCGTCCATCTTGCCGCCGAGCACTCTCGCGATTATTTGTGCAAGCGCCATCATTCCACCCGAACGACCATCTCTGGCACCCCATGTACCCCCTGCAACAACACCAAGTGCATATGGAGAAGGAAGAAAAAAAAAAGAACAAAGCCCGTCAGCCCGGATCGAGAGGCCGTTCCCTAGATAACCTCGCGTCCAAACTCCTGGAATGAAGGCGGAGAACTACAACGGAAGAGAGGAAGTGGTGATGCAATTCACGATATGGGCCTCCAGATTGCGCGGAGCCGCAAGGGGTCAAAGGAGAAGCCGAGGGGGTTGGGCAGAAGAGGCCCTCATGAGCAGCAAGGCGAACGAATGTCACGGAATAGAGGGCGTCTGAGTGCTCTTGGACGGGCAATTCGGCGCATGAAGGGTATGGGTGTGTGATTCCGTTGAACCCGCGTACACTGGGCGCGAGTCGTTGTGATAGTGCACGGGAACGGAGACGGCGTTGAGTACGCGGCGGTCGCTCTGGGGAATGAAATTATCGTGTCGGGGCCCGAAGTGAACCTGGCCTGGCCCGGTGTCCGAGCTTAACCAAGACAGGAGGCGTCGCCTATCTAAGGACACGGCCGAGGCTGACAGGAATGGGCCGTAGAGGCCCAGCATGCAAATCACCAGGATCAGAGGGCGGAAGGATTTGACAGCGTAGAAAGGGCTGAGGACGACAGCACAGAGTCAGAAACGCGATCCAGACGGAGGCGCCTGCAGGCAAAGCGCATTGGGAAAGTGACGGAGAGACACACAGCGAGGAAAAGGGGTGGCGCTGGACCCAAAAATGTCGTCGTCAAGCTGATATGGTGTCCAAACCAGTGGGCGTTTGACTTCTGGGGGTTCCGTGGATCGATCCGTATTTCGCTATGTAGAACGAAATGCTCTGGAAAGTCTTGCAATGGCCGGAGCGTCATATCTCGTCCGTCACAATTAATTTCCCCGAGTGGGCGGACCCTTGCGCGTATCGCCTCAGTACGTTCCCCGGTCATCGGTCGCACGGTTCAGCACGTGTCTACCTTGTTGGCATTCCTTGCAAGACCGCGTTCAACCATGCAGCTTTGCTGGGGCATGAAGAACCCCAGGTTGATTTCTAGGGTCGACCTGACCTGTCGATGTCGGGGGTTTCGACGCGGGAAGTCTGAGTCGTGATGACGGCGTAGGTTGAAAGGACGCTCCGCTGTCATACACCGCCAAAGCTCCTGTCACCGTACCGCCTGCAGCAACGGCCTGGCTTACGGGAGACACGTCGACAGCCCGTCGATATTTCAGCGCGTAGCTGTGGAAATGGATGGACATAAGTTTGTGTTTGGCCAAAAAACATCCCGAACGAGGTTCCGAGTGCGATCTCGCATGCGACCATAAAGTGCCTTGCGAGTAATGCCTGGACAAGAGGTACAGCAGGGCCGCGAAAAGACAGAATAATTCTGTAAAGGGCTGAAATTGACGTCCTCCGGTGTGGCCTTTAGGTGCAATGCGTTTGAGCCCCGTCCTAGCCTTCTCAGCCAAGATGTCGTTCTGCCCACAGATCTAGCCGCATAGCCAATGTCGCATTCGAGATCGCATACGAGATCGCACCCGGAACCTCGTTCGGGATGTTTTTCCTCTGGTGTTAGCTGAAGACCGAAGAAACAAGGAGTTGAGGGTGTCAAGGTGTGATTATACGAAGGGCCAGGCGTTGGCGTGTGGGCGAGAAGGAGATGGCTAACTGTGGGTGATGAGGGAGTGAGAGTGGTGGTAGGCGCGATTTATATCTGCCTTCTGGGTCTACCGTTCGATTTGCCTCTCGGGCGGCTGGACAGAAGCCCACACGGCACATCGCGTGGGAATGCGCTGAGGCGCTGAGGAGGGTGACTCTGCGTTCGTGTGAATGGCTGCTTCGCTCGCTGTGGATGCGAAACCGATGTGTGGGATGCATGTGGTAGTTCGCGCCGGAACTTGGCCACTGACGGTGGCACTGCACTTCGACGCTGGTGGGTGGGATGTTTGGAACAGAAGAGGGCAGCATTCGGCACTGGGAGTCGTGTGAATTGTGACATCGCCGCAGACACGTTCACTCCCCAGACTGGCCAACCGGAACAAGTTTTGTTGACTAGCTGCTTCCCCATCGCACCTGATGAGCGTTTTCTGTCTCTAGTGTGTCCGCTCGCTCTCCATGCTGTTCAGTCGAGCACCCTGCGTGCCGAGGGACGCCATCTTAGGTGAGTGACTCGCACCAGATCTCCTACTGGGACGGGGCGGGCGTTGCACCTCGCAGCAGATGCACCCCGTTCTCCCCCTACTCTTTTTCGGGGTACTCTTAGCATGCATACTGCACACACGGCATCATCGCTCGCTGATACTCAACCTTCGCAATCACATCCGAGTTGTCCGAACATCTCACATACGCTCTTTCCGTGCTGCTCATGCCGCCATGCTACAGTTAGCCTACTCTTCCTCGACGTACATGTCAAATTGCTGGTTCCTGTTACCACTGTAGCACTGCCACAGCTGGAGACTCTTGTCCATGTCGCCGTCCGTGACATCGAGGCAAAGACCTGGCGTAAGCCACTCGCCGCCCCTTCCCACAGCTCCCCTACCTCCCTCGCCTTCGCAACTCCCCTCGCCCCTCCCCCTCCCCTTCCCCCTCTCGCCCTCTCGCCCCCGGTCCCCTAGAATGCTCACCCGTTCCAGCCAGCTCGATCCTCCCGTCCCCATACGTCACCCAGTTCTGCTGCCAAGCGCCCGCATAGCAGTCCCAGATATGCGGCTTCACGCCATTGCCCGGATTCAGAGTGCTGTCGAGGCACGCGGGCACGCGCCCCGAATAGTGTTAGTGTTGCGGATCGCGCCGTTCTCGATGTACCACCGGCCATGGCAGTAGCCGCTGCCCTCGAACCTTGGCTCAGTCACGAAGCAAGCAGATGGGCGAAGCTCACAGTCGGATCTGCGCACCGTTGTGGATCGGAACGTAAGGATTGTTGGCGCAAACTAGCACCTCTCGGCTGGGGGGGCCGTGCCGCCATGTGATGCGGAAGACCGCGGCGCGCGCGTAGAGGTCGACCGGGGTGGCGGTGGCTGTGGCGAGGAGGGTTGAGAGGGCGAGAGTGAGCATCGTGAGTGAGTGTCGCTCGGGGAGGCAATGCATTGGCCGACCACAATTATGGCCAACTCTAGTGCTGGTTGTAGGCAGTCATCTGACGATGCTGTGGATGGCAAACGGACCGGGCGCAGAGACGAGATCAACCCGCCAAATAAGGTTATGAGCCTTAGAGGAGTGTCACAGATCCTTATCCGCGGAATGCATGTGCTGTGGCTGCCTCCCCCATGACTGGATGCGCGGGTGGAGCGTGTTCATTGAGACTACTGGCCACTCCGATCGTTCAACTCTGCCGTGCTTCTAAGACTGCACCCGCGGTATTTCACCTAGTAAACTCTGAACTGGTTTCCAGTGGAATCGCAGTTTCGGAATGTTGCGCAAAGAACGCCGCTTCCGACACTGATGCACGAGCAGTGTAGTTTCGTTTCTCCTTCGTGGACCTCTTGCAAAGAGCAAGCCCTTCAGATGCGGATGGATGCTTTGGATGCAGCTTCCGAAGCAGACCACTGTTCATTGTCCTACGCATTCTCCCTTTCTCGACCACTATCCATGGTCCTGCTCAATGACCGACATCGAGCCCCTAAGGCGGAGTCCACGCGACGCTGCCATCAGCCGTCTCCATATGCACCCCACATGTCAAACTGCTGGTTGATGTTGCCGTCGACACACTCCCACAGCTGGAGGCCGTTGCTCGCCACGCCGTCCCTGACGTCAAGGCAGTACCCTGGTGTGAGCGCGCCGGCGCTGACGCTTACCGCGGCCCGTCAGCTCGATCTGGCCGTTGGCATGGTGCGTCCAGCTCTGCTGCCACGCGCCGGCGTAGCAGTCCCACATGTGCGGCTGCACGCCGTTCCCGGGGTCTAGTCAGCGCCGCCGCGTGCGTTCTCACAGAGCGTCGAGTCGATGCAGCGGCCCGTGAACGGCGCACCGGGCCACGCCGTCCCGATTGCGCCGTCGTTCAGGTACCACGATGTCCCGCAGTAGCGCATCGGCTGCGGGATGCTGGGGTCAGTGCTGCCGGGCACGGCGTACAGGTCAAGTCTGTCGCCGTTGCGCGAGCCCTCGGGCCCGGCGGAGGCGCAGCTCGTCAGCTGGTTCCGCGTCGCGTCGCCGCGCCAGCGGATGGTGTTGACTACGGTGCGGGGGAGGAGCGAGCCCTCGGGCACGGGGGAGGCGGACGCGAGAGCAATGAAGAGCAGAAGAGTGGTGGGCATAGCGGCAGTGCACGTCAGTGTGACAAGGAGGAGTGCACGTCCCGTTTATATGCCTACCACGACCGAGCGGAGTGCCTGGAGAAGCGGAGCTTGTGTGATGACGCCGAGCGGGGCAGTGCATACGTGCTTCAAATTGGTCGGTGTGGGCATGTGACGAACAACGAGCGCTGACGTACACGTAGACAATTAGACAAGGTTAACTGTGTTGTGTGTGACTTGCAGGCGGGCTATCACATGGCACACGGGCGACTGATCCAGCGGAATGCTTAGAGACTGACATGCTCAATCGGCCGAATTAATTCAGTTGCGATGAGCGCAGCGGCGGCCGACGTCGAGTGGAAGTGCTGCCCAAGAGCTCTACGAGCAGCGATCGACTGTCTTCTCTTGGCTGCCAGCCATGCCGTGGCGGACGGCCTCTTCAAACCACATCCCGACAGCATCTCGCCGCGACAGCCGACGGACTGCAGATGATGTTGTGTTTGTGGGCCCTATTTATGCCGACATCACTATCATGGCCACCACTTCAGGAACACATTCACATAGGCAGGATTCATTCACTCAGTTGAGAAGTTGCCCGGGGTACGGACCGCTGCCGTCAGCTCAGCTGCCTTGCACGCCCAAGGACTTACATGTCGAACTGCTGGTTGGTGTTGCCTGCGATGCACTCCCACAGCTGGACATCGGTGCCGCCGTCGCGCACGTCGAGGCACAGGCCACGGCCTGCAAGCTCGATGCGCCCATCCCGGTGGATCACCCAGTTCTGCTGCCATGCCCCGTCGATGCACTCCCACGCGTGCGGAAGGACGCCGTTGCCCGGGTCTGCTATCAGACGGGTTGCGTAGCACTTACTCAGTGTAGCGTCGATGCAGTACTTCCTCATCTTTGCCGTGGTCTCGGTCCGCAGTGTTCGCGGGGTTCAAGCTAGCGTGCCCATCATGCCCGAAATCAAGCCTAAGGACCGAGCCAAGCAGAACCGGACGCGTTACGCGTTGCTGATACGGAGGCTAGGGCAGGAACACCGGAGGAAAGAGTATGTACAGTGCGCGTGTCAAAGCCCGAACGCGCTGCGTCCGTGATGCCGTGATGCCGGCCGCATGTTGGGCTAAGAGGGAGGAAGGGTGAGAGATGGCGCACGTCCCAGCACTGACGCCAGATTCTACAGCAGGCCGTCACCATGCTTTCGACGACGATGATCACGACAACAACAACAACAACAAGGTCCCGTCCACCTACAGTCATCCTTTGCGCCGAATCTCAACAATGCACAACAATGCCTATCGTAAGACATGTCTTCGACGACGCTAATGTCTACCTTGAGACTCCTGTCTGCAAGCCAACCACATGGTCGTCGAGGTCGTGGTCACATAGCCAATGGCAAGGAGACAGCGACGCGCGCCCCAGCACTGTCGAGGCGACCCAGTATTTAGAACAACAACTGAATCTAGGCAGAGGTCACTGAGTGGGAAGGTGGCACGGTTGTAAGGTTAACTGTGGGTCTAGTGTACAAGAGTGCAAGTCCCCGCCTCGCGCGGACGATCATCTGCAGAGACGATTGATGGATCCGACGTAGCAACCCCGGCGTGGCAGCCCTGGCCCAGCCGCATTCGCTCGCATGAACACTCTCGCCCAACTCTCACCTAGTCTCGAGAAACCGATGTCAACACGCGTGCCAGCAACCACCACCGCAGCGTCACTCGATTCACTGACCCCTCGATCTCCAGATAAGGAGGCAGGCACGGCAGACCCAGTTCGAAGCTTTCCCCTTCACGTTCCTGCACCAATTGTTATGCCGGCACCTCCGAAACGTGCACCTTGCTGACGTGCAGTGCGGCTGGGCTGGCTTCGGGGGAGAGCGGGTGCTTTCGGGCATACGGAGATCTCTCCACAGCCATATGCCCAGCCGAATTGACGGCCGCCCGGGGCCCGCGCCGCTGGCTACGATCAGCTCGATCAGCGCCTGGATGGCCAGACGGCGCGGGACGGGAAACTGAGTACTGGGGAATGTTGGGCAGGATGGGTTTCGGATGTGGACACGCTTGTTCATGGATCTGATTAGAGGTCGAGTTCGCGGTCCCGCCGGACGCTGGGCGACTGCTTGACGGTCTAAAAGGGAGCGGGGCGCATGAGAACCGCAGCTGAGTCGTGCTTCGTGGCCCGTTGGCGCCCACGCCTCGGACTGCAAGTCGGGCAGCACGTTTCCGAGAGCCTTCGCTCAGCGTATTATTGACGCGCAGCCAAGAACATGTGAGATGCGATAGGGCGGAGAGGCCTTCCGCCGGAGTAGGTCCTCCGAGCCCGATCGACTACTTGAGACTTTTGCCGATGGAACTGTAGGTTGGCAGATTAGGAGATAGATCATAGATCATGGATCGATGAGATTGAGGTTGATAAGCGCACTACTACCTGAGTAGAACGACCATGGCTGTTCTTTGACATGTGTGCCGTGATCAGGATACAGTCCATGTGCAGCAGCGTGAATAGGCTCGATCTAAGACAGGTCCCTTGTACAACTGAAGGCGCCCGACTTCCGGTGAGTGTTGTGTTGCTGTGCACGATTGAGAATGGTGGAGACATGGAGACAATGAATGATCGTGAATGATGGATGATCGAATGTCCAGTGTGTCGATGGAGAGTCAGAAGGATCATGGGATCATGGGGGGACAAAGAAACAACAGGTGGAGGGAAGGTGAAGGTGACGAAGCTTGAGAGTGTTGATAGTCGCGGTTCGTCAGTAGTGAGTGCGATCAGCGGTCCGTTCTTGGCGTGCACGAGCCTGCGGTCATCCGGCGTCTGACCCGGCATTTGCTTCCAAGTGATGGGGGTGATGGTGTGATGGGGTGAGTCAACTTGATTCACCTCGCGCCTCGTCATCCCCACAGCTCCACAGCTCACGCAGCTGCGCAGCAACCACATATCGTGATACGCGACACGTGATTTTTTGATCAACAGGTCGCGCATGCGAGATGATCGAGACGAGCCAACGGACTCTGGTTGGACACCGGTGGGAAGGGACATCGGTCAAGCGTCCATGTATACATGTACACATGTTTAAATGTATTCAGTCTTGGTCAACTGGTCAGTCACCAGCCATAGTCGTGCTAGTTGTGGACATGAACGGAGAGATACGCGCGATATGCAGATGCAATGCATGTCACGTGCTCCTGAGCTAACGGCGCACGCCAACACGACGCCCAATGCAGCTTGATAAGAGGTACACGTCATTGTATTTTGGCGCCATCACCCAACCACGGTGAGACCGCATGGAGGCATGTCACCCATCTCCCTTCTGGCCTTCTGCCCAGCATGCCCAGCTTCCTTCCGCGGGTTCCCTTTGCTCAGTGGCGTGCGTGGCGTTGTCATTTACCCTGTGGCGGAAGCGATCCGCATCCTTGGTCAGGATGGTCAGGAGTTTCAGGAGGAATGCACGTACTCCAGTATTGCCATGCACACCCCACACGCGAGCGCTGGCTTGCATACGTCCGGTCGTCGGAGCACCCGCCGAGCGCATGTCCGACAACATGATGGAAACGTCGCACTCCGGTCGTCGCGCTGGTTGCCAAGCATGCAAGCAGGCGGATGAGTGATCAGTGAGGGCGAGGGCGCATGCCAGCGATCGCCAGTTCCGGACTTCAGGGCGGCTTCCGAGGGCACCAGGACGTATCCGGCAAACTGGGCAGAGGTTGATTAGGTTGATTATAATCAGCCTGGATTAAGCCGAGGGCATATTATCACACACAACTAGTGCATGAGTGCAGTCGATCGCCCCCTCGAGCCTCGAGCCTACAAGATCGCACCCTCGCAAGCTCGCAATCTGCTGCGGACTGCGTCGCAACGTCGCCGCGCTCGTCGCCATGCATTGTAATCAGCTGATCAGCTGACGCCGGCAGTAGACCGTTTGTCACGATAGTTCAATCTGTGTCTCGACGCCATAGATCTAATAAAGCGACGGCTTCGCACATGCTCATCACGCTCATGGCTTATCGCGGGTTTGCTTGGCCGCCGCAACACGCCGCACGGCCGCACGCCGAAGGGCTCACCGCGCGGACTCATCCTGCCTGCCGTCATTGCGCACATGGCCGCCGCTTTGGGGTCCCAAGATTTACCATGCCGTAGGGCGTGATAGGGCGCTGGATGTAAGCTCTGAGCATATTGTTTGCCTGGTGTTGGTCAGAGACTCGGCAGCTCTCGGCAGAGGGGGGGGGAAAGAGAGAGAGAGAGAGAGAGAGAGAATGGCCCGACAGGCCGACAAACCGGAGCCGAGTGGGAGGCATGGGAGGGAGGCGCCGCGGGAAGGTGAGGCTTGCCATCCCAGTGAGCTAGCCAAACTAGCCAGGGTGAGGCCGGTGCTTCCCCCCCCCCCGTTGCTTCACCCGACCCGCAATCGATCACGTCCTGGATTTCGTTAGTCGTCGCTCTCTCTTCTCTCTCTCTCTCACTCCCTCGCCCTCGTCGTCGCTTTACATCATGCCTGTCGTGAGTCTCCGGCCTCGGATGAGGGTCTATCGTTCCCGCCCAGGCATGCGGCGCCATCCGGCCACCCGCTCAACTCAACACACTACTCATCCAAACCCAACCCCCACTCTCATCCATCCCAAGGGTCACGCTGACGGCAGTACATGGGTTCTTCTGGACAAGCCGCCCATGTCCCCCAGGGGGGCTCTGCCTCGCTCGCGTCCGAGGCCTACGACGCTAACGACGCCCGAGACGCCCACGACACCCGCCATACCCGCGACACCGACGACACCACGCGCCCTGTCTCAAGAGCCAGCAGCAGATTAAGTACCAACACGTTTGGCTTTACCTGTCCCACTTCGCCCAACATGAACTCTGAAGCTGAATCATGGCGTACTGCCCTTCAGTCTTCCTCACAAATCACCATCACGACCGCCGGTACCCACGGCGACTACGACGAGCAAGACTTTGACACCGAGTTCGACGAGTCTGAGCGCGACCTCGAGACTCAGGCCGCGCCGATCACCCCACCTTCCCCTGGCCCAGTCATGTCGCCAACTACCACCACTACACACACCTCCACATCCACACCCACATCCTCTTCCACCTTCACATCCACTCCGCCCGCCTCGCCGCCCATGTATGGGGCCAGCACGCGGGTGGCCAGCCTGCCCGAGCTGAGCCGCTCAACGTCAACGGTGAATCCCGCAACCCCCTCCACTATCCATTTCCCTCGCATGGATCAACCGCATGGCCCGCACGTCTTATCTAGCGGATCCAGACGATCCGTTTCGCTCTCCTCACTCAAGGAGACGCTTGCAGACGACGAAAAAGTGGTCGTCGACGACGTTGACGACAAGTGGCGACACGGCCGTTTCGTGTATCATGGCGACGGTTACCTTCCTCGGTCAAATCGCGAAATTGTCGTGTATGACGAAGGGCATGGTCACGGTCACGATCACGATCACGACCATGGTCACGGTCACGCCAACGGGCACGCGCACGGGCACGTTCACGGGCCGGGGCCTCGCAGCCAACATCACAACTATTCCACCTCCACCGCGGACGCTGGCGAATGGGAGGACATTGAAACAGATGGAAAGGAGCTTGTCTCAAAGTCGGAAGCGGAAGCGGAACCCAACGCGCCGCCCGCATGGACGACTGAGATTCCGACACCAGAGCAAGTGCGCGATGCAGCAGGATGTCACCTGCTTGACGAGTGGGGCAACACGGTGCGATTTGGCGACATGCTTCCTGGCGGACCCGCGTGGCGCTCGGCATCTCTTGCGGGCAAGCCGGTGAAAAAGGTGCTCACCCTGTTTGTGGGGCACTGGTGGTGCGGCCTGTGCCACGACTATGCGATCGTCTCCGTCGCAAAGCTCTCGCCTGCCGCGCTCATCCGCGAGGGTGTGCGCGTAGTCATCATCTCGAGTGGCAGCTGGAAAGTGATCGCAAAGTACAGAGCGACATTCGACGTCAAATTCCCCGTGTTCGTCGACAACGGCACGCGGTTGTACCGCGCACTGGGTCTCCCGAAGAGCACACCGAACCCCTTCGCCGAGGCCATGGTCAAGGACCGTCCGGCATACCACCAGCACCCATTCGCGCGGCAAATGGCAACGGGCATGGTCGTGAGTTTTCCTTTGGGGTTGTATCTGACACAAAGCGCGGCATCTTCCAGTTTGGCGGCATTCGGTTCCGGAACCCGGGAAACTTCATGCAGCTCGGCGGCGAGTTTGTCTTTGGTCTCGACTACTCGTGCGACTATGCGCACCGGATGCAGGGGCGCGGCGACCACTGCGAGGCGCCGGACGTGCTGAGCGCCGTGGGGGTGCAGAGCACGCTGGGCGCGCCGATGAGCAATACATTCGAGGAGGAGCGCGCGCAGGTCCGCCGCCGCATCCGGGCCGGGTCGCATATGTAATGTTGTAGCTTGATTCTGGGTATTTAGGGGCGCAGCAATAGATGCGATGATGCTGGGTTATCTCGTGAGCATGACACGTAAGCGGGGGTTATCGGGCGCCGGTGGATGGCAGGGTGCTTCAAGCATAGCGGGACGCGGGTCAGGTTGAGGGGCGGCGTGCGGCGGGAGCGGCGTGTCAGGGGGGAAGATGGATGGGACGGCAGACGCCGCGTCGCGTCAATCGTGAGCGCCGGCAGCGTTGGCCAGTGGCAGTGGCGATGTGGCAAGGCAAATCAAACGCCGCGGCCTGTCGATCCATTCTGATGCATGTAGACAACATTGCAACAATATGGCGTCCCGGACCGGACGCCACAGCGGTACAGCGACCTGGCGACCTGGCGGGGTAATGTCGGGCGTCCCTCTTTCCTCATTCTTTTCTCTTCTTCGTCCGATCGTCCACCTCCACCTCCACCTCCACCATCGTGTCCACCCAGTCCTTGATATTCTTCGTTTCTTCGCCTCACACCCCTCTCCTCCCTCCTCCGTCGTCCTCTGCCTCCTCCCCGAACGCATCACCGCAGCTTCTTCTTCTCGTCCGCATACTGTCGTCAGCCCTCCCCCCTCACCACTCACATCGTAAAACCCCCGCCCGCTCTTGCGCCCCAACCGGCCCTGCGCAACCATATCCTCTATCAGTCTCGACTTGGGCTCGACGAACGCGCGCGGAATCCACCCCTGGTCGGCCCGCCGCTCCCACCCCTTCCCCACCGCCGCGGCCGTATCGAGCCCGACGTAATCATACAGCTTGAACGGGCCCATGGCTGTCTCAGCTCTGCCGGCGCGTCCGCGGTGCGACTCACGATATCCCGCGCCCAGCTCCATCGCCTTGTCGATGTCGGCGACGGTCGCGTCGCCCCGCTCGACCATGCGCACCGCTTCGCGGTTGTACGCGAGCAGCAGGCGGTTGAGGATGAAGCCGGGCGTGTCTCGGCACGTTACGGGGTCTTTGCCCAGCCGGCGGGCGAAGGACAGGAGCGCGGCGTGCGTGGCGGGGCTGGTGGCGGGGGTGTGGATGACCTCGCAGAACTTCATGACGGGGACGGCTGGGGTTAGGGGCTACGAGGGAGGGAGGAGAGCAAGAGGCGTGGCGCGACGGCGGGCGAGAGAGGGAGGGATAGGAGGGGAGGAAGGAGATAGAGAGGGAGGGAACGCACGGTTCGAAAAGTGCAGTCCGCCGAACAAGGCTTTGCGCGCGTCGGAGACGTCCGCCGCAATCTCGGCGATGAGCAGCGCCGACGTGTTCGACGCGAAGAGCGTATGCGGCGCCGCGACGCGGTCCAGCGCGGCAAATAGGGCTTGCTTGAGTGCGAGGTCTTCCACGATGCTCTCGATGACGAGGTCGACGCCGGCGACGGCAGCCGCGCTGGGTGAGCACACCGCGGGACCGCAGACGCGGTCGGTGGGAGGACTCACGGATCAGTGTACGTCTGAATGCGCCCCAACACTTGCGCGACGTATGCTTGCGGCTCTTCGCCCGCCTTCTTCCCCACGCGCGCGGCGGACGCGCGGATGATGCCCAACCCGTTTCTGCGTAAGCGCGGCATGCGCACGCGACTCACGATATCGCGGCGTCGCTCACGTCGACGAGGTGCACGCGCACGCCGGCTTGCGCGCACACCTGCGCGATGCCGGCGCCCATGAGGCCGGCGCCGTACACGGCAACAGTAGAGATTTGCGTGGACATGGTGCGTAGGTGGTGCGTAGGGATGAGAGAGCGACGGCGCTGGTTATGAAGCATTGCGGGCCGGTGTAGCCGGCAGCCGGTCGCTCATGTCCGACGCATGTGATGTGGCGATCGGCGCGCGGTGGGCATGTCATGCATGTTGGCTCGGAGCAGGCAGTTGTGCCATACTGCTCGGCGCTGCATCGCTGTGCGAGCGCAACGAGCTCGCAGCAAGCGCTGAGGACCACCTGCTGCGCTCCTCCCTTGCATCACATTCCGTATCGGCTCGGCCTCGGAGTGCGCGGAGTTACGGTTTTCCGCCCAAGGCGTTTGTGCGGCGCGGAACCCCTGAGCGCACAGCGGTCCGTGCCAGACCACTCTATCGTCATCGAAGGTTTCCAGGTAACACCCCAATCAGATGCGGAACGATTCAATGCTCGCTCGACTATCGTCCGCCGACTGTTAGCGGTGCAGCACCCAAATTGGACAACCCGGGAAATCCAATAGGATTAGGCGAGAATCCAAGCCTTGCATAGTAACTCCAATTGAACTGGGCCTGAATCTTCCATGTCTGAGTCGTTTACGTAAGCGTGCGGACAGGCATGTCCTCCCTCGGCGGCCGAGCGTCGCGGCCTGCGTCGCGGCCTGCGTCGACGTCGACGTCTGCATCATGCATCGCGAGCTCCACTTCTCCTCTCCACTCGTGAGGTGGGAGCTTGAATGAATCATGAGGCGTGGAGCGTGGAGCATGGAGCATGAAGCGTAGAGCACGGACATGGCTGGCGGCGATCATTGTTTGGTTCTCGGATTGCGGAATGCATCCATTCATAAGCATTATACGACTCTAACTATCTATCTCCCGCCTACTGGCGCTGGCGTGCCCACTCGCGCTCGACGTCTGCGCGGCGCCGCTCGCTCAGGTCCCACCTCGTGCGGAGTAGCGTGTCGAGGATACCTGGCGATCCGAAGCCGTCCGAGAAACTGACGTATCCGCGGGTATGGTGCTCGAGATGCGCACGGTTGTCGAGGAAGTCGGCGAGCCACGCCGTGACGAACTTGCGGATCGGCCCGCGCTCCTCCTCCTCGATCTGCTTGTACGCGGCCTCCTTCTCCGCCGGCGAGAGCGGCTTCTCGCCGACATTCTCAAACGCCGGGCGGAAGAGCGTGGCAAAGTCGTACCCCGAGTGCTCGTACAGTCCGCCGACGGCGCCCGCGCCCGCGACCAGGAAGTGGAACGCGGCGCCGCCGCCACCGCCGCCCACTGCGGCCAAGGGCAGGAGGTAGGGACACACGATCTCGATGAAAAAGTCCACTGCGGACATGTAGCATGCCGAGATGGCCGAGGACGCGCGCGTGCTGTGGTGCACCGAGTGGCGGAGCAGCTGCATCAGCCACACCGACGGCGCGTGCAGGAGGTACCGGTGCCCGCAGTACTGCACGATCTCGTGCCCGAGCGCCATGAGAGGCAGGTTGGCGAGGAAGCGCAGCGGGTGCAGGCTGCCGCCGACGAAGGCTAGCCCGGCGAGCTCGCACGCATACATGCTCGGAAGGAGGAGGAGGATCTGGTTGCGCAGCACGGTCGGGAGGAGGTGTGTATATTGGCTTTTGCGGGTGCGGCGGACTTTTGTGGAGGGGAAGAGGTGGAGGCGGTCCATCAGTTCAAAGAGGAGGCCGACGGCGTGGAAGACGACCATTTGCACCGCCCATGTTTGGACCGAGAGGGGGAGGGAGGCGAAAGTGGGTTTGAAGGAGGGGGTTGCGGTGGCGGCGGCGGGAGAGGTGTGGTTCTGAACACCGAGATCTGGTGGCAAGGCGCCGCGCAGTGGCAACGAGGCAAAGGTGGCCATGGTGAGGAAGGAGGAGCGCGCAGAGGTGGAGGGGAGAGAGCTGGTCGGTGAGGAGGGAGGGGAGAGGTGGTGAGGAAACAGCCAGTGGCAGCGGTCACAACAGAGGACGTGTTTGTAAACTTGAAATGAGAATGGGGGGCCTCCGTCGCCATCGTCTCGCATGTAAATATCCTTCTGGACGTGTCGGCCGCCGTGGCCGCCAGCAGTCAGCCACCAGCCACAGCTGCGAGATAGGCATTCTTCGCCACCAACTTTTGTTCTGCGGCCGAGCTACGTCATTTTCCGGCCCAGTGGCGGGGGGTGATGTATCCCGTCCCTGTGATTCCTCCATTCCGTCCACGTCCACGGCCCAGAGCCTCGAGCCAAATGCTCTCTGTCCTCTGTCCCAGCCATCAGTCAGCAGCCCAGCGGCTTCGCGGGCGCAGGGCACGGCACGGACACGGGCATGAGCACGAGTCATTCGGGTCGGCTCGGGCGCGGAGGCCGAGGCTGCCGTGTCCCCAGCGTGCAAGTATGCGCGCACGAAGCCTGACCAAGCGGACTTGCCGGCCGAGGAGTCACGAGAGCGCAAGCGCGATGACGAGCACGAGGACACGCGCGAGCGAGCACTACAGCGCATGCTCCCAAGCCTGGTAGTGAAACCTCGCATGCCTCCCCTCTCCCAGTCTCTACCTGTGCGCAGCCAGACATACTTGCAACATGCATCGCATCCATGTCTCAACATCGCCTTGCACCGTGCACGGAAGCGACACAGATAGCGAGCGGAGAGATCTGACGGAGAAGCATGAAGATTGTGGAGATCAAGAGAATTTTGACTCCGGCCGCGGATCCGGTATCGTGCCTAGCACGTGTTGACCTCCTGGACAGAACGGGTGGCGCTGGTGGTGTTGTCAGCGGCGAGCGAGCGAGCGAGCAGGTAAAACTAAGCCAAGCGTGCCAAGGCCGGTCGCGCCTCTGCGCGCTCGGGGGGCACGAGCGCTCGTCGCCGCGGCCATGCTTAAGTGGGCCTAGCATCCGTCCACCGCGAATACCCCGCACCGTCCCTCGGTGAGCGAAATTCGCGGTGCGTGCATTTCGCCACTCTTTCGTCTCCAACATAGCTCGGCCATACTTTGCATCCACAATGCACATGATGCTCCATGCACGACCCCGCGCCATAAAAGAACTGACACACGGATCCGCTACCGCAGCTTGCTTCCCCCGCACAGCTCCTCCACCGCTCTCACAGCTCGCACAGCCTGCAAAGTATGCGTCTGCACGCGCTCCGAGCCACCCGACTTGGCCCCGCGCTCCGGGGCCTCGCCAGCGCATCGGCCGCCGGCCGGCGCCCCGGGCCCGATCCAGGCCTCCTCGACCCAGCCTTTTGGCGCTGCTCGCACACCTGGCGGCGCGCGGGCGTCAACACGCTCCGCTGCCTCGTGGGCTGCAGCATCGGGGACTTGGGGAGCATGGCCTACCTCCTCGCCTACCACCCGCACATGGCGATGGGCGCGACAATGGCGATCTCCAGTGCGCACCCGCACGATAAGGCTAACACAGTGTCCGCGGGCATCGCGTCCTCTGTCCTCCTCGAAACCACTATGCTGCGCTTCGGGCGCGACCGCCTGCCGTGGGTCGCGGCAGCGCGCACCGCCACGGGCATGAGCCTTGTCTCGATGCTCGCGATGGAGGGGACCGAGAACGCAGTAACGCTCGCCCTAACGGACGCGGGGACGTCGCTCGCGTCCCCCGCGTTCTGGGGAATCACGGCCCTCAGCATGGCCGCCGGCTTCGTCGCCCCGCTTCCATACAACTACATCCGCCTCAAAAAGTGGGGCCGCGCCTGCCACTAAGCACTCTATGCTACACCATACCCATGCCGAGCATGATCGCCTCCCAGCTCCTGCGGTCAGCGTAGTCAACGGCGGACGCACTCAAAGGCATACTCCGTGTCCAGCTGCGCCTGTTCCGGCATCAGCTGCGCAACCGTCCACTGGTCCAGCTGCAGCGGGACGTTGTCGACACACGACACGCCTGGAAGGAACTGCGGATTCGGGACCGCGCCCTGCCGTGCGACTTTCGCGCGCGGGCTCACCGCCGCGTCGTTGAGCGCCGCTTTGTCCGCCACTTCTTGTAGCACCCTATCGAGGTCGTCCGAGTCCACGGCCTCGGAAAGGCGCAGCGACTGCCGTCAGTGACCAAGCACACCATACACAGCACAGATACGCACGTCGATCATAGCCTCCACCGAGTGTAGCACCTTGTCCCCCACCATACCGTACATGTCGCCTTTGCCCGCGCCGAGCTCCTGTAGTGCCGCATACGCCTGCACAATCTCTGGTTGCAGGTGTGCTTTCGACGACGGGTCAAGTTTGCACTGGATGAAGACAACAAGAATCGCCGACAGCTGGTGCACGATCAGGAATTTGTTGTGCCGCAGCGCGACTGGGGTCAGATCTGCCGCACGGCCACTCACTCCGCGATGGGTTTTTCCGAACCTGACCCCGGAAATTGGACAGCATAGTTCGTGCGGCGTTCACAACCGTCGCCTGGGAGTAGTGGTAGCGCTCGTCCTTGAAGCTCAAGATGAAGAAAGGGCGGTGCAATCGCAGCACACGCTGATTGTACGAACTGCGGTCAGCTGCGCCGTTCGCCTCAGCTCACCTCTGCGTGATGCACCACGCCAGCATCTCCTCCTCGTTCAGGTTTCCGTTTAGCCGCAGTTCCATGAGCTCCTGCATGTCTTTCTGGATGTCGCGGTCGTACTCCAGCGCAGTTTCGTAAGCCAGCGTGGAAGCGTGTCGCAACGCCGCAGTAATCTTGCGCGAGTGGTCCGCCATCCTGACCTGGAATAAGGTCCAAATGATCTCGGTTCTAGCGTCAGCGCGGCCTCGCCGCAAGCTCACTTGACGCTGAGCGGCGCCGGCGTTAGCCGCTCGGGCAGCGTCAGGTCGTTCTCAAAGTAGTTTGACGGCATCGTATTGTCGTAGCTGCCTGACAGCGTCAGCGCGCCCTCCGCCGCCTCACCTATCGGGAACACGGTCGGCGGGATCGTCTGCATGTCGGAGAAGCCACAGCTGCTGAACGCGTCGGCGTACAGCGTCGCCTGGAAGATGCGCAGGGCGATTTGCCGCGCGAGATCGTTATGACCCGGCGGGAGCATCGGATCGTCGGGGAGCACGGCCGGCTTGGAGTCTGGGCCCAGACGATCGAGTTGTAATGCCTTTGCGATGCTGCCGTCAGCAGAGGTCCCCGCCAGCTCTTACCCCGCCGCGACGTCCATCCACATCCATGCGCTCGTCAGCTTGCAATATCCCGGGATGAACGCAGGGTGGCACCCGATGCCGCTGGCATTAGCACGCAGCTACTCTCCACTCACCCCGCCGGCATTCCGACGATGAGCGCCGCTAGCACCCTCATCTGCGGGAGGTACATCCACGACGCGCATGCCAGACTTGTCTCGAGCGCCTCAAACATGGATGAGGAGAGCTGGATGAGCGCCGGGGCGTCCACACGTATGCCCGGAAGCAAAGTGCGGGCCAAGGCTAGTGAATGAGATGCGGTCCTGCAATTCAGTCACGGAATGTAGTAGATCTCACCATATCATAGAGCACAGCAGGGCGAGCCACGCCGGGTCGATACCTCGCCACATGTTTGACGCACGCAGCGCTTCAAACTGCTCCACCTCGCGGCGGAAGACCCCCTCATGGATGAACGTCCCTACACGTCAGCACTGGGCAGCAGGTCGCACTCACGGCTCTGCTTTAGTTCCTTGAAGTAGTGGTCCACATTGAGCATGAGCACGTGATGGCCAGGGATGGCCTTGACGATCTCGTCCATGTCGCGCACCCAGCGGGCACTGCGCTGTTCAATGGGCACGGCACACGCCGTGATGTCCGGCCACTTGGTGCGCCGTGAGTGTGGAACCTGCCCAACCCGCACGGGACGGCGGTAAGTCGCGGCGTCCTGCGGCACCGACGCCGGGGTGACCATCTGCGGTGTGCCGTGGATCTCGTAGGGATCAACAAGATCCTCGAGATTTGAGACGGCGACTTCGAGCTCCTCGGCGCGCGTGTTCGACACCTTATCGTACGCGCGCACATCGGAGAAGCGGGGCCGCGCGAGCTCGCTGTGCGGCGACACCCCGTTCGAGTGCGGGCCGCGGCAGAAGCCCATGCGCGCCATCTCATCCACGCGCGCCTTGAGCGCCTGAAACTCGTCCTGCGTGACGAAAGTCTGTGTCGGCGGCGGCGTCGAGCCGTCGTCGTAATGGCACGCCTCGGCCTCCTTGCGCAGCACGCAGGTCGAGCATGGCTGCGCCTTGTCGCACTTGGTCTTGCGGTGTTTGCTAGTGTCAGCTTGGCACAGCGCGGACCGCACCATGGCAGACAAGAGAGGGTGGGACGCTTCCTCTTCTTGATGGGCTTGTGGTCCGGAGACGGCTTCGCGGGCGAGCTCGCCGCGGACATTGAGACGGAGTGCGCAGTCCGCAGTTTGGAAGAAATGGTGAAGGATACGCCGATTTATGATTCGAAAAGCAATGGAGCGCCGTATACGAGCGTGAAGAAGGACACGAAGACGTCAAGAGAGCAGGAGAGGGAGAAAGAAATGATGAGCAATTATGAGATGGATGAGCTTGACACATGTCCATGCCGGTCATGAAGATTAGCAGGTTCAAGCGGCTACCGAGCCGATCGGCGGGCGGAACCAAACACGCCCTGGTCAAGCCCGCTTGACCCTGGCTCACGTGACTCTAATAGGCCGGGTGCATGCTCCCGCTCACGGCAGTGACTTTGGGCGAAATCGCTACTCCGTGGATGTTGTGCCACAAGTCGACGAGCAAGTCCTCTGTACGTGGGACTCCTCACCGAACCGCTGCAACGTTGCGCCCTTCCCTGCGTGGATGACGCTGCTTGAAAGGCCGCCTTCTCGCGTCAGACTCGGTGCAGTGAAAAATGGAGAGTGGGGCAGACACGCATATTGTCAGCCCGTAATTTCTGCTGCTGCCCATGGGAGAGCCTGACGCGAGCCCTGCGCTGACCACGGTTAGCTTTCGACCGGGACCAGCGGCAGGCAATGCTCACGACTTCACATATCATCCACAGTGCTTGCCACACACACACAGGTAATGCAATTGTTGTACAACTCCTGTTACGCCTAGATGAGGCCCCGGGTTAGGGACTCTAGTCCGCGGGGCAATCTGGGCCGCCGTCCTATTGGTGAATGGGTAGACACACGAAACAATTACAATGGGGCACGTCTTCAAAGTCGAGGGAGGACATGTATATGACAGAGTATACTTGGATACAATCGGGGACAGTAGCCGAGCGAGGAGAATCAGCGTGAATGACGTACCCGGTGGTATGTTGTGACAATCGATGCCCAGTGACGCCGATGGCCATGTGGCGACGTGGTGACGGACGATCATCGCCTCACATCTGTCGCTTCACCTCTCGGCGGGAAGCGGAGGTCAAGCATGTCCCTGCCGACAGCCGTCGCCTTCCGCTCTTCTGCTCGTTGTGTGTCGTGGAGATCCTCGCTGAGACAGCTTGCAGAGCTCAGGTTTCTGATTCAATGTGTGTGCTTGAGGCGTGACTGCTCGGGAACTTGGTTTGAACAGAGATGGGAACGATACACTCAAGGGGTGGATGTCAGCTTTGGAAGCGGGCCACTTGGTTGTTCACTAGGCACTCGGCTTAAGCCTCGAGCTGGTCACGATCGTACCCGTCAGTGTCTCCGTTATTTCGTGAACTAGTACATTACTGTTGAGGTTGAACCAACCACGACGAGGGCCCCACGGAGGCCTGGCTCTCCTCATCGGATGAGTCCGACACAATATGGTAGCGCGGCAGCCACTCGGCGAGTCAGTGAAGGGGAAGTGCGGCTGTACATATTGCAGTTGTTGACCTCTGTAAGCCATAAAGACGCTCCCGTCCGATCTGTGAGCTATGAAGACGGGGCGCGTCTGAGCTAAAGCGAGGCACCTCCTCTCCCACGACTGCCATCGCACAGTCCGAGTGCAGACGAGAGAAGCGCGAACTTACCACTGTGGGTGCAGGCTCTCACCGATCCTATTCTCATTAGATCATTAGACTGTTCAGAGCCGCCAGACTTCTCCCTCGGAGGATAGTGCGGTAGGGCCTTCCGGACGCTCAGTATTATGCTTACACGTGTGGGATTGCCATAATTATCGTATTGAGACATGAATTCGGCTGTGGCCGATCCGGGCCGTCATCCGGCAACTTGGCGCACACGAGCCGGGCCTTCATTACTTAGGTGCCCACCTCCTTCACACCAACTCTGCGAACGCTACACTCTGCTCACAGCTCACGACACACCTTCCACTGCTCATCTCATCATGGCACTACCAGTACGCGACGGCACGGCGTACGGCGAGGTCCGCGCGCCGCTTGACAAGTCCAAGCTCGTTCCCTACCTCGAGGCGAATGTCAAGGGCTTCAAGGGCCCGCTGGACATCAAGCAGTTCGGGGTGCGCGAGGATGTGGGACGCGCTAACGCCAGTTCGGGCAGAGCAACCCCACCTACCTCCTCGAGACGCCCTCTAAGAGCTATGTGCTCCGCCGCGCGCCGTCGGGCAAGCTCCTGAGCTCGACAGCGCATCGCGTTGACCGAGAGTACCTCATCCTCGAGCGGATCGGCACCTGGAACGCCAAGCTGCCCGCGAGCAAGGCTGCGCTCCGCGTCCCTGTGCCCGAGGTGTACTGCCTGTGCGAAGACCGCGACATCGCCGGCGCCCCCTTCTACGTCATGGAGTACCTCAAGGGCCGCATCTTCACGGACGTGACGCTGCCATCGCTGCCGCGCGCCGAGCGCGACGCCATCTGGCAGGGGTGCGTACATGCCCTCACGCTCCTGCACGCCGTGCCGGTGGAGCAGCTTGAGATGCCGGCCTCCTTCGCACCCGACATCAATGCAAAGCCCTACTTCCCGCGCCAGGTCAAGAGCATGCTCAAGGTGAGCGCGTCCCAGGGCGCTGCGCCCGTGCCAGAGTATCCCGGGGGCGTGCTGGGCGACATCTGGGGCTCGGGCGAGCTCGTGCCGTACTACGAGAGCGGGGCCGGGCGGGTGGCCGCGGCGGACGCCGCACACGGTCCCAGCATTGTGCACGGCGACTACAAGCTCGACAACATGATATTCCACCCTACCGAGCCGCGGGTTATCGGCATCCTCGACTGGGAGCTCTGCACAGTCGGTTCGCCTCTCGCCGACCTGGGCAATATGACCATTCCGTTCAACTACCCCCCGCTGAGCGAGGAGGAGAAGGCCACGATCAGCAAGAGCGGCAGTCAACAGCTCGGCCTCGGCGGGTTGCCGTCCAGCGAGACGGGCATCCCTACCCGGGAGGACCTCGAGGCGTGGTGGGTCAAGGGCATCAACGCGGGATACACAGCCCACGGGCGGACCGGGGCGCAGTGGCAATACCCCATCCCCAACATGCCGTGGGTGCGGTCGTGGATGCTCTTCCGCCTTGCGATCATTATGCAGGGCATTGCGGCGCGCGCGGCTCTCGGCCAGGCTTCCAGCGCGTCCGCAACCGTGACGCGCGGCGGCATGGACTTCTTTGGCAAGGTCGCAATGGGCGCAAAGAATGAGAAACAGGACAGCGCACGGCTGTGATTGTAGTTGATATTTGCATGACAAGATTTTGAGATGGGCGTTTGAGGCCCGACGAAGCAGTTCTATCTCGAGGTCCTGGAACTGCACTGCCACACATCGTGTGATAGATTGGTTGGCATGCCTCAAAAGCACGCCTCGCTCTCGTGCTCGTCGCGTGCGTGACTCGCGGCGTTCGGCGGGACATTCTCGGAGGTCAGAAATATCGAGCCCTCGCTGACGAGAGTGGCGGCGATTGCCGGTGCGTCGCCGGGTTACAACCTCGGTAACCGGTTACTCCAATCTCCGCACGGCCCAAAGTTCGCTGCCGCGGCGGTTCTTGTCTCCACCTCATCACCCACAATGGCAACTGAAACTGAGCAGCGGCAACAGCAGGACACGGCGACGGACAGCCGCACGCGCACCATGGTGCCGGCAGTGGAGGAGGACACGGTGCTACTTGCGCGCTGGCTGCGCCGCATGCCGTTCGCTGGCGACACGTTCGCGTCGTCGTGCCGCGCGATCGAAGCCGAGCCGCTCCCGCCCATCAACGCCAAGGGCGGGCGCGACGCCGAGGGTTGGACCGCGGTGTACGAGGTCACCGTCAAGCCCGAGTGGGTGAACGGCATGGGGGGCCTGCACGGTGCGGCCGCTGCATGGATCGTCGACATGTTCACAAACACGTCGATCAACCGCCTCGCAACGGATACATGGAACCCGTGGGGGCCCAGCATCAACATCGAGATGAACTACTATGCGCCGGCTATGATGTACGTGGCGTACACTTACGCGCTGACAGCAGCGGGACACGGCTGCGCGTCGAGACCGTCATCGAGCGCATGGGCGCCAGTATTAGCACCTGTCGTTGTCTTGTACGTTGTTTCGTGGGCGAGCTGACGCAGATTTCGGATGCCACCACCGGCCGACGCGTTGCGGGTGGCATGCACACCACCATGCGGCCCGCAGGACGCAAGCACAATCCGAATATCCTCCTGCTCCCGGAGCGGAAGAAGCCGTTCGCCAAGCTGTAACATGACTGAGAACACGATATTGGATACATCTGGATACAATCATGGCCTTGCGTGCGCGGACGACTGACTTAGCTGATCTTATTCGGGGACTGGAGGGGTGCGACATCTGCGTCGCGCTCCTCAGCCGCCGCGGCACGCTCACGCCTTAGCTGACGCGGAAGCAGTGCGAGGCCAGCGGCGTACAACAGGATCCAAAGACCCATAACGACGCCCCAGCCGACCCTCCATCCGAACGCGGGCTTGCCGTGCCCGCGATACTGCCACTCGGTGGTAAGGCCAAGCCACGCCACAGTCCATCCGACGGCGACGACGGCGAGCCCCAGGCCCCAGTGGGCGTAGTTGCCAGGCCCACGGCGGCCGCGTTTGCGGAACAGGTGCACACACAGCCCTAGGAGGGCTTGGGCGAACACAAGAGCGAAGAACGCGACGGCCGCTTTCTGGCGTTAGCGCTGACACTACCGAGCTTACGCGGTGCGGCGTGTTGACAGGGTGCAGCGTGAAGCGCGCCCACGCAATCCCGAAGGCGGCGAGCACAAACGTGGCGGCGAGCGCCTGAACGCCCGCGTGCAGCGGGAACCACCAGCGCTTGCCGGTGAAGGCGCGGGGGGCTCGCGCGGCCATAACGCCCACGGGAAGAAGCAGCATGGTGGCGAGGGCGCCGCAGACGGCATGCGCGACGACCGCGGACCGCGGCGAGATCTTGATGCCGTAGCTCGCGTCGTCGTCTCCGGCGGCAGCAGCCGCCGCCGTAGGCTTCGGGGACGCTGCAGTGGTTGCAGGCGCGTCGTACGGCCCGTACCCGTACTGCGCGCTCGCAGCATGCAGAAGCAGAAGAAGGAGGGCAGCGCGGCGCATGGTTGTTGAGGAGGGCAGGTAGGGGTTAATGGCGAGGACGGTGAGAACGACGTTCATTATATCCTGTGGCGGAGAGCACGTCTTGCTTCTCGGGCTTCTATATGCTATCGAACGACTGCTGCGCACGCGCAACACTCCATTCCTTCTATGCTGCATCTATTAAGCTGTGGTGGGCCTTGCCCACTCCACCACTGCCGTGCGACCACTGCCTCGTAACCACTTGGAGGATCGCCGAGGCGAGATCCATATCTCGGGCAAATCTCGGACCCGCGGGGTGCAGGCACATGTGCTCTGCTAGGTGGCGAGAGCCTCCCTCGAGGGTAATGATCTCATGGCACAGGCTTGAAATAACTAGATGCCCGGCGGGCAGCGGCGCTGCGGAGTGCACAGCATTGCTATCACGGGTCAGAATCTTGCTGGTCGCGGGATGGCGTCTCGTAGCAGGGGTGGCGAGAGGAATATATCCGTGCCCACCGGCGTGCTCCGAAGGCGATGTGGCGAGCCGAACGAGTGCGGTGAACATCGCCAGATCCCCATCAGCACCCGAGCACGAGCAGTGCATGAACGCGTGCAGACTGCCTACGTTGGCCGCCGCGACGCGTGCCGAGTAGCAGGTCATCTGTCCCACATGGTCCGCGCGGTTGGCAACGAGCCAGACCCAAGTATTGCGAGCGCTTCTGGACACACCCGATACAGTGTAGTAAATTGAGCGGTGAGCGCGTCTCGTGTCACGCCTCCTCGAGGAACGTGGTTGTGCCTCGCGAGGGTCGAGATCAGGTTGTCCAGACTTATTACTGACTCTCCCGAAAGCTCAGCTTGGGAATCAAACCGCAGATCTGGGAGAGTTGCTAAGCGTCCCTCCTGCTTTAATGACGGCATGCGCCTGTCAGCACGCTACCGGTCTGCTCTCCTTGGGAACTTGCGTGACAAGTGGACAACACCTGCCTCCTGCAGCCCCTCTCAACGCTTTACAAGGCACTGATTATCCCTTATCACCTCGCCCCCTCTTATAGTCATCCCCCTGTCACCTCAGTCACGAAACGCGCCTTCGCCCTTCACCAACAACCACCCCACCACCACCCATGCCGTTAGATCTACTGATTATACTCTTCATTGCCTCATCACTCGGCCCGACGTTGCATGCAAGCTGCGTACGAGTTTTGTTTGTTGCGCGGCCAGGTCCAGCTCCACTTCGCCACTGGGCCGAAGTATCTGGTTCGCGAGACGCGTGCCTCCGATGACTACTGATGTTCATCCGACGCGAGTGGTGTTGTTGACATGATCGCGGTGCGCATCGGCGCGTCGAGACCGCGAAGGTTATAAGCAGCGTGTGTCCGACATACCGGGCCATTCCATATCTCCTCTCATCATGATCGCGCTTTGTAAGTTTCTTCTCGGCAGCACTCACCCCAGCCCTCCTTGCGCTCATCACCACTGCGGTCGCCGCACCAGCCGTTTTGAACCGCTTCGCGGCCGATGCAGTCCTCGATTCGCCAGGCTACACCAAGTGGATTGAGTCCGCAAAGCCTGGCGATATCTACCAGTACGACGGCGGCGCGATCATGTTGGAGGCCGAGGAACGCTTGCCCGGCACGACCGACAGCAAGGGCGCCAAAGACAACAAGGACAGCAAGGGGAACAGCACAATTGAGGCGCGCCGCGACTGCATCACCCGCCGGCAGCTGCAATCCAACGTGGACCGCACCGGCCTGTGGTGGAGCGCGTGGGCGCCCATCGCCGACTGCCAGACGTGCCAGGGCGGGCCATGCGACCTCGCCTTCCCGTGGCAGTGGACGGGGACGTGGCGGGTGTCAGGAGATTGGCGTGACGACGGGTGGGACGCGGTGCGAGAGGCGATCAACAACGACGGCGGCAAGAACTTCGGTTACCGTTGGGAGAAGAGTTCGTCGACGGGCGGCGAGGGGCGGTGCCAGGCTGCTGGGAGTCAGACGGTGCGTCTGTGGCACCAGGTGCGCGTGGGATGGGCCGACATTGCGCAGCGCACCATCGTCTCTAGCTCCAACTGCCCGTGGCAGCGCCAGAATGGAGATTGGCAGTTCTCGCACCTCGACCTCCTCCTCGAGGGGGGCGAGGCGCACCATGTCGGGTGCAGCTACGACGACCGAGCCGAATGCTCGCGCCCGAGGGATTAGTAGGTGGCCCACTCTCGCTGGCGAGGGCTGTTCCATGTTATGTACATGTGCAATAAACGCACTTCGTTCTTGTGTCGCGGACCTCTGTGAAGTGTCAATGCCATTATCACCAGCGCGACGCAACGTCCAGTTGCAAGGCACAGCTGCTCCATTCCACCGTATGAGCCCTCACGTCAGCAGCCATAAGCGCGTGGCGCAGATCTGCCGTGCCTGCCGAAAGTGGGGCAGGCGCGGGCTGCTGATTTCATCATTTTCGCCCACGGCCGCGACCCACGTCGGCTTTGATGTTGGCGCTGGAATGGAGAAAGGGGCTCTGGCCCACATGCACGCATGTCAGGGCATTCCCACTCACGTGTTAGGATAGCCGGCGGAGTTCTGACAAACCTGCTCGCTCGCTCGCTGGATCTCGGTCTCGGTCGGGACCTGCGCGTTCGATGGTGTGATTTCGTAGATGTGTCAGGGGGCACAGACGACGGCGACGAGCATAGAATAACACCAGAAACGGGCAGCTTGGAAACACACTCATCATGTCGTGGCTGCACAGACCGTTTGCCATCACACGCAACCCCGGAAAGAAGGAGAAAGATGCCCCAGAAAAGAGGCCGGAAGACGGCGCCATCCATGACGCCGTGTTTGGCGAGATCGACGTCGAAGCGCACGGGCCCAACTTCCGCGGCGTCGGCGCTGGCGGCGCGTTCGTCCTCATGACCAAGGCCAACTTCGGGCTGGGCGTACTTGCGATCCCCACTGTCTTCTCCATCATGGGCATCGTTCCCGGAATCCTCCTCATTGTCGGCATCGAGATCTTGCTGGCATACTGCGCCTCCTTCTTGGGTCCCTTCAAGATCCGGCATCCCGAGGTCTACGGGCTCGCGGACGCTGGCTATGTCTTCGGCGGTGCTGTCGGCCGCGAGCTACTCTACGTCATCTTTTCCATCTGTGAGTCGTACTCCAGCATCGCTGACGCTAGTCATGGTATTCTGCACGGCATCCGCCATCGTCGGCGTCTCGACCTCGCTCAACGCCATGTCGCTGCACGGCGCATGTACGGCCGTCTTCGTCGTTGTGTCCGCCGTCATGGGCTTCCTGTTCTCGTCTATCCGCACCCTATCCAAGGTCTCCTGGGTCGGCTGGGCCGGCATCGCGTCGATCGTTGCATCGGTGATCACTCTTACCGTCGCCGTCGGCGTGCAGGACCGCCCGGCGGAGGCGCCCCCCACTGGCCCTTGGGACAAGGGTTTTATGGTTGTTGCGCACCCGACGTTTGCACAGGCCATGGGCGCCATCAACATCATCCTCTTCTCGTCCTCGGCTACGCCCATGTACTTTGGCGTGCTGAGCGAAATGCGCAACCCCGCTCAGTACACGCGTGCCATGGGGTACTCGCTCACCTTCTTGACGGTTTTCTACATCGTCATCGGGAGCGTCGTGTACCACTTCTGCGGACAGTGGGTTGCGAGCCCCGCACTCGGCAGCGCCGGCCTCCTCATGAAGCGCATCTGCTACGGCATCGCATTCCCCGGCCTTCTCGCCTCCCTCACTATTTTCAACCACATTTCGGCCAAGCATCTCTTCGTCCGTCTCCTCCGCGGCTCCCATCACCTCGCTAGCAACTCCTGGACCCACTGGCTCACCTGGCTCGGTTGCACCGCGACGTCCGTCATCGTTGCATACATTATCGCTTCGGCCATCCCCATCTTTGGCTCGCTCATCGGCTTCATCGGCGCCCTTATGTGCCCCCTGGTTGCCATCATCCCCGAGCTGTGCATGTGGTTCTGCGACAACTGGGAGTGGAACGGGTGGCGCCCCGGCCCGCTCTCGCCTGCCAAGGCTGCACAAGCCGCGCTCAACTGTTTCCTCCTGCTCGTCGCCGCCCTCTTCTGCGTGGGTGGGACATACTCGGCCGTGCTGGATCTCATCAACACGACTATGGAGAACGGACCGTGGACGTGTGCCAACAACGCCGGGTCACTCATATGAGCCACAACTGACGCTCTCTTGCCCCATAGAGACGGGTCGCATAAACATAGACTTAGCATAGACCGCATTGCATTGCATCACTGTACCAAATTCGCGCTTCAGCGAGGTTTTCATCAGAACGGTTTCCTTCGTCGTGGTATCTCAGCCCGGATAGTATGCACCATCTATATCACAATTGACGCAAATTGGCTCACAATGCAAGCTTCATTTAACTACAATGTCTTTTGGACAGATTTCTAAAGGAGCATAGCAACGGCAGCACCGAGAACCAGGGTGCCCGCGGAAGCCGCCACAACACGTGAAGCCGACGACGCCGTAGTGGACGCTGGCGCAGCGGCGGCCGAGCTTGACGCGGCACTGGCTCCACCGCCGCCGCCGCCACCACCACGGCTGCCGGTCGCGCCGGGGCGGGAGTAGTTGCCAGTGGCCGAGGCGATCGCGACTCCCGCGCTCTCACAAGCACGCCGCGCCTTCTCAAACCAACTGGGCACATCCGTGTTGCACCCGGAGCGGTACAGGCACACCTTGACGCTCTGTTGGAAGTCGCCATTGCAGAGGCAGCTAGTGTCGTTCCAGTTGGCGTTCTGGCACACGGACGTGGCGTTGGCCGCCGCACACGTCAGGTGGCACGACGTGTACGTCTCGGGCTCTTGGCTGGAGTCAGCGGGGCCGGTCGGGGGGGAACGTACGCGGAGACGGCAGCGGCAAGGAGGAGGGCTGGAACGAGGAGCTTCATTGTTGTTTGGGGATGCTTGAGCTGCCAAAGCCCATTTAAACTGTCCCAGTCGGCGGCCAATATTGAGCTTGTCACGTAGATCGTGTGGTCTGTCTTGGAGGAGTCCGCCACAACACCGCTTCCACCTCGTCATATCGGCCGATATGGCATTCGTTCCGGACATCATGGTCTTGGCGTGCGTTATGGAGCCGGCTGAAACGGCGCATTATTCGATGCACGAGCACTGCCGGCACTGGCACATGCCCAGACTTGTGTGCCTGTAATAGACTAGCGTCGGGGCCGATGCTTGGCATCAGGCACGTGGGCACAAGTTATCAGATAACCTAATGTCTCGGATGACTCGCCTGCGTCGGCTCGAGCATCGGCCGGCGTGCTCTCCGCGGCGCAGCGGGCAGCGTGCTCCGAGGGCGCCAATCAAGTGTGCTCGGGGACGGGCAGATGGAGCTGCCAAGACATGCAAGACACCGACCGCATGGCTGCAAAGACAGCGGCGGCTAGCCAGGGCACGGCCGACGGGGGGTAATGTTCGTGAGCCAATCTCATGTCAAGCTTGCTCGGCGTCTCTACTATCAATGGCGTTTGCTGCGGCCGAGAAGGACGGCGAAGGCACTTGGTGCGCGAGGTTACAGACGCCTTTGGTGGAGCGGCCGAACGACGCGCCGCCATGACCCGACCAGTTGTTACAGAGCCTTCGCTCCATCTGTCATAAAACTCCTCTCGTAGGTGTCTCGCAAATCCACACACAATGCTCGCCCCTCTTTTTCTCGCACTCAGCGTCGCCGCAAACCCCGTGGCTCGGCAGAACGCCGCCACGAGCCCCATCGCAGGCTTTGTCGTAAGTCATAACCCTCCTCAGACCTGACAGAAGGTGCCCCCGCCCCGAGGCTGGAACTATGAGCAGGCGTCCGTGGGTCCATGCGGCGGCTTTGCGCCCACAAACAACCACACATACTGGGGAATGCGCGCCGACTTCCTCCTAACGGTTGCGAACGACATTTCGGACGTCCGGCTCTCGTTCTCCAAGTCCGGGGACATGAGCGACTCCGTCCTCTTCGGGCGCATCGCCAAGGCGACGGCCGGCCAGATCTGCCTCGACGACCCTGTCGACTTCGCGGCCCTAGGACTCACGCGCAGCGACGAGATTACCGTCCAGCTTGCGTACCACGACGACGTTACCGGCTCGGAGATGTACAACTGCGCGGACATCGCGTTGACTTCCGACCACGCCGATCGCGAGTGGAACATCCAGTGCCGGAACACATCGTATATCCACGTTGAGCAGGGTGAAAGCGGAAGTGGCAGCGGAAGCGTGAGTAAGCAGAAAGTAAGCCCGCTTGCCGCGGGATGGATCGGCGCGTGCGTTACTCTCGCCGTCGTCGGCCTATTGGCGCTCGCGCTCAAGTTCGGCGGGTGCCTCTTCTTCAACAGGAGTAGCTATAACCGCGCCAAGCGCCGCTCGCAGAGCCGCCAATTTGACGACAATTCGAGCGACATCAGTCTCAACACACGCCCGTCGATGCAGAAGCAGCCCGTGGGCATCTAAATAGAGGTGGCAGATGTATAGTTTTGCAGAATTGAGGGACTTTCTGGAGTTTGTCAACTCTCATTGGGTTATTAACTGGAGCAGAACATCCTTCTTGAATAACGCAGCGAAAGAAATAGGGAACATGAACGAGTTGATGGCAAAATATTGATGCACTAGTCAGTCGAGAAGCCTTCGGCGGAATGGAAGGGTGGCAGGTAGTCGGTGTCAGTGGTTAAGTCAAATATCCCCATTAATCCTACGTGCAATGTTGGAGCATCACAAGAGGCTGCCTCCTAGAGCTGTGAGGCACCGCGTGGCCTTCTCATGCTGATGCAGAGCGGTTGTGCGCACAGCTGACTGGTAAACTTTGTATTCTAACTTATTAGCGGCGCCACCAAAAGCGTCCGCTGACGTCATAGCGCCAGTTGGGATGTCCCATCCCTCGCTACTCAGCATCGTTCGATCCCAACATCCACCTCAAACGCCGGCACCCTCATCGCATTGGCCATGCCTTCAAGAGCATTGAATCAACGCGCAGAGGAAGAGTCTCTTCGCTTGACGTCGAGAACGGCCACGACAGCAACACGGCGACGGTCATTGGAATGCAAGCGGTCCTATCCCCCAACCTCAGAAGTGGACGTTTGGAGCCGATCAGCCGTATAGCTCGACGACCGGTAGCTCTGGCCTACAGGGAATGGGCCACACCTTACTGATCCGCTCTCCCTCAGACTCCCATACTGAAAATTATCATCCTAGCGTCCTTATGTGCTCTATGGGCTACTAACTGCTCCAGCTCGACCGAGTGTGCTCGGCTACTCGACAATCGGACGGACCATGAGGGGCATCTGGCTGCCGACATTCTCCTCGCCCACGACCCAAGGAAGCATGATGATGAAGTTTTTGGCTGTGATGGTTGGGGAGCTGGGCAGCATCTCGAACTGGAAGTGGCGGAGCAGTACGAACAAGATGGCCTTGATCTCCGCCAGCGCAAAACGGTACCCGATGCAGTTGCGGTTGCCGCCGTTGAAGCTCGTAATGTTGCCCCATGTGCCGGGCGCCTTGCGTGCCGGAATGCCCGGACGGTCGAAGCGGTCGGGGTTGAAGCGGTCGGCGTCGGCTCCCCAGATCTCCTTGTTGTGGTTGACTTGCATGTATCCCGTGATGATCATGTCGCCCTTCTTCATGGGGACAGAGTCGATCATTGTGCCGTCGCGCCCCTTGACAGGTGTGTGGAGCGGAAGCATGACGTCTTGCGTGACCATGCGCATCGACTCGGGAACCGGAGGGTCGAGGCGCAGCGACTCGTGGATCACGTTCTCGAGGTAGGGCAGCGTGTTGAGCTGCTCGAGGCTCGGCTCGTCGGACGCGAGCGTGTCCAGCTCCTCGCGCAGGCGCTGCTGCACGTCGGGGTTCATTGCGAGGCGGTACAGCGTCCACGTGAGGCTGTTGGACGTGGTCTCAGAGCCTGCGAGGATGAAAGTCGAGACCTGGTACGCCATCTCGGTATCGTCGAGGCGGTCGCGCGGAAGCAGGTCCTTGGCCATGTTGGCCTTGAGCATGAGGCTCAACAGGTCCTTGCCCACGAAGGTGCCCTTGTTCAAGTCGTCCTGGTGCATGGCCTCCATCTCGCGGCGCTTGCGCGCAATACACTCGCGGCCCACGCCTGACGTGCCGATGCGCGCCTGATCCGCAAGCTTGTTCCGCTTGGATGGCTGCGCGTTAGCAATGATCCATGTCGTTTATACTCACAATCACATCCAGAGCCGGGATCATCTGCTGCAGCACGCCGAACAGCGTGAGCCGCTGCAGCTCAGACATGGCGTTCCGGAACGTTGTGACGATGTGGTTGCCCGTTCGAAGGCAGCCGAACTCGTAGTCGAAGCCTGCAAGCCCAATCACGTCAAAAGTGGTGTTGATGAGGTACTTGTTCATGTTGACCTTGCGAGCGCCGGGCACGACGTCCTCGGGGCGCGGCGCGGCCGTCTCGGGGTCGTAGTACTCGGGGTCGGCGCACGCCTCCATAAGCTTGTCGCGCAGCTCGTACGCCTTGGTGAACATATGGGGGACCATGTCGCGGATCGCATCGGGGTGGAAGGCCGGGTTGAGGACGCGGCGCTGCCGCCGGTGCGTGTCGAAGTTAACGTTGAGCAAGCCGTGGCCGAGGAGGCGCGTGATCATGCGCGTCTGCGCAGGCGGCTTGATGAAGTGATCGGCGTGCTGCATGATGAAGGCCATGGCGGTCGTGTCGCTCGTCACGATCAGATTGTCACCAAGGAGAAGCTTGGCACGGACTGTTGGGCCGTACTCGTCGAACCAGGCCTGCATTACACGCCCGGTCGGGTGCGACTGCACCTTGGGGAAGTCGCCGAAGAGGAAGTGCGATGAGGGCGGGCCGGGCAGGTTGCGGTAGTGCAGCACGCGCTCACGGTAGGGGTAGCGGTAGATCATGAAGGCTGTGAAGAGGATTGTTGCGGCCACAGAGTAGAGAGCCCAGCGCGGCGCGTCGGCGAGGCCAGCCAGCATCGACGAGGAGACCGCGCCCAGAGTCACTGGGCGCAGTGGAGGAGCGTATGTGTCGGACATTGTGGCGGGGATGGGAGTATGGGCGGACGGAGGGGAAGAGACGCCCAGGCAGGCTTTTATGTGCGGGACTGACTCTCTGGCACCTGCCTCGTTCACTCCAACGATCTCTGGCGATTGCGCGACTCTCCTCTCCCTCTCTCCCTCGCTCCCTCGCTGCCGCTCTCCCTCTCGCCGTTCTGGCGTCTTGCTGAACGTCTGACGATGGCTAGCCAGACCCTCCTCTCCCCGCCGCCCTCGCAACGCCTTCAACTTGCAAACTCACACTGCTCAACCCGGCATCTGTCGTCTGCATCTGGCTTCTGGCATCTGGCATCACGGCGAATGCGCCATCCACCAGTAGCTTCTAACTCCCAGGTGTACGCCACGGCCACACCTGCCACATCGTATGCCACATCGCACGACTCGGGCCGTGCCTCCGTGACTTCAATCCTCACCCAGGACGCCAGTTGCGCAATCTTGCGTTCCGCAAACGCCGCATCGCAAACTCGTAATGGCAGTCGCAGATAGTGCCCGGCGACTGGGATCACCAGGGCGGACAGGGCATCAAGCATATTTCCGGATGCTCCGCTCGTACGAGGCGGGGCAGCTGTAGCGGATTCACGCAGTGTATTTGCGAGCCTGTTCGCCGCGATGCAGGGGCAGGCGTGGACGGAGGGCTGGGGAGTGGGGCTGGACGGATGCGGGATACGGACGAAACGCGAGACAAGGGACGCAAGAGGAACGTAGTGGATGCAGGCGTTTGGCGTCGCTATGACAACGCGTGCCGCGCGGCATGGGTGCGAGGGTGATTGATGCGTGGCTCCGACAGTGGATGCATGCTGATTGCAAGCGTGGACGCCCGGTCGCGTCAGTAGTACAGCAGGCCTGAAAGCTCGCCATCAACACCATCGTCGCCATCAACGCCAGCGGTGCCCTCGACGCCGTAGTGTCTCGGAACACCGCCCGCGTAGAACAGAACCTTCCATGCATCTGGCCCCTCGTTCCCGGCCTGGCACACACCGCACGCTCCCCTTGGCTGTGATAAAAATGCGAGATATGGCGAAATGCTCACATCATGATATGATGTCAGCCGTGCCTGGCCAGCCGGTTCCCGCATTCCATCGACCCATGTTCCATCGACCCATCGGCGGATCGGCGGGTGGCAGCGGGCTGTGGCAATGAGCTGGTTGCGACCGAGTAAAGGTCACTCACTGTGCAATGCTCTGTACAAATGAAGGATGTTGCGCGGGCAGTCGCAAGGCACCACGGCCCGCATTATTGAGCGGATATTTGCGGCATCCCACGTGCGCAGCCACTCACCATGCCACTATCCGGCACGGTGCTACGCGTCTGTCTTTTCAATGTACTGAAAGACTTTGGTCGGCACCGGGATGGCTGGTGGATCGTGACTGGGGCCTGTTCCGGATATCCCGAGGGGCGCGAAGGGGCGCTTCGACGCAGTGAACCCGTCCGCGCCATGCCGGCCAGCATGCCATCCGGAATGGCGCGTCGGGAAAATATGTTCTCTGCATACGTGTACAACCGTCTCTGCCGCTCGGCGACAAGACATCACTACCGCCGCCACTGGCCGACCTGGTACTGGCCCGACCATGCGCTGCGCTTTTGCTTGGACTCGACGGCCGCGCCCGCCGCCGCCGTGAATGTCAGATCGCCTTGCGCGTCCGGCTCGCGCAGCCGCTTGCCCATATACGTGACCTTGCAGGAAGAGAAAGCGCGCTCGTGCGCCAGCGCCGCGTGCGCGAGCATTGCCGAGTGTTCCTTCGCGGCCTCGGCGCATGCGGCATGGTATCGCTCCTCGGCGGCGCGCAGCTGGCCGCGCTTCGTCGCGTACACTTGCGCCCTGTCCCCATTCCCAGCGCCCTCTCGAGCCGCCTCCACTGCGCCGCCGGCGCCTCCCGCCCCCGCGCCGCTACGCTCGCCCCCAGCCTCATGGTGCCCGTGCCCATGCCCATGCCCGTGCCCGTGCTCGTGGATCGCGTCGTGCGCCCGCTCAAGCTGTAACTTGGCATCCTCTTCCGCGCCGGCGCGCTGATCCCCTGCCGCCGCTTCCATCTGCACGCGGCGCGCGGTCGCCGCGTCCTCCGCAACAACGCGCTCCTCGCCGGCAGTTGAGAGACGCAGCTCGACCCTCTTCGGCGCGCCCAGACTCGCGCGCCGCCCCTTCGCGCGCTTGGTGCGCGCGGCGGCCTCGCTCCGCACCCAGCGGGCGCGCCGCGCCCCGTCCGCTGCAAGCCACTCGAGCTGCGCGAGCGCGACGTCCCGCCGCCAACCCTTCGCGTTCCCGTTCAACACGTCCATCGCCGCGTCGACAGCTGCCGAAACGACAGAGCTGCCCGCCACATAAGCCTGCAGCGGGTCCGCGGTAAGCGTTGCGTCCGTGAAGGCCGTCATGATGGAGGCTGAGTCGCAGAGCGTGTCGGTGTCGTCGTCCGGCGCCGAGTGCCGCCTCAGCGGGCGGCGCGTCGAGAACGTCGGCACGTCGAACGTCTCGTCAAAGTCATCGTGCTCCTCGTCTTGAGGTGGGCGGACTGGGAGCTGCTCGTCTACTACGCCGGTGGAGGAGGCGCCGGTCGAGGAGACGGAGGCGCGCGAGAGGCGCCGCAGTGGCTTCGAGGTCGAGGTCGTGTTCCCCATTGCTCACCCTAAGGATATGGGGATGGGGGAGAGGCTAGCGGAGCGTCGCTGAGCGTGGGAGTTGCCGGATGTTGATAGCCGACGGATATGATGACCGAGGTGATTGCGCCGGTCGCTGTGACCGATGCCGCACTCAACACCAAGGTGGGGAACTGCAGGAAAGTGTAAGCAGTGCGGACCGTCGTCGAGAGCGACGACAGTGAGAGAAAGTGAGTAAGCGATGAGTGAGATGCAAGTAAATGCGTGGCGGTGCCGACTGAGCTGGATAAACTGAGGTACCTGCTGCGCGCTGTTGCTGAGGTCATCTCGCCGATCTACCTCCACCTCCACCTCCACCTCCACCCTCGCTTCTCGAGTGAGATTAGAACGCGTGCTAATGGAAATGCTAATGACTCATTTGGAGCCAAATACCTCCGCGCCGCTATGACGCAAGCCTCGCACTCCTTCTGCTCTTCCAAACATCCTCTTCCACCTCGCCGCAATGTCTAACGAAACAAACCTCCCTCTACCGCAGTTCTATGCGCGCACACTGCACAGTATTCTCCCGGTTCTCGATGGCTCCCTCCCCCCGATGGAGGAGAGCACGCAGACGCAGCTTCAGCGGGGCATCGACGACCTGTACCTCGTCGGGCGCATGCTCTCCTCTCTCGGCGTGTTCAGCGACAATGAGCGCCTGGACGAGGTGGGCGACAAGCAACTCGTCTTCATGACCGTGGGCTGGGTGCTCGGCGAAGCCGAGACACGGCAAGGTTTCAGCGGGCCTGACAAGCGCAAGGCGGCGCTCGAGCGCTCCGACACGGCGTTCAACGCATTCCTCGGCGTGCTCGACACATACAAGGTCGTGCCGGAAGGCGAGACGTCCCGCGGGCTGCCCGCTGATGCCGGGCGGCGGCGTGAAGCCAAGATTGCCGCACACCGCCGTTCGAAAGAGCTGCGCGAGAAATTGCGCGTGAGTCCCCTCGCCGGCGTCGCTCACCCCAGTCCTCCCTCCCCGGACCTGTGGACGCGAGCGACCACCCCATCGCGTTCATCCTCGCCCTCCTCCCCTCCGCCAAGCTGTCGAGCACATCGGTGAACGACGAGGAGGCCGAGACGCGCGCCCCCACCCTCCTCCTCCTGCGTCTGCTGGCCGACTTGGCCGTGAGCAGCCTCGGCAACAACGCGATGGAGCTGGAGATTCTGGCGCAAGCACCGGCAGACCCGACCGAGGGCCCGCTGGCGGACCCGCGCCGCCGCCGCACCGAAGAGGAGGACAGCACATGGCGCCTGGACCGTGCGCCAGGGCAGTATAAGCCGCGCGAGCTGATTTCGGGCGGCGGCCGCGTGCTGCGCCCATTCACGATTTTGCCGAGCACAAGCGCGATGAGCGACCGCGAGCGCCTGCGCGCCGACGTGTTCCGCTCCGGCCATAGGCTGCCGACGATGACGATCGACGAGTATCTCGAGGAAGAGGACCGGCGGGGTAACATTATCCGCGGGGGAGGGTGAGCTTAGTATGCGCGACACGGCTGACGGCAGACAGGCGAGTTATGATGCGCCGACCGAGTCGGAGCTGCTCGAGCTCGAGACGGAGAACGACGGGACGATGGCTGCTGAAGAGGCGGCGGAGAAGAAGCGCGCAAAGGACGAGAACTGGGCTCGGTTCACGGACGATAACAAGAAGGGCGAGGGGAACAGGATGAACAAGGGCTAGGAGGATGCATTGTCTCAGCGTGCGGTGCTGCGTAGTGAGGACCGCGGTCCAATGTAGAATGCGCGACATGGCGGATGGGGTTGATTGCCATTTAGGCTTGCCCACTTGAGCGCTCATCTCCCGCGACGCCCAAGACTCCCCTAGAAAGATCTTGTGCCAAGTACAAAGTAGCCAAGTAGAGCGGGATCTAGTGCAAATTGCAGTCTCCGGATCTGCGGCCATCTTAAATGCGCTGGTGCCAGATACCAGGAGCCAGGACCATCGTGCCATGTCTCCGTTGCCATGCTCCCTGCCGCTGGCCACTGCTGCAGCTCATCGATGACTACTGCCCTGCCCACATCATCAGCTAAACGAGCCGAAGCAGGAGCTAATATGCCAGGGCGAGACAGGCACTTGCTCAATGACGCGCGGCGTCCAGCCTCCAGCCTCCAGCCTCCAACGCTCCGGTGAAGCCAAAGAGCCGACGTGGAATAGTGGATGGAGATGCATTGATTGTATGGGGATGGAGGATGGGGATGGAGGACGGAGATGGAGACGGAGATGGTGAGTAATGAGTGGTGGACGGAGGAGAGAGCGAATGCTCGGGGGCCGAGGAAAGGCGGAGAGTGGGGAGGAAGGTGGGTGTAGAGTGGGGGCCTGACTGATCTTTAATCCTCCTCTCAAGCTCCCACGCCTTCCTCCGCGACGTCTTCATTCTCATTCTCCATTCATTCTCTCCATCGACCATCTCTCATCCGTCCTCCTCGTCACTCTCGTTCTCTTTCTCCTGCTCACTCGCTCTCTCTCTCTCTCACCCCCTGCTGGCACTTGCAGAGAACTCGGCTTCATCTATATCTTGCCACAGCTTGACTCTCCACACCCCAAATCTCCCTCCACCCCGATCTCTATCCCAGCTCCCACCCACTCCGCCCCGATGGATCCAAACTACTCCCACACGGGCAAGTGGCCCAAGGACAAGGATCATGTCGTCGGCCCCGTCAAGGCGGCGTGTCTCAGCTGTCGACAGAAGAAGGCTAAATGCGACGGCCTCAAGCCTGTCTGCGGACAGGTGAGTGGAGCCTCTTTGAGGCGTGATGTGGAGCATGGCAGGGGCAACATGAGGACACGAGGTGGTGGGAGGCGACGTTATGCGTGATGAAGGAGGAGGCAGAGGAAGAGGGAGTATGGGAATGGGGAGGTCGAGGCTGCAGTCGAGGAACAGAACAAATATCGAGAACGGTGACGAGGAGAGACGTCACCGCCTCTCCTCTCATCATCATCCGAGGCTCATCCCACCTTGCCCTGCCAAGATACCTTGCATCGTGCCTCCTGCAGCTGGCAACGAGGCCCACGCTAACCCCCACAGTGCCAGCGCAAGCAGCTCGAATGCATCTACATCAAGTCGAAGCGCGGCGGCGCGCGCAAGAAGCGTAATCGTATGTACATTCCATCTTCCTATCCCTGTGGCATGCATGCTAACATCAGCCGCGGCGCCGTCTGCCCTCTCCGAGTTCTTAAAAAAGCTCGATAGCCTCATGGGAGTACCCCAGTTCGACCTCCGACACGCCGAGCCGCAGCCTGGCGATGACCCGACCAACGTCGTGCGCACCTTCTCCAGCCGCGAGGAGGTGTTCCGCTGCTACTACAACGAAGTACACCCCTTCCTCGCCGTCATGCCGCCGCGGCACTACCTCGTAGACGTGCTCCCGACGCTGCTGCCTGACTCGCCTTTCCTGCTTGCGGCGCAGACTGTCATGACCCTCGCGCCTCACCCTCTAGACTCGAACCCGCGCTCGCCTCGCTCGAAACGCCTGCGCTCGTCTGCGTCCGCCGCACTCGGTCGCAAGGCGATGGACGCGGTACAGCGCACCATGGCTACGGGACCTTCCATCGAGGCCATCCAGGCGCTCACGATTCTTGCTGTGTGGGAGTGGGGGAGTACCAACAACGCCTCGGCGGCCATGGAACTGTTCGGTCAAGGCGTGCAGATTGCCATCTCGATGGGCATGCACGACATGGACGCTGGCGGCACCGGATTCGCCCTTGAAGGTATAGACTGGCACCGCGACATGATGCGCCGCACCTGGTGGATCCTCTACGTCTATCAGCTCACGTCGGCGCTCGTCTCCGGCCTGCAGCCGCCTCTCGGTGCCGATGACCCAAGCATCAAGGTCGACTTCCCTATCTGCTCTGACAAGGACCGCACCTGGAGCACCTGGATCAACTGCATTCGCCAGTGCTTCCGTGTTGTCAACATGATCAACGTCCTCGCCATGGACGGGCAGCAGGGCGATGGCGGCATGAAGACGTGGGGCACGGCCAGCGAGGCGCCCGAGCTCACCCCCGAGCAGCGGGAGGTGAAGCGGCGCCAGATGGTGGCCATCGATCGCCAAATCATGGAACTCATGAAGCAGACGGAGAAGATGTCTGTTGTGGAGCAGGTCCCTGGTGGCGAGGAAGATGTCGTGCGGAACCAGCAGATCGCGACGCGGTTTGGGCTTGCAGGTAGGCTCGCTCGTTCGAGCTCGAGCTGACATTAGTTATTCACATCCACCAGCACCGCATGACGGCCTTCCCGGAAGTGTCGCTGTTCTCGAAGCGCATCTGCGGTCTGAAGGGGACAAGCGAAGATGAGGAGAGTGAGGAGGAGTCGTACATGGGAACGTCGACGCCGCAGAGCGTACCTCCAAGCACGGCGTTCTCGCAGCCGTCGTCCACCCCGGCGCTGCCGACGCAGCAGCCAATGTCTTCTGTACCTACGATGCCGGGCGGCTGGCCTATGACGGACTTTGGGATGGGTTCGCTCGGGTACGATAACTTGAGCAACGCCGACGTTCTCCAGGTGAATCAAATGATGGCCAGCCTGGGGACAACCGGCCAGCAGCAGCAGCAGCAGCAGCAGTTCAGCCAGCAGGCGTACCCGACGCCTGTGTCACAGTTGCAGTCGAACGGCAACGGGACCACCAACGCGACCAACTCGCCTGGTGACTTCCAGAAGAGCAACGCGGCAATCAACGCGTTGAATACGAGTATCTCGTCGCCGGGTGTTAGCGGAGTCGACACGTCGCCCAGCTACAACCAGTCGCCGCAGATGCCGAATGCGAACGCGCCCGTGGCGCCGTTAAACCCCGACTTGGCTAACAACTGGCACTACGACCTCCAGAATGACTCCATTATGGGAGACATGTGGCAGCCGGATTCGTTCCCGAGCTATCTGCCCACGCCGTGGTTCGCCCAGCAGGGTGGCGCGCAGACACTCTTCAACGCCATCAGCCCCGACACGGACCCGCAGCACTACCCGGCATTGGACGGAAGCGACAACGCGGGTCTGCACGACCTTACGCAGCTCAATGTTCGTGGGTCGTACCAGAGCAACCTGCCGCCGGCCGCAGCGCCTGCTCCTCCACAGCCACAGCCCGCCGCGGCGCCTGCGGCACAAGCCCACCCACCGAGCGTGAACGGAAGCACGCTGAGCTCGTCGAGCAAGAAGCACAAGGCGTGGGGCGTGGACGAGAACGGCGACCTGGCGCCGACGGACGACGTCAAGGCCGCCGAGGCGCTCGAGACCTTTCCGCCCGGGATCAGCCTGGCGCGCTGCGCCACGGCAGCGCACACGATCGTGCGGCTTGAAGTACTGCACCGTTCTGCGGCGCTCGCGCTCGACGGCTCGCCCAAGTGGATCCCATTCTGCAGCTGCGGCCTCGTGAGCGGCGCGTACGCCTTCCTCCTCCTCGTGCTTGCGGTACAGGCCGAAAACACCTTCGGAACCTACTCGGAGGCTCGGTCGGAGGAGGTCGAGGCACTCCTGACGAACGTCAAGATCATCCTCGGCGGCCTCGAGGCTTACGGCACCATGTGGGAGGGCATCGACATGATGGCGCGCGAGGTGCGTGCGGCCGTCGAGGCCGCGACGCAGCTGCCGCTCGAAGTCCAGAGCCAGATGAGCGGCCGGAGCAGTATGAGCCCGAGTGTTTAGGGGGGCGAGGGGCGGGGGGGGGAGTTGTAGATTTTCATGACTTTTATGTATCGCATGTGTGTGATGACCGGTGGTTCATGGACAGCTCCTGCCGCGATGTAGCATGTAGCCCGCTCTGTGACGCAGCTCATACGATGCATTACAACGGACAGTCTATGGATACTATTACGACGGGGAATCACGAACAGCGCTACGCCGTGAGGGCGAACAAGCGCTCCTTGGCGCTGACTTGGATGGGGCCATACGCCCTCTCCTGCTCGAGCACGACGGCGTCGCGCGTCCCCAACACAAGCAGCTCGAAGAACATGGCGCTGGCGGCACGCTTACTCGCGCCGCGCGCGAGCCGCTTGAACTCGACCTTGCTTTCTTCTCCCTCTCCCCCTCGGGCCTGCAACTCGCGGCGGAGCACGCCCATCGCGAGCGCCGTGTTGCGGCTGAACCCGCCCGTTCCGGCGCTGGACACGGACTCGTCGTCCTGGCTTGAGAGGGTGCGCGTGTCGAACGCCGCGAGGGGGTGCGTGCCGTCCGCGAGCGGCGGGGACGCGGGGCGCGGCAGCAGCAGCGGCGCGGACGGCTCGCGTGTGGCTTCGCGCTCCATCTCGATGTCCATCGCGGGCTCGAGGGTGTCGGGCTCGAAGCTCAGCCCAAAGTCGTGGCTGGGGTGGCGCGAGCCGCGGCGCGCAACTTCGACGTCGGCCTCGGACGCGGCTTCAGAGGTAGCTGCCCTCGCCCTGGCTTCCGCTTCAGCTTCAGCCTCAGCTTCAGCCTCAGCCTCGGCCACAGCCTCGGGGGCCACGGACGTCGCCTGGCGCGGCGGAGTGCGATGCCGGCGCAGCACGTGTGCGGGGAAGGTGAAAAGTTCCGCGAGTTCAGGCGCGAGGCCCGGCGGGCCCGCGAAGAGGCGCGCGTCGAGCGTCGGCAAGAAGTGCGCGGCGGGATCGTCGAGGATGTCGCGGAGACGCAGGGCCGCCGGGTTGGCCGGGATGAAGTTCTCCGTACCGAGAATTGGGGAGTCGTCGGTGGGCGGCGCAAAGTCTTCGTCTGGGAGCTCGAGCTCGTCGTCGGCGCGCACGATGCGCACGCGTTTCGGGCGCGGCGCGGCCTTGGCGTCCGCGACACGCTTGGCGACGCGCGGGGTCAGGTCGAGCGTCTCGAGCGTCTCGGGGGGCGGGGTGGAGAGCTCGCTTGACGAGCGGCGTGCGCGGTCGTCCGGCGCCGGCGTTGACGCTTCGAGCGCGGGCACGGGCTCGTCCTCCAGCTCTGGGAGGTCACCGAGATCTAAGCCCAAGTCGAGGGGCTCAAAGGTGTCACCCCCCTCGAAGGGGGCGTCGAGGTCCATTTGCTCGTGGATCACCGATGGGGTGTTAAGCAAACTCTTCGACCGCGAGCGCTCCGAAAGCGCGTCACGCCCAATTTCCATGCTGAAGTCGTCGAGGCCAAGGTCCAAGTCAATGGGCTGGAAGTCCTGGCTGTCGAGGTGGTTGGTAGAGTCGTCAACGCTTCCAGCGCGCGACGAGTCGCCGTAGATGGACGCAGCCTTCGGCCGGCCAAAGTTGAACGCGCCGTACTCGCGTCCGCGGAGGTTGGTCTGGGTGAGCGGTGCCGTGTGCAGCCCCCTCCCCTCGGGAGCGGGCACGTCGAACGTGCCCCAGTCGAACATGTCGAGCGCGTCGAAGCCTGCGGGCTCGAACGTGATGGCGCCGCGGGACGCGCGGACCTGGTCCTGCGGCAGGTCGACGGCGCCAGGACGGAATGTCATCGAGATGCGCTCGCGTGTCTCGCGGCAGTCGTCCATTAGGTACTGCACTTTGCGGCCGTAGATGCGCACGACGCCGAGCATGAGCTGGCCGGAGACGCGAAGAGCCATAGGGCGCGACTCTGTTAGGATTGCATCGACACTCTCGCCCACGTCGACGTTGAGCGCCTGCGCCTTGCTGAGTTTGCGCTCGTGGTGCGCCGACAGCCAGACCTTGGCGAGCGAGCCGCGTTTGTCGAGGATGAGGTCGGAGAGGAGCATGGTGGGGGTGGGGGTGGGGGTGGGGTGGGCGGGGACAGAGGGGGTTAGGCGCGCCAAGCGCAAAGAGACCGAAGACGGGGGCGACTCGGACGGAGTAGTAAAGCAGAAAGAAAACGAAGAGTGTTGTAGTTGATGGAGGACGGAGGATGAATGGATGATGGATGGAGCAGTGGATGAAGAGCGCGCGACTCGAGATGGGATGTGAAGGGAAGGCGAGGAGGATGAAGGGAGATGGCTGGTCGCGCTGGTGGCGATTCAGGTTGACTGGACCGCGCCTGACTTTGAAGGCTGCGGGCCTATTGCGTGCGCTGTGCCTATTTATTGGACATCCTGCGTGCCTAACTTCCGATCTGCCCTGTTCGATATCTCTTCAGTCCTCGTCCGGAGATCCATTGATCCACGTGTATAATCCGATTAGAGGAGAGCATACGTTGATCGAGGAGAGACAGATATGAGATGCTTAATCTTTGGGGTGGGACGCGCAGCAGACAGTCCGCGCCCAGATCACAGGAGGCACCATTCGGTCTCGCCCTTGGCCGCCATCGGGACATCGGCCCACAATGTGCGTCAACTGGCCATGCCCAGCACCACTCAACGGAATTTCGCAATGATTGTCACTTTCATGCCGAGAGCTGCTCTCATCTTCGTCTCCAGTCTGCGACAGCTTAAAACGGCTGTCACACACAACCACTCGCGCGCCAATCAGTGAGGGACGAGTACACCACCCCGCTACCCCCGAACTGCTACCTCGATGCATTCAATGCACGCCTACCGTGTCCTATGCTGCGACACTTTTACTTGCCGCCGAGCTCCTTAACGAGCTCGGGCACGGCGTCGAAGAGGTCGGCAACGAGACCGACGTCGGCGACCTGGGGTTAGTGTGTGCAGCGATAGGACTGTGTGCAGGCAGGGCGATCTGCCAGCCGACAGGCCACTCACCTGGAAAATAGGAGCGTCGGCGTCCTTGTTGATGGCAACAATGAGCTTCGAGTCCTTCATGCCGGCAAGGTGCTGGATGGCACCCGAGATACCGATGGCAATGTAGAGCTCGGGGGCGACGACCTTGCCGGTCTGGCCGACCTGGAGCGAGTTGTCGGCGTAGCCGGCGTCGACGGCGGCACGCGAGGCACCGACAGCGGCGCCGAGCGCGTCGGCCAGAGGGTCAAGGACCTTCTCAAAGTTCTCCTGCGACTTGAGGGCACGGCCACCGGAGACGACCTTGGCGGCCGAGGCGAGGTCGGGGCGGGACGAGACGACAATCTCCTCGCTGACGAACTTGGTCGGCGCTGGTGTTAGTGGTTGTGCGGAACTGACGCGAGTCCACCACGCCCAGGCCCGGCCTGAGCCCAAACCGGGCCAAGCTCCCCTCCCCCCCCCCTCCATTGCCACTCACACGAAGCGTCGGTGGCAGCGACCTCCTCAACGGCAGCCGAGCCACCCTCCTTCTTGGCCTTGTCAAAGGCGGTGCCGCGAACAGTGATGATCTTGTACTTGTCCTTGTCCGACGACTTGAGGGTGAGGATGGCGTTACCAGCGTAGATGGGGCGCTGGAAGGTGTCCTCGCCCTTGACGGCGGTGATGTCCGAGATCTGGGAGACCTCAAGGAGACCGGCAAGACGGGGGAAGATGTTCTTGGCGGCCGCGGTGTGGGCGCCGAAGAGGTGCGAGATCAACTTGTCGGGGATCACCTTGGCAAGGAGGGGAGCGACGTCTGTTGAGGGGGTCAGCTATGCATTGACGAGACAGAACAAGTACGCACTCTCGGCGACGTTGTTGGCGTAGGCGTCCGAGGCCGACGAGTAGATCTTGGAGAGACCCTCGATGCTGGGACGTCAGCGCGCGATTCTCTCGGATCTCATCTCCGAGCTTTTGCCGAAGCTCCGAGCTGCGAGCTCCCCGAATTTGAACTCACCCCTTGGCCTCCTCGACGGCCTTGGCGACGTCGGCGGACGAGCCGATGACGATGCCGGCGATCTGTTGTGAGTGGGAGAGCGCCGAGGGGAGGGACTTACGTCGCCACCGACGGCCTTGGCGGCAGTGACGGCGGTGAGGGCCTGGTCGTTGAGCTTGCCGCCCTTCTGCTCCAGGAAGACGAGGGAGGAGGCGAAGCGGCCGGGGGCGGTGGAGAAGCGGGAGGCGCGGGCGGTGCGGAGGACGTTGCGGGCGAGCATGGTGGCGAGGAGAGGAGAGGAGAGGAGAGGAGAGGGAGAGGCAGACGCGGAAGAGACAAGAAAGAGAGAGAGAGAGCTCTGAAAGAGACGAGTTGGAAGATGAGGGGAACACGCGATGCCTCCGAGGGCTCGGCTTTCGGTTGGCAACAAGCTGGCGCTGGCGATCTGGCGAGATTAATCCCCAGTCAATCCCCCGGCTCTAAGCCACTTTACCGGTATCGGCCGGCTCATTCATCATTTGATCCCGCTCTCTCTCTCTCGCCTCGCCTAAAACCCCAACCCCGCCCGCCCGCCCAGGTCACCTCGGCAACATTCGCTCCGCAATCTCCGCTCTCCGCTCCCCTCCGCACCTCCACCCTCTCACCCTGGCGTGAAGCGGCATTACCTCAAGTCCACGTGCTGTGGCATTCAGCCATTCTCTTACTGCCCCACTCTGAAACCTGAGGACGACACGGCGCAGCTTCACGTCTCAGACGCTTGCACAGTCGCCATTCTTGATGATCTGATGAGTATCCTCCTCCTGTTGTTGTAGTTGCGGCGTGTGGCTCAGCGATCAGCGAGGCAGAGCTGTCGCATGTCATGTCATGTATAGCGTCCTCCAGTCCTCTCTCCTCCATCTGCAACCACTCAATTGTCACCACTGATATATCCCGCCGCCACCAATCTGCGTCCCGTCATCCGTGGCGGCGCCAAACTGCGTAGACATGCAACATTATTATTACCCATCTCGCTCCCACCATCTTTCGTCCACTCGCCAACTCCATCAGCCCGGGCAAGAGTTCACATCCCACCGTCATCAGGACGGCCCAACTCGTCCTATCCTCTAATTTCAGATCCGCTCCAAGCCTTGTCACCATCCACCATCCGCGCCATGCCCTCGCGCGCCTCCGCCTCCGACATGGCCCAGCAGGGCTTCACCGTGCTGTCGGCCAAGGCGGCCAACGGCGAGGTGGTGCACATCAACGGTGCGCTCTCACCCGCTCCCGCTGACCCCCAGATCACGTCTACGTCTCGATGCCATGGTCGGACCGCGACGGTGCGTATCTCCGCCTCCGCCTCCGCCTCCACCACTGACCCCAGGCTCGCCGTACATCATCGCGCGCATCCTCGAGTTCGTGAGCGCGGGTAACGCGCACAAGAAGGGCACGAATTCGCGCCACGTCGCCAAGAACGAGCTGCATGTCCGCCTGTCGCTCTACTACCGTCCGAGCGATGTAAGCCATCGCCCTCCCGCCGCCGGGCGCTGACCCAGATCTCGGGGCGGCCCGTCAGCGACTTCCGGCAGCTGCTGGCTGCGATCCACACGCTCGTCGAGCCCGTCTCCGTCATCCGCGGCAAGTGCTATGTGCGGCACAAAGACAAGATCGAGAACCTCATCGCGTACAAGCAGACACCGGACCACTTCTACTTTTCCAAGTTTTACGACCCCTACATCAAGCGCGAGTACGAGGTGCTGCGCACCGCGAGCGTCAACAACATCCCGCCGGACGTCAAAGCCGTCCTCCTCCGCCGGTACGAGTACCTGCTCACGGAGAAGGAGATGGTCGCGGACCTGCTGGACGACTACCACAGCTGCGCGGTGTGCGCGCGCTGGGCCGCCGCGCAGGACACGGTGCGCTGCGAGCTGTGCCGCGGCTTCTTCCACATGGCGTGCCTCACGCCGCCGCTCAGCGCCAAGCCCGCAAAGGGATACTCGTGGGCGTGTCTCGGCTGCACGATCCAGCGGCGCCGCGACGTCGAGAGCGAAAAGTACCGCTTCGTCAGCAATGGCGGGAGCGCGCCGCCGCGCGTCAAGGCCGGCAAGAAGGAGCGCGCCGCCATCAGCGACACGCCCGACGTCCAGTTCCGCGGCTGGCCGTGGCGCTACTTTGGGCTGCATACGCGCGCCGAGGACACGTTGAGTGAGGAAGACCTCATTTTCCCACGCGCCGTCACCAGAGTCGGGCCAAAGTACACCGCCAACGTCCTTACGTGGGAAGAGCAGCAGGCGGCCGAAGCTGCCAAGCAAGACGCGCTGCGGGCGCATGGCCCGCCGGCCGACCTGCGTACGTGGTGTGTGCTAGACACACGCTGACGCCAGCCGAGCGGGGCTTTGACCCCGACGAAAACGGGTACGCGACGACGCTCACCGTGCTCTCGAAGCCTGACCCGGGGCGTGAGTCCCCTTTTGTTCGTGTTCGCCACTGACGCCAGTCGGGCCATTTATGGATGCCGTCGCCCGCCTCGCCCTCCCCGTCCCGCCGTACGACATCAGCCGCCTCGACAAAGGCGTGCACGCGTACATGACACTCGGCGCGACCGCGGGCATGAAGCGAATCAAGGCGCTCAAGCCCGCCGACTTTGACAGCTTGAGCTGGAGCGCGGCGGAAGACGCGACGCTCGAAGCCGAGCTGACCAAATACGGCGGGCTGGACGCGCACGCCATCTCGAAAGCGGTGGGCAAGCGGCCGGCCGAGGTCGTGCGCTACACCTTCAAGTGGCGCAACCTGCGGCTCAAGACGGAAAACGACCTTATCCGGCAACACCGCAAAGTGCACGGCGCGCACCGGCACAACGGCAAGACGCTCGGTCCGCCTGCGCTCGGCAAGATGCGCAGCCGGGCGGACAGCGAAGCGAGCGACGAAGGCTCGCTGTACGGCGCGGCGCACGCTGCCGCGCAGCGCCTGTCGTGCGCGGCGTGCGGCACGCGCGCCAGCGCCGTGTGGTGGAAGTGTCCGCGCAGCGTGCAGGGCGCCGCGATGTGCGAGCCCTGCGGCAGCAACTACCGCAAGTACGGGGTGATCAGCTTTGTGAAGAGCGACGATGCCAAGCAGAAGAAGGACGTGCGGCGGCGCAAAGACACGAGCGGCGCGTCCACGCCCGTGCCGGTGCCGCGGGCGGCGTGCGCCCTCTGCCGCCGCGCCGACAAGGGCTTGGCGCGCTGCAAGACATGCACGTTTAGCGTGCACGCCGCGTGCTACGGCATTGTCGGCGGCACGGCGGAGTGGGAGTGCGAGCTGTGCGCGAACGCGCGCGCAGAAGAAGTCAACCTCGACCCGCGCTGCGTCCTCTGCCCCGCGGACATGAGCGTGCCGCTTGCGCTCGCGCGCAAGAAGAAGCCCGCGGACTTTGACGCGCTCGCGGCGATGAAGCGCACCGAAGGATGCCGGTGGGCGCATGTCCTCTGCGCGGCCGTGCACGACGTCGCGTACGCGCACCCTGCCGCGCTCGGCCCCGTCGAGGGCATCGGGAGCTTGCCGGCGCACACGTGGCGCGGCGCGTGCGACGTGTGCGCGCGCGCCGACGGCGCCAAGGTCGACTGCGCCGACTGCGGCGCACGGTACCACGTCGCGTGTGCGTGGGCGGCCGGACACCGCGTCGGGCTCCACATGGCCGCGCGGCGCGGGCACAGCGTCCGCTTCCGCGACGAGGGCGGCGTGATGGCCCCCGCCGTGTGGTGCCGCTCCCACGGGCTCGAGGGGCGCGTCGTGTTCGAGCTCTTTGACGAGGCCGACGGCCAGACCGCGCTCGGCGTGTATGCGCAGGCGTACAAGGGCGTGCAGGGCGGGTTTGCGCTGCTCCGCAAGGCGCAGCGCCTCGACCGCATCCACGCGGAGGATAGGGAGGGGTGGGAGGAAGAGAGAGAGGTCGTCGAGAGGGCGTGTACGGCCTGTGGCGTGGACGTCAGTCCGCGCTGGCATCAGGGTCTTTGTCACCAGTGTTGGTTTGCGGCGGGCAAGCCTGCCCCGCCTAGCGTGCCGGCCAAGCGCAAGGCTGAGGCGATGGACGACGTCGAGACAAAGCCCGTCGTCAATGGCCGCGCAGTACTTGTCTAGTTTCTCCAACCCAACAGCGCACCTCTTCACACCTGTTGTATGCATTGTATCGTAGACATGTCATGGCGTATATATACTACAAAAACCCGCCTTTTATTCTATCGCCCCTCGTCTGCACGTCTTGTCTTGTTGCGTGCCACATGCGGTAGCGGCTGCGTGTATGAGCCGGCTCAACTTGGCGTCTACTCCTTGACGGCGCGCGGGATGCGCGTGAAGCCACTCGCGGAGAAGACGTCGTCCTGGGGCGACGGGCTCTGGGGAAGCGGCACGCCGGCAGCCCGCGTGGGCGAGACCGGGCTGAGCGGGCCACGGTCGTCCAGACCGTTGGGCGAGCCGGGCCACGTCGGCGACATGGGCGAGAGCGGCGACGGCGACATGGGCGGCGTCTTGATCTTGCGGCTGAAGAGGATGTTGTAGACCTTGATGGCGCCCTGGAGTGAGATGTGCTTGGCGGCGCACTCACGTTAGTGCGCGGGTGAGCAAGGTAAATCATGAACGCGAGCTTGACGGTGTAGTAGCGGGCTTGAGTAAGTGGAATACGTTATTGGGCACGCACGGATCTGGGAAACGAGAATGGGAAGGAGCAGGCTCTCAAGGACCTGGAAGTAGCCCAGCACGACAAAGTAAGCCAGGAGGTTTTCGGTCGGCCCGCCACGCTCCAGGATCAGCAGCGCCTTGTACGCCGGCAGGATGAGGGTGAGCGCCGACGTCGTGGCCTGCGCCATGCCGAACGTGTTGAGGGGCACGAGGAGGATGAAACTGGTGTGAGTCATGCAGTGGCGGCGTGGAGGCATCTCAACTGTGAGTGTGGCGTGTGAAGCGTGGAGCGTGGAGGTGAAGGGGCGTTGCGTCCCACGCCCCTCGGCGATCCCATGCCTGCCTCGCCTCCTACACCATCACAACCACTCGCGCCACTCAGTCGCTCAGTGCCAACGGCTCTATACTTACGCAGCGAGGGCGCCCGCGACAAGACGGACGCGGTCGATGCCCGTGGCCTTCTCAGCGGCCACAACGCTCTCCGAGCCACCGAGGGCGCGGCGGAGTGCGCGCACCTGCTCGTCGGCAATGGCGTAGGCGCGCTGGGCGTGCGGGTGCGCGGCGGCCTGGTCGAACTTGGTGCGAGCGGCGGTGAGGGCGTCCGTGGCACGGGCGGCGTGCACGGCGCCGGCGGCGCGGGCGCGCTGCAGGGGCGACTGCGGCGAGGTCGAGCCTGGAGTGGACATGGCGTTTGAGGATGCGAGAGGAGGGAAAGGAAAGTGGAAGGCTTTAAGAGAGAAAAAGGGGATGGGTGGGATAGACGGGGGAAGCAGGAGGAGGTGGGTGGGAGAAGTGACGTGGAGATTGGTGTGGGTCGTGTGTGCTGTGTTGCGCCCGCGATGTGATCCAACGAGGTCTGGAGGCTGTCGAGTCGCCGAGGCCAGACACCAGAGCTCAGAGAAAGGCCAGAGAAAGATCAGAGAAAAGATCAGAGGGGAGAGTCAGAAGAGCAGAAGAGAAAAGATCAGAGATGACACTCGAGGCATCGACGACGCAAACGACCGCTGTCGGGGCGGGGGCGAGTGGCGCACTGATGCTTCTGACGGGTGGCATCGCCCTCCACAGGCGGTCATAGCGCATCGACATCATCCCTCTCTCTCCACCGAGCGCCATCCTGCGGCTGCGGTATGCCGCAATGCATGGGTATCCTAAATAAGTCATGGTATCTGCTCTCCGGCACGCTTCTATGCCGCCGCGGCCGTCGCCGTCTTCTGCTCACTAGCGTTCGCCGTCGCGTCCTTGTGGGGTGTGGCCTCGGGCTCTGCCCTGGCGGGTGTCGCTGTCCCGCTCCGACTCGGCGTCTGCGCCCCGGGGCCCAGTGGAGAAAACTTGTCGTCGCTGACGTCCTCGAGCGGCTCGCCTGCGTCACGCTTACGCACCAGCTCGTTGACCTCCAAGAGATAGGCATTCAGATCCTTCTCGTCAGGCTCGAATTGGAGACCGTCGATGATGGCGTCCTGCGCGTCTTCGAAACGGCCCATTCCCACCAAGGCGCGCGCGCGACGGAAATGCCCCTTCGTCCAGGGCCGCTTGAGCGCGATGACCGTCTCCGCATCCGCCAGAGCGTTGATCCACGCGCCCGCCGCCGCGAACGCCGCCGAGCGATTGCACAGCGCAATCGCAGTTTCGTCCCGCGAAAGCGCGGCCACCTCCCACGGCGGACGCGAGAGCGCCATGTCCGCACTCTTCGAGTAGTTGTTGATTGCGGCGGGGATGTTGCCGGCCTTGAATGCGGTCTGGTGTTAGCGGGGTCGGATTGGTAGCGGCGAGGAGATGGATTTCGACCGGCCTGGCGCCGCACCGAACGCAGGCATCAAGTAGTGGAGCATCTTGCGCCGCCAGCCTGTCTCGGTTGCCCAAAGGGGACACTCCACCCCACCGGCACTCGTTGCCCAGCGACCACGAGCCACCTTCCTTCCTCCAGAGCTCGCTGCTGGATCACCTCCGACACCCTCTGCTCGCTTCAACGCAACTCACATTACCAGCCTCCTTCACCTGCTTGATCTGCTCAGCGCGCGCCGGAGGCGGGGCGACATTAGGCGGTGGCGGCACGGCCTCGGGCGGCGCGTTCTTCATAAACTGCTGCATGTAGTTGAGCGGGGTGAAGTTGACGTCGCAAACGTCGCAAACGGGCTGCTTGTGCTCTGCGCACACGGCCATGTTCTGAACCTGTGGCGGCTGCGTGTTGGGAATCGCAACGTCGACGAACGCGATCGGCATGGTGCGCGAGGGAAGGCTGTCGAGGAGAGCCTGCATCGCCGGGTCGACCTGGACCTGCATGGGCTGGGGGCTGCCCATTGGGCCGTGAGAGTGGCCGCCGTGGCCTTGGCTGTGGCCGTGGTCGTGACCATGGGAGCAGTTGGGACCGTGAACGTGGTCTGCCATGGTTGAGGAGTTGAATAGATGGAGTTGCAACAAGAGGAGTCGGAGTAGACGTCTCTTCTTGTCGGTGGAAGAGTGAGGTGGAGGGGTACGTGGAAGTCACGTGCTTCCCGCGTGGTCATCGCGTGGAAGTGGGGCGGACGGGACACGACCGAGGCGATTGGGGCCAAAAGGTGTAAACAAACAACTCGACCTCCACATTCTTCCACATCCCCCTCGTCTTCTTGTTTACATTCATCAACCGCATCCGGTCTCATCCGGTCCTAGTTTACCGCCCTTCAACTCTGGTTGCTTCCACGCACTCGTGCCATGTCGTGAGCCGACCGCTTACCCGCTTCTCCGCCCTCCTGATTCCAGCACCTTTTCAGGCTCCCTCATCGGGAAGCGCAAGGCCGATCTCGTCGAGATCGCCGAAGCCCTAGGCGTTGACGACGCGTCCTCCAAGAACATGGCAACTCTTCGCGAGGATATCCAAGGCCGCCTCGACTCGGAGGCTGACAAGTACCGCACCGACCCCAAGTTCGAGGGACTGTACCGCCGCACCCGCCGCAGCCAGTACGCAGCATCAACGCTTCAAAGTCTGACAGCAGGGCCGATGCCAGCGATGACAGCGACAGCCCCGCCCGCGAGAAGACGCCTCGCGCCCGTCGCTCCCTGGCCAAGGCCACGGATCGGCTCACAGAGGCTGCCAACGTACCGCTCCCGGATTCGCCTGCGTGAGCCTCACCGGCGCTGTCAGCGAAACACTCACCGCTGATCCCAGCTCCGTCAAGCTCCTTCGCGCCGCGGCCCAGGATGCTGCCGAGGCGGCTCTTGAGGTCTCGGACGATGTCCTTGCTCTCGTTGAGACGGACACGCGCACCGTCATCCGCCGCCTCCGCGACACGGCTGACAAGGTCGGCCGCGTCCTTGGCCCCGCTCTCCACAGCACCGAAGGCCACTGGCGCAACGCGCGCGACGCAAGTTCTCTCTCAAGGATACTCTGACTTCAGATCCTCTCCGAGCCCGGCAATCTTCTGATCGCGGCCATCGCGCTCGAGGGTGCCGTCATGTACTACCGCATCGCGCCGTTCCACCATGTTACGCTGAGTTTCCCGCCGAGATACTCGCGCCCCGGCTCGTTCAGTGCCTTCTTCGAGAACGCGTTCTCGTGGTCGCCGACTCTAGCGTGGACCTTTGCCCTCCCACGCTTTTCGCACCTCTGGCCCAGCTCGGACATCTGGCCCGCCTTCACTTGGTGGTGAGCATCTCCGCATATCCAACACCTAACATTAGGATCGGTGCGACGATTATCCCCCCGCTCGCGCTCAGCACGCTCGTATCCTTCGTTCCACAGAAGGGTATCAACCACCGCCGCGGCGCCACTACGCGGTACCAGAGTGCGTTGCTCAGTACTCTCGGCCAGAATGGACTAACTCCAGGCGCACACCCGCCGACGCCGACCGTCGACGCACTCACTTTCGCCATCTTCCGCCTGGCGATCTACCTCGCTGCGCTCTGCGACGCTACCCCCTTCAACCTTACGCACGCGCTCAGCCTCAGCGGCGACGCAACACTGCGCGCCCTTGGCGCCGGCCTCCTGGTCGCTCTTGTGCTCGCGCAGCGCCTCAGTGCCTAATCGTACACGCGAAATCTTAATACCCCGTCCTAAATCTTCGTTTCTCGTGTGTCTATTCGTTTTGGATATGCAAACAAAGCCGTTTTGTTCGATCTACTTGTTGCTTGAAGACTCTGAGGCGCTCTGAGGGTGGATGACATGACCAGGGAGAGTGTGAATGATTTGTTTGTTGAAAGACATGGATGGGATGGGAGCCACGCGAGTGGCTTATGGCGGGGGGGCCCTGACCCCACGCGTCCCAGGAACGACTGCATGAGCAGTGTACCACCGTGCGTGCCAGCGATCCAGCCCTAACACTCGGCCCCCTCCTTCCCTCCCTCCTCCTCTCTTCATCACAATCCTCTTGCTCTCCATCTGCTTGCCTCGCTCTCGCCATCACTCCCCCCCACCCACTCCTCCCACCCGTGGCGGTCCCATGACACGCTCACAGGTGGGCCCGCCCACCCCCTTTCCAGACGTCGACGCGCGCGTCCACCAGAGCATCGCCCTCTGGGCAAGCGACCTCCGCCAGCTCTTCGACGACGCAAGGGACCGCTTCCCCGACGTGTCTTGGGAAACCGATGCCGGCGACCGTGTATGGGCACACAAGGGTGCGTTAACCACCTCCGTTTGGTCGCGCTCACTCTAGCTATCGTCTACGTCCGCGCTCCTAGTAGGTTTAACTCGCTAGAGCTCGAGCCCTGTTCTGCGTACTTGCCATCGCGCGCGCTCCTTGCCACCGGGCTCGCGTTACTGTCAACTCTCTCACTAATTTCCTAACCCCCTTTCTCCACATTTTTCTACTCCGCAGCGCACGCTACTTGCGTCGCATCTCTTGCGCGCGAGGCTCAAGTCGCGAAGCTCGAGGGGTTGAGCGCGTCTCCGGGGCATTTGCCCCAAGTGGAGGCGCTGCGGCAGAGGACGTAGGGGGGTGACGCGGTTGTGATGGTCACGACCGCGGTCTCCTCGTCACCCGTCTCAGCTGCCTCACAGCCCATCTCACTTCGCCGTCTGTTCTGTGCAACGCTTCGTGTTGCCCCGCTCATCACGCGCTGACATACGCAGAAGCCTTCAAGGATCGCTACTTCATCACAGGGGCCAAAAGCATCACACTCGCCCGCTCGCCCACGAGCCTCAGCGGGCCCTCCTCCACACCCTACCTCCTATCCGCCAGCTCAGCGCGCGGCTCCCCCTCACCACATATATGGCGCGGAGCGGCCTCGTCGCTCTCCGTCGATACTGCAGCCAGCGATGGCACGCTCCGCGCACCAACAGTCAGCATCGCGGGCTCGAGCGCGGACGGTGTACTGCGCTTGCGGCACGAGGATGCGCCCGAGCTTTTCCGAGCCCAGCTCGAGTGGCTGTACACGGGCGAGGGCTTTGGCGATGTTGTCGAGTGGATCTCGGGCGAGCGCGACGGCAACTCGAGCACGAGCTTGCGCGATAGCTTGGGGCGCCGCGGCGACGCGTCAGAGCGCCGTGACAAGCTCGGCCAGGACCTCACGTACATGTGGACCAGCAAGCTGTACTGCGACGTGCGTATCCACCTCGCTGCACCAGACGGCGAGGGGTACGACTCGGACAGCTCGGGGGCTTCAGATGACAGCCTTGCTGCTACGGTTATTTTCACCGCCCACCGTTTCATGCTTGTCAGCCGGTCACGCTACTTCGCTTCGCTGTTCCTCAACGAAGACTTCCGTCCATCCACAGCCGACGTCCACCTGCCAACACCACCCTTCACCCCTGCCGCACTCCACTTCTGCCTCGGGTGGATGTATGCGGGTCATCTCGACTTCTCGAACCGCTCGTACGACCTCCTCACCGCCTTCCAAATATACCGCGCCGCAGAATACCTCCAGCTCGACTGCCTTGTTCAGGAGATCGAGTCACGCATCGTTCACGACTTCTGTCACGGCCTCGATTACGACCGGTGTCACTGCCGACGCTGCCTCAGCCGCGTCCCACGAGTATGGCGTTTCGCTGGCGCCAGCGACATAGGCGCTCTCGAGCTGCAGCGCCGCGCTCGCCGCTTTGTTCTCCGCGGGTGGGGCGAGACGTGGGGCCGCGAGATCGCGATGGCTGACAAGGCCGAGCGCGATGATCTCGTGCGGGACGTGGTCGCCAGCATGACGCCGTCGAGCGTGGTTGGCGCTTTCCGCGGCATCGCTCAAATCCGGCGCCGCATCGACCACTCCACATCAACACGGGGGAAAGACACGAGCGGCTGGGTCGACGCAGTCCACGAGATGATTGAGCCGATCCAGCAGCGTGCGAGAGATCTCCTCCTGTCCAACTTTCCGCAGGTGTGCGAGTCCAAGGAGCTCTGGGCACTGTTTTCCGGCAAGGGCTTCAGTGACGAGGTGCTCGACTCGTTCCTGCGCGAGGTTGTCGAGATGACGGGCCGGTCGCCAACATACGTGTCTGCGCCAGCCGTTTATGAGACGATCATGACAGCGCTTTTGCGCAAGGTCGACCCGACATCGCTAGAGGCTGTACTGCCGACGCGTTCCGCTAATCGGCACAAGGTCGAGGTGGCCAGGGACACAACTCTCAAGCACATCAAGAAGCGCTGGATGGCGATCCAGAGCGAGGGGGGCTTCAGTACGCTCAAACCCCGCACTCTTCAGGAGATTGCTGAAGGTATGTTCGCCTGGAGACGTCGCTGACCCAAGCTATCGATGTGCCAGCCAAGGAGTTGGCCGCGACCCCGCAGGTGCCGTTCCCTCGCGCGCGCGAGAACGGGTTTCCGCGCACTCAGTCACGGGCTCATGGCCTCGGCGAGCGAGCACGACAGACATCTGCGCGCAACTCTGTCCTGTCCGACACGGCCACAGAACCGAACGGGCTCAGACGGCTTCGTCTTTCTTCCTCGGCATCCGTGAGCAGTTCGACCTCGACGTCGGCGCGGGCACCAACCTTGCAGAGACCGGCACCGACTGGTCCCCAAGCTCGCTCCCCGACGGCAGCCGAGAAAACGCCCATCGTGACAGTTGGGTCCAAGCGCGGCGTGCGCTCGGGCCAGAACTCCCCCACTCCCAGTCGACAGGGGCAGGTGATGAGCGGCCCTCCCCGCCCGCTTCTAACGGGCGTTGGGCGCGTCACGCGGCCAGGCAGTGGGAGCACGCCGTCCTCGCCAGCCATCTCATCCCCCCTTTCACCCACTCCGAGAGCCGAGTCGCCGGCGCCTCTCCGTCTTCCCACATCACACTCTCGCACCCCATCCTCGTCCCAACCCATCCACACGCGCACCCCATCATCACAACCCTCACACTCACGCAACCCCTCCACCACATCCCAACCATCCACCCCCACATCCCCTACCCACAGTATACGCACCCAGCCCTCGATCGCGTCAGTACGTTCGGCCACGTCACGCACATCGCGAGCAGCAGCAGCGACAACGTCCAAAGCGCGCATGCCCACTGCCACGACCAGTTCAGCCACCAAGGCAGCTCCAAAACCGAGCGGAACCAAACCGGTGCGCAGCGAGAACAGCGCCGCTAAGTCGGCAGCCGTTTCTACGCTGCGTGCAAGGACGGCTTCGACCGCAAGCAAGGCTGAAGCGAAGCCTTCGAGCCGCGTGAGCGACGCGGCCAAGCCGGCGCGCCCACTAGCAGCGACGAGCCGGTTGAGTGACGCGACGGCCGCAGCGCGCCAAAGGACCCTCTCCAGTGCTTCCAAAGCGCCAGACCTGAAGCCTGCGACTGCTGCAACACGGACACGTACTGTTTCCTCCGCGCGGCCGTCGGAAACGGACAAGCTTGCCACCGCCACTGCATCCCCCACCACCCGCCCTCGGACTGAGTCGAGCGCGAGCCGCGTGCCGCCAACCGAGACGAAGCCGATTTCGACAGCACGGACACGGACCGTCTCCACAGCGAGTCGGGCCCCTGCTGAGCCGAAAACTACGCCGACGACCCGCACGCGGACGCTGTCTACAGCAAGCCGCACCACCTCAGCGGGGCCAAGTAACGGACCTGGAACGACTGCGGCGGGCACGGCTGCGTCACGGCAACGCACAATGTCGACGACGAGTACGCGTTCCCGCGCGCCGAGCATGTCCTCGCTCGCGCCGAGTGTCGGGACCGTTACGAGCCGCGCCTCTGCGGCGTCAGTTGCGAGCGCCACACCCAAGCCTCGCGCATCTACAAGCTCGATACGGACGACGCCGAGCTCCACAAAAATGCCACCAGTGCCCAAGGTGACGAGTAAGGCTGCGGTGACGGGGGCGACGAAAGCTGCTACACCAGTGTCTAAGGCTGCAACACCTGCAAGGGCGACACCAACTCCCAGGACGGCGCCGAGCACTGCCGAAGCTAAGGCGTCCACGAGCACGACCAAGTCTGCGTCGACATTGGCGGCCAAAACCCCATCCACCTCTTCGTCAGCGACTGCGGCGACAGCCAGCTCATCGAGACCTCCCGCCCTCAAGACGTCGGCGTCGACTAGGTCTCTCGCGTCGCGCTCGTCTGCAGGCGCACGCTCCTCGCCCGTGCCCAGGACGCCTACGACAGCGGGCAAGACTGTCACGCCAAGCGCCTCCTCTTCGCGGCTCACTGCCACTCCGCGCAGTCGCGCAACCTCTCTCAATGCGCAGGCCACGCCTCCACCGCGCCAGCGAACCTCCTCCACGCATACGCCGTGGAAGCGCGCCACGCCCCTCCCTCCCTCTGTCGCTGGTGTCGCGGGCCAGCGTGCCCCGCGCCAGCGCCCCTCCATGCGCTCCCTTTCGGGCAGCACCGAAGGCCCACCAGAAGCCGTCACACCGCGTGTGAGCGATGCGACAGAGCCCATCCTGGTGCTGGACGAGGACGCCGAGCTGGCCTTTGAGCGGCGTGAACTGCGCGAGCGCACGCCCTCAGGTTCGGAGGACAAGATCCCTCCCGTGCCGCCTGTCCCGGAGAGCCTGCGGCGGCGGTCTATGGCCGAGGTCGTGGTCGAGGTCAGCGTGCCTGAAGAGGACGAGGAGGAGGAAGGCGTCGCCATCCTTAAGGTCATGGAGGAGGCGCCGAGCGATTCCGAGGGCGAACGGGCGAGCAACTACCAGCCGAGCGAGCGGAGCTACGAGGAGTCGGCGCGGGATAGCTTGTACGAGGACTCTGTGTCCGCTGCGCCATCCGTGGTGTCGAGGAACTCTGTTGTGGACACGGCTATCTCTGAGCACTCGGACCAGTCTGAGGAGTGCCTCGATGACGGTGATGACCGCTCCGTTGACGAGTATGTCGCCGAGCAACCAGTTGCAGATGGCCAGGACGCCACGGACTCGATTACAGGCGACATCTCTGTGGATGAAGTTGACGCCTCGGGCCTCTCTACGGAAACAGACAGCCAGTGCGCGGAGACTCCTCTGCGTCCGCAAACGCCCTTGGTCCGCGCTCTCTCGCCACTTGACAGCACACCCACGGCTAGAGAGAGAGGTAGAGAGACCACTGTAACAGAGCCGCCGCTCATGTTGCGAAGAGACTCGGAAGAGCGCACGGCCAAGACGCCTACACCAGCTTCGCCCTTCCCGTCAACACGCACAGCCACACCGACAGCCTCGGCGCCTCAGCCCCTTGCGTCGCACGTCGTCCACCCGCCTCCGTCCTCCTTTGCTCCAGCGCCGGTGCTCCGCTCCCCCGTGTCAGCCGATGCGCTGCGGCCTGCATCGGGGCACTTGCGCTCACCCGCGTCGACGGACCAGCTCCGTCCCGCGCTCCGTTCCTCTCCCGCCAGCGCGCGCTCCCCCCTCCCAATTCCGGGAGCGCGCCCGCCAGCATCTTCGCCCGGCGGCAGTGCAACCTCGCCGCCGTCACCGCCGCGCTACCTTTCTGCAAACGCGCGCTCCCCGCGCTCCTCGTACTCATCAAGCCCGATGAGCGTCATTTCCCGCGTTGCCAGCGAGAGTGGCTCGCTCCGCTCGCTCAACAGTGGCTGGCACCCCGCGCACGCCTTCGACCCGCCAAAGAAGGCTGCGCCCGCCCCGCTCCCGCCGCCTCCACTCCCAGAGCCCGAGGACGACGGATCCGAGCCGTACACTGGCCCCGGCGTGGCGCTGCACGTCGGCATCCCCGCGCTCGTGACGCGCGGCCGCCGCCGCTTCTTCGCCAACGTAAAGTACTTGGGCACACTAGCATCCAAACCTGGCGCATGGGTCGGCGTCGAGCTCGAGGATCGCGAGAAGGGCTTTGACACGCTTCCCGCGCCCGTAATCGACGGCCTCCGCTATTTCCACTTCACACCGCCGCTCGTTGAGGACAAGGCCGAGAAGGCGGAACGCGCGCGGCGCATCGCGCTGATAGCCGACGAGCTGGCGCGGCGCTCTGCGGGCGAGTCGCCGCGCGCCCGTCCCCGCGCGCCCAACCAGCTCGGGCTCGGCGGGCTGGGTCTCGGCATCGGCGGCGTTGCGCGCGCCGCGAGCCCGTTTGCCATGCCGAACGGTGCGGGGCCGGAACACCCGCGCGCCATGTTTGTGCGTCCGGCGCAGGTGCTGTTCGTGATGGGGAGCGAGTAGTGTATGCATCTGGTTTTGTGACGGAGCGTGGGCGCCGTGGGGGTGTATGTAGAGGATGTGTTGGAACGATGACTGGTGGCGTGTCCTGGTGGATTGAGCAGACGAGCAGTGGCCATACCCCACATCTCCACTCTCCACGTCACGTCGAAAGTGCCTGTGCCGCCGGCTCGGCAAAGCGCGGAGACCTTCTCCAAACAGGATCATTCAGCCAGCTCAGCCTCCGCCTCGACGCAGCCACGCCACGAAGAGTGCTTCCACGGTGTAACGCGTATACGCCGTGGGATTCTGACACCGATCTCAGCATCGGCCAGCTCCAGCTGGGCCAGGATCGCCAGCCTCGCCCAGCGCGCGTAGGCAGGCTCGCCCATCGCCCACAATGCTGGCCCAGCGCGGCTGATCCTGACCGGCTCGGCTTCAGAGCTGGGGTTTAGGCCGAACCTTGCCACCCCAGGACTGCCGGCCGCCCGCGCCCGGATCAGCGGGATCAGATACGGAAGGCCGTAACGAGCGCCGTGGGCCGTGGGCCGATTTCGAATGGGAATTTCGAGTAGCGGAGGGATGATTGTTGGCCCTTGGTCTTGGTCTTGGGCTGGATGCATGGTGCATGATTACGAGGTGAGATGTGGCGGTGGCGCGGGATGGCAAGCTGGACGAGGAGGGCTTCTGCTGCTTACGGTCGACAGCACCAGCAGCGGAGGCCAGCGGAGGCCAGCAGCAGCGGCAGCGGCAAACAGCAGCGACCAACACTCACCACCCAAGCACCCAGCACCCAGCTAAATCTGGACGAGGCTGGCACGCAGACCGCTGATCCTAACATGCCAACATCGGTCGACAGGATCGGTCACTTAGCTCGAACCCTCGGCCGGAGCCTCGGGAGACGGAGCATGTTTCTCATGCCTTGCACGAGGAGTGACGCAACGCGATCTGGCATGCTTGGCCTGCGTAGGCTGGTAGGCTGCGGCTGCAGAGCTGCAGCGCAGAGGGCCCCTGATCCTGGCCCGCATGACACGGGAGCCCCGCGGCTGTCATGCTCGCCTCCGCGTGTTCCTGCCGTAGCAGCAGAGACAGAGGAGTGACCAGACCCGCGCGCGCATGCACGCATCTGGGGTATGTATTTCGAATGGGCAAGCCTCAGCTGCCCCAGCACAGCCAGCCCCCGGCACCCAGCCCCAGCCCTGGCTCTGCCGCACGCCTCGGGGCATGCCGAAGATTCGACAATTCGACAAGCGATGAATGCCATTTCGAAGTACGCAGATCAGCGCTTACCTCGCCCTCCTCGCCTCCTCGCCTGCGCTGTGCAGGTGTGGGTTTATTATCGTCCACGTCTCGTCTCGTCCTCTTCTTGTCTTGTCTCCTCCATCTTCTCCTTCTCCGTCCCATCTCCCCACCTCCTCCCTCTGGCTCGAAAGGTATGTTCGGTCTTCTCTGGGTTGCCGATCGGCATCGGGTCGGCTTGCCCTTTCTCCTCGAGCTCGCTTCTGTTCGCGTAGCAAGCGCGTCCGCTGTGTGCGTTGCGCGTGCACCGAGCAGTTGGAGCATAGAGCACGATTCTGGTAGTTTGAAGCGTTGGAGCGCTGGAGCGTTGATCCGCTGCCCGCCCCCGCCCCGCCCCGCCGCACGGCCACACGGATCATGCGGCAGCGGAACAGCGGAACGGATTCCGCGACACTACGGACCGCCGAGGGCCTGAGCGGTGGCGGCGTCATGCCCGGGCCTTGGTGGTTGCGGGGCGTGGGGCGAGTAGAGGAGTACATTCGAGTAGGAGAGCAGGAGAGGAGGAGGAGGCTCGAGACTCACAGTGGCTTGCGTCAATTTACCATGCTCGATTCTGTTGAATGGGGATGAGAGAGAGAAAGGAAGAACAATAGCCGCCGGCGACAAGCACTAGACGCGTCATCCGCTCTCTCTCTTGACCTTGCTTCTCTTCCCATCCATCCTCTTCTCTTCTTCTCACCCTCTCATCGTCCCAGCTCGTCAGCTCACATCTAGCTTGCCATCGCCGTCTCTCTTCTCCACGTCGACATCCCCGTCTCTCTCTCCTCTCCCGTCTCTTCTTTCGGCAGATGTGAGTTGTCACGGCCCCAAGCCTTGTCTTGCCTTGCCTCAGGCGACAACTAACGGCTTGAACGGCTGGGCTGTGCTGTCTGTCACGCTTCGTCCCCTCTCTCTCCCCGTGAAACATCACTGATACCAGCCCGAGTGTAGTGTCCCCCCACACCTCCTCTTATCCTAGCCAACATGGCGACCCCCACCGGCTCCACCCCCTCGGTGAGTACCACAGCGGCTGTCACCGCAGCGCTCGAGCCACTCCGATGCCTATCAGCGTGCTAACCCCCCAGGGCGGCCTCGCGCTCCCTACCCAGGTCGACGCCCTCAAGTTCGCTCCCCGCCAGCGCCTTGACAGCGTGTGAGTAGCCCCTACAGCCACCAAGATCGCTGACAGCAGCGGCTACATCTCTTCGCCATTCCCCGCAAAGGCCACCCAGCAGGCCCAGGTCGCCCAGACTCTCACCGAGTCGGGCTTCATGCCTGCCGAGCTCGTCAACGGCGAGGTCGACTGGTTCTACAACAGCCTCGGCATTGACAACGCCTACTTCTCCAATGAGACGCCTCAGAACATCTCTGACAGCATTTTGGGTCTCTACTCGGCCAAGGTGAGTTACCTCCTCCGTCATCGTCACCTCTCTGAGCCTGCCCTCGATCGCCAGAGAGATCCGTAGCGGATTGTGGACTCCGCGGATCGCGGATTCCGTGCAGCCACAGACATCATTTCCCAGCCCCCTTTTGACGTTCCTGCTAACCTCAGCTCCTGGCCTTCACCAAGCACGACCCTGCCGCTCTCAAGATCGAGCTTGAGAAGGTGACTACCGAGGAGGACTGCAAGGCTGGCGTCAAGGAGGGTGCCGTCTTCATCCACTCGTCCGCCGCCGGTGTCTCGGCAAAGGACGGCCCGGGCGCTACCGTCGAGAAGCGCATCGATGACATGTTCATTGACAAGAGCACCGCCGAGAAGGCCTACCGTCTCGAGTCGTACCGCTCGGCTGGCTCTATCTCGTCCAACGTCTCCCAGCAGCTCCGCTGCTACTTCGTGACGGCCTGCGAGTTCCCCGCTGGTGGCGCCACCAAGACTGCATCGGGTACCACCGACATCAAGTCGGTGTCGGACAAGGCCTTCCTCGAGAAGGCTACCCCGACCACGATCGACCTCTACCAGGGCATTATGGACGAGGTCTCGCGTCGCTCCGGCCCCGTTATCGAGAGCTTCCAGATCGAGGACACCCGCGAGTACCGCATCATCATCGGTTACAAGCAGGGTGGCACTCGTCGCTACTTCTCGGCCCTCTCGGACCTGTACCACTTTTACGGTCTCTACAGCACCCGCAAGTTCGTCGAGCAGTTCGCCAACGGCACGACCATCATCTCCCTCTACCTCGGCCCTGTCCCCAACTCCAAGGCGCCCCCTATCGAGCACTCGGTCCAGCAGGTCGTCCGCGAGGCATCGCTCCTCTACTGCCTGCCCGACAACCCGTTCTTCTCGGTCGCCGAGGGCGAGTCGCCCCACGCTGTCCAGGAGGCCACCTACGCCTACGTCTGCTGGATCTTTGCCCAGCACTTCTGCAACCGTCTTGGTCCCGCGTACGCCGCGCTCAAGGACGTCCTCGACGACAACAACCCGGACCACGCCGACGTTCTTGCCAAGATCAAGACTCGCTTCCGCGAGGAAACCTTCACCCGCGAGCTCATCCGTGATGTCATCCAGACCCACCCCGAGCTCGTCCGTCTCCTCTACATCAACTTTGCGATGGTCCACTACCCCGCGGCCGACGAGGCATCGCAGCTCACCCCCACCCTCTCGTTCCAGCGCATTAAGACGGTTCAGCCCCTCTCGGACCAGGACCTCTACGCCAAGATCAAGCGCGAGGCCACCAACAGCCGCGCCGCCCAGGTCCTCGAGGCGTGCTTGATCTTCAACAAGCACGTCCTCAAGTGCAACTTCTACCAGCCTACCAAGGTCGCGCTGTCCTTCCGTCTGGACCCCAACTTCCTCCCGGACATTGAGTACCCCAAGAAGCCCTTCGGCATCTTCTTCTTCGTCTCGAGCGACATGCGTGGCTTCCACGTCCGCTTCCGTGACGTCGCTCGTGGCGGTATCCGTCTCGTCCGCTCGCGCAACCAGGAAAACTGGGCCGCCAATGTCCGCAACCTCTTCGACGAGAACTACAACCTTGCCTACACTCAGACCCTTAAGAACAAGGACATTCCCGAGGGTGGCTCCAAGGGCACCATCCTGCCATCTCTCGGTGCCGACTACGAGGTCTGCTTTGAGAAGTACATTGACTCGCTCATCGACCTTCTCATCCCTGGCCAGTCCCCCGGCATCAAGGGCCCCATTGTTGATGTCTCGGGCCGTGACTCGCCGGAGGTCCTCTTCCTTGGCCCCGATGAGGGCACTGCTGAGATGATGGACTGGGCTGCCCTCCACGCCAAGAAGCGCGGCGCTCCTTGGTGGCGCGGCTTCACCACCGGCAAGAGCAACCTCCTTGGCGGTGAGTTATTGCTGTCAGACTGTCGCTAACGTGCAAGGTGTCCCCCACGACCGTTACGGCATGACCTCGCTCTCCGTCCGCCAGTACGTGCTCGGCGTGCTCAAGACGTACTGCGCCAACGACAAGGTCGTCACCAAGCTCCAGTCTGGTGCGTAGCCTTTATATCCACTTGAGTGCTCAGCTGACAAACAGGTGGCCCTGACGGTGACCTCGGTTCGAACGAGATTCTTCTCTCCAGCGAGAAGGAGAGGACTGTCGGTATCATCGACGGCTCGGGTGTCATCTACGACCCCAAGGGTCTTGACCGGGCTGAGCTTGTCCGCCTCGCCCGCGCTCGCAAGATGATCATCCACTTTGACGAGTCAAAGCTTGGTCCCGAGGGCTACAAGGTTCTCGTCGACCAGTCCAGCGTCAAGCTGCCATCAGGCGAGGTCGTCGACGGTCTTGACTTCCGCAACACCTTCCACCTCCGCGTCAAGTGTGACCTCTTTGTGCCCTGCGGTGGTCGCCCTGAGGCTGTCAACATCACCAATGTCAACCGCCTCGTTGACGCCGACGGCAAGCCCAACTTCAAGTACATTGTTGAGGGCGCCAACCTGTTCTTCTCGCAGCAGGCTCGCTTCTTCATGGAGAAGAAGGGCGTGGTGCACTTCAAGGACTCGTCGACCAACAAGGGTGGTGTCACCTCGTCGTCGCTTGAGGTTCTCACCGGTCTCGCCCTCAACGATGCCGAGTACGCCGAGAACATGAGCTACACCGACAAGCCATCGCCGTTCTACCAGGCCTACGTCAAGGAGGTGCAGCAGAAGATCTGCGAGAACGCAGCTGCCGAGTTCAACTGCATCCAAAAGACGTGGAACTCTGCCAAGGGCACTAAGAGCCGCACCGCCATCTCGGACGAGCTCTCGCAGACGCTCAACAAGCTCCAGGACTCGCTTGGTGAGCAGATCACGCCAGACACCGCTGACATTCGCAGAGCACTCTGACCTGTACGACAACGAGATTGCCCGCCGCAACGTCCTCAAGCGGGCCTTCCCCTCAACGCTGCAGGAGAAGCTCGGCGGCATCGACAACATGATGGCGCGCCTTGAGCCTGCGTACCTCAAGGCGGCGTGGTCGGCCTACGTGTCGTCGCACTTTGTCTACGAGAGCGGCCTCGACGACGCGGGCAACGTCGCCTTCTTCAAGTTCTTCACCAAGTTTGGGGCGCAGTAATCGCGTGGCTCCCATCAGCATCGTGTTCGGTATCAATGTAATAGCTGTGTGTCATGCATATGAACAATTCGGAAGTGGTTGGGAGTGAGGGGTCGTGAGTGCGTCTTGATGTTGAGCAAGGGAGCAAACGTCTCCGTGAATGCCTTCAGAGGGCGGAGTTGACACGCCGAGGTTGGACACATGCGCGTACTTGCTGCATGCCGAGGCAGTCGATGAGCCGAGTCGCGTCTGTGCACCCATGAGGTGGCGGAGGCGTCAGTCAGTGAGTCTGACGAGCTGATGATCAGAAGGGACTCTCTGCACGTGTCAGCATTATGCATGCTGACGACTCCTCGTTGCGTTAGACTGAAGTATGAATCAACACGACTCGCAAGGCGTGGACGGCCCCCTGTTCTACAGCGCTGCCTTTCGCTGATTCCCACCCACGTATCTAACATATCGTGCCACACACACCCGTCCACACCACCGTCCACACGCCCACCCCGCCTTCACACAAGTACATACACCCCACTATCGGATATGCGCCGTCTTGTCGCCGACATGCACCTCGGTGGTATCGCGCATATCGTCTGCTTCCTCACGCACATGCGCGTCCTCCTCTGCCGCATACGCGTCCGCGCGTTCGTGCAGCGGCGCCACGACCGCCATGAGCTGCGGCCAGATCTCGTCCGACGTGTTGCCCGTCAGCGAGTGCAGGCAGTCGGGGTACTCTGCGGCATACATCTGGCGTCAGAGAGGTCTTTAAGAGGCCCGCCGTGGCTCGCAGGCTGCAGAGCCCGCCTCGCTCCGCTCGCCGGCCACTCACCTCGAGCAGCGGCGCCGTCGCTTCGTAGTACGACCGCAGGCGCTTGATGAAGACCTCGGGCGTGTCGTCCGGCCGCTTGGAGAGTGGCTCGCCCGTCTCGTCGTCGACGCCGGGCGTCTTCGGCGGATTAAAGTCGTCGTTGTACACCCGCCCCGAGGGGAGGTGGACCCACCGCGCTGGTGTGAGCCAGAGCGGCGAGCGGGAAGCTGGGTTCGAGAGGGTACTCACCCTGGATACGCGAGAGAATTACAGAGTCCGGCACGTTGAGGTTCACGATCAGGTTGAGCGGCCGGCCTTCAGACGTCAAGACCTCGTTTAGCATCCGCCCCTGGCTCAGCGTGCGTGGGAACCCGTCGAGTATCCAGCTCGCATCCACGTGTCGGTCGAGCTCTTTGCGCACGAGCTCGACCATGAGCTCGTCGGGAACCAGGCCTGGGGTCAGCGAGGAGGGGAGGAGCGGGAGCGAGCCCGGACTGGTGTCTCCGTACGCAACGACGCGCCGCGGTGAGCATGAGGGAGCGAAGAGCGCCATTCACGACAGCCCACCGATCATCAGCCTCAAAGAGCACAAAAGCACGCCACGGCTGGAAGCACGCCGCTACTATCGGCCACACCGCACACAGCAACCACACACATCGCCGCCCATCTTCCGCCAGGCCCTACTCACCGCCCTCGGCCACAATCTTCTCCACCTGCTTCCCCAGCTCGCTGCCGGCGCCGATCTCGTGTCGCAGCACATCGCCCGTCGAGATGAAGTTGAGGTTGTACTTCTTAACGAGGCTGGGGTCAGTCCTGTGCTGTAGCGGACCGGGCCGCACGACGCGACGCACCGCGAGCTCAGTGTACCCTTCCCCGCTGCCGTCAGCCACATCACCGGGGAACGCACCGCCAGGCTTGGCGACCATGATGAGGCGGAGGCGCGGGTCGTCTCCTTCGGGCGCGCGCACGCCTGCTTCAACGTTTCGCGCCGCCTTGTCCAGCACGCCGCGCAGCTGCGCCTCGTAGTCGCGGACCGGCGTCGCGGTCGAGTAGAGCCGCAGGACCGAGGCTAGCCTGTGCGCCGCGGCGGACTGGGACGGGCGCGCGGCGCGCGTGGCGTAGAAGACGGAGCGGGGGACGCGCATGGCGGTGGGGACTGTGGGGCAAGGAGAGTGTGCGAGTGTGCGAAACCAAGCGAGGTACAGCTCACGACGGAGAGCTCGGTTGGAGACGGGAGACTTAGCCGCTGGCCGGGCCGAGCGACCGTCACCCAAAGGGCCCCATTGTTTTCGCATCAGATAACTCTAATCAGCCAATACAATTTGGATTAATCAATTGCTTGATAGCCCATTACAATCTCACGTGGAGCGTGCCTGGCGTTTCGACTGCACAATGTCGCCAACCAGCTCGTCCTCGTCTTGCTTGGCCTTGTCTTGTTCTGAATCATCTCAAACCTCATCGCATTCAACATGGCCGCCATAGCAAAGCTCGACAAGAGCGAGAAGGACAAGCAAGACTCCAAGAAGTTGGCAGGCTTCTTGCGTTACGATGTCTTCCCCTCGCGCTCATGGAAGAGCCGCGGACTCACAGTGCGTACATGTCTCCTCCTACAAGTGACACCCTCTATTTTGCCTGCAAGACTATCCGCTGACATTAGACACCTCAGGTGTCCAGGCCCACTGAGATCCGCACCGGCGGCCAGCATTTTGCCCGCGCGCTCGCCTTCAATATGGATGGCACACATCTCGCCGTCGGCCACGAGTCGCGCACGCTGCGCCTCCACCCCGCTACCGACGGACACGTCTCAGAGCGGGCGAGCACGCTTCCGTCTACGGGTGACAGTCCGCACCGCGGCAACGTGGCCAGCCTGGCGTGGTCGCCACGCGACCCAAGCATCCTCGTGTCGGGATGCAAGGGTGTGCGCGGCGACTCAGTTGTCGCCGTGTGGGACGTGCGCGCGCCAGCAGCGCCACTCGCGACGTTCACAGTGCCCGGAGACGTGTTGCACGTCGCCTTCCATCCGAACGGCAAGCACTTTGCCGCCGTGTGCCCGAGATCGGAGCGCGACGTCGTGTTCTTCTACCACCTCAAGGACGGGGCGTGGGTCAAGCGCGAGGATGTGCAAATCAACGGGGCAGGAGTCGGCGGCGGCGAGGAGGTGAGACGGCAGTGAAAAGAGAGGCTGATGGCAGCAAGTCAACTCGCTCCGTTTCGGGAACGGGGGTAGCTCGGCCCTAGCGGTAAACCAGGACGGGTCGCTCAATACCTGGCGATACCCCGTCGATGAGATTGTGCGCGAGCAGCCGGTCGACAGGCCAGCGAAGCGCGCGCGCTCACATGAGCCAGAGCCTGAGGAGGAGAAGGAGGTTGTTGAGCGCGAGCCGACACCAGATCCGGAGCCAGAACCTGCGCCGGATCGCGAGGCGCCCGAGTCCGTCGAGGGAGAGGGCGAGGGTGAAGGCGAGGGCGAGGGCGAGGGCGGGGGTAAGGGCGATGATGAGAATGGGGAAAACAAGGGCGAGGAGGAAGGAAGAGGGCCCCAGATGGACGTGGACGCAGACAAGGCTGAGCCTGGGCAAGAAGGCGAGGACCTTGAGGACAGGCCCGTGGATGGCGAGCCAACCACCAACGACGAGTCAGCGGACGCAGTGGCCGAGACCAATGCCGATGCCGCCGCCAATACCGGCTCAGAAACAGACGGTGACGCAGTAATGGCAGAGGCCGAGCCCGGCGAGGGCGCGCTTCCTACGCCCGCGCTCACACCTGCGCCCGGAACCCCTGCGCCCGGAACGCCGGCGCCTGGTACGCCGGCGCCTGCGTCCGCCGTTCCGTCGCGCGCGCCCTCGCCAACGAAGCATGAGAAGACGCAGGCAGAGGTGGACGCCGCCGAGGCCGCGGCGAAGGCAGCGGTGCGTGCTGAGGGCGAAGCGCACGTCCGCCTCATCCAGCTCGAGCGGGGGCCGCGCAAGGTCGTGAGCGTAGGCCTGTCGCTAGCGCTGGCCGTGGATCCACAGGGACGGTGAGTTGCCCTCGGCATCCGCATCTAACACCAGATACTACGCTGTTGGGGGCCACGATGCGCGCCTCTCACTGCTCAGCACGACGACGCTGATTGTCGCGCGCACGTGGGACGAGTGCTCTGCGCCGATCCGGCACGCCGCTTTCAGTGCAGACGGCGAGTATCTGGCCACGGGCGGAGACGAGGCTGCCATCATGGTGTTTGGCGTCGCGAGCGGCGAGCTCGTCGCGCGCGTGCCCACCCTCGGGCATGTGAGCGGGCTCAGCTGGCACCCGACGAAGAACCTTCTTGCCTACGTCACCAACGCCAAGAACCGCGCTGTCGGGTGGTGGCTGCTCACTGTCGAGTAGAGGTAGGGTTAGAAGTTACATGGGATAGCTTATGCTCATGCACTGGTGCAGATCAGCAACATGGCGCAGGCGTGGTCGCTCGTCGGTCACGGCCATACCGTACTCGATGGTACGAATTGGGTGAAGTAACATCTAAAATCATGCAGTAACCGGGTTGGGCTGTATCGTATCGAGACGGAGGGCCAGCTCTGACAGAGCTCTGACGGAAAACTGCCCTATGAACTGCCCAGTGGTGCTCCCCATGGCGGTCTGGTCAATTACAGACCACAAAGATTTGCCTCGAAGGGATTGGACTTTGAGCGACAATGTGGGCGATGGCCGCACGACTGCCAAGACGGAATCTTGTGTGGAAGCGCAGGTATTCTGTGGCAATTCATATTGCCCATACATCACCGGCTACAAATTGCGGAAACTCACAGTTGATGCGGCGGTAGCCCACCGGGCGCAGTGGAATAATCTGTCAATCGGGGAGGAGCCTCCGGGCCCCGGCAGCAAGATTGCCTCATGTTGGGCGCGTGCTGATCATACGTGAAAGCTCGAGCAAGACTGACCCGGTAGAAGAGCCCAACCCCGGTGGAGGAGAACCCAGACCATACGAGAAGAGCAGGCCGGCCTTCGAGGCTTTGATGTGCGCCCGACGAATGCGAACTTGTTGAGGCATTGTGCAAATGGTACGGAATGTGATCTCGCACTCACGAACGCCCGACCACCCGACCAGCGTCACTCACGACTACTGAACGCTCAGTGATTGCCCTCGACTGCGATCCTTGTGATCCGGCAATGCGAGTAACACCAGTCAATTCGGGCCACCTCGCCCCATGTCCACAAGACGAAGCGGTCTCAATGACCCAAGCCGAGCAAGACCGCCGAAGCGGCATGCTGAGCGGCGCCAAAACTGGCCGCAGAGACGCCCCGGATCGACCCCCACACCCCTAGGCGCACTGGGCGTTGACTGTGACGAAATGCTCCAGTTCCATTGCCCCAGTGCCCGGCTCATCGTCGACATTGGGGGTGGGCAGTGCTACCGTACATGTTGATGCCCTCTCCTCGCTTCCCACTGCTATAAGACGCTGTTTATGTCACGAAGCGACTTCGGCATTTCTCCCCTCACTCTTCTCTCATCTTGTATTCACCATGACAGCCGGCACTGAGCCCGTCCAGCACGGCATTGCTCATCTCAAGAACAACACGGACCCGAAATGGTGGAAGGACAAGGGCATGCGCAAGCTATGCCTTGCCATTTTCGTCGGGTTCTGTTGCTCGATCCAGACCGGTAACGTTTCTTCTCAGGCACACTGCTCACCTAACAGGCTATGATGGTGCGCTTATTGCATCGCTGCTCGCCAACCCCCGATTCTTCGCCGCCCTCGGCAATCCAACTGCGAGCAAACTTGGCCTTATCGTCGCCTCACAGTCGATGGGCACCATCCCGGGCCTCATCCCCTCCGCAATTCTCTCAGACAAGTTCGGACGCCGGGTGGGGCAGATGTGCGGATACCTCATCCTCATGGCTGGTGCCAACACGCTTGCCTTTGCCAGTCCGCTCAGCCCCAACTACATGATTGCCGGACGCGTCATCATCGGCTTCGGATCGGGAATGACCACCATCGCGGGCGCACCATACACGGCTGAGATCGCTCACCCTCGCAACCGTCCTCAGGCCACTGCCCTCGTTCAGACCTGCTTCTTCGTCGGCAGTGTTGCCTCGGCCTTCATCGCCCTCGGCACATTCAAGGGCATCGACAACGACTGGAGCTGGCGCCTGCCTCTACTCCTGCACAACGTCGTGCCAGTGATCGTGCTTTCGCTCATCTGGTTCGTACCCGAGAGTCCACGTTGGCTCGTCAACAAGGGCCGTGTGGAGGAGGCCCACCAGATTCTCGCCAAGTACCACGCCAACGGCAAGATGGACGACGAGCTCGTACTGTGGGAGCTGCGTGAAATCGAGCAAAGCATCAAGATCGAGCAGGCGGCCAAGTCGACCACGTTCTCCACGTTCTTCAAGACCAAGGGCAACCGCTGGCGCCTAGGCATCATCGTGACTACTGGCCTTGCCGCGCAGTGGGTCGGTAATGGCATTATCACCTTCTACGTCGTCGCCATCCTCAACACGGTCGGCATCACCGACCCCGTCTACCAGACCATCTACAACGGCTGCCTGCAGATTTGGAACGGTATTTCGGCCATGACTGGCGCGCTCGTCTGTGAAAAATTCGGCCGGCGGAAGATCTGGCTCACAAGCATTATGGGGCAGTTCATCTCGTACGCCATCATCACCCTCGGTTCAGCGCTCTTCGCCAACGGCAATTCTGCGGCGGCGTACCCAGTCCTAGCCTTCCTATTCATCTATGTGCGTCAGCTTGTCTGCCAACGTGCCCGCTAATCCCAGTTCAGCTTCTACGCCATCGCCGTACGGAACCCCGCTGACATCGCTGACTGTAGTTCACCCCGCTCCTCCTCGCGTACCCGATTGAGATCCTGCCTTTCTCGCTCCGGTCCAAGGGCGTGTCCCTCCTCCTCATCTGCTCGCTTAGCGCCACGCTCATCAACACATTCATCAACCCCATCGCTCTCGAGGCCCTCGAGTGGAAGTTTTACTTCCTCTTCCTCGGTGTCCAGGTCATCGTCGGTAGTAAGCAGGCTGCACGTTCACGCTGACACGCTGTCCTCATCTTCATCTACTTCCCCGAGACCCAGGGCCACTCGCTCGAGGAGATTGCCGTCATCTTCGACGGCCCCGCCGCCAAGGCTACGCCGGACGATGCCGACGACTTCGCCGCCCCCGCCGAGCGCCGCCCTACTCTGGACCCTCCTTCGCAGTAGTGGTGCTGTACATCCACACTATCGCCTCTTGTGGGGGCTGTATGAAAGAATTTGTGTCCGGCTTGCATTAATGAGCCAGGTGGCTGCTTCTTAGTAGTGTTTCGACGAACAGAGCATGCGAGGGGCTCTCATATCCCAACGGTATTAGTTTTAGGAGGCAGGGTGCTCTACATCGTGGGAAACGCGCCACATTCCACAATCATACCACATTCCCGCCACATTACTCTTCTCTGCCACAGTCCAGCGCCATCATGGGAATTGGAATCCCTCGTAATGACCATGAGGGTGACGAGAACGAAAGCGAAGACGACGAGGGTAGAGAGAGACTCATGCAGGTAAGGATACGGGTGATTCCGCCCTATGCGGTTTGACTGCACCTAGCTGGCCAGCGCCCTGTAAGTTGAACGCAATGACCCCTGGAAAGTCACTTGGTCCGCGACGACTTCGGCAAGTAGATCTTCGGCGTATGACCTCGAAGGATGACGCTCTCTATGCGCCCGCTTGAACACAATGTCAAGAGAGGACCACAGTCGTGGCGGTGACCTCAGGACATGTATTCTTTGCCACTGTGCAGTTGCAATTCACGTCGTCTCCATGTACGTGTGTAGCACTCCTCTACAAGTTCGGTGTACATTAGCCCAGTCGTTACGCTACCCTAGACGCTGGTGGCTCGGCCATCGGACCTCCGAGGGGGTAGTGTCACCAGCACCATGGGGGCGGGGGCGGTCATGGCGGCTTCGTCTGGCTCGTACGGCTCCTTCTTCCACGCGAGTTCGCCAGGGAACCAAACATTCAAGTTGACGGCGAGAATGGCGGCGAGACATGCCCAGTCGGTAGCTCCTTCTAGGACGTAGAATGCGATTCGGCTGCGCACGGGCGCGTCGGGGTCCTCGGTGTGCAGCTGAATGACGCGGTACAGCGCTGTGATGAAGCACAGGAGGAGGAGACACGTGAGGTAGATCGTGCCGCGCCGGCCGAGGTGCATCATAAAGTGGCAGAGCGGGACGTAGATGAGACCCATGATGACGGTGGCGAGGGAGAGCGCGTAGTTGGTGCGCCAAAGGGTGCGGACTAGCGGGGTCTTCGGCTGCGTCGGGTCCACTTCGGTCGCGGTTACAATGCTGATGATAATGGATGTGAGGAGAGTCATGTAGGGAATGATTGGCCGCACCCACCACGGCCGGTCTTTGCGCTGGACGGTAGTGAGGATATGGCGCCGCCACAGGTCCAGCACGGGAAAGAGGAGGATGAGGAAACTAATGTTGATGAGAGCAGCTTCTCCGGCTTGGGGTAAGCGAAGTCTGACATCCACGCACCGAGATACTCGATATCGTATGTGTTAACGCTCATAATCGCGCGGAGGATGTACATGCCGAGGCGGAGGAGCAGGAAGGTTGTGGGGCGCACGTACAGCCATGTACGTGACGCTCGGACACTGATGCGCCAGATGAGAACTGGGAGAGTGAGACCATACTGCGTTCAGCATGCCACTTTGTCAGGTTCCAACTCGGGCCTCACAAGGATCGCGAAGACGATGCTCGGCGCCAGGTCGGGCGGCCTGGGCATGCCGCCCGTGAAGTTGAAGACCTCGAGATGTAGTCCCGTTAGGCTCATGAGTGAGGTGAAGTCAGTGAGAATGAGAGTGCGGGCGAGACGCTGAGGCATTGTGGGGTTAAGACTTCTCCCAAAGGGCGCCAGTACCGGGCAGCTGGAGTCGTAGTATGTCATCGCTGTTGTCCGGGGGCCGGGCATGCGGGCGTCGGGGCGCTCGGTGCAAGCGACCGCTTGGAACATGATGTGGGGGTCAAGATCAGTGGAGGCTTTCGGAAGCCATGGGAAACGGGCCCAGGCAAAAGGCAGGCGTGTAACAACTTCAACGGCGCAGTGTATCGCAAGCTGGAACGAGGCTGCCGCTGACGCTCGGTCCTATTCTGGCTGTTGTAAATACGCGGCGACTGCCCGACAACCATGCACAGGAGTTGCATCATCCGATGTGGTCTGTCGCGGATGCATGCAGACTGCCCAGTCCACACCAGCAGGTGTCTCATATGGTGAGGATCCGAGTGTGATAGGAGAATGATTGATGACAGACCTCGAAACACTTCAGTGAAGATGGCGGTTTCACGGCCCGAGGCGTTGGAGGCAGTTGCGCCTGGGCGCTTGTGTTCTCGACAGTCCAAAACAGGTCAGCATATGTTTCCGCTCGCTAGCGTAGTAGGCCGGATTTTGCGTATGGGGGGTGACCCGTCAGCAAAGCTCGCTATAACGAGTCGGGTCAAATCTGTTATAGTTGAGTTTAGAGTGGGGAGGGGGGTGGGATGCGTGATTACAGAATGTCTGCGGGAAGAGTGATGTTTTAAGAATTAGCTTCGACTTCCCACCCAAAACTGAAACTATCTCGTAATACTCCGTCAGCGCCCAACCGCGACTCTGCGCCTCATGCCCCGCCCATCGCCTCATGCCCGCCTACTCACGCCTTCTGCACTGACCTCGGGCCATGGGCCAGAAGCCCGCCGAGACGGGAGCGTGGCGAGCGCCGGACTCGCGGTACCGAGGTACATGTTGCATATACTCATGTATCGACCACTAATGAGGCCGGAGTGAGGCACGTCCGAACAAGGTTACAGCATCGCACCAGCGTGCCCTCGGCGCGACCGCCCCCAATGTGACGCCTTCGCACTCCTTCTGCCCCTCTTTCTGATCACACGCTAGAAGCACCTCGCCCCAGCAACCGCTTGACCTGGTTGCCCAGCGGAAAGATGCAGTTGTGACGAGGACGTCGTTTGTGCTAACCACTTGCCACTCAACACGATTCTTCTCTGACATGACACCGCACAGCGAGGACACGGGGCCGCTACTGGGCGCCGATGCCGAGCACGAAGGTGTGCGTACACGCATCCCAGCCTGGCGCCGCGTGCGATTCAGATATTGGTATGTCCGTCGCGGGAAACACATTGACATGTAGCAATGGACGTTGGCCTCTAGTCCTCGTCTGCCTTGGACTGATTGCATTGCTGGGTCATGCCACATACGACCCCGACACTCGCGCGCGAGTCGCCAGCGCAGCCTTCAAGCCGAGCTGGTCGGGCCCTTCAGTGGACGATCTCGACCGTGCGGCGCGGGCGCGCCAGCTCATGCGCGATATGAAAGAGCGCTACCTCGAGGAGTGGGTGCATGGTGGTCCACACTGACAGGCAGGGATGGCCACAAGTTGCCACGCCTGGACAACTATGTCGCGCTTGAGCGCCTCGCAACATGTCTCACCGCGGGCACCTGTACGGACAGCGAGCGCAAGATCATTCTGCTCGCCAGCTTTCACTTTGGGCACTCGGAGCTCGGATGGAACGGCGGCGAGCAGGTATGGGCGCGCTCGATGCTAAGCGCGTTCCGTGAGCTCAACCACACAGTGCTGTTCTCCTGGGGACACATGGACACGCTACTCAACTATCAGGCGCTACCCGAGCTCGTTACGCACGTCCTGTGGGAGCGCAAAGAGTTCCTCGTCTGCCAGGAGCGCAACGACACGAACTACCGTGAAATGGACAAGGAAGACTTTGCGACCAAACCTTGGCATGACTGGCAGACGGGCCCCAAGCGCTGCATGCAGGCCGATGACTACCCGCAAGGCATCCCATACTGGAAGAGCTTCCACTTCTGGTTCTTCGTTGAGACGGACCATCCGCTTGGTGGTCACTGGATTCTTTCGCCCGAAGACTACGACCTGTGGTATGGCAAGAAGCCAAACCACACATACCTGGTAAGTGAGACGGTGGAAGCGAGCTGACCTCGCAGGGATATTCTATCGAGCACCGCTGTAATCAGTTTCCCACTTTCGATCACCGCGAGCATCGTGGCCTAATCCTCGCCAAAACGTTAAACTACTTTGAGCAGAAAATCAACGGCTTCTACAACATCATAGGCAAGGCTCGCGACGGAGTCCAGCCCATCTCTGAGAACGGGAAGGAAGTCAAGTTTGAGCTTGTCACGACTGTTGGCGAGAAAGGCACTCACATTGAGGACCCCGATATTGAGTCGCTCGGCCGCATGGACCAGAAGGCGTGGACCGAGGTCCTGGCGCGTAGCAAGCTGCTGCTCGGCATTGGGCGCCCAATTGTATCTCCATCACGTGAGTTCGATCTTGTCCGCGCGCTGACCCCAGCATATTACGCACTGTGCATGGGCGTGCCATTCATTCAACCGGTTGGGTGGTGGAACAAGCACAGACCCGACGACCGCAGCGCCTGGCAGACGCAGCAGATGGGCATGCGCATGTTGGAGGAGCCGTACGTGTACCATGTCAAGGCGGGGGACGAGGAGGGCCTGCGAGCGGCCATGCAGCGCGCTGTCGACAACCCCATCCCGCGCTACATCCGTGAGTTGCATCCCGCAACCGTGCTTACAGAAAGCGCCACACATGACATGGGACGCGTTTATGGGACGCGTGCGCTCTTTCCTTGCGCGCGACTGGCAGGCAGAGGCCAAGCAGCACATCGTGCAGACATACGCGGACGCGCCCAAGTGGCAGTACCTCGCCATGGACTCGCCATACAAGGGGTGAGTCGCGCCAGCATCGTATAGAGTAGAGCATTCCTAGTACATCGATGACTTTGACATTCCCACCAGATCGCATGTGGCTCATGGTCTTGGTCCGTGCGTCTCACCAGCTACTCACCAAGCTAGACGAGGTAGTGCCCACAACAACATTTCATCTCTCCAGTCGATCGGAGGCGAGCGGAAGGGAAAGGCGGAAGCCGGCTGATATCGGCGATTCGGCAAATTCCAACCCCGTTCCACGACTTCTCCACAGATGCCCTCACTCCAGCAGCGTTCTTCGCCAACCGCCAAGCGAGGCACCCATCGCACCGGACAGACGCACCGTGTGCAGAGAGTGCTTCATGCAGTGCATCGGCGTTGCGGGTGGAGTAGGACCCGGACGGTGGGGCGGCGAGGAACGGGATCCGACACGTGTCGGCGTCGGCCAATAACCCGACGGAGGGCGTGGGAGCGGAACGTGGAGGGACAATGGTGAGCGGAACGAGGACAATGGAACAAAGAAGTCACCTACACCGCCGGGGTGCCGAATAGAATGCGCGGGCGGCGCCCAGCGGCGCCCAGCCATATCGTGGCGTCGCTCTCAGACACTGATATACTCACTCACTGACTTCTGACATCCCCGCACTTCCCACTCATCAATCACCATGTCTGCTCCCCAGTCCAACCAGTCCGTCGACCCATACCAGGCCAAGCTCGAGCGCATGCGCGCCAACGCGACCGACGACTCGATCCGGCCGTTTATGGACGACACACACATCCAGCACGAGAACCTCACGCCGGAGCAGGCCAGAGCCTATGCGCTCTGGGGCAACCCCGACGCCACGGGTCCCAAGGATATCACGATCATTGCCGACAAGGTCGAGATCGCGCCCGCGCGCCAGACCACCCTCCCCCACCAGACCAAGCTCGAGCACGTTCGGGCGAACATCGCTGACGACTCGACGCGCCCCTTCATGGACGACACACATGTCCAGCACGAGAACCTCACGCCCGAGCAGGCTAGAGCCTTCGCGCTTTGGGGTAACCCAGACGCGACCGGTCCCCAGGACAACATTACGATCATCGCCGACAAGGTCGAGGTCGCGCCCCCGCGCCAGACCACCCTCCCGCACCAAACCAAGCTCGAGCATGTGCGCGAAAACATCGCCGACGACTCGACGCGGCCTTTCATGGACGACTCGCACGTTCCGCACGAGAACCTCACGCCCGAGCAGGCTAGAGCCTTCGCGCTCTGGGGCAGTCCCGACGCCACGGGCCCCACAGAGATTAAGATCACAGCCTCCAACATCCAGATCAAGTCAACCGGGTCGCAGGCCGCCCCGCAGAGCTCCACGCAGGCATAGATTCCTCCCGGCCGTTGTAGCTAGACAGTGACCCGAAAGATTGCTGGCAGTAAACCACAGTCACTGTATGTATCTTGTCAACCTTACGTGCGTGGGCCAAGTGGTAAGGTGGGCGTGGGGCCTGTCCACCGCCGGACGCGATGCAGCCCACTTACTTGTATTTGACGAGTCAGATTGGCACTACACTCCTGAGGCACGAAGACAACCCCGCGTCTCGCGAGTCTAAGATGAGCCGATAATTGAACAATGACACAGGTGGCGCGCCTCTTGGCGCTCATGAAGCCTCCGTCAATTGCGACTTGCTTCAGCCGTCCATGGATGTCTGTGCCGTGCCGCTATCTCTCTCGTCCTCCTCCCCATTCTCGGCGGTTGTGTGCGGTGTAGCCCACCAGTGGATGCCCATTGACGGCCAAAACCGGCATGAGATACCGTGCCTCACCGATCACGTGATATATGCTCCAATCTGAACGCCGACCTCTTTGCTCTGATGCCCACTTACCCTCCCGCTCATCGCGCTCACATGCTCCAACTCATCCATCAGCCCGGCCTGCCGCGTCTCGGCACGCCAGCCACTGCAAGGTCACATGCTCATTGCTAAACCATAACAAGTCTCGGCCGGGCTGACGCGCAAGGAAGGTCCTGCTGTGGGCTGCAATTTGCCGTTCGTGTACTAGCCTCTTCCCATGCTCGAGGCATGATTGCAACACTCCCATTCATCTCTTCATCCTCGCAGTTGTCCGAGACAATGAGGCACCGCCGAGGTCCATCGCAGCTGCCCGAGCCCACTTAATCGCGGCTACACCGGGTGTCGGGGTCATCTGACGAGCGAGTACGGCCTTCTTGGCGCAGTCTCAAGTACTGACAGAGGAGATCGTGCGCTTGGCGCGACATCTTAAGCAGCAAGCACGAGACCTGCATCACCCAGCTCCGCCATGACAACGGCCACGAACCACCTCCTCTCCGTTCCCAGTGAGTTGGGCGCATGGCTCCGCTGAAACCAGACAATACACACCGAAACTGGTGGAAAGACAAGTCACTGCGCCAGAACTTGCTCCACTGCGCCGGCTGCTGTCTTTGTGTCTTTTACCTTGGCTTCGACCAGGCGCTCCTTGCTTCTCTCCAAGCTCTTCCGATTTTCAATGTCTATTTCAACACGCCGACGGGAACGACGCTCGGCCTCATCGCGTCCTCGCTCTACTTCCCCGGCCTTTTTGCCTCATTTTTCGGCAGCTGGGTGTCAATGAAATATGGCCGCAAGCCTACTGTCTGGATTGGCTCTGGTCTCATTATTGTTGGCACGTTCGTCAATGCATTGGCGACAAACACGGGAATTTTCTGCGGTGGCCGCGTTTTGGTGAGTGTTGACCCCCCCCTCCCCAGAACTGACGCACCAGATTGGCGCCGGTGGGGCCATTACGAAAGTGGCAGCGCCTGCATTGCTCAACGAGATTGCTCACCCGCGCATTCGCTCCGTCATCGCAGCCAGCTACTATGGGTGGTTCTTCCTCGGCTCGGCGCTCTCGTCGTGGCTGTGCCTTGCCGGCCTCTACATCCCGAACGACTGGAGCTGGCGCATGCCGTGCATGTTCCAGCTCTTCGCGCCCACCCTTGTCATCATTATAACTGCCACGGGTCCTGAGTCGCCCCGCTTCCTCATCAACAAGGGACGCAATGAAGAGGCACTCAACATGCTGGCCAAGTACCATGCCAATGGCAAGGTCGATGACGAGCTCGTCCAGCTTGAATACGGAGAGATCTGCGCGGCCCTCGAGTCTGAGGGCGAGGAGCACAAGTCGTCGTGGCTGGACCTTATCCGCACCAAAGGCAACCGCAGGCGCATTGCCATGTCTATTCTTATGGCTTGTGGCACTAACTGGACGGGATCCGGCTTGCTCGGATACTACCTCACGCCGATCCTCGCGAGTGTCGGCATCACGGACCCCAAGCAGACGACTTCGCTCAACGGCGGCCTTGCCCTTTTCAACCTTCTTGCGTGCCAGCTGGCGGCAACGCAAGCCGACCGCATCTCGCGCCGCGTTTCATTCTTTACCTCTGGGGTCGGCATGATCTCGTCCATCGCCATCGTCACAGGCTTGTCCGCCACTTTCGCCTCGGGCAAGAAAGAATTCGGCATCCCCACGGTTCCGATAATTTTTGCGTACTTTGCCTTCTACGACATAGCGTGGATGGCGCTCCCCTTCCACTACTGCACGGAAATCATGCCTTTCCATCTCCGCACCAAGGGCCTTGCGGTCTTCACTGCCGTGCAGACATTCGCCAACGGCTTCAATCAGTTTGTCAACCCTATCGCGTTCAAGGCCATCGCATGGCGCTTCTACATCGTCTACATCGCAATCAACGCAGGATACATGGTCTATTTCTACTTCTATCTCATCGACTCGCGTGGCATGTCCCTCGAGTCGACGACGCTGCTGTTCGACTTCCCGCGCCGTGAGGCTCGCCAGCGCGCCGATGAGGGCATGCAGGCCCGTGTGGCTGCTCGTGCCGAGGCGAGGGCTGCCGCTCTCGAAAAGGAGAAGGGTGAAATCGACATGGTCGAGGATGTCGCCGCCCTGGACAAGACGGCCCCAAAGAGTATGGTGTAGAAATTCATGCGAAATACGGGAGGGAAAGGGTGCGAGTGGCATTGTACAGTGTTTAAATATAAGGGGACGGAGTATGCAGGCGATCTGAAGATTCATCGGCTGGCCGTTAACAGCACCGGCATGCTCAGGGCAATGACGGCTGTAGAGTCCGAGAGATTGTACAGCCTGCCATACAATCCGCAGGCCTCTTTGCGCCCACTGATTGGGACGCATTCCAAGTATGTTATGGGGAGCAGTTCGGGTGGAGTCAGCGCTTCGGCGGAGCGAGCTATGGCGTGGGCCGTTCAATGCTGGAACAAGTCTGCGAGATGTTGAGCGGGGCTGGTCTCAGCAAGATCACTCGGTAACCTCCAGATTCTGACCGCGCTGACTGACCGCCGCATTCAACGTCATCGACTCTGCCGAAACTCATATGCATACACGAGATTCCCTGCCACGTCTAAGCCTCCTTGACCTCATCCTGGCCCTCCTCTGCGCCTGTAATCTCAGTCCGGAGCTTGGACTCGATGCCAGGGGTGTTGAGGGTGGCCTCCTCGTCGCCAGTGGCGGGCGTGGCAGTCCCGCTCGCGGCTGTCGAGCTCGCCTCAGTGCCGGCGTTGGAGCGCTTGACAAAAGGCACTGGGTTGCAGATGTCACGCCCAAACACGCGGTTGGAGAGCACGCTCTTCTCGCGCTTGTCGATCAGCAGCGACATGCTCTGCTTAGCCTTCCACACAGGCATGTCAAGGGGGAGGGCGAGCCTGCCGCCGCTCGCCTCGTCCTCGCCCGCGGCGAAGCGCACGAGCATGTTACCGAGCTGTGCCTCTTCGAGGTGCGTCTTAAACGGCGGCGCAAAACTGTCGATCGGCGGGTACATGTTCTCAAGGAACGTGAATAGCTCTGCGACTGTCGCCGGCACGACACGCTCGTCGGGCACATACTTGAGCACCTCGTCGATGCCATCGCCGCTCACGCGCCACTTGCACGGGATGTCGACCCGCGCTTGCGAGTCCTGGCGGATGAATGACTTGATGCCGGCCGAGATCATGCGCAACCGCGTGTAATCGTTGTTCTCCACGATAGCCTTGACGAGGTCCGAGGCAATGTACAGCGTCCGATGCGGGGAACCGTCCGCGTTCCGCACAAGAAGGTTGTTGCGGGGGAACGACTCAGACAGCCCGAACCAGTCGATGATGATGCCGACCTCCTCGTGCGCCGGGTCAACAAAAGAGAACGGATCCTCGCGGAAAGCGAGGTCCGGGCGCTCCTTCTTCTTCGGCGCCTGACCCGGAGCCTTTGGCTTCTTGGCCTGAGGCTCAGTCCCGTCGGCGCCCTCAGCAGAGGGGCTGAGCGCGCGCTTAAGGCTTAGCGACCCCTTCTCGTCGGTTGCCTCAACGTCGTCCATCTCAGGCAAGGCGTCGATGTCTACCTTGGGGGCAGACGACGTGACGGGTGTGCCGGCCTTCTCGAGGACGCACACGAAGAATCCGCCCGTGTTCTGGTCGTGCGGGAGAAGACGGAGGGCGCGTTCCAAGCCGAGCTCTCCAGCGTTCTCCGGAGCCCACAAAGTCGACGCGAGCTCCTTCTTCTGCCGCTTGTCCTCCTCGGTCAACGACGCATCCCGGTCCGCCTTGTAGGCCTCGTATGTCTCGTGATAGACCGTCCCCTCGGGCCCGTTGGTGCCCACCTTCCACGACGAAATTCCCGGCCGGCGCTTGAGACCAGGGAGCTTGTCCGAAACGTCAACGATCGAGAACTCGCCGGGGTGTGCGTTGAGCGCTGCCGCGACGACCGCCTCGTTCTCGGATGGGTTGAAAGAGCAGGTCGAGTAGACGAGGCGGCCTCCAGGCTTGAGCATGTTCATGGCGCGGTGCAGGATACGCAGCTGGATGATATGCAGACTGTTACCGTCGCTGGGCATCCACTTGTTCCAGATCTCCATGTTCTTGCGCATCGTGCCGTCGCCGCTGCACGGCACATCGGCGAGAATGCGATCAAACTTGAGCGTCTCGTTGTTGCCGAGCGAGATGTTGGGGAACATGCTCGCGTCGCAGTTGGTCACGAGTAAGCCCTTTGAAGGCATGCGCCCCGTCTGGTGCACGAGCATGTGTGTGCGCTTGTAATCGGCATCGTTGGCGATGAGGAGGCCAGTCGATTCAGTGTGGTACGGGTTGAGCGCCTCGATGATCTGCGCAGTCTTGGATCCCGGCGCAGCGCACATGTCGAGACACTGGGGTCAACTCAGCGCCTCACATCCGTGACTCACGCGGTGGTGAGGTTCAACGTCCATCAGCAGGGGCGGAATCATGCTCACGGCCTCTTGGCGGCTGAGGTTCCCCTGGAGTTAGCGAGCGTGCGTGCACGGTGACATCCTCGCGCCAGTTCCAATACTCGTTCGTTACTCACCACATCCGTCTCGCCAACCAGGAACTTCTGGAACTTCTTGAATGCCTCGTTCTTGCGCACAACGCGCTTCGGCGCGGCAATCTCCCATGCCAGCCCGCCGGGGTACCACACGATCGGCTTGGGGGGGTCGTACGTGATGCCGTCAAGCTCGACCTCGTGCATAGTAGGGACATAGACGTCCTTGATGAGGTTATTGATGGTGTCGGCGTGTCTACCATGAGCATGTGCGGAAAGGAACGAGTAGCGGATGAGCGGGCAAATCCGACCGGCTGGCTCCATATCGGACTCCAAGCCCACCACGGCTCGTTATTTGAACACTCACGCGCGGCTCCCAGTGACGCGGAACGTTGTCGGGAGCTCGGTCTTGAGCGAACTGAGGAAGTCCTCCCACTCGGCCTCCGGCACGATGCCCTGCGTCTTGTAGTACTCCTCAAACGTGAGGTTCTTAAGGTCCGTGGTGTTCATGGTCTTCCACTCGCCCGCACCGTTCGGACGCCCGCGCGGAGCTGGTCCACCACGACGTCCCTAGAGCGTCAGCGTGCTTTAGCTCTAAACATTGTGAATTGAACCGGACTGCCCAGCAAGCTCAGGAGCATACACCTGCAGAAGGAGCAATCCAGCCTCATCCATCCGGCGCAAGCTCCCTAAAAACTTACTCCTCTGCCACCGCCGCGTTTTCCGTGCTTGCCCATGTTGTTAGTGGTGGTTGTTGTTGATTGTGGTGCACGCCAAAAGTTCAGCTTGTCGAGAGAGAGCGTCTGAATGAATTCCTGACACGTGACACGGACATTGACCATTCCTCCGCGCCGCTCATGTTGCCACTCGGGAATGGGTGGGGCTGCGGTTAGCGCCATCTCCAGTCTCCACCGACTGTTCCAACCGTTGCTCGTCATTCTTCTCCTCCGACTCCTCGGGCTCATCGCGCACATCGTCGACATATCGACATCTCTCTTACTGTTATCGTCGCTCTTTCTCTTGTGCCTCGCCAAAGACTGCTCCACATCCTTACTCATCCCGCATCGCATCACTTCGCTCTCACCTTGCGCCTTCTCCCGTCGCTCAACCGGCACACATGCTCTCCGCCAGGATGGATGACATGACATGGTGAGCTGCTTTAGCTGCTATCAGACTGACAGCAGGGACTAGTGAGTTGTAGCGGCAGCTATCGAGCGGTGGGAACTGGCGATCGGTATCTCTCCCATCGTCGTGCGCCGCCTGGCATCGGCCTTTCCCGCCTTCCCTTGTCCGCCATTCTCTGGCTCGCCGCTAACCACAGCATTCTAAAGTTTGTGATTGTGGGCGATGCAGCAGTCGGCAAGTCCTGTCTGTTGATTCGACTCACGGACGACCGGTTCGCAGCCAGCGAACCCACGCTTGGTGTCGAGTTTGGGTCAAGGCTAGTCTCCACGACTGTCGGCGGCCAGGCCAAGCGGGTCAAGGTGCAGTGTGAGTGTGATGGTGGCGGTCGCTGGGTGGGATAGGACAGGCCGTCGAGTGCTGGCACCAGTGGCCGGGGTTGAGCAGAGGTGGCTGCCCATTGTATTGACCGCTTCTGTGGGACAAGCTGACACCAGGCTGGGATACCGCGGGTACAGAATCCTTTCGCAGTATCACACGGAGCTACTTCCGTGGCGCAGCGGGCGCATTGCTGGTGTACGATGTGACGCGGCGAGAAAGTACGTCGGGCTGTCGCGCAAGGCTTTCCGAAATCAGAGAGCTGACGACAGCGTTCGAGCACGCCACTTCATGGCTGAGCGACCTGCGCACGCATGCAGACGAGAATGTGTCTATCATCCGTATGAGACGCATCGTTATTGCAGCTGACGTCAGTCGTGGCAAACAAGACTGATTTGTGCGCGACGGAGCCAACAGTGCTGCCACAAATACAGTTCGGCGAAGCGGTGTACGTGATGCCCGAGCCAGCTCCGGAGGCAGGGACACCAGCGCCTGAGCAGGATGCCACCGATTCTTCAGCCGAATCTGGGTCGAAGTCCACCGCCACACCTTCTGGCAACATCTCTCCGCCTGCTAAGAACGATTCTGCCGCTCCTGGACGAAAACTTGTCCCGCGCGCCGTCTCGACACTCGAAGGAGCCCTCTTTGCGAAGCAGCATAACTTGCTGTACGTCGAGACCTCGGCAAAGGAAGGGTGGGGAGTCATCGACGCATTTGAGCAGACGGCACGGCAAATTCTGGAGCGAGTGGAGCGGGGCGAGTTTGAGCGTCGCAAGCCCGCCGGTGTGAACCTCGCCGAGAACAAGACCAAAGGCGGGTGTTGTTAGTTGTGTGCATTACATGTCTAGGGATACAGTTACTCGGCCTCTTCCGCGTGATAGATGATGGCGAAGCTGAGGAGCTTGACGCCGGCGACGATGAGCGCAGCCGCCCAAGCCCCGAGATGCTGTTCAAAGAAGAGGCCCAGGATACACCCCAGCCAGAAGGTTACGAGGTAAACGACACGGCGATCGCGGCCTTGTTGCGGGGTAGTGGAGAAGAGAAGCGGATCAGCCACCAAGCTCGCATAGGACGCCGTGACGGTTGCGGCGTTGATTTCGCGCACTCCGACGCCGGTGGCCATGACGAACTGGATGCCACTCTGGAACGCGCACGTCGCCATGGACACCCACTCGTATCGTCCGTCGAGGTCGAAGACGGAGGGTGCGTAGGGCGAGATAAGCCAGACGTAGAGGAGAAGTACGGCCATCTGCGCACCGGAAGTGACGAACAGCCACCCGCGCGAGTTCCGGCCTGTCGTCAGTGCCGGGCAAGGAGAGCGCGTGCCGGCTGGTGAAACGAGAAGCGAGCTGGCGAGGGCGCCGAGTGCGCCGAGGGCGCCCGAGCTGTGCCACCGACGTCTGCTCGCCGCTCGGAGCCAACTCACGACTTCTGCGCGCCTGCCCGAACAAGAATGCGCCAGTGAGCCACGCGACCAGACTCGTCGTCGCGAGGATACACTTGCGCGGGCTTGTGCGGAGGTGGAGACTCGCGGTGGCGAGCATGACCGTGTTGCCGGTCTGGTTCGAGCTGAACGTGCTGTATTTCGCATAGCACACGACGTCGAGCATGCTGGTGTCAGCTACGCCGGGTCACGCGCAACGCACCTCGTAGCGAGCGTCAAGATGAGGTTGCTCACAACCATCGCGCGCCCGCCGAGGCGGTGCCGCGTCCATCGGTCCTTGTCTGACGGGAGGAGGGGGGCGATCTCGCGCGTGTCGGGTGGTGTAGGGGAGGCGGAGGCCAGCGAGGCGGGGGGGCCGGTCGCGCCGTACGACATGGGTTAGGCCGGCGGTTGAGAGGTGCCAAGATGAGACTCTGCCAAGTTGGAGAGATATTTGTCGCGTGCCGCTGGCCGGGCGCCGGAGGACAGGGCCGTCGAGGAGTGCGTGGTGCGGTGCGGGGTGCGGAGTGCGGAGTGGGGTCGCGAGAACACCACATGCATGTTTCAGATAGATATCACTGAGTGATGAAGGGGCCGAGATGAGCGGTCGCCGATTAGAGTAACGCGTCATGAGCACGCCAGTGGTGGTGATCATGACGACAGATCCCGGCCGCGATGGGCATTGTGAATCTTGCGGCGCGCGTTTCGTCGCCATCGCCGTTCTCACGCCCTCTCACTCGCCCTCACCTCCGTCCGATGGCGGAGTCGTGGTGATGGATGATGCATAAGACGAAGTGCGCTCGCCGATCTGTCGATCTGTCGATCCACAATGGCGCCGCAGCGATCCACGGATCCCACGGACACGGAGATAAGGCGTGCCCAAGTCTAGCGACCGAAGTGCATACATACATGTCTAAGTCTAGATCTAGCCGTTCCTCTGCCGCTTTTCCTCATCTACGGACTATACCGCACATCAAACAGGAAGCGGGTGTACAGCGTCTGCTCAAAGTGCGCGAGGTGCTCGTCGTCGGCCCATTGCACGACCTCGAACGGCTCCGACCAGTCCGGCTTCACCGTGTGCGGCATCTCAAGCGGCGGGGGGACGGGTGTGCCTGCGCGCTCGGCGGCCGCGGCCGCTGCATTCCACTTTGCGTGCGCCGCCGCGCTCTGTGCGTCCTCGGCGCGCTGCGCGGCCTCTTCCTCGTCTTTGCGCCACTGCGGGCGGATGTCGGCATAATCGAGACCAACACAGAACGGGGACGCGAGGCCGCCATGAAAGAACCTGGGGTCAGCCCTGCATGGTCAAACGCACATGTTGACGCCCTGCTCGCGCGCCGCGCGCCGCATGACCATCTCTTGCGCGGGCGCGCGCGCGTACCCCGCCTCGTCGGCGTCGGCGAGCATGTCGCAGTCGATGTCGCCGAGGCCGCGCCGGTCCGCGTCGTCCGGCCGCTTCGCGGGCTCGTGCAGGCGCGCGGTGGCCGGCGTCGCGGGCCACGTATCGAAGAGCGGCAGGCGCTTCGAGCGGCCCCACGTGGAGCCCAGGCCGACGGACGGCGCGTAGTGCTCCTTCAACAGGTTCCAGTGGACGGTGAGGGGGCGGCCCCACGCGTCGTGCTGGATCATCGAGTGGGCGCAGAACCCGGTCGCCGTGTCCGCGGGGTAGGCGCCGGCGGCGACGTAGCGGCCCGGCACGCCCCAGCGCTTGCGGAGCATGAGGAGCGCCCAGCGCAGGAGGATGTCTTTGTCCCCGTCAGAGTATTTGAAGAACTGGGCGTGGCGCTCGAGCATGTAGCGCGCGAGCAGCAGGGCGTCCATGTGTCGCGCTTTGTCGACCCACAGCTGCCCCGCTTCGTTCTCCCACTCGTTGCGGCACTTGACGCCGGCCACCGCCCACAGCGGATTCGCCGCCGGCGTCTTCCAGTAGTCGGGCGTCATGTATACGCCGAGGCGCACATAGTTGGGCGCCTCAAACATGTATCCGGGGTCGCGGACGGGGATCGAGTCCGAGTCGAGATACAGGACGTGGCGGAACGGGCTGAGGATCATAGCATGCGCTTTGAGGTGGTACGACTTGTGCCCCACAGCCTTCTGCGCCCCCTCAACGGCGACAAGCACGACATTGTGCGCCTCGAGCCTGAGCCGCACCGGGTCGTCCACTGCCGGCCGCTCTTCCTCGTAGTGATACCTGGCGTCAGCCATCCGCAGCCGCAGGCACCATACATACACGTAGATGGGGAGGTTGCAGCGATACATCCGCAGCATGCTGACGCTCCAATATGCGCGCATGAGGCTGGCGCCGTCGCCCGCGAGCATGACGATCCCGCGTCCCGTGAGGTTGTGCGCGGCGCGCATCTCCTCGCTGTCTTGCACGCTGCGCATGTGTGAAATCAGCTCAAACCGCATCCGCAGCACCGTCGTCACGTCGTGCTGCGCCCACGCGGGGCCGTACGTCCCCGTCATATGCCAGCTCTGCTGGTTGTGGATGTTGGCGGCGCACTGCTCGCCATTCCAGCGCGCGAAGTCGTCGAGCGAGGCGGGCGCGGCCTCCCACGCGTCCAGCCGCTCCGCGAGCGTTGCGGTCTGCGGGAGCGGGTCGGACGCGAGGTCGATCGCCCGCGTGCTCCCCCCGCCGTAGAAGGGCGAGTACGACGCCGAGCCGGCGAAGGGCGAATGCGACGAGAGGTCGGAGGGCCGGGGCGCGGATGCGGGCGCGGGCGCGGGCTGCGGTCAGCTCCGCCAAGTAGGAAGTAGGAAGTAAGGGCGATCACACCTCTGGTTTCGTGTGCCAGTGCCACAAGTACAGCGTGCAGACGAGAGTGCAGAGCACGAAGAGGAGGAGCCGCCGCCCCGCTCGCGCCGTGACGCGCGGCCGCGGCGGCAGGTCCATGACGGGTGAGAAGCGCCCAGCGTTGGGCGAAGCGTCGGGTGCGGCGTCGCGGAACGGGCCTGTGATAGGAGGAGGACGTGTCATTGCGCACGGCTCGACGCCGTGGCAAGACTTTAGCTACGAGTGAGTGGGTGAGTGAGTGAGTGAGTGAGTGTGCGAGAGACGCCAGAATTCTCGGACAGCTTGATGTGACCAACTAGTCATCACCCTGTCGACTGTTCTGAGCGGCTATTGCAGATCCCCTCCTGTTCCTATGCGGCCGTACCTGGCAGCTCTGGCCTGGATACAGCATAGCGCAGAGCGCAGAGTGCTTTCGCAGGCGCAGTGGGTCAGGCCAGCGGGAAGAAACATACCGCGCTCGCTTGGAGGTGACAAGAGCGTGCGAGTTGACGCTGCGGCATGACGGCTGGGCGAACGCAACGGGGTACGGCAGATCGGTTGATCGGTAAAGGTATGAAAATATCGAAAACGGCCTGAAACGGCTCACACACGTGTCTGCCGCGACCTGCCACTGCGCCGCAAGTACTATGCGAGTGGCAGTGCGCACCAGCCAAGGGCGAATTCTCAATGCATGCGACTCTCCTCTCATACGATCTTTGCTTACTGCCACTCCTGTGGCATGTTGGCCTGATGGCTGCGGCGCACTGTACAAACAGGGCATCACAGTCACCCCCTGGTGCGAAGGCGCAAGCTGAGACACTCTCCTAAGACCTGCACTGCTGGTGCACGATCCACAAGATGATTGCGCATTGCGCATGCGCATGGAGCGCAGTGCTCGCTGCGATGCCACATGCACATGGTGCCGTGTGTCACCAGCTGGTATGAGCCACCTCAAATATGCCACAGTCCCACGCCCACCCCCCAGCGTCCACCAATCTTGCATACTGCCCATCCGGGGCAAGGCAGCTACAAAGTAGGACCAAAGCACAGTGTTTCTTCTTCAGTTTAAGATGCGATGATGGCAGTGTTGAAAGCCAGATGATACAAATGAGGGGATATTCGATGTCGGGTAGGTCACTGCCGCTTTGGAGCGGTTGGATTGATGGGGTATTGGAATTACACGATCATGGCGAACAGCCCGTTGAGGGCCAACGAGCGCCGTCGCTTAGTAGCGGTAGTGGTCGGGCTTGTAGGGGCCGTCGACCGGGAGGCCGAGGTAGTCGGCCTGGGTCTCGGAAAGCTTGGTGAGCTTGACGTTGAGCTGGCCGAGGTGGGCGCGCGCAACCTCCTCGTCGAGGTGCTTGGGGAGCATGTGCACGCCAAGGGGGTACGAGGCGGTGTCGGTCCAGAGGGCGATCTGGGCGAGGACCTGGTTGGCGAATGAGCACGACATGACGAACGAGGGGTGGCCGGTAGCGCAGCCGAGGTTGACAAGACGGCCCTCGGCGAGGAGGATGACGTGGCGGCCGTTGGCCATGGTGTACCGGTCAACCTGGGGCTTAATGTTGACGTGCTCCTTGGCGTTGGCCTTGAGCCAAGCAACGTCAATCTCAATGTCAAAGTGGCCGATGTTGCAGACAATGGCGTCCTCGGGCATGTTGGAGAAGTGCTCGCCAGTGATAATGTCACGGTTACCGGTGGTGGTGACGAAGATGTTGGAGCGGGGAGCGGCGTCCTCCATGGTGGTGACCTCGTAGCCGCTCATCGACGCCTGGAGGGCGTTGATGGGGTCAATCTCGGTGACGAGGACGCGGCAGCCGTACGAGCGGAGCGACTCGGCGCAGCCCTTGCCGACGTCACCGAAGCCGGCGACAACAGCGGTCTTGCCGGCAAGCATGACGTCGGTGGCACGCTTGATGCCGTCGACGAGCGACTCGCGGCAGCCGTAGTAGTTGTCAAACTTGGACTTGGTGACCGAGTCGTTGACGTTGATGGCGGGGATCTTGAGCTTGCCCTCGGCGTGCATCTTGTACAGGTGGTGGACACCGGTGGTGGTCTCCTCCGAGACACCCTTGATGTCCTTGAGGTGCTGGGGGAACTCGTCGTGGACGAGCTTGGTGAGGTCACCTCCGTCGTCGAGGATCATGTTGAGGGGCTTGCCGCCCTCGAAGCCCTCAATGGTCTGACGGATGCACCAGACGTACTCCTCCTCGGTCTCGCCCTTCCAGGCGAAGACGGGGACGCCGATCGAGGCGATGTAGGCAGCGGCGTGGTCCTGGGTGGAGAAGATGTTGCACGACGACCAGGTGACCTCGGCACCGAGGATGACAAGGGTCTCGATGAGGACGGCGGTCTGGATGGTCATGTGGAGGCAGCCGGCGATGCTGTCGAGGTCAGCACAATACGTGCGAACAACAGCAGAAGCGCTGATAGACTCACCGGGCACCCTGGAGAGGCTTAGTCTTGCCGTGCTTCTCACGGAGAGCGATGAGACCGGGCATCTCGCGCTCGGCGAGCTCGACCTCCTTCTTGCCGAAGGCGGCGAGGGAGATGTCGGCGACTGTATGTGTGAGTGCGAGATCAAAGAGAGAGTGTGTCGCATAGAGCTACTCACCCTTGTACTTCTGCTGGGCCATTTTGGTGATGTTTTGAAGGGATGGGAGGATGGAGGATGAGGAGGAGGATGGAAGAGGACGCAGCAAGAGACGTTTAATAAACGTGCAAACGTGTTCGTACGTTGTAGGACGGCTGTATCCCGTCGTGTCATGCCTTCCCCCAAGTCCTCAAGTCTCTCCCTTGATCTTCCAAAAATCATTTGCTTCCGCTAACGACCTCCCCCCAAACAACGCGCGGCGCGCGCGGGCGTGCCCGGGCCAGCACCCTCGAAATACACAACGCCGAGCGCCGAACAAGTGGCACGCCTCAGAGCGCGGCGGACCTTGCCGTGTCCGTTGGCAAATTCCCATCAGGAGGCGCGTGTCTGCCCTTATCGTCGCGTGAGGTTGCACGTGGAGATCACGTGCCACTTTCCGAAGGGAATCTCCACAATTCCATTCCTAACGTCATAAGGAGAGAGTACATATGCAGTAAAATCTACTTCATATCGCCGCCATGTGCGTGGACAAGTTGGAGTATAAATCAACACCCATCCCTCACCCAACTCAGCTGGGTCCATGGTTCGAATACGGTTGCTGGCAATCGGCAAAAAGGGTGCAAACCGCCGTATAACTACCTTGACACACATGACTAGGAACAACTTTTGTCCTGTGGATCATGTGTGTGGATCATGTGGGACAACTTGAAGCATCCCTTGTTTGGACGTGTGGTGCCAGTGTTGTAGCTAACAGCTCTCTTTCCCACTTTCAGTCCCCACCAACACTGAGGACCCCATTTAGCCCGTTCCCGCAACCACTGCTACCCGTTCGGTTCAAAGACTGACATCTGATATCTCCTCTATGGCCACTGCGGGGTACCCACCCCGCGGCCAATACATGCGACCTCGGTCGCTTCTCGTCGTCTACGCGTCTCTGTTGCAATGCTAAGTAGGCGATTGATGGGGGCGGCGGTGATCGTCCTTGGACGAACAGGGCGCGGCCGTGATGTGATGCAATGTTGCGGAAGGGAATGGTGGCAAGGCTTGTGTGGCCGCGTCGAATGGTCGAGGCCGGGTATCTTGATAGCGAAGGGCGATTACTTGGAGAGCTCCTTGATGATCTGAGGTCAGCCAAGTTTTCCGGCACGCCTCTGCCACTGCGCGTTTTCCCCCTCCTTCGTCACACAATATGCTGGCAATGAGGGCCCACAGCGTTACTTTGCAACGCCTCCAAGCCCGCGGAGGGGCTCAGCCCTCGTCGGCGCCGCACACACATCGCCAGCCTCCATTACAAACTCGCCTTTTGCGCGTACGCGGCATTGGTGCGCGACTGCTTGCTTGCACCGCGCTGGCGGCCGATCGCGATGGCGTTCTGGACCCACTCGGTGCAGATCTGGTCCCGGACCGTGGCACCGTAAGTGTCACCAAAGTCGCCAATAAGGCCCAGCGTGTTCGTGATGAACTCCTCCGTTCTGTCATCCTCCTTCATGCAGGTGTGAAGGAAAGCCATGATGCCCGGAACGTAGGTGAGCATCGGTGCGGGGTCACCCGCCTTGAGACCGTTCATGATACCGATGAAGGCGTCGACGATTGCCTCACGCATAGTCCAGACAAACTCAGTGAGGGCAAGGTCGGTGCTAGACGCGGTAGTCGCGCCGGCCTGGCTGAGAATGCCCATAGTGGTCTCGAGGTACGGGGTGAACGCGGGACCAATGGCAAGAGCAACCTCGCCAATGGCAGTGATTGCGGTAGGCTTGACCTGCCTGTGGATGACAGGGCTGCGGAGGATAGCAATCAGCTGGACCATGATGGGCTCAGCGTAGTTGGCGAGCTGCTCCTGGATGGCGCGAGAGACGTCCGACACACAGTAAACGGCGGCCTGGACGACCTGGTAGTCCTCGACGGCCTGAAGAGCGGCGAGAAGGAAGCTCGAGAACGCCTCCATGTACTTGATGAAGCCGCCCTCCAGAGCACCAGCGAGAGCGCCTATGGTGGCCAAAAGGTCCTCAAGGACAGCGCCGTGCTTGGCTGACGAGCTGAGGATAGTGAGGAGGTTGGTCATGATCTGGTCCGCATAAGGCTGGACGAGGGCAGGAGACTTCTGGATGAACGCCTGAATGACAACGCAGATGTTGATCTGCATGTCGTTCCAGTTGTTGCGGTCGTCCATGCCAACGAGCTGGTTCTGCATACCGATAAGAGCCTCCTGGCGGCGGAGCATCTCCACTGTGGCCTGCTCAGCCAATGTGAGGGTGTCAAGGGCCGAGTTCGCGACAAACGTGGCCATGGTCTGGTACGCGGCGGTGCGGCAGTTGCCATCGTTGTTAGGCTTCTCCGTGACGGGCATAAGCGCGGTAAAGATGGGCCGGAAGAAGGGCGACATAGGAGAAGTGGCTGGGTCCTCTACCATCATCTCAGAGGGGAAGAGCTGAATAACGAGGTTGTTGAGTGCCGAGCAGCACGAGTTGATTATACGAGGCGTCCCGCTCTGGACACCGAGTACAAGGGCCTGCACCAAGCTCTGAAGGTGACTGCCAGTGTCGACAACATCGAGCATAAGCTCAGTGATCTTGGACAGGGTCCATGCGACCGAGTCACGCACGTGAACATCTGGGTCGGACTGGAGCATGTTGATGAGCGTGCCGAGGGCTTGCGCAACAAGCGTCGAAAGGGTGGACGACTCTGGTCCGTCGAGAATGCAGCCAAAGGTCATGACGGCGGCCTCGCGGTGGCGCCACTCGGTGCTGCGTATACCCTGCTCGACGAAGGGGACGACGGGCTGCACAATGGCATCGCCAACGTCACGGGCAAGGAGCTCGAGACAGGACGCAGCGGCCATCGACTTGGTCCACTCGTCCTCGTCGGCGTCCTCCTCCTGCTGTGTGAGAAGTTCGAGAAGAACAGGCAGGATCTCGTTGAGGGCCATCTTGGCAAAGTGCTTGGATACGATTGCGGGCTCTTCGCCGTACGCCAATGCCTCCTGAGACTCGATGCCAATCTCAATCTCTTCCTCGCAGACGGTTGACCAGAACTCAATGGCCTGAAGGGCGACTGGCTCCTCTGGGTGCTTCATGCCCATAATGGTGAGCTGATATTAGCATGACTCAGGGGGGGACCGTCGGCGTTCAGACTCACTCCGAAAAGAGCACGCTCCATGTACAGCTCCATGAACTCGTAGTACAAGCTCATGATGCGAACAAGACACTCGAAAGCGCCGACCTGCACGGGGACAGCCGAGCTCTGCGTCGCCTCACACACGACCTGCATGATGTAGTTGCGCTCACCCTGGAATGTCAGCAGTAGCTCAAAAGATCTTGTAATGACGCACCTCGCGCTCAAAGTTGTCGCGAATGAACTCGAGTGAGTTGTAGAGAGCGTTGATTGCTGCGGTCTGCACATCGGTGCTAGGCTCTTCCTTGCGTGCACCCTGGACAACGGCAGTGAGGATCTCGTTGGAGCGTGCGGACAAGACCTCGGGGTGGACCACCTCGCAAATGTAACCAATGGTCTGGAGGGTGGCAACACGGAGACCTGTGTTCTCCTCGTTCTGGACAAACTGGAGCAACTGGCCGATGAGCTCGGACCAGCTCCCACGAGGAAGTTCAACAGCTGCGACGGCAGCGACGGCCTGCGCGGCAACACCGGCCGCACGCTTGTCTGACGAGGCCAGCGAGGTGAGCAAAGAGTGCTTGAGGGTATTGCGAATGTCGTCACCCAAGTTCATCCACGCCTCGGACAGTGCTGGTTGGTTGACAGCATCCTGAAGGGTTAGTTCATGGGTGCCCCTTAACGGTTCGTAAACAAATGTTTGCACTTACACGAGCGGAGATGGCGTTCTTGAATGCGATACCGGCGGCGTTGCGGATGTGGGAGGGAGCCGACTCGTTGGCAATCTCCTGTGCGAGAGTGTGGAGGTACCCTGCCTAAAAATGGTCAGTAAATGTTGGGTTGTTGTGTGTGAGATCTAATGGCGCTGGGCGGCGGCCTAGCCGCTGCAGCTTCTCCCCGTGCCAGCAGCAAGGACCCACGAGATTGTCACGGCGAGCAGCCTCGAGCTGTTCAGTCGCGCTCTGGCGAGTGGCAGCGTCTGGGGTCAGCTATGGTGCAATAAAAAGGGACTGACTCTCAGAGAGCGAGTTGGCGAGAAGGGTGGCGGCGTCCATGTTCAGTTGACAGATGGTGTGGACGGGGGATTATAACGGACGAAGGGAAGGGGGAGGGGTGAGACAATAAAAGGAGGAAGAGTTTTAATCGCTGGGGATGTGGACTTGGGATAGGGGAGGAGGAGGGATGAAGGATGAATGGAGGTCGTTGATGATGGCGACGACGACGAGGATGATGATGGGATGAGGAGGGGGATGGGATGAGGAGGAGACGAGGTGGATGGAAATGAAACGCGATCAAGTTGTTGGTGGCTTTGGTGGATTGGAGGGAGGGAAGGGAGGGAAGGGTGGGTGGCCCGGGGGGGGGGGGGGGGGCGGGGCGCAGCCGGGGGACAGTGGCCAAAGGGCCTAGGCGCCAGGCACTAAATCGCGCTGGCTGGTTGGAATGCTGCCCTAGACGCCCTTTGCTGCGCCCTTGCGCTGGAGACACTACGTATGCATCCGTCCACGATCCACCGCTCGTCCTCGCTCCTACCACGTGGCATCACCCTTTCCAAACGATCCAAACCCTCACGACGTTGCACTCCATTAAACTGTTGGCCATTTTAATGTTTATTATCCCAAAGCTCTAGTTCTGATTACATCACACCACGTTGACAACACATGGTACTCGCCGCGTCATCATCCACGTCATGGAGGTCACGTCATTTGGCATTCCCACGCGATCCACGCGAGCAGCACGAGCCATTCACCGGCTATCTTTTATTTGCACCCCCTCTGTTACACCGGGAACCTCGGCTTCGGCGCTTCGGGTTGTGGAAAAGATCGGAGGGTTACATAACACTACTCGACTGACTGCCTGTTGATTGGCTGATGACTTGAGTGACGAGTGGGCGGATTATCGAATTTCTAATCGACACGGCGCCGTCTTTTAGCCTTGGCTCTGTGACTCCGAGTCGATTAGGTCGCCTGAACGTGGTTGGACGGAAATTGGAAACGCGGGCTGCGGTGCTGATGCAAAAGTGGTGCTGCGGGCAATACTCGCAACCTCCCGGCCTCTTAGCTTGCCCGGCATGCCCGGGGCGCCTGCCTGGGAGAGAGCGGAGGTGGAGGGCGGCTTGGGCGCGCTGGGCGGACTGGAAAGTTTCATTCCGGTCGAGTCAGTTAGCAGCAGGCGAATACAGCCATACAACCAGCCATACACCCAAACGTTTTCCACTCAAAGCCCCTGTCTTCCTCCGCCCCCCTCCCCCCCCCCCCCCCCCCCCCCCCCCCCTAAGCCCCAACCAAGCCATTCATCACCACAACTCGAGTCGACAACCTCTTTCTCCTCATCCTCTCACTCTCAAAAAAGCTGTCTCACAGCCATCACAACACGCATCTCGCACAACCCCTAAACATCGCCCAATCTTATCTACCCTCAACGTCAAAGCCCACAATGTGCCCTCCACCAGACCCGGTTTCGAATGGCAACGGCACCTCCGAGGAAATGGTTCCCGTGGACCTCGGCACTGCCGTCCGTGACAACAACTCGATGGCCCTCAAGCATGGCACCAAGAAGGGCTTTTATGCTCGTCCTTCCGACTTCCTGAGCAACGTCAGCAACTGGAAGGTGAGTCATTGGCATGCGGGGCACTGGTGGTGGCGTTGCGGGGCGGGCGAGCTGGTGGAGTCGAGAGTCCTGGTGGTCGCGCGAGGTCGATGTTGGATGGAGAGGCATGGACGGGGTGGAGAGTCATAGCTGTTATGACTTCGGCAGGCTGCGTGAAAAGTCGGCTCTGGGGCACAGGGTGGGAGCATGGACAGAGACGACAGCAACCGACAGCGTCTATGGCGTCGTTGACGTCGCCGTCACCTCCGATCCCGGCGTCATTGGCCCCTACTCTCCTTCATCACTATACATGCTTGTCTCATGCCGTGCATCCCTCCGCTTCACTCCACCCCAGCTTGTCAGGCGCCGGGTGGGAGGCAAAGTAATCTCGAAGCTTTTGCCGCCAACGACGCATCCCTTGATGTCACTGCGACACCTTCCGCCACCACCTCCACTTCGTCGTCATTCCCAGAACCTTGAAACTTTGACCGGCTTTCCAAGCTCCAAGCTTACACTAGATTATCGAGTCTACTCTGCGTGAAGGAGAACAGTTCATCAATGCGTGGTACGGTGAGTACACGAGCACTGCAGCTTTTCTCGCGGGCCGATCAGTTTTGCCGCGGGGCAGTAAGCAGCCCGAGTGCACTGGCCCAAGTGCACTGGCGAGGTAGCCGGCGGGGCTTGTGGCTGTTTGGTCACTCTGGGGACCCGTGCGACCGTGCACGTTACAAGGCTTAGATCTCGCCCGCCCAGCGCTTCCTCCATGGAGGGATGTCCTCGACAACAGGTTGCGGAGGGAGCCGGAGCGTGACCTAAATGTGGCGGAGGCGTGTGGCGGAGTGGCACGCCCGCTCCAGCAACGATAAGCCGGGACGCCCTCTCCTTGGCTTCCGCCTCCATGGGCCCCCTGCTTTCCATGCCCAGATGCAGCCTGGGCGTCATTGAGACTCGTTATCGCGGCGGAGGGCGTCTTGCCTCGAGCAGTTAAAGCGGCGGTGGAGCCGGTATACCTGGGAGCGAGGCCGGCCATTCACCTCTTGCCAGCTCGTGCGGCGCCGTCATGAGCTAAAAGACCGCAACAGTTGCCTCTGCGTGACTCGTCCATGGCTTGCACTCCTGTTTTGTTTCCTTGTCTAACACCAGACCTTGAGACCAAGATCAAGATCGCCAAGGCGCTCGATGACTTTGGTGTCGACTACATCGAGCTGACGTCGCCTGCGGCGTCGCCCGAGTCGCGCGCCCACTGCGAGGCGATCTGCAAGCTCGGCCTTAAGCGCTCCAAGATTCTCACCCACATTCGCTGCCACATGGACGATGCACGCATTGCCGTCGAGACTGGTGTTGACGGCGTTGACGTCGTCATCGGCACCTCGTCGTTCCTCCGCGAGCACTCGCACGGCAAGGACATGACCTGGATCACCAAGACCGCCATTGAGGTCATTGAGTTTGTTAAGAGCAAGGGCATTGAGATCCGCTTCTCGTCCGAGGACTCGTTCCGCTCCGACCTCGTCGACCTCCTGTCCATCTACCAGGCCGTCGACAAGGTTGGCGTCAACCGTGTCGGTGTCGCCGACACTGTGGGCTGCGCCGACCCCCGCCAGGTGTACGAGCTCGTGCGCACCCTGCGTGGTGTTGTTCACTGTGACATCGAATGCCACTTCCACAACGACACTGGCTGTGCTATCGCCAACGCGTACGCCGCCCTCGAGGCCGGCGCCACTCACATCGACACTTCAGTGCTCGGCATCGGCGAGCGTAACGGTATTACGCCTCTTGGTGGCCTCATCGCCCGCATGATGGTGGCCGATCCCGACTACGTCAAGTCGAAGTACAACCTGTCGATGCTGCGTGAGGTGGAGAACCTGGTGGCTGAGGCCGTCGAGATCCAGGTCCCATTCAACAACTACATTACCGGCTTCTGCGCCTTCACCCACAAGGCCGGCATCCACGCCAAGGCCATCCTCGCCAACCCGGCAACGTACGAGATCCTGAACCCTGCCGACTTTGGCATGAGCCGCTACGTGTCCATCGGTCACCGCCTGACGGGATGGAACGCCGTCAAGAGCCGTGCCGAGCAGCTCAACCTCGACATGACCGACGACCAGATCAAGGACGCCACGGCCAAGATCAAGGAGCTCGCCGACGTCCGCACCCAGTCGATGGAGGACGTCGACATCATCCTCCGCGTCTACCACTCGGCCTTCCAGGAGGGCAAGCTCAAGATCGGGCAACCAGAGGTCCTTGACAGACTCCTCGAGGAGCACCACGAGAGCCGTGGCACCAGCCCCACCCGCGTCCCCGACGCCAAGCGCCAGCGCGTCGAGTAGGCGGCAACAAAAGCGCCCATAACCGAAGCGTCGCCTTAGAAGGATTGTATGGATATGCATGTCGAAGTGGTTGGCTACGAGGGATGTGGGTGTGATGTTGCGAGCTTTGCCCGGTGATATCGCAGACGCAAGCCCCCGGGAAATAAAGGGGCATCGTCCACGCTGGGGATCGCCGTCACCACTCATTCTGTTGCCAGTTCAGTGTCCGAGCCCTCATCCGCGGTAGTGGCTGGTGCACCTCACGTTCGGTCTCTGTTGCTGACGAGCTGGTGCCTTATCCCCGCCGAAGGGCTCCTCATAACAATTCTAGTGCCAAAGGCTGCACTCAAAATAGCAATGTGCTGTTAATCAATTATGAGGTTGCGCGGTGGCATTGCGGATGTGCGACTCTCCGTGCGCGTCTCGCGTCTCAAGCGCATGGTCTGCCGGCAGAGATGATGTGAAGCCGTCGAAAAGCGTGTCACCGCGATGCGCGAGATCCGATTAAGGCCAAGCAAAGCTGCATCCGCACCCGATCCAGTTAACTACCGCACGGGCCAGTGCTTTTCGGCTCTACCGTTTGAGGTGGTGCTCCATGCTCTTCCAGTGCGCGATGTGGCCCTCGGCAGCCGCGAGCATCTCGCGCGCAAACTCGGCGACCTGGCTCCCCTTGGGGTTGTACACGGCCGCATTGGCGAACATGAGACGGATGTCGCGCTCAAACTCGTCGATCGTGCTCACGCTCCCGTCCTTGATGCGCGCCCGGATCTTCTTGAGGTCCATCGGGCGCTTGATGACGTCGTAGTAGTCGGGCGCGACGGACTGGCGTCAGCGGCGTCGCGTCCCACGCAGACTCACCTTCTTGACCGGGTTCTGGAACACGGGCCCGTACTTGTGTTCCTGGATCGTGTCGAGGAGGCTGAGGATGAGCTTTTGCGTGTTCTTCTGCCCCCGCGTCGCGCCGCTGGGCGGCACGCTCGGGCTCGCGCTCTCGCTCTCCTCAGCGCCGGCTGAGTCGCGTGCGGGCGGCCGGGGGGCTACCTGTCAGCCGTGTCAATGCCGTACTTTATACACATGGAGGGGATGGGGAGACTTACTGCGCCGCTTGCGGGGCTCGACTTTGCGGCGCGTCGACGCGCGCGTCGGCTTGGCTTCGGGCTCCTCCTCGGGCTCCTCCTCCTCCTCTTCTTTGTCCTCCTCTTTCTCCTCCTCCGCCTCGCTCTCCTCCTTCACCGAGACTTCAGAGGCACCGCGCTTCGCGCGGCGCCCGCCGCGCCGCGGCCGCTCTGACGGCGTCGCACTGCTAGCACTCGCGCCGCGCTTGGGCGGCGAGCTCGGAGGCGCCTTGCGGCGCGACGAGCGGCGTCCCCGCGGCTCCTCCTCTTCTTCCTTCACCTTCTCCTCCTCCTTCTCCTCCTTCTCCTTCTCCTCCTCGGCTTCAGACTCGGCAGCGACAGGGGTGGTGGCAGCTTTGCGGCCCCGCCCGCGCTTCGGGGGAGGACCACGCTGTATCGTCGCCTTGCGCTTGCGCCCCCGCGTCGCTGCTGGGGTTGGCGAAGACGGCGACGCATCGCCTGGCCCTGCTTCGGCAGGCAGCGGCGATAAGTCGGATGCAGGTGACAGCTCCGACGTCTCGCTTACGGGAGACGTGGCCTTGGGAGTCGCGGGCTTGGACGCTTCGGCCTCGTCTTTGGCTGCCTCCTCTTCCTCGGCTTCCGGGGTGGGCTCCTTCTCTTCTGCCTTGGCTTTTTTCCCTTTCTTGCCCTTGGACTTGGGCTTCTTTGGCTGAGGCTCCGGCTCCGGTTCGGGTTCGGCCTCAACCTCAGCCTCGGCCTCTGCCTCGGCCTCAGCCTCAGCATCCGCCTCAGCATCCGCCTCGACTTCCGGCTCCTCAGAGGGCTTGTCCTCGGCGGGAGGTTCGGACGACGCCTTCTCGGTGGGTACATCCTCGGGGGCCTCCTCCTCGGCAGATCCTTGAGCAGCTGTTGGCTCCGCCTCCTCTGGGGCCTTCGTCACGTCCTCCTCGTCATTGTCAACATCCATGGCTTGTGCTTCTTCCTTCGTCAACTTTTCAGCTGCCGCCGCCTTGCCCTTCCTGCCCTTCTTCGAACGGGGGGCCTTTTGTGGCGATACGGTGGTCCTCTTAGGAGAAACAGCGACCTTGCGCGGCTCAGGCTCTGCCTCGGGTTCCGCAGTGGTCTCCTTGACCTCGGACTCTGGCTCCGCGGGGGTCACCTTGGCCTCGGGCTCTGGTTCTTCGTCGACGTCCATCGCGTCCTCAGCCTTGGGCGTGTCATCGAGCGTCTCCTCGGCCTCGGCCTCAGGCTCCTCAGACTCCTCCGGCTTATCCTGTTCGGCGTCAGCCTCCAGGACCTCAGGCTCCTCCTCGACGGTAGGCGTGTCGGCGGCAGAACCCTCGGCGGCAGGCTCTCCAACAGCAGGTTCCTCGACGGCAGGATCCTCAGTAGCGGGCTCCTCGTCGGCGGGCTCCTCAGCGGAGCCTTCAGCGGGCTCTCCAGGTCGGTTAGGAGAAGTCTCCACCGTTTGCGCCTCCACAGCGACAGGCTTCTCGGTGCTTTCTGCGTCCGCTGACTCGTCTGCGTGCGACTCCTTCTGTTCGGCAGGCTGCTCAGCCGCATGCTCCAGCGAAGTCTCGGCAGGCTCGGGTGTGGGCTCAGGTTGTTTGGCGCCGTCGGGTCCAGCCTCCACAGCCGCGACGACGTCCTCAGGCAGTGGTGCCCAGCTGTCGACCATTTTGCGACCATAACGTTTGACAAGAGCTGCGCGGATCTCTCCGTGGATCTTGTCGTCCAGCTTGCCGGCCTTGATTGCGTTGACCTCGTGCATCAATTCGCTTCTGTCAGCGCCTCCAATTGATGACGTACGTGAATCGCTGCTCGTATGTCGTGATCTGGTCCTTGAGCTCCTGCATGCGCGCATAGTAGAACGTCTGCGCGAGCTGAAGGTGGACCTTTGCTGCGCGTCAGCCGTGCCACCCGGCCCATCCGGAGTCTTGAGCGAGGCCCACTCACCCTGCGGTCTCGCAGCATCTGGAGCGGGTACATTGATCTCTATGCCCGTCATGAGCGCGACATAGCTCGCTTCGCATGCCTCGGGGGTGAAGAGTTCGGGAGGGCGGCCGATGTGGCATGGGTGCTCTGTTAGAAGCTTTGAGACGGTCGGCCAGTCGGCCGCGCCGACCTTGTACACCGCCTGTGCAAGAAGGAGCTTCTCCTGCACTGTGAGTTGCTCGACGGCGGCCATGGGTGGTGGTGGAGAGTGTGTTGTGAATCGAGATGGGTGCGCGTCGCATCTCAAACATCATGCATTCACTCTGGGCATTAGCGGTTCAGTGATAGCGGGAGCAGATTCTGCTTAACGGATTATTAGACTGGGGCAGTGGAGGCGGAATAGGAACACCACGTGGTTTGCGATTGCATGACGCGAGTCGAGACGGGGGTGTTCACCTCATCCACAAGCTGGCTGCCTTCCTTCCCCTCGTCGCTTCACCATCCATCACTCCACACTTACACCGTCGCCGCCATGGCCGAGCACGTCCTCGAGCCCTTTCTCATTCTCGCTCGCGGAACAAAGGGGGCAGGCGCGGCCAAAGTCATCCTCGACGCTACAGCTGCGGTACGTTATCCGAGAGCTGCTCGGAAATGGAGCTGACCACAGCCCCGCGTGTACACCTTCGGCGAGCTACTCGATGTCCCGAGCATCAAGGAGGTGAGCGCTCTCGCCGAGCTGTGAACTGACACCAGTTAGAGCACGACCCAACGCACGCTAAGAGCTATCGCCTCCTCCAGCTCTTCGCTTATGGCACCCTCGCCGACTACAATGCATGTGAGTCCTTTATCACATCATCTCCGCTGACTCCAGCGCCCGACACCTTCCCACCACTCTCTCCCTCTCACATTGTCAAGCTCAAGCACCTCTCTCTCTTGTCTCTTGCGCTTCAGATCCGTGTACGTTGGTCCTCCTCACCCTAACCTCGACCCGAGCTGTCAGACCTCCTTCCAACTCTCCCCAGTCAATCGCGAGCTAACGCTCAGTCCCTCCCCTATGCCGAGCTCACGCCCGCCCTCCAGACAGAGAATACACCCGAGCTGGAGGCGCTGATCATTGACACCATCTACGCCGGACTTCTAGCCGGCAAGATTCATCACCACGAGCAGGTCTTGCACGTCGACTCGGTCACAGGGCGGGACCTGCGTCCCGAGCAGCTAGCCAGCGTTAAGGCTGGTCTCGAGACGTGGTGTGGGAATGTGGAATCGCTTCTCTCCGCGCTGGACGAGCAGATTGCGGCAGCGCGTAAGCGCGCCGAAGACGACAAAGAGCGCGACGGGCTGTTCCAGGCATCTCTAGACAAAACGTACGCTGAAGTGCGCAAGGAGGCTATCAAGCGTGGCAAGGCGTTTGGGCGGTTCGCAGAAGAGCGTGCAGACGCCATAGATGTCGACGAGGAGTTTGGCGACGAGACAGCGCGGCGGTAAGTGCGTGAGCCTGTCAGCGACGCTAATGGCAGTTCACGAAGCGTTGCGCAGCGCAGTGTCGAGTCTTTCGATGAGCGGGCCAAGAAGCGCGTGCGGGATTAGAGATGATGTGTGTATAACAGATGTACAGCTGTCATGTGCGGCGGCGACTGCGAAGACGGCAGTGACCAAGTCAATTGATGACCCGTACCGATGACGTTGGCATTCCGGTGGAGGTTGCCATCGCTAAACCTCGATAACACTATCTCAGACCACCAGCCTCTCGTCTTCCTGGCTTCTCTCTCACATCTCCACTCACCACGCGCCGCCATGCCAATGCTCCTTGAAGGCTCCTGCCACTGCCGCAAGGTCAAGTACACGCTCGAGTCGCACACGCCGGTGCCGTACCAGCTGTGCCAGTGCTCGATCTGCCGCAAAGTCGGCGGCTACATGGGCAGCGTAAACATCATGGGCAACGCCGCAAGCCTCAAGTTTGTGCGCGGCGAAGAGCTACTAGTGTGCGTAGCGGTTGCGTTTCCCTCCTCTCACCCCGCCCGACCTCCCCTGACGACAGCAAATACAAGCCCGTGCTCGAGTTCGGCGCCGACGACACGCCGCAGAAGACGGCGACGAGCGAGCGCGTCTTCTGCTCCGTGTGCAGCGCCGCGCTGTGGAACTACCACCCGGAGTATCCTGAGGTGCGTAGCTTGGGGGAGGGTGGATGAGCTCTGAGATGAGGTCTGCGGTGCGGGTCGATGCCTGGCGTGACGGAGCACAGCGAGCGAGGCGGGAGACGAACGCCCCCACTCACCCTCCAGTGGATCTACCCGTTCGCATCGACGATCGACACGCAGCTCCCCAAGCCCGCCGCGCAGCACTTTGTCATCCTCCGCTCGTCGTGCCCGGCTTACGTGCCCACGCCGGAGGGGTTCGACGTGTACGACGACTACGGGCCGGCGGCGAGCGGGAGCATCGAGAGCTGGCACAAGAAGAACGGGTGCTGGGTTGAGTGAGTGGAGCGGGGCGGAGCGGGGCGGAGCGGGGTTTGGAGAGCGTAGGCAAAGTGGACTGTAGGTAGGAGATGCATTGATGTATTGTACTAGACCTTCTCCGCAACCGCGATGCCGACGCGGCACGCGGCACCAACTACCGCGCTCAGCAGGCTGTGCCCCGGCGCCTTGAGGGCGCCCTCCTCCACCGCCGTGTCGAGGTGCTCGAGCTCGTCGTCCCGGAACTCCTCGAGCACCTTCGCGAGGAGGGGGAGGGAGGGGTGTGCGCCGGGCTTCTGCAGGAGGGGGCGGAGCGCGCGCAACTGGCTGGGAGTTAGCGACGCCGTGTCTCTACTCACTCATCATAGTGCTCCCCAATCACCGTCTCGACCGCCTCGGTGCACGCCATCGCGGCCTCTTTGCCCATGAGCGCCGTCGCCGCGCCGAGGCCCCACGCGAGCCCCTGCCAGACGGGATACAGCGCGGTGGGGCGCACGCGGTGCTGGTCCGCCACACGCGTCAGGACGTTGAGGTGGTGGCGCTCGTTGTCCCACATTCCCTGGTGTCAGATGCAATCCCCCACGGCAGGCGGAGCGGAGCGGGTGCGGCTGCACGACGCAACATCGCCACTTCACTAGAGTGGCGAGAGACGAGGGAAGAGTTGAGAGATGATGACTTACCTCCACTTGCGCGGCGGTCGCGCGGTCACCCCGGATCTGGCACGCCCACTTCTGGCCGCGGTAGATCCAGTTCGCGCCGAGTTCGCCGGCATGGTCGACGCGCACGATTTCCTCGATGAGGCGGCGCTCGGCGGGCGTGAGGTCGGGGGATTCCGTCGTTGCGCTGCGGGGCGCGGCGGCGGCGGCGGAGGCGGAGGCGGCGGCGGCGGAGGCGGAGGCGAAGGCGGCGGAGGCTGGGGAGGGGGAGGGGGGAGAGGAAGAGGAAGAGGGAGAGGGAGAGGAGGATGGAGAGGGGGAGGAGGGGGAGGATGAGGGCGAAGAAGAGGTACCAGCGGGGGGAGCGGCGACAGACGTGTGGGGGATGCCGGCGGGTGCGTTGGGCGGCGCGCTCGCGTTCGGGCCCGCCCCCGCCGTTGGTGCTGGCCCTGAGAAGGCGCCGGGTTTCGGGCCTGGCGGGAGGTAGGCGTGGGAGGCGAGGGTGAAGGTTCGCGCGCCGATGGGGCGGAGCAGAGATGTTGGTCGTAGCATCGTGGTGGACTTGTCAGTGACGAGTCGGGATGTTGGAGTAGACGGGTGGAGGTGCAGTGCAGATTCCAGGGTGGAGGTCGGACATTGGTCGCATCGGATCCGCACGGAGGACACGGAGATGACGATCGCCATCTGCTCACTGCCGCCACCCGTCCTTGTACACATGCATATGATAACACGCCACGATATGCAGCAACTAACCACCATGCTAGACACTTGCCACGGCCCGGCCGCGCGTACAACACTTGCCCGCATCAAGCGGTCTACTCGCGCTCCTCGAGGAACACGGACGGGGCGTTTTCGACCATCCACTGCACGCTCAGTGCTTTGCCCGCCATGTCGCCAAACTCGCGGTTCGGGTCGGAAGAGCGGAGGAGAGTGGCTGGGGTCAGCTTTTGCCAGTGGCATGCAACTTACGCCCAAACACAACACCAATGTTCTGGCTCGTCATCAGGTTGACTTCGTTCTTGGCCGTCACGCGGTTGAGGTGCAGCATTAGCACCTTGAGCGTGTCGTAGTGCGCCTTGGGAAGCTCCTGCAGCAGCGCGCACAGTGCCTGCTTCTTGTTGTCGGCGCCGCGGATGTTGGCTGCCGCAATGAAGCTCTCATGCAGCTTGTGGGTGAACACGGGGTCAGGCAGATTGCGGAAGTAGTTTTTGAGCACTGAAGTGATCGCGCTAATGTCGTTAAAGTCGTCGGCGTTGGTCAGGTCGAACGTCTCGTACTTGCCGCGCTCGAAGAGCTGCGTGATCTGCTTGCACTGCGCGTTGCCGCCCGTCTTTCGGTAGATGCCCTCGTACTCCATACCGTTGGCCTCAACTGCGCGGATGCACTTGGTGACGATCACAGGCACTGCAGCGTTGTCCGCGGCGGCCTGCTCGCTGAGGTCCCGGCCGAACATGCTCGGAGCTAACGTCAGCGGTGTCCAAAGCTGTGACTCACGCAGCGGGCCTTCGTCCTCGACCTTGGCACCCTTGCCTGTGCACGACTTGGGAAGCTTCTCAGCACACTTCTGGTGGCAAACGATACCGCACGCAGAGCACTTGACCTCCTGAAGGCCCCACATCTTGTCCTGACACAGGTCACAACGACCCAGGCGCATGGTGCTGTGCTGTGTGAAGTGGTGCTCCCGCGTGCCGACCTCGGTGGCGGGACGCAGCTTTCGCTTGTCTCCGCCGCTGCCACCGCTGACAGTAAGCTTGTCAGTGTCCACCGCCTTGGCCGCCTTGCCGATCCACTTGAAGCGGCGCGCTGGCGTGACCTCGATCGGCTCCGGCTTTGACACCTTGATGACTCGGGCAGTCTCCTTTGATTCCTCTGGGACACCCTCGAGTGCTGTCGCCAACGATGACATGGACGGAGACCCTGATGGGTGTCCGCGGGCCTTGGCGATTGCCGGGAAGGCCGCTGGCGACCGACGGTCGGAGAGTGCCTCGTTCTGGCGCATGAGCTGCTGGTTGAGCTCGCTGATCTCATCGTTCTTAGCCTGCAGCGACGCGGCCTCCTCGATGTACTGCTCCTTGGTGGCCTCGAGGTCGGCAATTTCCCGCTGGAGAGCCTCCCTCTGCGCAGACAGGGGGGCCAACTCATCTCTGTACTCCTCCTTGATCTTGTCAAGGCGGCGCGAGAGCGAGCGGCTGACCTTGGACGTAGCCTCCTCAGAGTCGATCTCGCCGCGCTTAGACTGCAGCTCTTCGATCTCGGCGAGCGAAATGTCGCGCTGAGCACGCAGTCTGGAAATGTCACGCTCGAGGCCAGTCAGATTGCTCGCAAGGTCTTGAGACCGGCGGTTCAGCCTCTCCTGGCGGCGCTCATCGCTGGAGATAAGGGACAGGCGCGCGCTCTGGCCGTGCAATTGTGACCGCAGACGAGCAATCTCCGTTTCGAGCTCGCGGCGGCGCTGGCTCTCCTTGTCGTACTCCTCTCCGGCGATGACGAGACCGTCGCTGTACTGCTGGCTGGAACGCTGGCGGGTCAGCACTCCTGATGGTATCCAAACTTACCTTTGCACCCGTGTACTTTGCCTTGAGTGTGTCAGCCGCCTCCTTGAGCGCATTGTGCTCGCGGACAGCCTCTGTGAGCAGCGAGTAATTGACAGACACCTTGTTGTCATCGTCAGGCTTGAGGCCAGCGAGGAGCTCGGCGAGCGCCTGGAACGATGAGTCGGGCTCCATGCGCACCGACATGATAGACTCCTTGGAGCCGCGGCGCCGGAGAGTGCTGATTGGCGATGGCTGATCGTTGGGCGAGAGCAATGTCCTTGAGACCGAGGGTGTAATGGCCTCGCCGTTGGCAGAGCTCGCTTGCGGATTCATATTCGCGCCGCGCGACGTGACACCGCCGCCGGCATCCTCGGCATCCGACGTAGCCTCGGGCGCGCGCGACTTCTGAGGCGAGCTCTTTGATCCCTCTGCAGTTTCCATCTCGTTGAGCAGTACCGCAAAGTCGGGGTCAGACAAGGAGAACGACATTGTTGGCAAAAGATTCGGCGCATCAATGCGTGGAAGTGACGCGTCCCCGTTGGTGCTGACATGTGAATCTTTGCGTTCTGGTGGCAAGATGGGGGGCTTGATCGCTGATGGTGACCTGTGTCCATCGTGCGATGGCTCCGACGACTTGGGGGTGGTTTCTGCCGTTGTCACCTGCGCCCTTGTGCCCGACGTGGCCTCAGATTTGGGCGAAGACTTGTCTGACAAGTCGGGCGACTTCTCGACGGGAGTCGCTGCAACCGCAGGGGATTGAGGCAGCAGCTTGGGCGTCGCCACCAGCGTAGGCGAGGTCCCTGGTGACTGCATTCTGGCCTGGGAGGTTGGAGTTGGCGTTGGTGGCCCGGTTGTGGGAGCGTTGGAATCTTGTGACAATGCCGAGTCCTCCGGGTGCGGCTCACCAAACGATGCACGTAGAGGGGATGGTGCCCGAGGTTCGAGTGAGAACGCAGAGGCGGCCTGGTCCATGTTGAAAGACAATCCGGGGTTGATTGACCGGCGCTTCTCGGCCCTAGAAGTGGGCACACTGAGACCGCTAACGCCCAGCCCCACACTGCTCGAGGAGCGCGCGCCATTAGGGCTGCGAGATGTTGATTGTGACAAGATATTGCCAGCAGATTGAGACTGCGACAAGGCCATCGGCGACGTCTTGTTGGACGAGGATCCGGGCGTGGGGCTGGCATTGCCAGAACGCGGTGTTCTGCTATCCTGCGAGCCAGCCCGCGCCATGGGCGCCTCGCGCGGTGCTCTGGGGCCTGCTGGAGACGCTGGCACACTGTGATTGCGGAGGGCGCCACCGGGAGCCGGCGACGGGGCGCGCGGCAGCGGGCTCGTACCAGCCTGGTTGCCATCGATGTGGGATGCGATACTTCGCGGGGACGTGGCATCCGGATAACGCGGGGAAGAAGGTGAAACCGTGCCGCTCGCGCCACTGACATTTGACGCGACCGTTGTGAGAAGGTTGAGCGATGTTGATGTCGTGCTCGAACGCATTCCGCTGCTCTCGCGCTCACGACGACGCGCCTCAGCCTCTTCTTTTTCGCGCTCCTTTCGGGCCGCGCGTTGGCGCTTGGCCTCGGCATGGCGACGGCTGCGAGCGACACGCTCGTTGTGACAGTTCTGGGGGTGTCAGAGCGAATCTGGGGGCAACGATCCTAGCTCACCATGCAGTAGATTCCCTGCGTCGTCTTTGCAAACACGAGCTCTTCTATTCTTTGCTTGCAAGTGCGACACGTAAAGCAATGGGCATGATATGACTCGTCACCGGTCATAATGGCCTCCTCTGTGATGGCCTGCTTGCACACAAAACACTGCAGGAAAACGTGAGCACACGTGTCTGCCGACGCCAGGCCAACAGCGACAACCCGTCCTCACTCACCTGGTAGGAGCACTTGCCACACACGGGGCTGCCGTCTGACAGAAGGAGGAGATTGGTGTCGGCCGAGACCTTTTCCTGGCACTTGGCGCACTTGAAGCAGTCGACATGCCATAGCGACGCCCTTGATGTCAGCCTCCTGTCGCGTCGCTGTGCCTTCTACATTCGACGCCTTGAACCTTTGGCGCTTTGCACCGACTCACCCAAAAGCCACTACGACCCCGCCATTCTCCTGGTCAATGGTCTTTTTACAACCACCGCATTTGGGCTCAAGGTCGTTCATTGATGGCATGGAAGACAGGCCATCGGCGCCCTCTCTTCCCGGGCTGGAAGGGTTGCTGCCATTGACAGACCCGGGGTCAGGGCGCAAATGGGCCTCGCCGTGTGGCGTGGTAAGACCACCGAGATGCGCTTCGACAGCCGTCATGGCGGACTAACGCGTGGGAGGGGGTAAAGAATTCGATGAGTGAGTGGGTTGGAAGCCGGACGTGAGATGTCGAAAGATGAGAGTTGTGGAGGTGAGCCGGAATCCAGCCGACAGACGACAGACGCGGTAAGGCCGGGGAGGAAGAGATGATGGAGGAGGGGTGCTAGCGTCGAACACGCGGTGCGGGGGCCGGTGAGTGGAAGGGCAATGGGGAGAGGGGAGGTTGATGAGGATGATAGAGGAGAAGTAGAGTAATGGGAGAGTTATGAGCGAGGAGGTGCGTGCGTCGTGGGCGGGAGGGGGGCTTGGGAGGGTGGAATTCGAGTGGAGTGGACGGTGAGTAAGGAGATGATCGGGGCGGGGGGTGCACGCGTGTTCCGATCAGCTGGGGGCTGCTGGATACTTGAGCACGGTGTGCGCGCGCGCGCGTGTTGCGTTGCGGCTGCTGAGCTAGATTGGAGCTGGATGCGTGGAGCCAAGAGGTTGATGCTTGGTGCAAGATGGCGGCACTCGGGATGAACGCTCAGGCCTCCTGGCCGACTGGGGGTGGGGCTTTAAGAGGGAGGGGCTGGGACGTGTGATGGCGCACTTGCGCAGGCCAGCTGGAGGAAAGTTGAAACCGCAGAGTCGGGATGAGGGGGGTAGACGAAATGGGGAGATGGCGTGAGAGGTGGGGGAGGGAGTGATGTTGATGAGTAGTGATGAAGAGAGATGAGAGAGAGATGAGCTGAACAATGTCAAGGAGAAGTGGATCCAGTTGAGAGGGTTGCGACAACGCGTGCAGAGGAGAGAGAGCCTGACACCTGACACCTCCCACCCCCGTGCGGTGAGAGCCTTACACATCTCTTCACCGTACTAGGGTTGTCAGGGAATGTGAAAGGGTAGACCTAGCTCGCGTTGCATCCACACCCAAAAACCACTCCTCCCCCTCAGGCCTCAGGGACAAGTTGCATCTCCTTTCTCTCCCAGTTGCCCACTCCATCCGCCCTCTTGCGTTGATGCCGCTCAGGACACCAGGGGTGCTGGCCCTACCATTCAAGGGGCTGATACTCAGAAGGTGCTGGATTAGTATGACAAGTTGCTTAAGGCGAGTCAGGGATGCAGGAGATTTCTGTGTGGACATGGCGTGTCCCATCTCCTTTCCCCTGCGCCCCTCCTGTGCCTCGAATCCTGTCTCAAAGGCATGGAAGCAGAAGATCAGCAGCTGGGGGCGTACGAAAGCGCGAGAGCGGAGGGAAAGACAGGGGCGCTAGAAATGACGCGCCCTGTATCCCTCCGAAATGTTGACATCACGCTCACATCCATGCATCGTGGACTGTTGTCTTTCATGGTGGACACAACACTGGCCGATGTGCTTACAAAAGCATTCAAATGGGGATGAAGATGAGTGCGCGTATGTATGTGGAGTGAGTTTGCAGAGGAGGAAGCGCAGGGGCAGCGGAGGGAGGAACGAGGTGGAACATGAAACGCACACTGCATAAGCTCTGCCCGTCTGGTTCCGGAATTGTCAGCCCATGAGCGCAGCATTGTTAATAATAGGGGAGGATGTATTAAAACAGGTGGAGGGCATGCGCGCGACGCGTCTCACGCGTTTCCATGTTTAATAGCTGCCCCACTACCTTGGAAAGGGGCAGGACCACTCACCGCAAGGTCTGCAATCCAAATGCGCATGGGTGGCAGGGGTGTATATGGGTGGCTGCAGGCGGAATTGGACGCATAGGAGTATCGGTACTTGCGTTGGAAACATCATAAGCGTCGTGAATTATAAGTCACAGACTGGGGCAGCAAATCTAGAGAGAGACTGGGGCAGTCAGTCTACAAGTGCTCCCATCCACCACTCACACTATCCGCCGATGCGTTGCACCATTCATGATACGAAAACGACCGACAGCAGTCCCAATGTGTGGCCGCCTTAATCTACAGCTAGCATGCTTCGGCGTCCCACAAAACCCCATTGATGTGCAGAGCCTTCGCCTCGAACGTGTAGCACGTCGGTTAGTACTCCCACTAATTGATGTGCTGCAGGACCATGCTCCAGCGTTCGATCCCATCTTGGTACTCTGCATCCTGGGGAGTGGAGGGCACACTCCTAAAGGAGGGGAGAACACCGCGCCTTGGGAGCAGCGTATCAAGATTGGGAGATAAAGCCGTACGGGCTCGCTCCTTGGGTAACATCCGGTGGACCAAGAGTCCTCAGCCATGGTATGTTACCTGGAGAAGACCTCAAACGCTTTTTGCTGTTAGGACGTCGTCGACTAGTTTCATGATCTGGCGTTCGATCCGCGGGGGTTGCGTGCACGCCAGGGGTGTTGTGGTCCTCAATCGCCTAACACATGTGCTCAAGGATGGACCTCAGCTGGTCCGCGTGCCACATCGCCGCTTTTGCTGTTCTCAGTTGTCTTATATCAAAGCATATCCCTCCAGTATGTCTCCTGATAAGTTATCAGATCACGCACTGCCGGACCATTCGACAACGGGCTAGGCAGTGTCGCCATTCATAAACATCCCATCGCATCCTACTTGGCAGCGTCCTCATGCAGAAGCACGTATTCACGCGCCGACGTCCCGAACTTCAACACTGCGGTCAGCACCAAGCCCTCGCGCTTTACTGATGATGCGCAAGGGTAGCTGCCGGCGCGATCGCAAGCGCCGTTGCACGACCTCGGAGGTGTCACAAGTCCACCGCGCGATGCAAAAGCACACCTCACGCGCCTGTCTGCTTGCTCTGCGTCCTCCACTCACCGTCGTTCACCCGGAGCTCATAGTATCGTGACTTGGGCACCTCCTCCCCGTTCACATACGTGCCGTTGGTGCTGTCGAGGTCTATGATGAACGGCTTGACCTCGCTCGTGACGTCGCCGTACTTGTTGCGCCGCGACACGCCGCGGAACTGCAACACCGCGTGCTGCTTGCTGCAGCTCGGGTGCTGCACGTGGACATCAGCGACGAGCGCATCGCGCCCGACAAGAAAGCAGCTTTGGCGATACACGTGGATGAGGTCTGGGTCAGCGCTCCCCCCGCAGCTCGTGTACACGCATAGCGCAACTCACCGACCTGCTCGTCCCCCTTGAACACGTACAGCCGCCAGTTCTGTGTCGGCTTCCGCGCCTCCGGCGGCTCGTGGTACTTGAGCGCGACGCCTTTGACCTGGTTGCTCTCTTTGGCCAGCAGCCCCGAGTTGCCGAAATTCGGCTTTGGTGGACTCTTGTCTCCCTGCCGTCAGGCCGCCGCATACAAGTACCTACCGCGTCGTCGTCGTAGCGCTTCCGATCTGCCGAGCGCTCCTTTTCCCGTTCGCGCACCCCGTACCCCTCATCCGGTTCGCGCTTCACTGCAGCATACCCCCTGTCCGGAGCGCGCCGCTCCTCGCGCTTGTCCCGCCGCGGCGAGCGGCTGCGCGCGCGATCACGCTCGCGATTCCGAAAGTGTGGAGGCTCGTCTCGGGCCGACATGGTGGATCCGATGGTGGACAAAGTAAAGAGCGGCAATGTTGTGAATTGCGTTTCGAGCGAATGTGTGCCTGAAAGAAGTGGAGGTGCCCGACTTCGCGTCATTTGGTCATGTACTTTCGACTGTTACTCTTACTGTCTTACCATCCACCACAACAGCTCACTCCTTCCACTCGCCTGGACCGCAAAGCACACTCTGCGAGGTACTGCGGCACACGCAGATTGACTTCCCAGCGCCGGTCTTCAGTTCCTCCGCTACGGGAGACGCGACAACTGGCATCACAGCGACGGAGTGTGGCGCGACCCGAGACGCCTTCCCTGCAATCTTGCAACGCGTCGCTGTGGTAATTAAGACGGCCTGGGATAATTACATCGCTCTCCACATAGCGCCCCGCGTCCCTTGCCATCTCCTCATCACCATCACCCGCCATTCGCCGCGCGATGGACCGCGCCGCCGCAGCGACAATCTCCAAGCTCCAGAAGGAACTCGAGCTCTCCGGGTTTTTGAACAAGGGCGTGCTGAGCACGAACAAGGAGCAGAAGGCGCGCATCGCCGAGCTGGAGGACGAAAACGCCGTCCTGCGGACGACGGAGAGCAAGCTCGCCGAGCTCGAGGACAAGTACGAGGCGCAAGAGAAGAGGCTGCAGAACGCGAGACACGCGCTGGCGGGCGCGACGCGGCGCGCGGCTCAGCTCGAGAAGACGCTCAAAGGCACAGAACACAGGCTTGGGTGCGCACAGGCCGAGGCCGCGCGATGTAGAGGCAAGTACGAGCGCCTGGCGGCCGCCGTCGCGCAAGCCACCAGCTTGTTCGAGGACGCTGAAGCCGAGGCTGAAGCCGAAGCTGAGGCCGCCGAGCCCGCGCCGCGCGGCCGCTTCACCCTCGCCCTGCCGGGAAGTAGCGTGAGTCCTCCGCATTCGGGGCTGACTGCAGCGCGTGCCGACCGTTCCACCAACCGCGCCAGCTGCCTCCGACGAAGCCGTGGCCGCCAGCTCGCGCGCGTCCCTCGCCTCGCCGTCGTCCTCGCCGCGCGCCATGCCGGCGCGCAAGCGCGTCCGCGTGACCGACGAGGACGACGCGGCCCCGCCGACCGCGCGGCTCTTGTTCCCAAGAGCCAACGGTGGGCGAGGAATACCACAGCGGTCGTCGGGGACGACGACGTTCAGACAGAAGAAGGTGGTTGATGGCAACTTTACGCCCAAGGAGACGGGAGCGCGCGCCGCTGCAAGTGAGAGCACGGCGCGTGTCCTGCGCAGTCGCGGGCGTCATTCGTCGCCCCTCCCGCGTCGCGCGGAGGTCACGTCCGCTTTGGCGCGGCCCGCGACGGCTCCGCGTCCACGGCGACATCCGGCCGCGCTGGAGCCCGAAGTCGAGATCGAGATTGACGTCAAGAGCGAGGTCGAGAGCGATGTTGGTGAGTGCCTGTAATTCAAGTGTCCGCGAGCGAATCGTCCGGGGGGAGCCCTGCTTTCGGTGCCCGCGGAGGATATGGCTTGTCGTTTGATGCTCAGTTGCTGACCCCTGATCCACTCAACTGCTGGGACGATTGAGTAGGCCTTCTACGTCGCCTCGATCGACCCACATCACGGCATGGACGCTCCAAGCGTCTTTCAGATGACACCTATGGCTTATGAAAAGTCGCCACAGCCGTGCCTGGTCACGGGGGCGCGACATCTGCCATACCTCCACACTTACAGCCTTCGACAAGGGGGCTTCAGTAGCAAGGGCCAGCCTCACGGCAGTACGACTGTTGGATACATGTTTCACTGGTAACGGTACAGACTATGCAACATGAGACGTACACACTTTACATGGACTCCGGCGTGACTGTGCCCGACAAAAGACGTTCTCCATCCTTGAGCGTGCGCTCCACAAAGCGGGGAAAGGAGTAGTCGCCCGCGGCGAACTTGACACGCTTCGCCTCCCCGAGCGAGCGGAACGGCAGGAGCCAGACGACGGCGTTGACGGGGTGCGGAGTCTCGAGCGCGCTGGGCGCGAGCTCCTTCTCCCGCTCCAGCTCGTAGTTGCCCTGCGCCCAGCCTCTGACGCGCCAACGCCGCTGGGCGAACAAGTCGCGGAACACGACGTGGCTCATGCTGAGCGTCGTCATGCCCTCGGCGGCACCTCGCGCGAGAGAATGCAGCGCAACAACAGTGAAAGGCGTCGATAGCTGCGCGACGCGGGGCGATGGGATGCGGCGGGGATTGAGGGCGCTGGGGAGCGCCGGCGCCGCGCTGATCCCGCCCGCGAGGACGGCGAGGTACTCCGCCACGAAGGTGGTGCATATCGCGGCCGTCGAGAGGTGGGTGGACGTCATGCCGTTGGCGCAGAGCGCTTCCTTCGCCAGGGACGCGCGGCCTTCAAGGCGGCGCGCAACGCCGCGTAGGCCGACTTCCTCGACTTCCTTGGCCAGAGCATTCATGCCCCCGTCCTCGCTGAAAATGTTCAGGCTCATGTGCGTGAGACAGCCCGCTTTGCCCGCATACCTGCTTCTTTCCCAAAAGTCGCCCTCCTCGAGGCCCGTGAGGCGGCGCATGCGACGCTGTTCGAGCCCTTCCCCAATAACTTCGCCGCAGCTAATCGTTTCCTGCAGATATTGAACGGCCTCACGCGTCGCCCAAAGCCCGACCTGCTCACCGGTTCCCGCAGAGTCGAGCGTGTCGCGGATCGTCTCGACTAGCGGCGCCTCCATCTCCTCCAGCAGAGCGCGCACTAGCTCCCGCGAATTCTGGCTCTGCGCCGCATCATCTTCGTCGGCGCCCGCCCAATTGCCGCGCCCGCCTCCCGCGTGTCCCGCGCTCTTGACGACGGCTGGGGGCCGGTAAAAGCGCGCCCGTGCCTCGTCTGGTGAGGAAGGAAGGGGGTGGTGTAGAAGGTCAGAGCAGAGGCCCATGAGCGCGGTCGGGTCGAGGTTAAGCCGCCTGGACGGCGCCACTCTTTCTGGTGCAGACAGGGCCGTGGGGAGGCGCGCAAAAGGGATATCGGAGAAGTCGCCATAGACGAGGTTAACGCCGCGCTTGCGGATCACGTCAAGTGTCTGCCCGACGCGCGGGTCGGGGTGGCCCCCCTCGGGGTTCTCCTCGATTCGTGAGAGTCGGAGCGTGATCTGCGGCGGCCGCGCGCCTGGTATACGCTCTACGCATTCTGCCAGCGCAAGAAGGTCGTCCGCAATCCGTGTAAGGCTGTTCGGCTGTAATGGCGGCTCGCTGGGGGAAGAGTCGCCCTCGTCGTCCGAGTCGGTCAGGTAAGAATCTTGCTCCCGGAACTCGGCGAGGAGCGCCGACACTTTCTTGCTGTAGATGCGGATCCACTCTGCGCCGCCGCGGGCGACAACGTCGATGAACCCTTCACGTACTGGAACCGTGGCGGGAAGCTTGATGGACATGCGTACGACTGGGACGGGGCCTTCGGCGAGGACAACACATTTCCACAGCGTCGCGAGGCTTTGAACGACGGGGAAGGGATCGAGGTGGACTGGCAGACCCGAGGCCAGTAGCTATCATTAGCCAAAGGTAATGAGTTTCCTCCAGGCTAGCGGTACGCCCAAGGCGCAGACAGAGCAGCGGATGATGGAGGAAGGCAACCTGCGCGAGTGCTACACATTAGTGGCCGACGCCGGCCCGCCGACGGCGGCCTCTCACCTTCCAGGCAGAAAAAGAAGAAGATCGGGACTCACCGCCTCCAGTTGCGCATGCTGCTGCTCGATAATGTCGAGAAACTTCTTCAACCCTTGTGTATCGTCGCCGTGCCACAGTGTACCAGTCGAGTTGTCAAGAACAGGCGGATGAAAGACCAGACGGGCGGGGTCGAAGGCGTTCACGTGCTGGCGGAGCTCCTCCATGAGCTTGCGTGCGGCGTGAAGCTCTGTCGTGTGGTCCCGCATCGCTCGCTATGAGGTTGCGTGATCAACAGGAAGGCAGATGAGAAATGTTGAACGTCTGGCCGTAAAAGTGGAGGTAATGGAGGGTTGGTGGAGGCTGATGTCAGATATTATCCGGAATGCCAGTCGCGTCTGGTCGCCTGATCTGCATCTGAAACAAAACGTGGGTAGAGGCTTGGTGGGGCTTGGTGGATCTTCCGTAGCCTGCAGCACCCTGACGCAGACAGCTAGCGCTGCTATGCAATGGTGAGCTACATATTGCGCCATGGGCCAAATTTGGCGCGATAGCAATGGTTGTCTCTAGTACAATCAATCTAGATATCAATGGTGAACTGCCACCGCTGCTCTAGATACCCTTTGAGCGTGTCATCCAGCAAAATGTCGTGGCGCTTCTGGACGTACGCGGCTTGGTTGGTGATCTTGAAACGGATCTTGCCAATGTCCTGTTCGGCAATATTGCTCTCAAGGAGGTGAGAGAGATTCTCAACTGCGCGCTCGAGATCGCGCTGGTTATCCTCGAACAACTCTGTCATGTTGTTGCGCTTCAGGTAGTAGGCCATTGCGTAGGACCACTTCAGCAATATGCGCGATTTGACAACCGTTCCAACAGCCTCTTTGGCAAACTGGACTTCGATCCACGAAAGATTGCCGTTGTTCTGCATGATTTCCATCTTCTTCTCTGTGTTCTTGTAGAAGTCGGCGTCCAGCTTAGCAGACTGGTCGTGATTCGCGAAACGATTAAAGTACTGTAGTCAGCTTGAGGCTACCCTGATCCAAGCTCACGTGAAGGTATCGCTCGAGACTGGCGCGGCTCTTGGCCTGTGCATCGCGAGCGTCGGCCCCAGACTTCTCGTCGAAGCGGTTGCACTGATACCAACTAGTGCCGTGTTCCGACCATGGGCCCATGCACACCCAGCAGAATTCGCCGCGGCACTTCTTGCAGGTCATATGACTGGTGTCAGTCAATACGGGGCGGAACAAACTCACTTGCAGCCACCGTTCTTCTCAATAGTCGACTGGCATTTTGGACACTCCTTGGTGTTGGCGTTGAGCCAGTTGGCCGTCTCCGAGTCGTCGGCACACTTCTTCTCCCATGCCTTGACGATCTTGCAGAGAACTGGGCGGTGATCGGCTTGATACCCGCATCCGAAGCAGAGGTCATTACCACACTTGCAGGTGACGGTAGGGACTATTTGATTCAGCATGCGTGGAGGAGCCTGCGAGCACTCGATAGCGAACTGGCACCCAGGATGAGGGCACCAGCGCAGATTCGGGGAATCCTGGACGTATGCCGACTGAACTAGCTCGCGATACCTGCTATTAGCGAGGGGCGCTAATCAACTAGCCTACCTTTGGACCACTGCTGGCTCCACCAGTTCCTCGACCGCCTCCTGCACCACAACACGATTGCAACCGCTCTCCATGCACTGCACGCGAGCACTCTCGCCCTCGGTCTTGATCTTTCCGGTGAGGTACTCCTTCCAGCAGTCACGGCAGAAGCGATGCTTGCAGCCTAATGCGAACGTTTGTGTGTCAAACTCTTCAGCGGGATAGTCGTTGCAGCAGATAGGACAGTCGAAGGGCAAAGCCTTCTTGCTCTTTGGCCGGAAGGGGTTACGACTCTTGAGTGGAGATGTCATGGGGAGGGAGGCGGTCGAAGTGGTTGGGGAGGAAGGCGGTGAGAGTCCGGCGGCGGCAAATGATGCAGCGGGGTCGCTCCAGAACTCCTCTTGCAGTCTCTCCGAGTTCCATGCATAGTGTCTGAGGAGGATGGCCGCTGATGAAGCCTATCGTCAGCTAGATCTTTGTGGGTATGGAGGACTCACGGGCACTTCAAGCAAAGTCTGCACCTTCTTGACCTGCTTGTTCTGCATCGCAGTGATCTCCTCCGGGGAGAGCACCTTGTACGCGACGTCGTATGGTTTCCGTGACGACCCATCTATCGTAAGCGTAGATGCCTCGCTTCCAGCTCACCCTCAGTCGATGGGCTCACGGCATCGAACACGTCCGGCTCAGACTCAGAGTCCATTTCTGTGTGTCAGTTCCGTCGATGGAGATGTGAGTTGACATCACCTCCACCGCCCCCGCTTTCGCGGTGCGGCACTGGTCACCACCGGGGCCAGCTCGTCCGTTCAAGATGAGAAGGACTCACCGTGGTCCTCAAACTCGTCAAACTCGTCGGCATCGTCATACATGTAGTCATCACCGTCAGAAGACATGGTTGCCGGAGTGTTTGCGGCGGCGGCAGCGACGTGTGTGTCTTCAGGGAGCGCAGTGCGTACGCGCTTGGACCCAGTCAAGTCTTGCGATGAATAGCGCGCGCGTTTGAGCTGGGGAGGCGGTGTGGCAGTGGGAGAAGGGGTTGAAAGGGGCACTTTGGCGACCTCGCTCACGCGAGTGCGAGTGGCAAAGATGAGTCAGGTGAGAGGAGTGTGTGTGGCTGCCAAGACGCAATTGAAGCGGAAGGGAGGGAATATCTGAGTGTTGGGATAGTACAAGCAGGAGTATTGGGAAGGAGAGATGAGAATGAAGAGCTCGAGGAATCTCCAGAGAACAGACTGATGGCGTGGAGGGATGAAAGAGTGACGACGGGATCTAGATTGCGCGCGAGAGAGCAGAGCACGAGCGATGCAAGCGCCGAAGTGAGGGCGGCCTTCGGATCCGATGTGGTTTCAGTGCGTCACTGCACCCAGCTGACTGTGCGCAGGCAGGCTGAATAAATACACGTCATGGTCACGTGGAATCTTATCAACAGTGATCGCATTCACTCGTATTTCGAGCAGCAACAGCAACAACGCCCTCCACAATTCCAACTAGCTTGCACTGCTCGTGACCTTCCCTCTATCCCTCTCCTCACAACATCATGACGGCGGCACAGCCCTCGCCGTATGTCGCATTCGAGGACATTCTCAAGCGCTACCACGCCGCTGCGGGACCATCTCAGCTCGACGGGCCCCTTGATGCCGAGGCCGTTTTGGACGATGAGAGCGGGTTGCTCGTACAGCTCCAGCGCAGTCTGGAGAATTAGTACGCCCAGTGAAGTGGCGCCCTGTTGCTGACATTAGTATGCGCGCGAACGGCGCATCGGCGGCTGGGCCCGGCACTCTTGGTGCGGATGAGTTCCAGTGGCTCCTCCTCGAGCACCGGACATGGGGCCTCATCCGCGCTGTCTACAACAACCGTCTGTCCCCACCACCATCCACATCTGCTGCCTCCGTCCTGGCTGAAGATCCATACATAACGCCAATGGACTTGACGCAGCATATCATAGACGACGATGCGGACCTTTCTCTATGGGCGATGTTGATCGACCACCTCCAAACACGCCCCCTCTTCTCCGCGCCCCCACCACTCGAAGCGCGCCACGGATATCTACCGACTACTGTGCGGAAGACCAAGACCGCTAAGCTCACCGGCTCCAGCAATGGGTCGCTCGACCCAGACTTTTCGCTCCGCGGAAGCGGCACGGTCGCAGGCGAGGACGCAACATATCAGACCCCACTGCTGGAAACCCTGTTCGACCTGGTGCGGCATGGGGAGCTGGATCACGCTGTGCGTGTGTGTGAAGAGGGCGGTGAACCATGGCGCGCTGCGTCGATCATGGGCGGAAGGCGCTGGGACATGGGCGGGTTGAGTGAGTCTCGCGCCCTCGCAAGCTAACGTTAGCAATCGAGCGCCCCGAGTTGTCACCGATGACAGGCAACCGCGCCCGCGCGCTATGGAAACAGTCATGTCGTGCCATCGCGAAGAATGTACGTTGAAGACCTTCGGGGACAAGGCTGATCTTAGGCGACTCTCAGCTCTGCAGAGCGAGCATTGTACGCGGCTCTCGTTTCCGACCTGCCATCTCTCCTCCCTGCCTGCGCAGGATGGGAAGACCAGTTGTGGGCACACGTTGCAGCCCGCCTCGAAGGGCGCATTGACGAGCGGAGGAAAGAGCTGGGCGGGTTCTGGGAGTCTGAAGACCCGACGATCGATGATGAGCGGGCGGCCCACGGTGGCCTCGCAGAGGTCTTCGCGTCCATCGGCTCCCAGTCTGGTCCCATCGCCGAGGCCAGCCGCAACCCCCTTTACGTGACGCAGAAGCAAGTGCTCCTCGGCCAGTCCGCAGAGCACCTGGACGCCTTTGCCGACCGCCTTCCCTCCTTACCGCAGAGCGTACCGGACGCGCTCATTGGCCCCCTCCTCCGCTTTTTCGCGCACTTCGTACTTGTCCTCCGCACGCTGGGTCAGGAGGTACCCGAATCCGCCGCCAACGCCATCCTGGAGGCGTATCTCCGCGTGCTTGAGCGCGATGACCTTTCCGCCCTCGTGGCGCCTTACGCGGCATGTCTCCGCGAAGGCAACGGCGAGGAAAGTTACGCCCGTTTCCTCCGCTCCATGCCATCCTCAGCGTCTCTGGATGAGAAGCGCACTGCTCTCCTCCGCGCCCGCGACTACGGACTGGACGTCGCCACGATCGCAACGTACACCGTGCGCATGGTGTTACATGCTGCGTTCGAGGCCGCGCCCTCGCTCGCGCCCGGACAGCCGGATATCACGGACATGCGCGTGAGCATCAGCGCTGACGACGAGGCGCTTATTCGCGCCCTCGAATGGCTCACCATCATACCTGAGACTCTGCCTGAGGCGCTGGCGCGCGCGAACGAAGTTGCGCGCTACTTCCTCGCCACTGGACAGGCTCATGCAGCCGGCGCCCTCCTCCACTCGCTCCCCGACGAGGTCGGAGTTGGCGAGCCTAACGATGAGATGGAATTCGCCGATTACGCTCGACTCTTCGCCGTGTTTGACGCGCACGACGCCGCTCATGAGGTCGCAGCGCAGAAGCCCAAAGAGACAGCGTCTAAGATCGAGCAGCACGCGTGGGCTAAGCGCCTGCTCGCGAGTATCCAACACGTCGCGGATCTCACGCGCGATCTGCTCACGTCGCACTGGCTGGCATTCACCGTCATGGACACGGGCAAGCGGGGTAGCGCGAGGCGCCGCGAGCTTCGCCGCATCCGACAGATCTTTGTTGCGGACCTCGTCATGCGCCTTCATGTGCTGCTGATGGAGCATCACCGACGCTTCCCTCAACTCCTTCAGGACGCGCTTGACCTCACCGTTCTCGTGGCTGATCAGGAGCATGCGGTGTACGAGGAGTTCATTGGGCGGGACGCCGACGCATCCCGTCTCATCGCCTACCTCGAACATGTGCGCGAGGCGAGCATGTCGGCGCTGGCGGCGGGCAGCTCCAACCCATTCCGCGCACCGTAGATAGGTACTAATGTAATACAGGCGAGACAATGCATGATTTGATGCTACACATGTGACACTCGGTCGTTAATTCATCGTGATAAACATCCAGTACTGCTGTCAGCGTACTCTCTCCCAGTCAGCAATCTCACCTTCTCCGTTCCAGGGGTGCGCGCGCTGATGGCCTTTAGCTGGAACATACGATCAAACACTGCGGTCAGCTTGGAGACACAGACAACGTACAGCTGGCGACCCAGCTCTTAGCGCTACTTTGGCACAGCGGGTGCTGCATGATGAGGGCTGGATTGGTCGGAAAGCCCTCAAGTTGGCGCAGGCAACGGAATGCGACCGATGGTTGTGGTGGGCCATACCGCGACACAGCGGTGTGCGCCTGCCGCCACTTCTCGTCGAGCTGCGCCTGGCAGCGCGACTGGTCCGGGCAGTCGGGACGCTAGTGTGAGCGCAGGAACAGCGGAAAGCGTATTAAGCGAGATCACTTACACAGACGTATTCCTTCTTCACGTCAATCGTGCCCAGTTTGAGTAGACGTTCGAGGAACCACATGCGGCTGGTGTCAGCGCTACCATTTCCGCGCATATACCGTCTGGATAGCTTTATCTGCGTCTGCTCTGAGAGACTTTCGAACTCGTCCGGGTCCCAAGAAGCTGTGGTTAGCCCAAAGTTCAAAGTTCACACTGTCGGAGGACCGGTACGCAACTCACCTTGATCCAGCACGAAGCGGCTAGCCTCACGATACAACTCGCTGTTCTCGTGCTTCTCGGCTAGGGCTAGAGCCTCTATCGGTCGCCCGGATGCATGAGTAAGAAGGAAGCGCTCGCATTGCGCCTGGAGGGCGGGAACGATGAGCTTGGATGAGAGAGCAAGAAGCTGTCGTCAGTTTAAAGTTTCCTCCTTCGAAGACTCACACGCGCCACGTTGGTCCATGTCACTTTACACTCGAGGTGGGGATAGGCCCAGAATAAGAAGTCCTTGTGGTAAGGGTGATCAACGTGGACGGCTCACCTGGAATGCCGCAGGGCTATCCTCTGGCAACTCGATGAGAGCGTCGTGTCTCTCATGCCGCCGTCTCTCGCGGCCTGCACTGTGTGTCCGCCGGCGCGCGAGGTTGAGGCTCGACGCCGACGTCCGCTTGGCATGACGTGCAAGGTCGAGCTCCAGCTTTGTTGGGCTTTCCTTGGACCGCCGCTTGTGCTCCACCGGCGTCTTAGCAGTCTCTTGTGTTGCCTCTTCCTTCTCGCCCTCTGCAGGCACGGCCAGCTCCTTCTCATCCTTGGCCGGCGCCTTCACCTCCTCCCCGGCCTCGCTTGCGCGCTCCGCACGTCGCAGACTCTCCCCTTCAACCAGTGTCTCCAACGCGTCGCCCCGCGGGTCGGGCAGCTCGCGCAGCTCGCGCATGATATCCGCGACGCCGTGATCGACCGCATCAAGGTAGACGCTGGTCTTCCCTTCCGTCTCGCCCTCGTGTCCGGCCTCCTCCCTCTCCTCCGGTGGATCCATTTGCATGGAATCTGGCCGCCCGTCATCCGCGGACGCAGCGGGGAAGCGCGGCTCGGCAACCTCGGTCTCGGCCCAACTAATATGTCAGCCCGCCCCTCCAAGCACCAAGTTATCAACACACCTCCCTTGCAAGCATGCGCTGAAGAATGGACTTGCAAACCAAAGTACCTCCTTGTGACACCAGAACTCGTGCCGCCCGACGACCACCTTGACGCGCCCAGGGAATGTTGCGTCGCTCCAGAACGTGGGGTGGACGACAACGTCATCGTCCCCGCATTCGCTGCCGGTGTCGGGGAAGGAAAGGGCGGGCGTACTCTGACTCCGTGCGTGATGGATCTCCGAAGGAGGCGGAGACCCATAGGAGAAGAGGTGCGCTGCTGGTCCAGGAGTAGGCGAGGGAGCATAGAGGGCAGTCTGGACTAGTTGTGGGTGGGCGGGCGAGCGAGGGTTGCGGTTCAGTAGGAGATGAGAGGGGTTGGAGGTCGTCATGGCGCCAGCCGCGAGAGTAAGAGCCGCCCAGAGACTGAAGGAGGCGCTCTGGGATGATAATTGAGGAGAAGAGGAGAGGTGGAATGGAGATAGTGCGTCAGCGGCGGGGCCAAGAGATCAAGACGGTCGTTGTAGTGATAGTCAACCTAATGCGATCAACTCGAATCAATAATTGGCACGACGGGTGGCAACTCGGCAACTCCGGCTCGTGCACCACTTCACGCTCCTCAGACGCGCGCGCCGTGCACTCTTGCCTCCACGACATTGCCACGCATTAAAGAACTTAGTGCATACATGCTCTCTTTAATTTAACAAAGTCTGATGCTATGCATGCTCTACAAATACAGCCCAATGCTCGATAGCCCAATGCGCCCTCATAACCTCTTGGCCCTTGGCGCACCATGCCTCCGCCAATCCCCCACCATCGCTCATCACACCGAGGGGACGGGAACAAGGACCCGCCTTCGCCTCGAAGATAGCACGATGCACAGCGACGCCCTAAGAACTTGGAGGCTCGGTGCCCAAGGGGGCCGCTCCGATCTCCTCTACGTGGTCGCCTTGCTTTACCGACGACCACCTCTCTTAGCCCCCATCTTGCTCTTCTTCCTTGCAGGGAGGCCGCCCTGCACCACGTCGTCGTCACGATCGCGGTCGTCGTGTCCTCCACGGTGTCCCTTGTCGCGTCCGCGTTTTCCGCCGGCGCCACCTGTGCCCTGCTCGCGCATCTCGATGACGGCCGCGCGAGCGGCCTCCGACACTCGGTCCTTGAGGATTTTGACAGCTGCCTTGTCGACATCAAAGGCAGTAAGATCGCGACCAATCGCCGCCTCAATCGCCTTGTGCATGACGATGTCGTACTGGGTCGTGAACGTAATGGACTTGCCCGAGCGGCCTGCACGCGCCGTACGGCCGACGCGGTGGACATAGTCCTTTGAGTTCGATGGGATGTCGTAGTTCTGCTATCAGTTTCAGTTTCACGGACGTTGCTTACAATGACGAGGTCGACCAGCGGAATGTCGAGACCACGCGACGCAACGTCGGTCGCGACAAGGATCTTGCGACCACCGCTCTTGAACTTGTTGAGCGAGCCGAGACGGGCGCTCTGGCTCATCTGTCCGTGCAGCGGGATGGCCGGGAAGCCGAGGCGGTTGAGCATGATGCTCAGGCGCTGGGCGCGGTCAACGGTGCCCGTGAAAATAATCATCGAACTCGACGCCAGCTCGTTGACGACGTAGAAGAGATAAGCGTCCTTGTCGACCTCAGGGACGAGAATGTAGTACTGCAGGAGCGTCGAAACGGTGGAGTACTTAGACGACACCTTGACTTGGACGGGCTTCGACAGCGACGCGCGCTTCAATTGCTCAACTTTCGTAGAGAGGGTAGCGGAGAAGAGGAACGTGTTGCGCTCCTTAGGGATGACCTTTAGGAGCTTGTTGATGCTTGTCTGAAAATCAAAGTCGAGGAGACGGTCTGCCTCGTCAAACACGAGGTACTTGAGTGACTTGAGCGAGAAGCCCTTGGTGTTCTCGAGGTGGTCCATCAAACGACCCGGGGTTGCCACTACGACATGAGGCCGCTTAGCAAGGGCAAGGCTCTGCGCCATCATATCCATGCCGCCGACAATAGTGGCAACTCGAACACCGATGTTAGCACCAAGAGCCTGCACCTGCTTGGCGATTTGGTCCGCCAGTTCACTGCTGTCAGCGGTATTGTGACGGTTCAACTCACCGAGTGGGAGCCAGCATAAGGGCATAGAATGGTTGAGGATTATCCCACAGTGTTTGGAGGATAGGAAGAGAGAACGCGGCCGTCTTTCCGCTACCTGTCTGCGCAATGCCGATAATGTCGCGGCCCGTAAGTGCCGGCGGGATGGCGGCAACTTGGATGTCGGTAGGCGTCTTGAAGCCGAGTGCCTCACATGCCGCGCACAGTTCTTCGCTGACACCAAGCTCGGCGAAAGTCTTTGGCTTCTCAACAGCAGCATCGCTTTTACCGTTGTCTGCTGGAGAGGGGGAACGGGAAGGACCTGCTGAGCTCGAGGCGGACGACATATTGCGGTGGTGAAGCTGGTGGTGGCCATCAGAATTCACAACACTTCAACTTTTGCCACCTAGCGGAAACAAATGAGATATCATGACGTGTCAATTTGGGAGGCTCACCATGTTTGTGCGCGCCTGATTTTGATAGTGACCGTGCCTGGAATGTTCACGGCATTCATTGATGTTGCCCAATCTAGTGGTTGCTTGTTCATGACAACATTGCCCCAGCGGACCCATCCCAACCTGGCCAGCCACCTAACATTGCTTCATCCCGCTTTCAGCTGCCCTCCGTTCCCATCCATATCACAGCAAGAACACGTCTACATACGCGTCTCGTCTCTATCCTACTCCTCTCAACCCACTCTCTCACGCACACGCAACCGCTATTGCATAGACGGCTTTCCAAACACCGCCGACCGTGGCCCGTTCATTCTCAGCCGCATTCTCCTCACCCTTCGTCGCTTGCATCCCGCCCCACCATGGCGTCGTCGCGGCGCTCATCGGCGTCGCCTCCGTCTGCGCCGTTCGCTGAGCCAAGTGAGATGGACAAGTACCGTCTCGTCAGCAATATCGGCAAGGGCAGCTTTGGCGTCATCTCAAAGATCCAGCGGATTGAAGATGGCAAGGTGAGTTGCATCTCTCGGTCGTCTGGTTGCTGGAATGCAGAGCGTGCAAATGTAGGTCAACTTTGCTGACTCCAGGAATTCGCTCTGAAGGAGCTCGACTACGGCAAGATGAACGAGAAGGACCGCCGACAAATAATGGCGGAGGTCGCCATTCTCGAGTCCCTCAAGCACCGCAACATTGTCCAGCTTGTCCAGAAGATCCGCGATCCCAAGAACGAGCGCATTTACATCATCATGGAGTACTGCACATCCGGCGATCTCGGCTCGCTCATCCGAAAGGCGCAGCGCAGCGGCGCCCCTTTACATGAGGATCGCATCTGGAATATCTTCCTCCAGATTGTCCTCGCGCTTCACCACTGTCACTGGCCTGAGCAGCGCCGGGCGGCTATTCGTCCAAGCGGGGATGCGGGGCGGACTCAGGTGTTGCATCGCGATCTAAAGCCTGAAAACGGTGAGTCTTAGTGCGACGAAGAGGGTGAGAACAGTATCTGTGTTGGCATTCTACCCTCGCAATGTGCGAGACTGTCCAGGTTACGATAGTATGCCAGGGCGACTCTATGACCCAACTAAACTGGAATAGAACGGGGTGGTCCTGGGGTTTCAGGCCGCGTTCTCCGCTCCTGTGCCGTCCTCCACTGATTACGCTGACATTCAGTGTTCTTGTCCGGGGACTTCGTCAAACTGGGTGACTTTGGTCTGAGCAAGGACATGGCCGGACATGTCTTCACGCAGACCTACGTTGGCACGCCGCTATACATGCCTCCAGAGATCCTAGCTGAAAACCGATACGACACAAAGTCAGACATCTGGTCACTGGGGTGTCTTGTATACGAGATGTGTGCTTTGCAGTGGGTCACACACGCGCTCAACGGCTCACTCTAGCTCTCCGTTTCACACAGCTCGTACGCAAGAGGAGCTGATAACCATGGTCAAGAGTGGCAAGCTGCCACCATTGCCGAGCAATATCTCGCCGGCGCTTAAGCTTGTCATCAAGGCCATGCTTAACCTCAATGTGCGTTACATGGCTGAGTTTTGCTCACGTTAGCCCGTGCGGCGACCATCGACCCGTGACTTGTTGGAGATGGACGAAATGAAGCTGCACCGCAAGTTGTTTACCGTTCAGAACCAGTGAGTGTCGTGCCTTGTTGATTGAGGTGTCATTACATAGGTCTGGTTGGAGGATTGCGACCTAGCATTACATCGTGCGCTACACTGCAGCGCCCCGCTCGCTCCGTCCGAACCCTTGATGCGGCCCCTAACGCCAGAACCTCGGTTCTCACTGCCCGCAAGCAAGAGCTGGAGCAATGGGAGATTGCCGCTAAGAGACGTGAAGAACGCATCAAGCAGAAAATCGCCGAGCTCGAGGCGCGCGAGCTGGCTTTGAGCGAACGCGAAAACGCTATCAACCAGCGCGAGGCTGATTTCAACATGCACTGGCAGCAGCTTGAGCAGCGCGAGGAGATTGTTCGCGAGAATCAACGACGCTTGGCGGTCTCTCACGAGTCACTGCAAGCCCAGTGGGCCGCGCTGCGAGAAGAGCGCGCCAACCCACCCGCTGTCGCGCCGGCTTCGTCTGAAGCATCGCAGGAGAACACGGACTTTGGCCCTGCTCCGCAGAGACCACCGCTAGAGGAGCGTAAGACTATGCCAATCCCCTCCACGACGGTGCGACATGCCGCGTACATCGATACGCCGAGCAAAATACCTGGTGCAGTGGCATACGACAGCCCTGCGCCACTCGACTCCAAAATTGCCTCCAAGATTTCAAGGCTAAACGGGCGGCGTGCGAGCGGTGGCTCGTCCCTCCCGCGCCTGGCGTCCAAATCCATGACCAACCTCAATGCTCGTGCGCGTCTCGACGGGGAGCTCGCTACCCCCGTGAAGAGCGACACGTGCCGCCACATGCCTGGCCGCACGTCGATAGGATCACCCGGCGAGCTGGGTCGCGATTTCCTCGACGACGTGTCGATGCGTACGGCGACATCGTTCGGGTCTCCTGCCGGCATGAGCCCGTTCATTACGCGTGCGCGAAGTGACGACGAGGTTGACGGCCCCCCCACGCTCATTCCGCAACCCAACTACGTGTACCGTCCCGATGCGACACCGGCCAAGTGGAACCCCGAGGACCCCGACGCGCCCTCCCCCTTCCTGCGTCGCACGGCTACCTCGGCACCCCCCGTACCGCAGCCTGCTTTTACATCGGGCAACGGGAGCTCTCGTCCCTGCGCGCAGCCGCGTGATGTTCCAGCGCGGCCGCCACTGTCGGCGATCCAGCCGCAACCTGCTACCGCGCCGGTCGCTGTGCAGCGCAAGCTTCCACGATCACGCTCTGGGACGCTTAGCCTGCATCACACTGCAGTTGTGCGCAACGCCGTGCGTACCGAGGGGCTGGTTGGCGCACCAGTGCGGACACGGGTTGCCGGGCGCGACCTGGCACGGTGATAGACTTAGCTTGGGCAAACACTTGGATTCCTTGCTAGAGGGCGCAGCGCATGCACGGGTAGCTTGTTCAAGAGTGTAGTAGCAACAACTGGGCGAGATGCCACTGCTGCGCGTGCCGTACGCTTACTCTCCCGGACTCACCGAGGCAGCACACTACTAACACTGGTCACTAATACTGGTATGAGATCAGTCGCGTCAAGTAGTTATTCACAAACCACAAGCCCCTCGCACCGCGGGGCTAAAAAGTCTTTTCCTGTATCCCAGGAGTGGCTTGTACACTAGGAGGGAGTCGAACCCCCGCCGCGTCGATGGCAACGACGCATGATACCGTTTCACCACTAGTGTTGACGAAGATCCATTTACAGTGTGGCATTTGCGTGGTCGGGACTCTTCGCATGCCAAAGAAATGAGGTAAAGCGCTGGGCAACTTCGACTTCACGCTTTTAGCTTCCAAAACCACATCTTGGACGCCTAACCTGCCCCTTATGTCCATACGTGTGAGCTAATCCTAGACCTATCTCAACCCCCATGTTCAACCGTCACTCGTGGTAGTTAGAACTTGGAGCCAATATGTCGGCTCGTCATCTCGTGCAATCCTCTACAGAAGCGATTCTATTTTACGCGGGGCTCACACCTCCCTCCTCACGCTTTAGCCCTCCTTCTTGGACATCCACACGCCCCCCTCACCTCGTCCTTCGTAAAGATAGAGGTCGCGGTATTTCTGTCGTCAGCTCACCCTCACCTTTGCACTCACCCCAAAGAGGCCCGCCGTCGCACACCGCCCACCGACCTGCACGGCCTCGACGACCATGACGAAGTCTTCGTAGCCAACCTGCACGCCCGTGTTCTCCAGCACCCACGTCCATGCCACCTGCGGCGGATTGTCGGTTGTCAGATGCACAACTCCGCAGACAAAGTGCTCGCCAACGAGGCTTTCGCCTCTCGAGTCGTGCGGCAGCCCACTGCCCTCGCCTATAAAGTACACGGCCGGCATGTCAGTTGACGTATTACAGTCCAAATACTTCCAATGTGCAGCGGCGCGCTGCGAGCGGGCGGCGTATGTCTTCTGCAGCTCATCGAAAGAGACAGGCACGACGTCATACTCGCCTACACTCCAAACGCCGACCCGTGACGCGTCAAAGCGATACGCATCACAACGCCATCGCCCTGCCACGCCGGGCCAGTCGCCTTCCGGCTTGACGCCTAGGAGACCTGGCCCCCCAATGTGTGGGAGCAAGCGTGGCAGCCGTGTGAACCTCGATCTGCGGAGGCTACAGAGTACTTGGATCAGTATGATCGAAGCGAGCGAGTGGGAGACGCATACCGAACTCGGAGGCAACTGCGTCCACAAAGCCCCAGGCAACACTACCATCGGCCCGAAGCGGTGCCTCGTCACCTGCGGCAGCGGCCGCCGCCCACGCTCTGGACACATGGGCAACCAGCCGTTCCTGCCGCTTAACAGGCACTTCGCACATCGTGAGCCGGAGGACGTGCAGCTCACTCATGCCCATACTCTCGCCAGTCCGCGGGTCGAGCTGCGCCACAAATGCAAACTCTGGAGAGCGGAGGTGCTTGAGGAGGAGGCCATTGAGCGATGTCCACACTCCCCCGAAGTCACGGTACAGGCCGAGGAGAACACGGGCGTAGCGTACTCTCTGGTGGACCTGGGGTGAGTGGGTATGCGGAAAGGATTGAGGGTTTCTCACCACTGGCTGTCGTGCGGGCAGAGTTGAGCGGCGCGTGCGTGCGGCGAGGGCGGCGGCGCGCGTGACCCAATCGCGGTCAATTACGGCTGAGCGCCAGTCGTAGGGTTCTCGTTGGTGGATGAACGCGCGCGCTCGCCGCGGGTCGTCGTATCGCTGCGCGTGGAGGTGGCGCCAGAGCACCACGTCCCTGCCCTGATATCAGCTTGCTCTCAAAAGACTGACATAGACAAAATCGGCCAGGCGCCGGCAAGTGGCTGCTACGTGCGCCAGGTCTTGCAACGTCGAGTTCCCGACGTACACGAGCACAAGGAGAAGCACCTCGTTTGGGAGGTCGAGCAGACTCATGGAGTGAACGATGGTGTGTCTCACTTATCGCACATCTACTTCTCAAGATCAGGACAAAATGGTTGGTCTGATTCCTTTCTCGCTCTCTGTCTCTCTTCTCGACCAACCTGGCCATCCCTTCCGTTCTCGGGTAGGTGTTACGGAAGCCGCCATTCTGAAGAGTCTGCAACGGCACCGCTGGATGTCTGGTGTGGCAGGCAGCTCAGAGGCACGGGGCGTGCCTCGTGCCTGCTCCAAACAGATCGGCGGCCATCAGTCGCACCAACATGGAACATGCACCGGCTGCCATGAGCCCATGGCAGACTGAATCCCCACCTCAAACTGTACATCACGGGCGGCTTGCCGACATAAGACGCAGCAACTGTTTGTCCGCTCGGCTAGCTCACAAGAAGGAATTCTGATGCGCTGTGTTTCACATCAGGATCTCCATCGGCGGACCTCAGGCCGGTCCGCCGGCTGCAAACGGCACTGAATGCCAAGAACATGTGTCTAGAAAAAGGCTCAACCAGGATTGTGACAACCAAGAGACTTCATATGTACGTACAAACTTCGGTTTGCGGCATACCATGAATATATGCTCGGCGGATACCGCTGGTTCCCGCGGCTCAACGGTTCGCGGCGGGCTTGGCGGCCAGTGCGACGCCTGCCTCGCTTCGACTCCGAGATGCCTCGGAGACCAGTCACATGGACTCGGATGTAAATCCTAGCAGTGGAAGTGGTTGGTCGCAAGATATAACGTACATCGCTTAGTACAAGAAGCCTGGGAAGATGGAGGACGTACTTATGAAAGAATGGAGAAAGCCGTGAGGATCCAGGCCTGCATTTTACAAGCTCCCGACCTAGACAAGCGACGTCGTCCCTTCTCACACCGGCGTATTGACGCATTGCTGAATGTAGTGCGAACATTACAGTAGGATACGTTGGGCTCTAGCCGAGGAATGCCGTTGCGTGCTGCCACTTAGTGTCGCAATGTATTACCAACAGGTCGACGGCTTTACAGAATGCCAATCTCTCGTGCACCACAGCACTACACTTGGCAAACTACACATGTATTCTCCTTTCCCGGTGCTTGGAAAAGCCATCTTCTTTCGCGTTCTAGCCCCATCTTTCTATAAGGTAGGAGCGAAGCGAAGTCCCTCTTGACCAAAGGTCTCATCAGCCGGGCGCATTACACTTTCCCTACATCGAGAGCGATGTTCTTGGTACATTGCCTTTATTACATGGCGCAGATTGGAGCAATTTCCGGAGGGTCGAGCTTGAGTATCGGGATACCATGAGTTGACGAAATCTACGCGCCTTCTTCGCCCCACCACTTTCCAGTCTTCCCCCTGCCTCCTTGAATTACATCATTTGCATGAGGTGTTTACATGGGCTGCACTCGCACTGGCTGCGCCGTGTCGCTTGCGCGCATCGTGTTCCACAGCACAATGACCACAAGTGCGTGGAGGCTTGCGGCATACATGATGAACAATGAGCGAGCGCGCTTGTTTCCGATGATTGCGCGTGTCAATGCAAACACACCGCGCTCCAGTGGGTTCAGTGCTTGAATCGCGCGCAGACTCTCGCGTCCCTTGAACGCCTCGAAAGGATTTAGGCTCTCGTCGTACTTGTCCTTGTATCGCCCAATTTCGTCCTCGCGGCTTCTCAATGCGCCGTTCAACATTCCTGCCGTCCCGCTGGGCGTGCTGGTCCCAGGTGTGTTGTCACGATAGCTCTGCATGTACCGCACCTTCTCGTAAAGCTTGAGGTTGTCGGCCTGCAGGCCCTTGATCTCAACACGCAGATCTGAGATCGCCTCGAACTGCTTGCGCAGCTCCTCCTCGAGCTCGGCATTGCGTTGCCGGAACCGGTCGCGCTGACTTGTGACGATCGGCAAAATTGACGCGTCGTTTGCACCTGATGGTGTTGATGTTCCATCCTTCCCGCCAATGTCAAGGCCGGCGAGGCCTGGCCCACTCCGATCTTTGCCTTCGCCGTTGTTCATTTGCATGAGGTCGTTTTCGAGCTTTTGGTTCAGCGAGCGCAGGCGCGCCAATTCTGCCTCGGTTTGACTCGAGCTGTTCTCTGCCTTGGCGTACAGGCTAACCAACTCCTCGTGCGCGACGCGAAGCTTGGTCAGATCCTCGAGAAGACGACGATTCTTCGACACCAGGAGGTTCTCCAGCGATTTTCCGAGTTGCTTGTTCGCGACGTCCGCATTGGGGTCCGGCATGTGCACGTCCTCGTCGTTATCCAGATCGGCATTGGAGAACTCAACGTACTGATGTCAGCTGGAGCACAGAACGGACAAGCACCTTCATGATTTCGAGCTCGCGCTTAATCTCATCGTAGTCAGAGTACTGCTTTGCCTTGGTCCTCAGGTTCTCGATCTCGGCCGCCTGGTTGGCGATCTCGCGAGCGGCATCGTCTGCGCGCTTCTTCTCTGCACGCTCAACCTCTGCCTTCTGGTCTTTGACCATGTCAAGCGCGCGAAGGAGGCGCGACGCCTCAGCCTCAAGCTCAGCAATGTGATCTTCCTGCTCCTTGACCCTAACGACGTCAGTAAAGTTCGATGGCTGCGCTTACCTGTCAGCCTGCTGTGACCCGCTACGAGCAGTCTCGATCTCAGCGCGCAACAGCTCCTGAGAGGGTTAGCCGTTGGTCTCATCGCAACTCACATTACGGCGCTCCACCGTCGCGACGCGCTCGTTGGCACGGTTCAGGTCGGCAACTACAAGGTCGAGCTCAGCGAGCTTGGCGGCAACATCTTGTTCTGCAAGTCAGCCAAGCCTCTCACAACTCCTCACCCTGCCTCTGACTTGCGTCCATCAACTTGGCCGTCGTGTTCTCGTTGGACATGGCGAGGTCGCGTAGCTGGCGCTTGTGCGTTTCTACCTGGCGCTGGAGATCCTTTTCGCGCTCCTCGTAGTTGCGAATCCGCTCGTCATACTCCGCGTTCAACTCATTCTCCTTTTGAGTCACGCGTTCCTGAATCAAGTCGTCCATCTTCGCCTCGAGCTGCTCTACCCGCGCTTCCGCTTTCTTGCGCTTGTCGTCGGCGCTACTGCCATTGGCAACCTGCTTCTTGAGCTCCGAGTTCTCCTCTCTCAATCGCGAGAGCTCGGCCTCAAGCATCCTCGCCTCGGCAACCTTGACGGTCTGATCCACGGCCGCGTCCAGAAGCGGGTACGGGTCGGGTGCGTCTGAGAGCAGCTTGTACACATTGAGGAACGACGTTTCGCTCGTTTTGGACCGTCTTGTTAGGCTGTCAATCTCGCCTTGGTACGCTTTCAAGAGCACCTTCATGGCGCCGAACTTGTCCTGGTTGTCTGGCTGCTTCTTGAACTCTGACGCGTGAGCGTGATCAGGCTATTGGGACAACCGTACCCCTGGTCTGCTCGGCAAGCCTTTTGCGCCCAACCATGTTCTCCTTCTGGTTCTCAACGACCTCGAGTGCCGTCTTGTCGAGCGACTTCTGGAGCTCGGAGAGGTTGATCTCTGCCTGTTAGCTAAGAATTGACACATTAGTAGGTTCCCGAAAGGTGGAGGCGTACCCTTCCAGGTCGCCAGAGCGGCGGAGAAGTTGGCCTCGGCCATGATTGTGAGAGTCGAACGGAGATAAGTGTGCGTTGGGCCTGGAATCGAAACAGATTGAAGAGACACAGCGGCGACAATGCGATGGGGATGGAGTACGAGTCGATGTGGACGTGTCTGGAGGTGATGCCGAGGGCGTCATGGTGGCGATCCCGATCTGAAGTGCGGCAACACTCACGTGAAGGACACGCGGTATGAACGTGGTTCACACGTGACCGACACGTCGTCGAGATGAGGCCCCGACGCGTCCAAACACCTCGCTGCTCGTCGCTATGCTGCTCATCACCACTTGGCGACACCATACCACCAATACTTCTCTCCGCCGACGCGGACAGCCCAAGGGTGTTCATGTTCACCCAAAATGCTGCACACCACCAGGACGCTACGATCTCCACCTCTCTGACTGTCTCCGTGTCCGATAGTGTCGACCTGGACATTGTTGACGAAATTGTCTCGAGAGCCCGCGACGCAACGTCGTTCGCGCAAGTCCATGATGCTTACACCCTCGTCCTAGAATCCAAGTGAGCAAACCCCCTCGTGTGGAGCTGACCACAGCGGGATCCGCCCATCTAGCGACAAGTCGTATTATCAGTTCCTGCTTAAGCTGGGCATGATCCGAGCGCGAACATGGGGCGAGCGATGGGATGTGTGGCGCGCCAACAACGGGATCGACCTTGCCCCGCCTCCCTTAAGCCCGAAGCCGCATCCGCTGCGCGCTCGTGTCCCGTTCCTCGCGAGCGCGAGCTCCGACTTGGACGAAGGCTTCGGCGCAGAGTCGGAGCAGGGAAGCGAAGTCGCTGCGACGGGTCGCGAGAGCCCAAGGAAGGTGATGCACCGCTCACTTGTCGGGTTCTTGCCCTCTGAAGCGGGAAGCGACGTGATGCCACCGCCGAGAACGTCTACGCCGGTCGCTGCGCAGTTTAGCGCGTATCATGAGCGCACCAATGGTCTAAGCACTCCACCGCCCCCAATATACGGTGAGAGCGAGACATCGCAGATGACACCCCGCTCGCCAATGGGCGGGCTGACGCCGCGCGCTCGCAACCGCTTCATGCCCCACAAGCAGATCATTTACGACGTGCCGGACATCGATCCCACTGTCGTGCGGCAGATGGAGGCACAAGCAGACGCGTGGTACCGCATCACGCTGCTAGGGCGGTGCTACGAATGGTGGTTCAAAGCTGCCGAGCGCATTTTCCGCATTAATGTGCAGATCGACAGCGTCCGCGCCACCATCGATCTTCGTAAGGCGCTGCAGAAGTGGCAAGCCGCGACACAAGTCCGACTGGAACAGCCCGGCACTGCTGACGCACACTACGCCGCCCACCTACAGGGCCAGGTGGTTGCGCAATGGCTGGCCCGGCTTAAAGAGCGCCGCGTTGAGTCGAGGGGTGCTTATCTGGCACAGTCGAAGGAGCGCAAGTTGTTGCACGTTTCATGGATCTCATGGCGAACACGCCTGGTCACGCGCACCACGAAGCGATGGGAGAAGGACATTCGCGAGCGAGAAAGGACATTTGTCCAGCTTCGTGAATCGCGCCTTGCCGCTCAAATGTTCGATGTGAGTTACATCATTGTCGCTCTTTCTACTCGCTAACTTCAGACATGGCGTGACGCGACGCGGGAACACATTGCGGACCGGCGCGCTGTCCAGATGGCCCTGGCGCGTACTATGCGCAAATGGCACACGCAGACTGTCAAGTTGCGTAGCTTGGATCGCAGGGTGACGGACTGGGAGCGCCAGCACGGCACTGCCACTTTGGCCAACTCTTTCCGGTTGTGGAGGAAGAAGTCCGTTTTAGGTCCTGCAGAGGACCAGATCACCACGCACCGAAACGGTGTCGTCCTGGCACGGGCATGGTCGCAGTGGCAGCAGAAAGCGTGAGAATCATTCTCATCATTACTGACTTTGACAGGACACGTCAACGTCTAGCGCAAGCTTTGGATGAGAGCCGCCTCATCAAACTGACCATGTCTCGGATGAAGAAGTCATGCCGCAAAGCGCGTTTGCGCAACCGCAAGGCTCTAATGTTCGCTGATCGCCGTGATGACGAGTTGATGCGCTCGATGTTGACGTCGTGGGTGCGTGAGGAGCGCAGCAATCTACTCCAGCGCGTCACTGAGAGTCGTCGCGTTCGTTCATCCCTCAATACGTGGAAAGCAAAGCTGCACAAAGTGCACAAGCTTGACGGTGAGCCCGCTTGAGATGAAGCTGACAGTAGAACTTCTGCCCCTGTTCGCAACAACGTCGAACGTCCGTGTCCTCCACACAGCACTGAGCCGATGGCGTGATGTAACCGGCCAAAGGCGCAACGCTGCTCTTAAGGCCGACCTCATGTTTGAGGCACGTACCAAGGCCGCCTCGCTGATTAAATGGACGACTGCGACAGTACAATCTGCGGAGAAGGTTGCGACGGCGGACAAAGCGCACGCATTCTTTATGCTTCGCTCTGTGTTCAAACAGTGGAATGCGAAGCGATCCCAAGCCGTCATAAAGCGCAGAGTCATGGAGATGGACGACCGCCGGCGAAAGAGAACCCTAAAGGGAGCTCTCACAGCTTGGCACAATGCCACTGTGCAGAGCATTGGGGACCGCGCGACGGTTGCCCAATTCCAAGCCAAGCAGGAGAGGACCGTCCTCGAACGCTCCTTGAACCTCTGGACCATGCGCGTAGTAGAGATCAAGGCGCGCGAGCTTGAGATAGCCGACCAGCGGGACATCAACATCCTCAAGAGCACGTTCAAGCGCTGGAGGGCGGCAAGGAAACGCCAGACTGATCTTGAGGCTCTGATGGAGAGTGTCATTGACGTGAAGCGCGAGCGTGAGCAATGACTATGGTCGGTCAAGCTAACTTCAGAAACTCTTCGGCGATCCATGGCGCGCTGGTCCTTCCGCACGCACCGGGCCCAGGACTTGCGCCATCGCGCTGATATTTTACAGGCCGAGCATAACCAAAGACTGCTTCTCGAGGCCTTCGGGGCGTGGTACGACAAGCGCCGTGAGCGCGAGCTTCGGCCAGCCGAAGAGGAGGCGCAGCTTCGGCACGAGGACACATTGATGTTCTCAGTTTTCGATAAGTGGACGGCCAAGTCACGCAATCTGGTCGCGGTGCAGTTCGACCAGCGACGGGTGCGGGCTGCTGTCATCCCTCGTTGGCAGCGGGCGCTGGATAGACATCGCCAGCTCAAGCGTGTCGGAGAGGAGCACGACCGGCGGCTTTTGGTCGATGCGCTGACAGTGTGGAAGTCTGCGTATCGTGCTAAGATGGCCAAAAAGCCGTACCGCGCTCGCCGGCGCCTCCAAGGGTCTTCATACGACGAGTCACAACTCTACGGTCGGCGCTCGGGGCGAGACGAGCCGGGACGGCATGGCTCACGGTCGCCAGGATTACCAGATGTCGAGCGCGTACGTGAGCGGAGCAAGGCCAAAGGGCGCCCATCTTTGCCCAATCTCACACGCGCCCCAGCTCCCCGTCGCTCTATGGCCCGTGAGGCCTCACCTGCCCGAGCCCCGGCCTCCGTCTCTAGCGAGCCGACGTACAGTCGATTGAGGAGTGAACTTCACCCTCGGTCAGAAAGAGAACCTGGGGCAGATGTGGCCAGTGAAGGCCGAAGGCCGAGTGCGTCGTCGCGCATCACCAGTAGCTCGTCGCGTGCCTCATTGGAGAAAGGAGAGAAAGAGAACAGCCCAGGCATGTCGGAGCTGGTGCGTGCACTGCGTGGCCGAGTGTAGCCCGAGGTGTTTTCTGAAGGACCTGCATGCATGGTGCGGAAAGGATGAATGCCGAGGGCCGAGGCCGAGGGCCGAGTATCTTAAGAGCCCAACAATCTCCGGCAAATCTGAGCTCCTCTATCCCGGCCACAAGCTGAGCAAAGGGCGGCGCACTGTCAACGTCTGTAGAGTTCCGCACCACTGCGCACCGCACAGGGTGCTCACAAGATGAGCATGCATAGTGTGATTGCCGTGAATGAATGCGATGATTTAAGACATGAGGCGCGCGGGGGTGGCCGGATGTGTCACTGGCGGCCGTGTCCGTTTCGGGTATGCGCCCAGCCGACATTCCCCACTTGCGCGGCCACCATGGCAGAAGCAGCCGGCACCACCAACGTATATCTCATCTCGCTTCATCTCTTCTCGTCTCCTTGCTACCCCACACTCTCTTTGCTTACTCTTTCTCCCTAACTTTCAACCCCCAACTCTATCTCAACATGGCCTCCATCTTCCAGCCAGGCATCTACAAGGGCAAGGTCCTCTTCATCACCGGCGGTAAGTAATGCTGGTGCGCCCACCGACAGATGTGCCCACATGGCCCGATGCTCGCCCTCCGCCTCCCCACTGCGCCCACGCTTCCCTCTCGAGCACGGAGGGCATATCTGTCACTAGCGGCGCCCCTCCCCGCATGCCGGGCAAGCACTAATTTCAGGCCGCTCCGGAATCGGATACTCGATCGCCGAGGAAATGATGCGCTTCGGTGCGAGCGCGTGCATCCTCGGCCGCGACGCCAAGGGGCTCCAGGAGTCGGCGGCCGCGCTCGAGAAGTCGACTGGCAGCAAGTGTCTTGCGGCGCCTGCTGATGTGCGTTCCAAGGAGGACCTCGCCAAGGCTGTCAAGGCGTGTCTCGACAAGTTTGGCCGTATCGACTTTGTTGTTTGCGGTGAGTGTCGTGGGAGTGACGGAGGCAGGTTGGGATGAGGAGTATGAGTGGCAGCGCGGAAAGCTGGCAGGAAGTGCTGTCGGCGAACTGGCATTGTGTCAGACTACTCCCCTCCCACGTCACGCTACGGCATGTTACTCAACACCTACTAACAACCAGCTGCCGCCGGCAACTTCCTCGCGCCCATCTCTGGCATGTCTGAGAACGCGTTCCGCACCGTCATCGAGATCGACACGATTGGCACCTACAACACGCTGAAGGCGACGCTCCCCGCCGTCCGCGAGACCAAGGGCGCCTACCTCCACATCTCAGCCACCCTCCACTACGCTGGCACGCCGTACCAGGCGCACGTGAGCGCTGCCAAGGCGGCGATCGATGCGCTCTCCAACGTCATCGCCGTCGAGGAGGGCCCGCGCGGCGTGCGCTCCAACGTCTGTGCACCTGGGTAAGTCCAGGCGGGCGCCGTCCGCGACCGCCAACCGCCATCCGCCCACTGCCTCCAGTCCACTGACGCCAGCCCCATCGCCAACACCGAGGGCATGAAGCGCCTGGGCACGAAGGGCCGTGAGATCGAGCGCGGTATTCCTCTCGGCAAGCAGGGTGACACGACCGACATCGCGTACTATGCCCTCTGGCTCTTCTCGCCCGCCGCCGCCTGGGTCACTGGCTCGACCATGGTTATCGACGGCGGTCAGATGCACATCCGCGGCACCAGCCTGCCGTACCCCGAGAGCGTGCTCGACCCCGAGAGCGTCAAGGAGCTGTACAAGGGGAAGCTTTGAGGGGAGCGCAGCGCGAGATGCGGCGGCAGTCGTTACTTTCTGAGAGGTCGACTGGGCTTGGTCTGAAGATATGAATGCAGGATGTTGAACATGCTGGATCGAGGACTGCACTAGATCTTTACATCTTTCGTGACACTACTGCGTGGCACAAGTCAACTGCGCCTCCGGCAAAGACCTAGCCAGGCCACTGTCACGGCTGCCGCGACCATTCACGTGACGGCCACCCGTGCCTGCGTCAACCATCACGGCATCCTCGTCGACTCACCACTTTCCCACGGATGGCGGGCTAAGCGCTGGCACGAGGATATAAAGGCTCGAGCAATGTCTCGTGTTTCTTCACCTGACAATTCCTGTGACGAACATCCAAACATTAGTCTTCTTTCCTCCGAACCAGGATGCGGACACACGAGCAGTTTCTGAGGATCCGTCGGGTCGCCGCGAGCGCTTGATCATCATCTCTATCTCCATCCCAGTACCGTACCCAGCAGCCGTACCATTGCCATGTACCATCCCACTTTGATCACCATCGCCCTCCCTCGACCCATCCAACTTCCTTTGACACCAGAATCCCTGCCCTTCTGATCTCCATCTTCTGGGCCGCCTGGCGTTGAGTCGTATGCAAGATCGACCTCCGCTGCCAACCACTTGATCCGGAGCGCTGGGCGCTTACCGATAACAGAATGGAGACGGGCGGCCCCTCGGGCCACAACCCGTGTCGATTCTGTTAGTTTGTGAGCGCCTGCCAATCCTGTATACGGTGGTAGGTGTTGGAGAGTTCGAGCGTGCAGACGATCCCTCATCATTCCCTCATGTACTTCAAGTAGAGCATTACATGTTAATACATCTAGGATACACTAGCCACGAAGACGCCACCACGAGGTACTTGCTTCGCGGCGGGGTTCTGCGGGATCGATGTTGATGGTGCCATACCCCTGCGCCCCGCGCAGAGGCTTGAAGAAGCCCTTCTTCGCGGGCGCAGGCGCAGGCGTAGAATCCGGGATGCCGAGCTCGTACGCGCTGCCTCCCGGATCGTCGTCGACGACATCGATGAGGATTGCGCGCCCCTTGCCCTTGCCTGTGCCTTCGCCCTTGCCCTTGCCCCGTGTTCCAGGCATGGGCGGGAGGATGCTGCGTCGTCCGCTGGCGACGCTGTCCTCGCGCTCTGGCTCGCCCTGCGATGGGCCAGCGAGAGTGACACCCGCGTCTGTCGCCGTCCGCTTGGGCAGGCCGTGTTCGTCAAACTCGACGGCCTGGGCGTCGGCCGTGTCGAGGGCGGCTGCCTCGGGCTGGTCCGACAAATCACCAAAGTCGGTTCTGAATACGCGCTTCAAGCCCACGGGGATGAGCACGGCGACAATGACTGCCGCCATGCCAATGATGTTGCGCGGCGAAAGGATCTTGAAGTCCTCAGCACTCGTCATCTGGTCCAGACTGCTCCCGATCATGACGTGGATGACAGAGACGGGGCAGATACCAAGGAAACACGTAAGCCAGAACGTGCCCATTCCTATGCCCAGGTGCGGGGCGACAAAGTTGGCGACCCAGTGCGGTGGGAGGGGCAAGATGCGGAGGACAAGGAGAAACGCAAAGACACTGTCTTTGCCAGCCTCGGTGCCTTTTTCCGGGTCGCCCATAATCTTCTTGCGCCACTTCTCCAGCATGCGCCGGTAATAGGGGAGCTCGAGGAGCGGCGGTGCAAGGAATGATGAGAGAGTGTAGCAGAGGATGGAGCCCGACGAGTCGCAGAGGCAGGAGAGGAGGAGACCAGGAAGAATGCCGTACGCCGCGCCAAAGAGGATCGAAATGTACATGGAGCCAGGCAGTGTGAATGCTTGAACACTGGGGTGAGCGGTATGCGACTTGATCAACGTACTAGAGATACGCTACGACGCCGCAGAGCATGATTCGCCATGGGTATAGGTCCTTGTACTTCTTAAGCAGCGCGTTGAGACCCTGCAGATCGGCAAAGGAGCGTGGAAGCTTGAGTGCTGGTCGGTCTTCTGGCTCGACCTTGGGCATGCCGAACCAAAACGTGCCCAGCACAAGGGCGGAGAACACAGCGAAGAGAACGCTAAGCTTGACTCCAGTCATGAACAGCGGGCCCCGATACCATTTGCCCGAGTCCGGCCCATTGCGAGAAAGGAGGGGTACGGACTCTCCCGCGTCCTCGGCCATGACTGGTGCCGGCTCCGAGGTGGAGGGTGAGCGCGACATCGCGTAGTACCGGGGAAGCACGCCGGAAGAGGAGGGCTCGACCTCGCAGGGATGCACGCCGATGGGCATAAGGGAGTGGACGGAGCGGGCGGGGCTGGGGCTGCGCGGCGCCTCGTACATGTCGGTGAGGGTGGAGGCGCCAGAGAAGGTGGTGAATGGGGAGAATGGAGGAGGGATGGAGACGACGGTAGACGAGGGGCGACTGGAGCGCCCCCTTGATGATCGTGGAGATTGTATTGCCATGAGAGACGGAGCGGGGTGATGGAGTTCAAGTTACGAGTAGTGATCGGAGTAGAAGAGATGGATGTCGACGTCGCCCGCGTTGACAGAGCGTGTGCGACCCGCCACCCAAGCCCAACGCCCAGCCAGGCGCACGGACTGTGTACGGCCGAAAGAATTGACTCCGCTATTGGCTAGCAACTAATAACAGACATTATGAGCTCAGGGATGACTATTTTGGCGTTGGGTGGTGACGTCGCTGACCATGTTGCATCTTGCTGCATCCTCTCTCGACCGTTAAGCGATACCCGTCTGTCAACATGACTGCTATTATAGTCAAGAGTTCAACGTCTATCACTACTGACCAAACTGAACATTCGTGAGCGATTCGCAATATCGCGGCCTCCTTACTCCTCTTCCCATCGCCGCAGTAGCCCTCGCCGTTCTCGCATATTGCATCCCGGGGGGGGGGGGAATCGAGCGACATTGGCAGCCCTCACGGGTGCCCACCCACCTAACGCGATATCAGCGCTCACGATGACTCAAAACATGCAGACCAATGCATCTTCGAACACACCCGCGCTTAACACTGGGCCCCTCAAGTTCGCGGGACACGCAAACTGGATCTTCCGCGACGATGTAACGGCCGCTCAGATCGTCATCAGCGAGTGCGTCAACATTCTCTACCCATCGCGTTACTAATGACAGTACGGCATCTCCTAACCCTGTCCGCTTTATTAATGCCTTTCCAGAAGGCAACACTGGCGTTCTGGCATTCTTTCACCCGCTTTCGGACGTTTTGGGCGTCACTCTTCACAATGCATCTAGCATATTACACGACGACGGGCAGCGCGGGTTAGCAGGAACGCTGAACTTCGATGGGGACGCACGATTGGGACAGACCATCCGTGAGGTCACCGCCGCTTTCTCACCTGATCACAGTCGGTTCGGTGCGCACGATCCGCGAGGTCGTCGAGGACGGCAAAAGCACCAATCTTGTGACCCGCCTGGGCGGATACTCCCCCGACAGCGTGTGGCTCACCCGCACATGGTTGGATGGGACAGTGCAGTATCTCGGCCTGTTTGCAGGTAACAACACCGATCTGGCTGTCCAGCCATCCGACGAGCCCACCGGATTCCCGAGCGTCAACATCTCGCGCATCGATCCCGGCAGGAACGCTACGGTCAAGTTTGAGAGCACGTTCAATATGTCCTCCTCCCTCCGCGGGCTCGGGATGGATGACCTTTTCTCCTCTGACGGCGACCCAGATATCATTTCCGCCATCCGCGCCGCGCCACAGATCGTGGATCAGCTCGCATTCCTTGCGTACGAGTCGCAGTTTCTGGCCGGCGGCTGGCGCTTCTTGACTTGTGAGTGATCCGTCGGCCGGGCTATGCTGATCCAGACTTCGGTCGCGACACACTACTCGCGATGCAGGTTCTCCTCCCTGTACTCTCGCCACAGGCGTGCGAGGGCATCTTGGCGGGCGTGATACAGCGTACGGGCCCCGACGGCGAGCTGTGTCACGAGGAGACGGTGAGCCTTGTCGCTGTGCAGCAGCTCATGCTAGATTGGAGACTACGCGAGCATCCTCAACACACGGGAAGGACGGCCAGAGCGAGGCTCCGCACCAGTGTACGACTACAAGATGGTCGACACAGACTTTCTCCTCCTTCCAGCCCTTGCGGCGTATGCCGAGCGATACCCTGTCCGAGCCAAGGACCTCATGGCCCGCAACTCTACACTCGTCCCGGGCACATTTGGAGAGCTGGTCGCGCGCAACGCTGACCGTGTGCTGCGTCTTGCGCGTCCCTTCGCCGAGTCAGCAGTAAAGGAACACTTGATCGACCTCAAGGCGTGGCCGTTCGGTAATTGGCGCGACTCGGCGGCTGGCAACGGGTGGGGTCATTACTCTTTTGACGTGAACTGTTGGTGTGCATGTGCCCCAGAAAGCTAACGAAAGGTGCCATGGTGCCCGCGGCGCTGCGTGCAATATCTGATTTGGCGGGCACCCTCCTCCCTGCTGCAGGATATGATGCACGAGCCTGGGCCGACATCTGGGAGACCGAAGCATGCAAGCTCTTCGCCCTCCCCATCTCGTCTGCTGATGCCGAGTCACGTGTGCACACCTATGTCCGGGCCGCTAATCTCACTACGGGCCTCCTCTCCGGTGCAGGCAGCCTCAACGGCTCGACTTCGAGCGGATGGAATGACCCGCCGCACGTCGTGGGTGCCGGCTCGCCTCTCTACGCTCTCGCGCTCTCCGACTCTGCCCCGCCCGTGATGGTGCAGCACTCAGATCTGGCATTTGCTCTCCTCTACTCCCCCTCCGTACCCGAGGGCATCATTCGAGCGACGATCGAAGCACTCCAGCCTTACCCGCGCGGCCTCCTCACGAACGTGGGCATGGTCGTCGCCAACGCCGCGTACGACCCCAACGCGGCCCCCACCACCTTCGCCAACACGGCATATCACGGCGCCGTGGTGTGGAGCTGGCAACAAGCTTGGATGGCGGCGGGGATTGAGCGGCAGCTCCGTATCTGCGAGACGACCAAACCCCCCTGGTGTGCCCTCGCGCCCGCGCTGCGGCAGGCGCAGATGCGGCTGTGGGACGCCATCGCAGGCGCCGAGTCCGTGCTCTGGACCGAGGTGTGGTCGCCTGTCCTCCAAGGAGATCGCTTCGCGATCGGCGACCTCGGGGCCATATCGACGGACGGGAGCGAAGGCGACGCGGTGCAGCTCTGGAGTTATACGTTCCTCGCGCTGCGGGATGCGCGGACGGGGCGTCCGGTTGCGGCGGGGTTCGAGGGGGTCTGAAGCGGAGAGCATGGGCCGACGAACCTATCAAGGCTCGATATGCTTCCATCACCGCTCCTGCTCAAATCTAGGCTGACCGCTTCCCCACGATCTCATTCAACTCCTAGCTGACCCCGCAACAGGCTTCGCGAAGGCTTCTATCATCCCGATGTGATGGTGACAGTAGTCGATTATGAACAGAAGGGTGTGAAACAGGTGGAAAGAAGCTAATTTATCAGTAGACGCTATGTGTGAGGTGCTTGCATGTCAGCTAGTTTCAAGGATGTGGCAATTACCACGAAGATGTTGCCAGCCAGATGCCAGCGGTTATGCACAGCGGCATCTACCCCGCCCAGCGTCGAGTTTCAAGGGCATCCTCGCCTGGAGCACTACGGCAATCACACGGTTCTGTCAGTCATCTTGGTGCACGACCTTACATTGATTCTTCCCTGCACTCCGCTAGCAGACTAACAAGCATCGGAGACGGCTCACGCACTGGCGGCATGCATACACTACGCCCTATATCCTCGCCTAGAACTTGAACTTCTCGGCCTTCTCCTTGCCGCGCTTCTCTTCCTTGCGCGCACGCTTCTTGGTCTCGCTAGACACAATGTCGTCAAACTCTGACCTGTCGATATGCGAGCCCGGCACATGCACACGCGAAGTTTCGGCGCGCGCGGCATCATACTTGGCCTTGAGCTGGGTGGGGGTTAGATCCTCGTCGCCGTCGATCGACACATCCACGTCCCCGCTCTTGCGCTTCGTCCCGCGGTCTTCGCCCAAGACCGGCGCCGCCGCCGCGAGGTCGTACGCCGTGCTCGAGCCCATGAAGCCACGCACTGCGGCCTCGCGTTCGGGAATGACTGTGTACAGCTCGCGTGGGCCCGAGCTCGACGCTGTCGCCGACGCTTCTCCAGAGGGCTTGGGGGGCTCGCGCCGCTTGCGCAAGTCAACGAAATCAGGCGTCTCAAGACCGCCGGGGACGGTCGACGTTACAGAGTTGTAACCGCTCGGCGTCGCAAGGCCGGAGGGCGTCTCGAGTCCGCCGGCAGGCTCGCCATCTTCGTCGTCCTCCGCCTCGCTCTCCTCTTCCTCCTCTTCTTCCTCCTCCTCCTCGTCACTCTCTTCGGCCTCGACGTGCTCAATCTCACCCCACCGCTCGCGGTTCACCGCATTCTGCTGCTCAATCTCGGCGCCTTGCACGACGCCGAAGACGTCGCCGTACAATGGGCGGTTGTACTCGTCCATCGGCGGTTTGCCCCATCCTCCGGGGTGGAAGCCCCACTGCGCACCGGCGGGAATCGGCGCATTGAGACCACGGATGCGCAAGTTTGGGTAGGAGGGCGGGGGACCAAAACGCTGCATGGCAATTAGCCAGGGTGGAGGCGCGTTTGGCGGGATGCTCAGCGCTTCGATCAACTCGTCGCTCAGGTCGCCAGGCTTCTTAGTTCGCAGGTCGGACGTCATCTCCTTGCCCTCGTAGTACGCCTCGCCGAACTTGGACATGGCCGGCTTGCCCTGGTACTTGAAGAAGGCGTCGTGCAGTTTCTGATAGTCTATGTCGATCTTGCCCATCTTGGGCTGGACGCGCTCGCGCGTCTTTTGCGACAGGCTCTGCGCGCTTTCCTTGGCTTTGACGGCGTCGCGCTGCTCACCAATACCCGTATCGGCAATCCACGGCGGGAGGGTGAAGGGTACCTTCTCCATCCCGCGCCGTCCGGCCAGGTAGTCGCGCTTGGCGTTCCAGTGGCTCGGGACTGGCACGCTGTTGCGGTAGCTTTTGAGCGTGACGAGGAGACGTGGGTCACGTGCGTCGCGGTCGAACCACTCCACGACCTCCGGTCGGTCGACGAGCTGCTTGAGCTCAGCGACCGAGAGCTTGGATGCATTTCGCCGCTCTCGCCGCGTCATACCCGCGTCCTTCATTGCGCGGTCCTTGGCGCGCGCGACGGCCTCCTCATCATCCTCCTCTTCATCCGACCAATACACCTCGCCTTTTTGTGGCCCTGCATCCACGGGCATCCCGTCCTCGCCCTCGGTGAAGTGTTTGAACACGGTTGCGAACTGAGAATAGTTTGGGTCCGCCTCAGGCGTCGCATCGAGGAATGCTTCCACGGTGAATGTTGACGAGGGAGTCACTGGTGTGGACGAGGACTGAGCGATCAGCGTGTATTCTTCACAAAGGCCCACCTCAGCATCGCTGGCTGATGGCGTCTCGCTGGGCGTCTCGGACGCGGCGCGCTTCTGTTTGGCCTTGAGACGCTTGAGAGCGCCGCGCGACTTTGCAGCCGAGCTCTTGACACCGCCTGTGCGCCCGTGGCCGTTTGGTGCTACCCCGTTTGCAACTGTTGGGGCAGGCATTGTTTTGGGATTGATGTGGATTGAAGGGAGAGAGGGAGAGAATGGTGACTTGAACGCAGTCACCATGTCCGGGTCGAGATTGAGTGGCAATCTCTGGAGTGGAGGGATTTGATTGGTAGGAATTCACGTGAAATTATGTAACACCATGCAGATTTACTCCCGTTGACTTGTTTGCCACCCAATGTCTCATTCAACTGCCTGCATCTCCCAGGCCATCAATGGAGAGCGAGCACAACACCCTCTTCTTTCGCTCTCTACTCAACTCGACTCCTCTCGCCTCTTTTTTCCTCTCCTTGCTCGCCAACAGTCCCTCCATATCCACCTTTGCGGCTCATCAACGCGCCCGCCTGCAGGAGCGAAGTAATACACGCATCCGTCGGTCCGCGCGCTCCGACCTCCACTTTACTTTACAACTGATCCGCGCCATTCCAAATGGACAACTCTCCGTCGGGCAGTGGCGGCGTGCGCGGTGCGTCGAGGCACCTGCGTAGTGCTCTTCGCGGTATTACTGGGGGACGGCCAGAGGGCATGGAGGTAGATGTGGATGGAGCGCGCGCGCGTGGTGGCCACAGACGCAACGCAGCTCGATCGGGGGGACCTCTTGACCAAGTAAGTCGATGAACCTCTCCACTGGATGGACGGCTATGTTTGTGGTCCTGGCACGGACTGCAGGACAAGTGCCGTGCGGAGTGTTGGGTGGGCGATGACAGGACAATGTCAACATTGACGTTGAGAGGAATGAGTACAAGACCAGAATGGCTGTGTGAGAGATGAGGAGGGGGAGGATGACGATGGACGATGACTGGGGCGGCGTAGGGGGAAGGAACGATTGCTTCCACACCAACTGGAGTTCGATGCGCTCCTCCGTCGCTCTTCATCTTGCTATTCCTTACTCCTCCTCACTCCGCATCGACAGCCTCACATCGCCATCTTGTACTCCTCGAGGTCCTCTCTTCCCGCGTCTACAACACACCCGTGACAGCTCACGTCCTGTTCCGACTTGGAACATCGCTCGTCACGTTGCTGTCCAACTGCGCTTCCTTCTGTGTGAACCACTGCTGACCGCGCAATCATCTCTGTAAACCCGCCTACGGCATGGATCCCTATTACGGCTTCTCCGCCTCCACCCCTTCCCCTTCTCCCTCAACCCCGTCCTCCACGCGCACGCCATCGTCAACCCCACGGCCATCGTTTGTACACCCCTCTCGACTCGCCCTTATTCAGGCTGGACGCCGCTCCAAGGAAACTCCTTACACCAAGCCAACCTCGACGAAGTCGTTGTCAAGCCGCATAACCGGCATCAACCCCAATGCCTCTTCTAGCTCGGCCAACAAAGGCAAGCCGAAAGGCAAACGCGACACACGCGATGACATGCTGCGCGACAACCGCAGGTCGGATCGCCTCATGCAGGAGCAGCATACGAAACTTGGTGACCTTCTCAAAGGGGATGAGCTCAAAGCCTGGCTTCAGTCGAAGCTCATAGCTCCTGGCGTCGTGGACATGTCCGTAAGTTTCACCACCGCTCTCCTTCCAGAATCAGTTGACAGTCAGAACCTCCCAGGAGATCCCTGGCTTATCGAGAAGGGGCTCTTGCCTCCGGGCCACAAGGATGCGCCTCTTAACGCCGGCGCAGTTTTCTGGAAGCTCATCGCAAACAACCTCGAAACGGTACGCTTTACTCTAGACGAACAGCTAACTAACCTCTAGCCTCACCAGAGGATTCACACCCTGGCACTCGCCAACAATAACCTCAGCAACCTTGCCCAACTCTCCAAGTTGCCTGGTATCCTTCCTTACATCCGTGCTCTGGATCTCAGCGGCAATCCCATTCACAAGGCCGATGAGCTCAAACATCTGCAGTCCGTCGGAGAGGCGAAGGGCAAGGCGAGCTTTGGAGCCGGTAGCCTGAAGAACTTGGTCGAGCTCAAGCTCGTCGATGTTAGATTCCGCACCGAGCTCATCGCCCAGCCAGGCGGTATGGAGAAGTATCAACAGTGAGCTGTTCCTCCAGTTCCATCCGCTGACAGCCAGTGATGTTCTTCGTCGCTTCCCGGGCCTCCTCGTTCTTGACGGCGTACCGCTCAACCGCATCGTCTTCCCGCTCGAGCGCAAGCCTATAGTCTGGCGAACAGCCGAGGACCGCAAGCCTTTCGCAGCTCGTCCATTCACGTTCCCCTTCGACGTGAAGCCTAGCTTTGAAGAGAACGAGGCCGTGCACGCAGTCGTGATGGCTTTCTGCCAGAAGTAAGTCACACACGCCCTTCCTCCCTTCCTCCTGCAGTGCGGGCTAATCGCAGATTTTACACTCTGTTCGACGCCAACCGTGCTGAGTTGTTCTACGGGTACCGCGAGGACGCTACGATTTCCATTTCACCCAACACCCTTCCCTCGCGCTCGTGGCAGGCGGCCGAGGTCACGGCCACGCGCAACATGCGTCCGGCTCCCGTTTCGTTCGAGCCATGGACATCGCTGCCGGGCCGCAATTTCTTCCGTTCATGCACCACAATTGAACAGAGGACGGCCACTCTCAAGTCGCCCATGGATAAGGACGAGCTCCTCCGCTGGTGGAACACGCGTGTTCCCCGCACTGAGCATCCTCTTACCGACGCGTCCAAGTGGTGCATCGACGCCTGGTACTTTGACGACAACCAGGATCGCATTTCTGCTATTATCCAGGGCGAGTTCAAAGAGCGTGAGTAGCTGAGTCGACTGACGCCGTTTCCAGACTGACGTTTAGTCCCATCGTCGACCTGGCGCTCCTTTACGCGTACCTTTATTCTGGGCGCGCCTTCCCCTGACTCACCGTAAGTGTCGTATCGTCTGTGGAACACCAGCTGACATCAGTGCTGCCGCCCACAACTGGCCGTGTGTGATTCTGTCGGATATGATGGTCGTGCACTCGTATCTCGGCACCCGGTCGTGGGACGAAAAGTCGAGTCTGGCTAGTGGCGATGTCGCTATTGTGCCTCCTTCAGTCCCTTCTGCTTCCGGAGCTTTCCCTCCCATGGTGGCTGGCGACGAGGCGCAGCGGGCGCCCCTCATTGAAGCAGTGCGTCAGCGCACTGGGATGAACTTGAGCTACTCAAGGCTCTGTCTCGAGGAGAACGGTTGGGACGTCGATCGCGCTGTAGCCAACTTCGAGGAGATCCGTGGTAACATTCCGCCTGATGCCTTCAACTAGACACCTCGAGCGATTAGCGGTCGCCTCAGTACAAGCATCCCATATCACCGTATCGACCTTACAGACATTGCCTAGCTCGGCTCGTAAGCGCTACCTCGTCCACGGCCAGCAGCTTGGACGATGGTCTCGCACCGCCGCCTTTTGGCATTGCACTCATAGCACACACCAACATTAGCTCGATCCGAATGCATAGCTGTATTACCCCGTAGCTGTATCAGCCCGTCAGACAGTCAAGAAATCGGGACTCGTCGGCTGATAGTTGTTGTGGAAGATGAGCGCGAGGTTCCCACTGTATCGTTTGTGTCTGGTGGTGCTGACCATTGAGGGACCCATCCACTCTCCGCTCTGACACACTACCCAGTGTCAGACCTTTCTCGCACGATTGGCCATACAACATGACATGCCCCGATATCCTACAGCTCCTCGACAGCGTCACGTGGACGATACAGTCCACCGCGCGCCTCAATCGCCTCAATCACATCCTGTGGTGGGCGGCCAGTAACACGAACGGCGTACAATCCGCGGCGCTTCTTGTCTGATGTCAACAGGATGTCGGTGGTACGATGTAGGGAAGATCCGCCAGGCCTGCCGGAGCTGGCACTGCGCTGCAGATGCGAACACTGCGGTGCGCTGACACTTACTAATACGCTGCCAGCGCGCGACCCAGCTCTCTTCAGGCTCCATCATGGCGATCATTCCGTCATAGATTGTCGAGGTGCACTCGACGACACGCTCCATCGAGCCGCGCATCTGTTGTCAGCTCAATACTCCCCATGAAACCGAGACATGGATTAGAAGGATTAAGAGTGATCAAGCCGCTCACCTCGCACACGTCTTCGCAGTTGGGGCAGCCCATATCGACAAAGTCCTTGGGTGTCTGGAGGAGGGAGCAGATGAGGCATGCGCGCAGGTTGGCCTGGCGGGTGCCTTTAGGTGGCATGGTGGATAGAGCTGGGGGGGGGGAGTAGAGACGAGAGGACGAAGTGCAACAGGGAGGGACGGCGAGCGATTGAACGAGTGAGGTGAGCGAGACGAAGGTGAAGAGTGCGAAGTTCGAAGTTATTGGGTTCGAATTAGTTGCTGCTTGGTGGCAAACGCGCGCCTAGTCAAGAGATTGGGTAGGCACGTGGAGCCGAATTGTTGTAACGACGATAGGCCCCTCAAAAGTTGCCACCCAACTCGACTTATCGAGAACAACAGATTGACTGGGCTGTCATCATCTCCAAAATGGCGGACATATCGACGAACCAGGACTCGCTGACACTCGAGGAGACCAACAAGGTCCGAATCAGTCTTGGCCTCAAGCCTATTGGCGCCGCCGACGATGCAGGCTCGGACGGCGAGCCAGTCGAGGACCGCGATGCAATCGCCGAGGAGAACTTTGCGCAGCGGCGCGCCGACATGAAGCGCGAGCGCGCTGAGCGCGAGATGAAGGAGAAGATTGAGCGGTATGTCCTCCATTGCTTGGCCGATCTAACGCCAGTGCAAAGAACCAGCGAGCATTGCATGCCAAGCTCGCTGGCTCGACACTCGGCGATGCTGGGCGCGACGATACGCTCGACGCCAAGAGCTGGGCCCGCAAGCTCGGCAAGCGGAATAAGCGGCACGAGGCGGAGCTTGCAGCGCGGCGACAGCGCGAGATGGACGAGGCGGACCGGGTCGCGTATGGCGAGGAAGACCTGATGGGTCTCAAGGTAGCGCACGACACGGACGCGTTTGCCGAAGGCGAGACGATCCTCACGCTGAAAGACTCGAGGGTTCTGGAAGGGGGCGAGGACGAGCTACAGAACGTCAACCTTGCCGATGAGGAGCGGCACGAGGCCGCGCGTGAGCGCAAGCGCAAGGCTGGGCAGGGGTATACGGGCTACGACGACGAGGAGTTCGAGGAGGGGCGGATCGGAAAGAAGGCCGGCGTGCTGAGCAAATACGACGGCGAGTTTGCGGGTGCCGAGGTGGCGACTGAGGGGTTCCGCCTGGGTGCGCCTGTCAAGCGCGAGGAGACGCCCGAGATGGAGGTGGACATGGGCCGCGAGGCACAGGTCAAGGTCAAGCTCAACCTCGACTTTGCGCGGGATTGGGAAGTGTCTGACTATGCGAAAGAGGGCGATCCGGGGTTTAAGAAACCCAAGGTGAGCAAGCGGTGGGTCGGAGCTAAGGAACAGAAGAAGAGGGCTAAGAAGTCGACACGCAGAGCCGAGGTCGAGGAGGACGATGGAATGGACGTCGAGCCGACGTTTACAAAGCGTGTGGTGGGTGACACGCCCGACAATCTCGTCGACGACGACGATCTGCAAGCCGCTCTTGCCCGAAGCCGACGACAAATCACCAAAAAGAAGCCACGAGCCAAGCCAGAGGATCTGGCTGCACAGAGTACGTGGGGACCCTGGCTCCGTTTCTAACATCACAGTCAAGCAAGAGCGCGAGGTCGACCCTGCACCTCAGGAGGATGATGGCGATGACGACGGGCGCATCACCTTTGACGAGACAAGCGAGTTTGTCCGTAATGTTACGGCTGAGAGCCGCGCTGCGCCAGTTAAGAAGGAGAGGTCACGCTCCGCGAGCGCGACACCAGCACGCACCCTCGCGCCTCCCGCAGCCAATGGCGGAACCGTTGTTGTCAAGGTCGAGCGAGTGGATGAGGACATTGAGATGAGCGACGACGAGGACGAGGATGAGATGCTCGCGGAAATGGCCGCGCGTGAGGGCATGTCTCTGGCCGAGTACCGGCTCAAGATCGACAGCCAGATGGCTGAGCTAGGTGACATGGCGAAGGCGCAAGAAGAGCCCGAAGCCGTTGTGGGCAACGGTCTCGCAGGCGTGCTCAATCTCTTGCGCAACCAGGGCTCGTTGGAGAAGCGCTCTGAGGCCGATGCTGAGCGCGAGCGTTTGCAGAAGCAGCACGACCTGTGGCTCGCCGACCACCGGCGACGGCAGGCGCAGCGCGAGCTGGAGCGCATCGCGGCGCGCGGCGGCAACAAGGACCAGGCACAGCGCGAGTACGAGAACCGGCAGCGCGAGGCGGCGGAGGCGCGCGACGCACTCGAGGCGTTCAAGCACTACAAGCCCGATGTGTCGATCAAGTATCACGACGAGTTGGGGCGCGAGATGAGCGTCAAGGAGGCGTGGAAGAGTCTGTCACACAAGTTCCACGGCAAGACGAGCGGACGCATGAAGACAGAAAAGCGGCTACGCAAGATTGCCGAGGAGCAGGCGGCGCAGCGCATGGCGGCCGGCGACACACCGCTCGGCATGAGCAACGCGTTCGCGCGCCGCCAGGCGAAGACGGGCGAAGCACACATGGTGCTTTCGGTAGGGAACAAGGGCAGTGCGGCTGGGCTTGCGAAGAAGCGTTGAGCCGTGTTGATGGACCTGCGATGTATTTTGTGTGAGAACACAAGGTCGAAACACTCTTGTTTGCTGACAATGACTGAAAATCCTTTTGCTCACGATCACAGCTCGCCATCAAGCAACGCCGCCGTCGTCCAAACACACAATCGGCAAGTGATGGCCAGCTCCATTGTACGCGGCTGCCATAGCTGGCCATCCAGGCTCTTTGGTACTCGCACAGAAAGACCACTTGGCTCTTGTCTGTAAGGTATAAATAATGTCAAGCTCCTTTTCCAACTGGCACTCGCAGATCCTTCCTCACCTCAACACCGCACTTTAACCACCATGCTCTTCAGCCTTATCCTCGCCAGCCTCCCCACTGGTGTCTCCGTGAGCTTCCTTCTTCCAGCCGCTCACTCCAGGCCACCACTATGCAGTGGACGAACGCCACCCTCGGACACAAGTGGACGGCCGCGCAGCTCGCCAACTCCTCCTTCCCAAAGCAGGAGCTGCTAGCGCGCGTGCACTGGCACCCGGCTCCTGAAGCCTCGGGCGTGGCAACACTTTCCATCTCCACTATGTCTGCCACCATCTCAACCGTCAAGCGTTCGTCCTTCACTACTGTACCTGCGTCCAAGCCCACTACGCGGTCGGCACAGTCCTCCGCCGTCTTGAAACACTCCAGCTCCGCCTCGGCATCCTCCAACTCTTCTGTAAAGCCCTCCACCTCGGCGCATCCTGCTTCCGCCTCGAACGCCACACCCCTCCTCTGCGTAGGCGCGCGCAACGCCACGGCGGTCCTCGTGCCGTGCCACGACGCGGCGTCCGCCCTGGTCTTCGGGACGCACAACCACATTGGTGCGGGGCGGGGCTGCCTCGCCGCCCTTTCGACCGCGCCAAGCAACGGCACACGCGTCGTGGTGGAGGAGTGCGATCCCGCCTCAGACGCCCAAATCTGGAAGTGGCACTCCGGAAGCGCGTGGACGTTCAGCCACGCCGGCCTGTGCCTCGACGTCACGGACGGCGTGTACGCCGTCGGCACGCCGCTGCAGCTGTGGAGCTGCGAGGGCGCCAGCCATGCCAACCAGGCGTTCGCGTGGCATAAGCTTCTCCGCCTCGACTACGGCGCCGACCCGGTCGACATCGACGCCATCACACTCTCGTGGTAGTCCTAATAATATACATACTGTCTCATGCAAATGCAATTTCCGAAACGGGCCGTAGCGTCACATGTACATCCCGCCTTCTGGGCGCGAGCTCTCGCGCATCCGCGCCCCCATTCCGGGACCGGCGAAGCGTTCGTCGTCGTCCTCGTCCCAGTGAGCTTGCCGTCCCAGCGCCTTGGAGAGAGAGGGGGGGAGCGCGTCCAGAGCCGGCTTGAGGGCCGAGTTTGGGAGCTGCGACAGCGGGAGCGGAAGGAGGTACAGGGTCGCGCTGGAGATGGCGCCGGCAGGGTGTGCGGCCTGATGTCAATGACGCAGAAGGCAGCTGCCAGCGGTGATGATCACTGCGGGAGCACTCACCTGAGATAAGAAGGCGCCCGCAAGCCCCGTCACGTAGTTGGGTGCATCGTAGCCTACTCCCGTGACGTCCATGGAGGAGAGTACGCGCACTGGTGGGTCGGCGGGCACTTCTTCACCCGGCTGCGGGATGTACATGCTCGGCACATAGGAGGAGAACAGGGTCCTGGCGTCAGAGCGTTATCGCTACGCCCAAATATTACCAGGACGACGCCTTCAGAGTCGTAGCAACCTCCGTGACGATGTTCGCCGCCGCCTCCGCTGGTCCATCTTGTAGCGCGACGACCACGCCGCCGTCCACCGCGATGCCCATGCCGGCCGGCCGATTCCCCACTTCCACCCGAAAGATGGGACGCCCCGAAACGAGGCGAAGAAGGAACTTGCCTGCCTGCCCAATCCCGATGACGGCCGCGCCGGTCGCGGACAGAGGATTGGGATTCGCGGGGTCGATGGGGAGGAGGACGATTTGGACCGCCGCAGAAGGCGAGGGGCGCGAGGGGCGCGTGGAGGACGGGTAGGCACCCTCTCCCTCCTCATCGGACGAGTCGGACTCGATACGGTAGCGCGACGGAGGAGCTGTGAGGGGCGAGGTCGGATCGTACATGTTGTTATTGAGGAACAACGGGTCCGCTCATTCGATGACGAAGTAGAACACGAGATCTCAATGGAATTTTGATTCCGTGATGGAAGGCCAAGTGGCATCTTCATGCGTTCCGACCGCCACTCTTCTAACACGGTTCAGACGCTTTGCACCAAACGTTTCTATTTCCATTGTTCTCACCGCTCAGGACACGCATCTGCTGCGTTTGAGGATCATATCATGGCCCACAAGCTCTCTTCCTTCTGGTAGCATCCATGTTGTGGGCGGATACACATGCAGCGCAAAAGGCAGCCCTGCAAAGGGGGGAACATGTGTGGTGAACGTTGGGCTGAGCTGCTGCAATGTCCTTCACATGCATGGGTTGAGTCCCTCCCGTAATGTCCTGCAGGTGAGCGGCAGATTTATATCCCCATCGTGAGCTATCGGACTCTGGTGGATTCTGATAGCTTTCAGACTGGGCAGACTGCCTCGACGACTGGGCCTTGACTATTGATGTGGCGGCCGATGCACCACAGCGCACATCGTCTGCAATCACTCCCTCAAGGAGAGCGGAAAGTACAGGGACGGAGCACTCGACTCGACCGTGCTGCCACGTCTTGCGGCAATACTGCAGTCAGCGCTGGTTTGGGGTGGAGGAGTTCAAGGAGAGCGGCATGTGCAGGAGCGAAAGGGGAGAAGAGTGATCCATTTGCTCGGGCGAGCTCGAAGGGTGTGCCACCTCCTGTTAGTAGGCCTTAACTGTGATCAATGCTAACGGTACATGAACTATGTACAGCACGTCGCCTAACTCCGCTCCGCCCTCATCACTCCTCTTCCTCCTCCTCGTCACTCGTGAAGCACACCGTGACTTTGCGTTTTTCAAACTGCTGTCTGTGGCTTGGTGGCAGGAGGCGCCTTCCCCCGTGTCACCCCTTAGTTCTTCGTCTTCTCCGCTTGCGCACCTCTTAGCTGTCCGCTGTTCACCTGTCAGGCCCTGCGCCGTTCGGAAAGGCGGAGGCTGGGGACTGGTTGAGCACAAAGGTGTCCATACACTAGATGCTGCTCCACCACCCTGATGACTCGAAGTTGACAACTGTGATATGTGTGCAATAAGACTATGATACTATGGCGGGGTGAGAATACAACGAGTATCAAGAGTTGGGGGGAAAGATCCTAGACGTCGCCGCATATGTGACGATAGGAGGTGAGCAGTGCCGATGTGGGTACCGATCGGTACCGACGCCGTTATGAATTGCAGAGCGCCTTGCGATCGGGATGCGTGGTTATCGTGTGGTGGCTGCCATGTGGTCGGCACGTGTAGTCATTGCTCGGTAGTCGTTGTCATTCGGATCGTCACAACGATGGGGTTGTCAGCTGCTTGGCCTTCCCTGCCGCCAACAAGCCTGAGGCCGACATCCGCTTGTTGGCGGCAGGGAGGTTGTCGGCGGCCTCAGGCTCGTCCGCGGCAGCGATTTCGTCGGCAGCCTCGGCGACGTTGGCGTTGGAGAGGTTTTGTGACGGAACGGGTGGAGAAGGCGAAGAGGACATGTACGGTCTGTCGCAATGCAAATGACACGATTGGATACAGTACTTCCCAGGAACTGTCCGCTGACATATGAGGGCAGTTGCGCAATAACAAGGCACCTGTTGGTCGTACAGGCTTCACGACTGCAACGGGGGAGTTCCACACCGTTGCTGTCGGGGGGGAAATCTGGAGTCTGACATGTGTACTCGTGACGCTCGAGGAGGACTTCACTTGATCTGCGGACCTCACTTGATCACTTACATGTAATGGCGATCGTGACATCGTCCCTCTGCAACCCCTCAAGCAGGGCATCGTGAGCGGGTTTGTCGCGATCACTCGCGACGCCGAGCTCACGGGTCTGATAGCGTCAGTGTAGAACAGGATAGAACAGACACCAGGGGAAGGTCACTTACCCAGAGTGGTGGTCGCCCTCGACCGGTACATGATTTGGTCCTGATGCTGACCGGGCATCGGGAACACGCGTGTTGTGGGCGGCATGCTGATGGATGTGGAGCGAGAACAGGATGGGTAGGAAGGGGATGCCAGGCCCTGCGCCATATGGAAAGGCAGAGGCTGGGGAGTGGTTGAGCACAAAGGTGTCCATACACCAGATGCCACTCCACCACCCTGATGACTTGAAGTCGATAACTGTGATAAACATGCAATAGGACTATGATACTATGATAGGGTATATGATGCATATCAAGAGTTAGGGAAAAAAATATTAAACATTACTGAATATGTGATGATGCGATGTGAGTGGTACCGACATAGGTACTGATTGGTACTGACACTGTTATGAGTTGTGGAGTGTCCTGTGATCATGATGCATGGTTATCGTGTGGTGGATACCATGTGGTCGACACGTGTAGTCAGTGCTCGGTGGTCATTGTCGTTCAGATTGTTACAGTGGTCTACACATGTAGTCGGTACTCAGTAGTCGTTGTCAGTCGGATCGTCACAGGGGACAAGTGAGAGACAATAAGTAAATGAAGGATATATAGAGACTGCATGTGAGGAGTGAGCGCAACCTTCCTTCCCTCGTATTGGTGATGCGATGGTGGTAGAGTCCACCCAAATGCACCCTCTCGAGTCTCTCATAGTACTGCTACGTGCGTACACTGTACCGCCGTCCTTCAAGCGCCTTCCGCCTGGCCGTCTCAACCTCTCCCGCTCTGCCGAGCCCTCGTTCACTGCAGCGACGCCCGAATGAATCCTTCCAAGCCGCCATTCACCCAGAGCTCCTGCACCGACCGCCCAACACGCGCAGACGGGTAATGCTTCTCCCCCTCAGCCCCCATCGACAGAGTCACCCCGCCGTTGCGCGTGTCGATCTTGACGCGCCAGTCCTGGGGAATGACGGTCAGCTGCCCGTCCTTGCCACCCGCGCCGCGCGCGCCATCCTTGGCGAACCACGTCGTCAGGTCCTCGATGAGCTCGGGCGCCTCCACCAGAATCAGGCCGTTGTTGATCGAGTTGCGCTTGAAAATGTCACCAAAGCTCCCGCAGATGACGAGAGGGATGCCGGCGTGCTTGATGGCCGTCGCGGCCTGCTCACGCGATGAGCCCGTCCCAAAGTTGTACCCAGAGAAGAGAATTGGAGTGGCGTTGGCGCTCGCCTTGGCGCGCAACTCCTTGATCGTCGAGGCGAACACGGGGTCGTAGTTCTCCATCACGACTTCGGCCTGACGCTCAGGCGTAATGTCGTCTTGGTAGGTGTACTTGCCGGGGTACATGCCGTCGGTCGTCAGGTTGTCCTGCGGCGCGAAGACTAGTGGCCCCTCGAAATACTCGGGGAAGCCTGGGAGAAGAGGTTCAGCGTCGCCAGACGCGGCGGGTGGCGCCGCCTGTGAGGCCTCAATGCTGAACTTGGGCACCTCGTACTGCGGAAGCGACGCGAGGTCCATCGAGTCGGGACCACAGATCTCGCCCTTGGCTGCGGAGGCGGCGACGACAGCGGGCGAGGCAAGGTACGCCACAGCTTCTGGCGAACCCATCCGTCCCTTGTAGTTACGGTTGGTTGCAGAGATGCCAACCTCACCCTTCTCCAAGAGACCGACACCAAGGCCGATACACGGTCCACATCCTGCCGGAAGCGTCTTGGCACCGGCATCGATCAGTGCCTGCCAATCGCCGGCGGCTTCGGCGTCCTCCTGCACACGGCTCGACGCAGCGGCAATGTAGAACTCTACCCCTGGCGCAATCTTCTTGCCGCGCAGCACGTCGGCAGCCGCCTTGATGTCGCTCGCACGCGAGTTGGTGCACGACACAAGGTACGCCTTGTTAATCTTAATCGCCTTCTCCATGAGCTTGGGGAGTGCCGTTGCGACCTTGACCGAGTTGGGGCCCGAGACGTGCGGCACAAGCGTCGACAGGTCGAGACGAAGGCGGGATGCGTAGTGGGCTCCTGGGTCTGCGGCGACACGCTCGGCCAGCGACTGCTCAAGACGCTCCTCGTTGAGGCGTGGGTGCCCTCCCTCCGAGGACACGGTCGAGGATGGCGAGATAAACTTGCGCAGCTCGGCCTTGCGGATAAGCCCGCGGTACCACTCGGCGAGCTTGTCGTCGACGGGGAACACACCGGCGACAGCGCCCCATTCCGTGGTCATGTTGGCAACGGTAAGGCGCTCATCGATCGACAGGTGCTCGACACCAGAGCCGGTGAATTCGATCGCGGCGTTCAGCACCTGGTCCTCATTGAAGAGACCGGCGAGGGCGACAATCACGTCCTTGCCCGTGACACCGGGTGCCAGCTTGCCGTCAAGCGAGACCTGGACAACGCGAGGGATCTGCCACCAGAACTTTCCGGTGGCCCAAATGCCGCTGGAGGTCAGCATTATCCCGGGTGTGTTAGGTGCGGCGACAAAGACAAAGGACTCACGCGGCGTCTGTGCGCACAATCGCAGTGCCGAGACACCCAACTCCGCCGTAGTGGTTCGAGTGCGAGTCAGAGGCGACGACCATCTTGCCGGGCCACGCATAACCTTCTTCGACGACAATCTGGTGACCAATACCACGGCCAGCGGGGTAAAAGTCAACGCCGTGCTGCTTGGCAAATGCCTCGATGCGCTGGTACTTCTTGACGTTGGTCTCGGACTTGTTCTGCACATCGTGGTCAAGTGTGAAGATGGGCTGGCGAGGGTTGTCGAGCTTGGAGCAATCGAGGGAGAGGAACTTGGAGATTACGGGGCCGGTGTTGTCGTGGGTCATGCTGAGGTTAGCTGCTGTTTGCGAAAGGCTCCAGCGAGCTGGAAGATGACATGCTCGTCTTGCTAAGCAGAGCGGGTATGATCGTTTCCGCTCCGTCAACTCCTTGACAAACTCACACATGCTCCGGCCTGATCATGACATAGTCGCCTGAGCGCACTTTCGCTGTGGGAGGGAGGTCGACGGCATACTTCTGGACGATCTTCTCGACGAGAGTCTGGGGCGTGGAGACGGTGGCGTATGTGCGCAGGCTCGGCAGGAGAGAGCGCGAGCCAGCGGGGAAGACGCGGTGCCGCGCGAGCACGACGAGAGGCATGGTGTGGTGTCTTGGAGCGACTGCAGGAAGTACGGTAGTCGAGTCGCTTTTTTGTTGTCAGAGATGATCGAGAGGAGTGACTGCCGAGTCGGACGGTTGGAGGTTGGCGCTGGAATCGGGCAAAGTTGGTTGGTGGATTTTGTGGAGTCGGGCAGGATTCGTGCAATCGGACATGTTCGGCGGGTGAGGAGTGATCACGTGATGGAGCGGACTGGTCTCACCGCTGACCGTCACCATCTCTGTTGTTGTAGTCGACGGTCAGCGATTACCCACGAGCATGGCGACGATGTCGAGGTAACGAGAAGCGCTAGGATAAACACTGAAGATATCAGCGGAAAGATCAAAGATTAGATAGTGCGGCGTGACTCTGTGTGAGGAACTGGAAGTAAGCCGAGATCGCGCGGAAAATGAATCCACGGGCGGGACATGCCTTGCCCAACACATGGTGCGCTGCCAACCACCTGACGCGCTCGATTAGCAGCATCAAGAATGCCGTACATCGTGACAGTACATGATCGCTTACCACACAGAGAACAAGCTCAGACTGGCCCATGGAGCGCATTGTAAGACCGTACAGTGATGGGGAGATGGCGTGGACTTTTGCCGAACTCGAGGTCAAGGTCAAACGGGGCGGATGAATGGTCGATGTATTTGGCTCTCCCCGGATCTCCCCGTCAAAATTCCTGTGGTCAACTCCGACGCCGAAGATGTTGGCATGGCGGCGGGCCGTAGCCTCCGCCGTAGCCTCCGCTCCGTGGAGCAAATGAGGATGAAAATACACCCACTGAGGGGCGTCGGGTGCGGCGACTTCTTGAATGCGGGGCTTGCGGGGAAGTGGGGTCAGGCGGTGATGTCACCGCATGTTGCCGCTGCCGTCACGCCGCATCGGAAGGTACAAGGCCGGGTGTCCGGCATGAACCAAGGTCGCATTTGTCGGCGGCCCCGATGTATCATTAATCGGGTTGCTTGCTCATCCTTCCCACTTGCATCGCACTCTTGTGTCTCTCCCGCTCGTCAAAAGGCCTTGCATCGCTAGCATACTTGCACTCGTTCAAGCACTCGCGCCAGCTTGACACGCTATCAACTCGGCTCCTCCCTTCTCCAACCCTCTTCACCATCTTTCGTACATTCTCCAAGATGCGCCCGTGGACGTTCGAGGCGCACATCCCTCGCACTGTGTTTGGGCAAGGCACCCTGTCCAAGATCCCCGAGGAGGTCGAGAGGCTCGGTGCTAAGAGCGTCCTCGTCGTGACCGAGGATACCGACCGACAGATTGCCCTCGCCGAGCGCATCAGCAAGGATCTCGGCAAGGACCGCGTTGCCGGCGTGTGAGTACAGTTGGACTTTGGGCGGAGAGGTTGGCGTAGATGCTGACTGCAGGTGCACCGACGCTGTCATGCACACTCCGGAGGATGTGACCAACAAGGCCCTCGAGCAGCTTAAGGCATCCAAGGCTGACTGCCTCGTGAGTCTCTTGGCGGATGAGCAGGCGCGCCTACATCCATTTATCTCGAGCGTTCTTGATTCATCCCCTCCAACTTCAGCGCGCTGTCACGCCTTGTCTCTTCAACTCCCGCTAATCCCAGGTCTCTGTTGGAGGCGGATCTACTGTCGGCCTCGGCAAGGCCCTTGCGATCCGCACCGGCATTCCCCACATCGCCGTGCCGACGACCTACGCCGGCTCTGAAGCGACGCCCATTCTCGGCGAGACTGTCAACAAGCTGAAGACGACACGTTCGGACCCCAAGATCTTGCCCAACACCATTGTTTACGACGTTGACCTGACGCTTTCGCTCCCCGCCCAGCTGACGTACACTTCGGGGATGAACGCCATCGCCCACTGCGTCGAGGCGCTCTACTCGCCCACAATCAACCCCATTATCGAAGGTGTCGCCATCTCGGGCATCACAAACCTCTACAACGCGCTGTTGGCACTCAAGGATTCGCCAAACGACATCGACGCGCGCGCGCAGGCGCAGCAGGGCGCGTACGCTGCAGGCGTGTGTCTCGGCCACGTCGGCATGGCGATCCACCACAAGCTGTGCCACACCCTTGGCGGCACATTCAACCTCCCGCACGCTCAGACGCACACTGTCGTGCTTCCCCACGCCATGGCGTACAACATGGAGGCAGCCCCAGAGGCCATGGGCAAGATCGCCAAAGCTATCGGCGTCGAAGGCTCGCCCGCCAAGGCGCTGTGGGAGCTCGAGAAGACGCTCGGCACCGTCCAGAGCCTCGAATCACTCGGGCTCAAGAAGGAGGACCTCGAGACGGCTGCCGATCTTGCCGCCAAGGCGCAGTACCCCAATCCCGCGCCACTCGAGCGCCCCAAACTTCTGGCTCTCCTCGAGAACGCCTTCTACGGCCGCCCGCCGTCTGCGTAGGTCTCCCGTGCGCATACGCAACTGTGGTAACCGTAGGAGCGGAATGAGGTTGAAGATCTGACGAGAGCTGTAGTTCAAATGTATGTATCTGGTGGCGGGGGGAGTGTAAGCATCTTGCAAAGCGCTCGCCACGGATATCTCGATGACGAGCTGCAGAAACTTACATGATACGAATGGCAAAAGCCGTGTTGGGCCCTTCGTCTTCCCAGCTGCGATGGAGGGGCCTCTTCAGCTGCGGTAGAGGGGCTCTTCACCAAGGATGAAGGATGTCTCTACAGGGCTGAAGAATTTCTCCACAGGGCTGACGAATTTCTCCACAGGGATGGTACTAATGAGGGACCCGTACGGCTTTTTCCCGCTCGTTCCAAGCTGGGATCGAACGCTGGACTTTGGCAAGCCATGCTCCTGCAGCAACGTGTTAGTTGGATACTAACCAACATGCTACACGTTCGAGGCGAAAGCTAAGCACATCAATGGGGTTTTATGGGACGCTGGAGCCTTCCAGTTGTTGGGTGGTGTAAATCAGGCAACATGAACGGGATCGACTTCGGTGCTGGCCGTCACGTGATAGCAAATAACTTTACTCCACCGAATCTCGACTGCCCCACTCGGCTGACATCTGATCGGCGATTCAACAATATGCCGTCCTGTCCGGCTCCGGCCATTGCAGCTATCGCAACCATGCAGCCATCAAGTCTGAAATAGGGTTAGCAACGTCCATGTAGAGTATCGGAGGACCCGCAAAGCACTTGAGTATGTCTAGTCGTTCCTAACAAGGCCCCCAACTCTTAGCGTCCGGTTGCCCAGCTCTCCCACACGGATCGTAAACTCGTGCCACTCGGTAACTAATCGGCATTGCATGCTGGCGATGAAGCCGAGCCGTGACTGGTGCGTGGTATCAGCGTCGCTTGGAACGGAGAACGCCGAGGTGTCGAGGTCATGTGCTCCTCTCGCCCATTATCGCGCCGGCTGTGATCATGGCCGTACGGCAACAGCAAGTGGGCGGCGTCGCGTCATGCCGCGCGACACATCAAACCATATAGATGGGGTCTCGCAGTCGCGCGAGAGCGCAAGACCGACCCACCCACCGCATCCATCACCATGGCCGCCCCCCGCATACTGTCGTACGCTGAGAGTGTGTGATCCGCCGGCAACGCTGACCCAGTCGATGCGCGGCTCACGGCCAAAGGCTCGCCGTTTGAGACGGCCGAGCTCGAGATGAACGGCGTAAAGCAGATCATCTGGAAGAATGTGAGCCCCGCTCTGCCAGCTCTGACGCCAGCAAATCCCGACTTATGGCCATCTTTACGCGACTACCATCGAGAAGTGGGCCGACCGCGTGTGCATCTCCGCCCCGGTCGGCGACCCACACAAGGCGATCGCCGGCGAGCGCGAGTACGTGACCTACCGCGAGGTCGGGGAGCGCGCATATGCACTCGCCGGCTGGATGCTCGAGCAGGGCGTGGGCGCTGGCGACGCCGTCGCTGTCGGCGGTCTCAACACGGCCAAGCTCATCATCACCATTGTCGCTATCCATCTCCTAGGCGGCGTGCCACTCGTCCTGAACGCCACACTGTAGGTTGCAGAAAACCTTGGCGGGCAAGCTAATAGCAGCACCGGCGACGCACAGGTTCACTGCGCAACCCTCACTCGATGCAAGCTCATCCTGGTCGACGTCAAGACGGCCGAGGCGGTCGGGCCTGTGCGAGACCAGCTCGATGCCCGGGGCGCAGGACCGGTGGGCTTGATGAGTCCTACCTGAGCTAACCCCAGACGTACTGCTGGGAAAGCCTCGACCTCCTTCCACCCGCCGCGCGCGCTGGGTGCAAGGTATGCTCGTGGTGAGCATCTGCTGACAATAGGAACTCGTCGTTAACCCTTCCCCGAAATCGATTGCCGAGGTGAAGAGCGGCCGTACCCGTGCAAGCGTGACACCTGACAGCGACGCAAACATCTTCCTCACTTCTGGGTGCGTTGTTTGGCCCCGAGGCGGTTGGCTCACACCAGAACGACGAGCATGCCCAAGGGCGTGCTGCTCACGCATCGTATCTCGATGCACTCAAACACATCCGCAGAGTTTCGTAAGTTGCACGGAAGCTCGAAGAGCTCACGCAGTACTCGCGCGACACGCCATGCGTCTCGGTGCACCGTACGAGATGGCCGTTGCGGCTGCGACGACGCCGCCGCCAGAGCAGGGCGTGCTCCTGCTCCCTGTCCCTCTCTTCCACGTCACCGGCTTCATCGGCATGAACCGCAACTTTGTCAGCGGCGGCAAGATTGTTCTCATGCGCCGCTGGGACCCGGACGCGGCCATCGAACTCATGCTCAAGGAGAAAGTCACGTCGAGTACTGGTGTCCCGGCCATCTTCCAGGGTATTCTGCAGGCGCGCGGCCTCACGGACAAACTCCAGCTGCAGGGGATGAGCATTGGTGGCTCCCTCCCTCCCGCTCGGCTGGCAGGCGACATCCACAAGACATGGCCCGACATCTACATGTGCGCCTTGTGAGATCGCTGCTGACATTAGGATCGCCGCGTTTGGAATGACAGAAACAATCGGCGCGCACGTCACGCTTTCCGGCCCAGACCTCCGGCGCAAGGTATGCTTTGAGATTTGAGACGGAAACGCTGACCCAGCCCCACGCCGCGGGCATTACTATGCCGACGGGCCAGCTCAAGATCGTAGATGCGGAGACGCGCCAGGAGTGCCCGACCAACGTGCCGGGCGTCATCATGATGAAGGGCTCGAACGTGTGCAAGGGCTACATCAACAACCCGGAGGCGACGGCGGCCGCGCTGTCCAAGGACGGTTGGCTGGACAGCGGCGACATCGGGTTCCTGGACGACGAGGGGTTCCTCGTCGTCTGCGACCGCCAGAAGGACATCATCATCCGCGGCGGCGAGAACATTGCCAGCGCTGAAGTCGAGCACGTCATCTACGCCGACGACCGCGTGGCCGAGGCCGCCGCCGTCGCGGTGCCGCACGACCTGTGGGGCGAGCTCGTGGGCGTCGCTGTCACGCTTGCGCCCGGCGCGACGGCCACGCCCGAGAGCATCCTCGAGCTCGCAAAGCCCCGTATCCGCACGCCCGCACACCCCGCAATCGTGGTCATTCTCGACGAGCCGCTCGGTGAGTTGGGCATGGGTCTGCTGACATTAGCGCGGAACGCCAACGGCAAAATTCTCAAGAACGAGGTCAAGAAGGAGGTTGTTGCGCGTTGGGAGGCGCAGGGCCGCGACGGCGGTGTTGTTAGAGCCAAGCTGTGAGAGTGTAGGGTTAGCAGAGGCATCGTACAGACAAGAATGAACACCGTAGTGAGCACCGGGATTGAGTGGAGAGGAAAAGGGGGATGTATACTGGACATTGCAGGGCATCCGTTGAGGGATGCACAGCGTGAGGCTGCGAGGTGTGACAAAGGATGGGGTTGGGAACTGCGTTGGGAACTGCTTGATCCTCAGCAAAGGCGGGACCGTAGGTGACATCGGATAGTGGTTATTCCGCGGCCTTGCTATAGACTTGATCTTGAGGCCGTGCCTTCGGGCTCGAGAGTTCGAATCTCTCTGTCATCGGAGCATTTAATGTTTTTGCACGTTCACCACTTGTGCGTTGGGGTGAACGTGCGGTGCCAGGGAGCTACAGTAATCAGCATGCGTTGAACCACGCTGGCTCCACCCTCATCAAGAAAACAACAGTAGTGCATGTATTGAGGTGCATAAGGGGTGAGGAGAGCCCTCGTCGCCAGCTGTAGGAGTTTGCGGATCGGGGGCGGGGAGACCTCCACCAGCCGGAGACGCGACTTCGCGACTTTTTCCCTGGCCTGGTACTTACTTACCTCCTGCTGGCCTCCAGTCCCATCTCTTCCGCACCCATCTTTCATTCACTCATTCTCGTCGCTCCTTCCGCTCTCCACATCTATCAACGGTCGCCACTCCCACGCTTCACGCTAGCTGCGCCACCAAAATGCCCAAGAACCTCGTCGTCTTCGACTTTGACTGGTCCTTTGTGGACCAGGACACGGATCGCTGGGTCTTCGAGGTCCTCAGCACCAAGCTCCGCCGCACGCTGCAGGACCGCAAGAGCGCCGGAAGCCAGTGCATGCCTGATGTTGTGTGAGTGTAGTTTCCGAGGCGTTCGTATGAGGCTCCTTCCTTCCGCTCTGGTCCTGCCTCTCCCTGCGAGACCTAACGGCGACGGCGTTTGCGCACGTTCGTGGCGCGGTTGGTTATCAGAGCTCCCGCGCAGCTTGCTGACGCCAGCGACCAGACGATGGAGGACCTCTTCAACGCCGGCTACAAGAAGGAGCAGGTGCTCGATGCGCTCCGCCAGCTCCCTGTGGTGCGTAGAGCTGTGCGGTGAACAAGGCCAGCGCTGTGCCACGCTGCCCGCCTTCCCTCCCCGGTTCATGAGGGGAAGTTATCACTGACGACCAGCACCCGGCGATGAAGCGCGCCGTTACGGGGCTCAAGAACCGCGGCGACACCACGTTCCTCTGCCTGTCCAACTCGAACGAGGTGTACATTGGGACGATCCTCGAGGTAAGTGCGGCTCTGCAGCGCCTGACACCAGCACCACGGCCTCACGCACCTCTTCGACAAGGTGATTACGAACCCGGCGCGGTGGGACGGCGACCGGCTGCACATCGGGCGGCGCTTGCCCGCCGACGGCCCGCAGCACGGGTGCACGGTCGGCTGCCTGCCGAACATGTGCAAGGGGGACGAGCTGGACGCGTGGCTTGTCGCGCACGGCGGCAAGGAGTCGTGGGACAAGATCGTGTATGTCGGCGACGGCGGGAACGACTACTGCCCCCTGCTGCGCATGCGGAAGGGCGACCTCGCGTGTGTGCGCAAGGGATACGAGCTGGGCGGGCGCATCGAGCGCGAAGGCGAGAAGGACGGGTTTGCGCTCGACGTCGAGATGTGGGACCAGGCGTGGATTATCGATGAGTGAGTGTTGGCGAGGAGCACGGAGGGCTGACGATCAGGATTTTCTCCAAGCTCTAGAGAGCTGGGTATGCATAGATGAGAAGGGTATGCGTTTACAGGGGTGCAGCCCGGGGTGCAGTTGGCAACTGATCAACTGACATGCTGACGGCGAGTGCGCTTCGCAAGGACATGGATGGCGATGGGGCGTGCATCTGCAAATCGCAACGCGAGGTTTGCTCGACCTCACTCGAGTCCGCTCCAGCGCGCATCTCAACCCGCACTGCTACTTTCCCGCACTTGAGTGGAAATGCCGCTTGGGCCAGGCACATCCGTCTGGGCTGGTACGACTTGTTGAGAAGGCTGGCGTTCCCACTCCACTCCACTCCACTCCACTGCAGTTAGTGCCTCGTTGGACGAGGTTCCTGCTAGACGATGAGCGGGAGCGAGCTGGAATCGGGAGCGCCGGGAAGTCGGGAGATGCCAGCTTGACTTGTTGATCAGACCAGTGCCGTGGCCGCATGTTCTGTTGATGCGTACGGGACGCACCATCGTTGGCAGCATCCGCGGCGTCATTGGTTCCACCACCCCACCACACCACCACACCACCACACCACCGCCGCGTCGCCAGCCTCCCTCCCTTAGAAGCTTGCTCTTCCTCCCACTCCCACCTCAACCTCCCCCGTCACCCGCAGTGACGCGTCACAGCGCCACCGACCGCGGAATGCTTCGCGGGTGTGCAGTGACGCGTGACGCGCGGCGCAAGCAAAGAGTATAAAGGAGTACCAGCTGCGCCGGCAGCGTACTTGTGAGGTCTGCAGCTGGCAGACGCGTCTGTCACATTACAGTGTGATGAGGCTTGTTGCGATGCATTCCGCGTAATGTGCGACTGCTGAGTGCATCACTGTATCACTGCACCACGCACACCACGCACACCTCACCCACAGCAGTTCGCACCCACCCACACCCCCACACCCACCCACACCCCCCCACACACAAGAACACACCCCGACACACACGAGCTGCACTCGCCGAACACGGTGCGGCTCACGTAATCCCCAGCGGCGGTTACGAGAGATGTCGAAATGCGCCGTGGGAAGAAGAGTACCGGATCGGGTAGAGAGATGGAAAATTCTGCCGGGTCAGATCGGCGAAGCGTGTCAGAGGACAAGGGGGTGTAAGGGGAAGGAGGGCTAGAGAAAAAACACTCGAGGTTGCATGTTTGGAGGTATCTCGTCATCTTGATCTTTGAGGTATTGGGGATCGTCGGGCTATGAGTGGATCGTGGCAGTTTCCGTGCTCGTCTGCCGCCGCTGCCCAGCTGGCCAGCTGCAAGCTGCAAGCTGCTGCATGCCCACTTCGACCACCAACTAACAGATGCCAGAACGCGTCGTGTCCTCTTTTGGAAGGTGACCGCGAGGCGCGAGGCGCGAGGCGCGTGGCGCGCTCACGTTCTGTATTCTCCGCCCTGTGACCTTCCACCAACACCGCCAGCCGCCATGCATACATCCACCCTTTGCACTCAATATCTCGGCCGCGCCGCGCCACGCCGCCATGCCCGCCACCGTCATAGACGCCGAGTATTGATATGGGCTGGAAGCAATGACCAGGCGGTACCGTCCCGAGGCCCGATGGCTGCTGGCTAATGGCTGTTTGTGTGGGTGGTCTGGATCCCACCATGCCCTGAAAGATCTGCCCCACTTCCTCCAAACTCTGGATGGCCGAAATTCCTCCACAATTCAGCAAAGCTAGTTTTCGAGAAGTGATTGTTCTAATGAGACTATACCGCTGTATTATATCCAGGGCATGAGCAGGCCCCCTTTCAAACCCTTGACCGGCCCTGAGGACATCCCCCTTGCGACGAGCAAATCGAGGGCACTATACCGAAGGAATCAAGCGTTCCCTCCCTACAACCCTGGCCGGGTTGGCAGCTCCGGCGCACCAGTTGAGGGATCGTGTAGCGCAACCCTTAGCTCATCCCTAGACCCGACCCCTGGAAGCAGCAGAGTGCGCACATGAACGGCGGCTCTCTCGTCATCCCGCCCTTGGTCACTGTCACCTTCCCTCTCCCCCTCCGGTTGACCAAACTCAATCGTCGCCGCTCAAGAGTCAAACTCTTTGTTGCTCATCGCTCTCCACTCCTCGCTCTCACTCGTCTCTTCATCACCATCTCTCCCCCTCTCCTCGACATCACTCTCCCCCTCCTCGCCACTCCCAACCTCCCCCTCCCTTCTTCTCCACCTCCTCTACCTCCTCCACCTCCCCTTTACCCTCCCCTCTACCCTCCCATCCTCTCATCCCTAAACAAAGCCCATCCCTCATCGGCATTCTCCGCCGCCCCCGCCCCCCACCCCCCACCGCCAGCCGCCTCGTCCTCGCTCTCCCCCTCACTCCGTCCCTTTCTGGCGCGGCGCCGACTAGCCTCTTTGGGAACCCCGGCCTTGCGGAATAGAGCAATCTACGCGCCGACACTCGCATCCCCCTCGCATCACTCCTCACATCCCTCTTTCTCCACTCGCCCAAACGCGCCAAACGCCATCCACCAACGCGCTTGTGGCGCCGCACAGACCTTTGGTGTCGCCGATTGCTCCCTCTCCATATCTTGATATCTTTCATCGGCCCCCTCACCGCGCGTCACCCATCACTCTCATCACTTGCACGATCGCACACCCCCCTCCCACGCCCGCTCGGACGCACATCTCGGGCCCGCATTCCATCCATTCCATTCCCCTCCCTCCGCCATCACAACTTGACGACTTGATTCCACCCCCACTCACTCGCCACCTCCCACCTCCCTCCTCCTTCCTCTCTCTTCGGCACTCCCGCCGCACTCCACACTACCCTCCAAAAACCTCCTCGAGCGTGTCAGTCTGCTGCCCCACCCCGCCGCGCGTGGCTGCACAACTAGTCTTGGTACCTGGCAATTCAACATCGTCAATGGGCCAGGCTGTCATTATCCATTCTGGTCTATAGCCGCCTTATCAACATCTCTCATCCAAGTCCCATCCATCCTCCCCTCTCCTTCACCCCTCCCCCCCCCCCCCCCCCCCCCCCCCCCCCCCCCCCCCCCCCCCCCACCCCCCCCCCCCCCCCCCCCCCCCCCCCCCCCCCCTCCCAAAATCCATTAGACTGACCATCTGAGACATTTCTTGCCTCATCGCCACAAACCACACTCTCTTGGGGTACAGCCTATTGCACTTTCCCACCGTTGTCTGTCGTAGTCTCAACACTCGACTCGCGTGCTCGCGCGCGCTGTTGTCGCTAGTTGTTGCCTCTGGATCCCGCCACTGCTACTGCTACGGAAGCTTCGCCCTCGCAAGCTCGCAACGATCGCAACAGGAACCCATTGTTCTCCGCACTGGGCTTGACATTTGCATCCTTGCATCCTGCATCCTAACATCCTTGCATCGTCTATCCTTTACGCTTGGACAATCACACCGCGCTCTCTCTCCCCTCTTCTCCATTCTCCAGGCAAAAGAGCGCATCTCTGTGGACACTCGAGCCGCCCCCCCCCCGCCCCGCAAAGGTCGATTTTGGTGAGTCGTTTCCCTCGCACCCTCACTCTCCCCGCGTGCCATCCCGCGATCCACCCGTCTTTCATTTCGGCTCCATCATTGCATTCCAACTGCCCTCCCGCATTGCACGCTCTCTCCGTCTGCTCGCCGAGGCGCATTCTCGTCTCTTGGCCGGACGCAGCCCCTGGTTCCTGCATCATCCGTCCACTACCAAGTTTGCGGCATGTTGGTTTCCCCCTCCATGATCAAGCATCTCTCTAAAACTTGTCAACATCTACTCTTTAACCATCCTTGTCCTCCTTCTCGACACACGCTACGCCCAAGCGTGTCGTATTTCACTCCACTCTTGGCATTGAACACACTTGAATGTGGATGCTGACCAAGTGACCATTGCTCTCTACTCCTCGTTGCCCTCTGATCCTACCGTCCCCCCACTCGGCACAAAACGCGTCTGTGCGAGCATATCCCTCGTCGACCTGCACCTCGTGCCCACGACCCACGATTGTTCGCCCGCGCTTTCCCCGGACCCGTCGCCCTGCACTCGTGCACCCCCGCATTCTCTCAACCCTTCTCTGGTTGCATTGTCCTTTTCTTTATCCTCGTCCATTCGACTGTCACCCTCCATCCAATCCACCCAAAAGTCGCTCGCAGATAGCAAGCACGCTCCCACAACGCACTGCACGACGACACGCCGTTCACACGCTCTCTCTCGAGATCTCTCTCTCTCTTTGGCCTCTGGACGTTGTTACACTCCGTGAGTCGCTCTTACTCCTCTAAAAGCAATCGCATCGCATGCTGACCTGGCCTTGCCTCCTTCTCCCCTTTCATCCTTGCAAATGCCGCTTCACCCCGCGCATACCACCCACCCATCTCGCCCATTCATCCATCCACCCCTTTGCGAACGGACCCCCCCCCCCTATCCACGCTCGGACTTGATCGCTCTGCCCACTCGACCACCACGGCCACCACCATGCATCCCTCCCCTCCCCTCCCCTCCCCCCGTCGCCGTCTCTCTTCCATCGCAATCATTCTATCTCTCTCTCATCCTCATCCTCATCCCTCCTGTTGCCACCACCCATCCCCAAACTCATCGCACTCATCCACACACGCACGCCCACGTACACAACACACCCCCGCCCACCCGTGTCCACATACACTCACACAACCGCTCTCCCTCTCTGTTGCCTGCCCTCCTGGCCTCGGCCTCCGTCGATCTCCTATCTACGCTGGCTTCTTTCACCGCACCTCGGCATTGACGAACAATAGCCTGTCTCGTCTGCCCCCATCACTCACTCTCGGTCTAGCTTGCTTCACCGCCACACAAGCAGCAGGCCTCCTTTCCGTTCGCCTCCAAGGCGGACAATCATCGCGATCAGATTCTCTGATTCGCAACATTCACCACCCTTTGCCCCAGCCTCGCTATGTCCATTTCCCGCAAGCGCGTAGGCTCCTTTAGTCAACGCAACGACTCTCCTCTGCCACCATTGGATATACAGTCAATCCACATGCCGTCCAACCCGTAAGTCCCGGTCCCACAATCACTGGCACCTGCGCCCGCACGCGCCTCCTTGACTCCTTCCCCCTCCTTCTTCCTTGGCCCCCCTTTTTATCACGCCTTGTTATCACACCCCGCATTGCCACTATCGATGCTTACACTTCACAGGCAGAACTCCCTCGCCCTCAAGACGGCGGCATTGTCATCGACAAAGACGTTGTTCCAGATGGCCTCGAGCCTTAGGAAGCGTCTGCGTAACCTCGATGACTTTGCTCCCTTTCTCGGTGAGCATCGGACGCGCTTGCTCGCTGACTCCAGAACAACCCGAAGGCCAGTCACTCGACGTTGTCGCACACATGCTGCACGTCTTGCGTCTCGGATCATCACTCTGCCACGTCTACAATGCCCTCATTCCAGCCTTCACATCACCATCATCACCCCTCTATGCCGACGGGCCCGCCCCAACACCACTCGAGTACGAGTTCCCCAACTTTATGGAATCACCCCACGGCGTTCGCAACTGGGCCAAGAAGCCAGAAAACGCAAAGGTGTGCCAGCGATACATCTACGCATTCTGCACTCAGATGAAGCTTCGCAAGGACGAGGGGCGATGGTACGGCGACGCTTGGGCCATCCATGAGCTGTGGGGACGAACAAAGGGCGACGAAAGCGAGTGCGAAAACTACGACACGACCGGTCTAATGAAGGTCTTCCAGACCGTCGAGGCTATTCTCGACCACCTCCCAGACTCGGCCATGTCCCCAATCTCCCCAACCCTTCCTACGCCTTTCGCCTCCTCACAGTCCATTTCTGCGGCCATTGCTCCGATGACAAGTATAAACGGCCACCAGACCCGCCTCTCCTACCAGGACGGCAACTATGCCTCGCTCAACAGCAGCACTACCTTGGTGAATCTTAGCCAAAACGGTTCAGGCAGCGGAGACGACCCATTGTCCAAGTCTGTGTCCATCGAGCAGCTGCACGCTGCTGCAGGTGACTCTGGCTCGGACAAGGCGTTCAAGACCGTCCAGGAGCTCGTGAATTCCGAACGGTCATACGTCCAGGAGATTGAGATTCTTGAGCGTTTCTCTGTCGAGATCCTCAACGCCGACCTGGCGTCCCCAGAAACAGTCTACTCCATTTTCTCAAACTTGCGCCAGATTCTCGACTTCCAGCGCAAATTCCTCATCAAGTTGGAGACCGAGTTTGAACCAATCGACGAGATGGGCCCCGAGGCCTGGACTGAGGGGCGATGGGGAAGGCCGTTTGTCGACATGGAGAAGGAGTTTGCAGTGTATGGCCCCTATTGTGCCAACTTTATGGACGCCCAGAAGGTGGTGCAGGGAGTTCATGCTCATCTTATGATGGGCATGGATCTTCCAGAAGACCGTCGCCCATGCCTAAACCCCGCAACCGAGCTCCAGGCATTCATGATCAAGCCGATCCAGCGTATCACCAAGTATGGCTTGCTTCTCGACGCCATCCAGCGCGAGGCCGTCAAGCATGACTACCGCTTCCTCGCCGAGCTTCAGGACGGCATTGACGCGGTGAAGCGCGTCACTCTTGACATTGACGAGACCACCGCGTACAAGACCAAGCAGGCCACAGTGCGCGACCTCGTTGCCCGCGTCGACGACTGGAAGGGTCACGACTATGAGCGGTTTGGCGATCTTCATCTGGACGACCAGTTCACTGTCACCAAGAACGACACTCCAAGAGACTACCACGTCTTCCTCTTTGAGAAGATGATGCTGTGCTGCAAGGAGGTCTTGCCGGACAAAAAGACCAAGGGCGGCAAGAACAACAACATGCTCCGCAAGGACAAGACGGCCAGCAAGGGGCAGGCACCACCCAAGCCGAAGCTCTCGTTGAAGGGCAGGATCTTCGTGTCCAACATTACGGACGCGAGGTTGATACCTGCATCGGTTGATGAGCCCTTCGCGCCTCCCAAGGTGCGCATCATGTGGTCGGTCCCGACAACGCGCAACAACAACGAGGAGTATGTCATTGAGGACGCCTTTATCATGACCGGCCGTAACGAAGACCAGGTCAAGAAGTGGGCAGACAAGATCATGGAGCTCGCGATAAAGGCCCGCCAGGACCAGTCGGCACAAGATTACATGCGCGCGCATCGGAGCCACATGCGGACCGACTCGCACTCGCGGATATCGGACCCGCAGCGGATGTATTGGTCGTCTGGGTTTGCACCACAAACGCCAGGCCCTGAGCACACGACGTTCTTCGCGCCTCAGACCCCGGGCCACCCAGGCAACAACATGCTCCATGACGAGGACGATGAGATTGACGAGCACCGTTCTTCGCAGCAGGATTCGCTTACCGGTCTCGCGATCTACGGCGTTCCTGGCGTGCCCTTCCCCTCGGCAAACAGGAGGGCGCAGAGCCAGCAGTCGATCCCTCCGGCAGCACAAGCCGAGCTGCGCACGCGGGCGATGACCGAGGACCAGAACGGGCCAAGTATGACCCAGTGGAGGCAACATGCCCCCCCTCTGCCTCATCTTCCCCGCGCCAATACCGCCGGCTCGGTGGTGGCGAGCGATGCGTCGTGGGGTCACAGCGCAGGTCAGTCGTATCGCCGACAGCCGAGTCAGTCTGGAGGAGACGATGTGTACGGCGCGCCTACCGCCTACGGCCGCTACGACCAGCTTCCAGGGCGAGGGCAACGGCCACCACTTCCCGGTATGCCACCGCACCCCATGCGCAGCCGCAGTACCTCATCACCCAACGCATACCAGCCCACCGAGTCACCTCTGCCACCACTCCCCAACAGCGCTGCCGTTAATGGCCACTGGGCAGGAGCCAACGGCATCCCCTATCCCACAGGCTCATCATCCTCTTCTTCGACCGGGCTTGCTTCCGCTGCTCCTGGCGGCACGACCTTTTTCAACCGCCGCATGTCGGTTGGTAAGAGGTCAAGCCAGGAGTCGGAGACTACCGAGACCTCTGAGACGTCGAGCGGATCCCCGCGGACACCCTACACCAACGAGCGATCCGGTGATCCACGGGGTGCGACCCCCGTTTCGCGCCAGAACAGCCAGGACGCGCCGTCGCTGGTGTACATCAAGGTGCGCTCTGGCGACGCCAACTTTGTCATCAGCATGCCGTCGGATGTGTCGTACAGCACGCTGCACGAGAAAGTCGTCAAGAAGCTGCGCCTGTGCAGCGGGCGGCACAGCTCCGAGATCCTCGACAAGCTGATCAAGATCAAGTGGCTCGACTCTGACGGCGACGAGATTGCCATCAAGACCGACTCGGACGTGCAAGTCATGCTTATGGAGTGCACCGAGGGCCAGATCCAACTCATCGCCAGCTAGAATATTCGTCTCCACCCGCATTCCCATCGTTTTGTTTAGAGGCCCACTCTACCCCGCATACATCCTCCACACTCTCTTTGTGACGACTTCGTACTCTCGGCTCGGCTCGTCTTGTCTGGTGATATTTCTGTTGTGTTGGCTAGTAGTGGAAGGTGGTCGTTCTCTAGTATTATAGAGGGCTAAGAATGTACGTTTTAGTGAGTGCGTGGCTCGATTGGGGTGAAGGATGAGGATGGTTGACGCGACTGGTGGTGGCACGTGGGAATGCTCCCGTTGCCACCAATGTGCAGCTTTCGCGCATGACTGATATGGGTATTTGTGAGTCGTGCTGCACATTTCACGCGCCATCCACTCATCCATGATCCGCATAGCCCGACTTTCAACCTCGGCCCGCGCATCAGCCGCAGCAGCAGCGGTAGCGACGTCTCCGCGTGCAGCGCTCGCCGCGGCCCGGCGCGCACCTCGGGCGAGTGCCTCAACTTCAGCTCCCACGACCCCAGCCGCGCCCGTCGCTGCCGCCTCCGCCTCCACCTCTCCCGCCGTCGCAACGAGCGCAGCCAAGCGGGTTAGAACGACACGTCGCGCCGCTCCTGCCTCTGCCTCTGCTCCCGCCCCCGCCCCCGCCCCCGCCTCCGCCTCCGCCCCTCCCCCTCCCGAGTTCGAGCCGTTCGAACCCGAACCTCTTGACTTTTTCCCCACCGAGATCCAAGACTACGCGGCACTCCAGCCCGCACGGCGCAGCCCCGCAGCAACCCCAACTCCCAGCCCACCGCTCACCGCCCTCCCTGGGGCCGGCTACGAACCCCTGCCCGAGCTCTCCGCCTCCGCGTCCGCCAGCGCGCCCGTCGCGCCCGGCAGCGCGCCATGGTCGCCCTCGCATCCCGGCGAGCTGGGCGCGAAGACCCTCGAAGACGGATACGCGTTCGCGCGCATGCCGGGCGAAGCGCACGACTGGACCACAAGCTTCCGGGGCTTGAGCGCCGCGCCGTTCGACAAGGACGTCGCGAACGCGCTGCTCAAACCTTTGTCGCCGGAGGATGTGGAGATGAAGCCTGGTGCGTGGACACATGGGCGGTGCTGATGATAGATGGGCTCCTCTACCTCCCGGAAATCAAGTATAGGCGGACACTTAATGCCGCGTTCGGGCCCGGCGGGTGGGGCATGGCGCCGCGCGGCGAGACGCATATTGGCCCGCGGATCGTTAGTCGTGAATGGGGGCTTGTGTGCTTGGGCCGGTGAGTTTCTGTTTGGGTATTGCGTTTGGTAATTGTGCCCGCTTACACCAGCCTCGTCGCCATCGCGCGCGGAGAACAGGAGTACTTTGACCCCTCGGGGATCCCGACCGCCACGGAGGCGTGCAAGTCGAACGCGTTGATGCGGTGCTGCAAGGATCTCGGGATTGCGTCCGAGCTGTGGTGAGTAAGACATAAGGCGCGAGATGGCCTTGGACTGCGAGGTGTGCTCCATGTGCAGCGCGAACATGGGCGAGGCCGCACGGGCCCACGTGTACTGCGCGCTCGACTTCACCCCTGCTCTCTTCGCTCTTCGCTCACACCAGGGACCCGCGCTTCATCCGCGAGTTCAAGGCCAAGCACTGCGTCGAGGCCATGGTCGAGCACGTGACGCAGAAGAAAAAGCGCAAGCTCTGGCGCCGCAAGGACCAGAAGTTTGAGTATCCCTACAAGGAGATTGGCGTTGTGCCGAAGTAGCTCCGTGATTCGGCGCGTCGAGCCGCAGGAAGCGAGCAGCGAAGACGAGTCTTGTCGAAACGAAGGCACGACAGACGGCAGCCAACACCGCCCTGCATGACCCATATATATACAGCGTAGATGTTGTAGAATACAGACACAACTCTGATCTAGACGAAAGGCGCGGAATGTGGCTGTGCAGATAACCGGTTCCGACGAAGGCACACGGCACACGCGGGCTCCCGTCGCACGTTGGGTACGACGTGCCTCTGCCGGCCGTCAGTCGATTAGAAGGGGAGAGATAAGAGGAGAGAGTGCAATCGACTCGCGGTGAGGAGCGTTGGAAGCCTAGGAGCGAGGAGCGAGATCGCAACGAGCGGGGAGAGAGATCGCGAGGATTAGAGTAGGACGAATGGAATAAGGGAACCAACTTGCGGGATCAAAATGTCCGTCATGGACGGCACAGGGGAGTTGAGGGAGGAGGGATTGTCAGGGGCGTGGCTGAGGAGCCAGGGAGAGCCCGCCCTCCACCGAACCAGTCCCATCATCGTCGTCGTCCCTCCTCCGAACATCCTCCGTCCTCACCACCACTCTCCTCTCTCTCGCTGTCTCTCTCTCTCTCGCTCGCTACCTCTTCTCATCTAGCCCTCTCTCTCTTCCACAGCATCCTCCTCCTCCCCCTAGCCCTCTCTCTCTTCCACAGCATCCTCCTCCTCCCCCTCTCC